AATCACCTTTTTTAATTAAGGATAATAATATGCTAAGTAATAGGCTTATAATGCCTACTTGGCTTTTATTTATTAACTAAAAGCTGCGTTTAACTTATTTATAGTTGCTTAAATTATTAATTTAGGCAAAGAAAACTATGCTAGGCTTAATAAAAGGCTTTAATGATAAACTAATTATTTTAAATGCAATATATAATATATATTACTTAACTTAATTATAGCTAAATTACTTATCTTTATTAATAGTTTTTTTGCTAATAACTAAAATCTTAGCTCTTAAATAAGCTTTATTATTACTTTTATTAATAAAACTTAAGGCAATAGCTTTATAAAATTAAATATTTATAGCAACATTATTTATTAATCCTTTATTAAGTATAAGAAAGTTATTAAAAGCATTTTAGCTTTTAAAATTTATAATATAGTTTATAAATTTAATATAGATATTATTTTAATAACTACTTTACGTTAAATTACTACTTATCTTAATATTAATATTATTTCTTTTATAATTTATATAAATTTATACTTTTTATATAAGTACTTAGTTAAGCTTAATATAATTAAAAAGAAATATTTTATAATTAACTTAATAGTACTTTAATAATTATACAAAAGATATAAGATCTTTAAGATTTAATAAATTGCTAATAACTGCAATTTAGCAAACACCTTTATAAAGGGTATGTTAAATAAAACTCTTAAGTAGCTTATAAATATTAATAAAATTATAATTAAGGTATAGGGATATATTAATTAAAGATAGTTATTTACTTAAGCAAAAGGAAAAGGTATATTAAGACTTAATACACTACTTATTATTAAGGAAAATATTTAAATGGGAGTTAATAAAAGTTAATAAATTAAAATAATTGCAATAAGGTTATAAAGAAAAGATTGCCAAAGTAACTTAGTCTTTGCTTTTATTTAATAAAAGTATGTAAAATTAGCAAAAGTTTAAATCTTTCTTTTATTAATTAATTATAAATTACCTTAAGGAATAATATAATATGGCCTATATTTAAAATTACTTCCCTCTTAAGGGCAAATCTTATAGCTAAGATTTTTATAATAATGCCTATGCATTAAGGGTTTAGGTAATAAGGGTTATTATTATTTTATAAGTATTTAAATTATTAGCTTATATTTAATAAACATTCTTAATTAAATTTCATAGTTTAATACTTATATATTAGTCTTATATATGTTTTTATTTATTAACTTAATTAATATTAAATAATCTCTTAATACTTAACTTTTCTTCTTTATTTAAATACCTTATTTACCAACCTTTATAACTTATCTTGCCTATCTTTCCTTTATAATTAATTAATCTTTATTTAATTATAGAAATTAAGTATAATTAAGCTTAAGCTAAATTAAATTAAGGTATATTATAAGCTAAAAATTAAATAATAATGTTATTAATTTAAGGGTTTAATTTAATCCTTATTTAACCTAAGCGCCATAAGCAATAGAAATATAAGTTTATAAAATGCATTATAAATAAAATATTTATATAGCAAAAGCAATAATTTATGCTTTATTAATTAACGCAATTAGGATAATTTGCTATGCACAACCATTAAAACAACCTTTATCTATTAATTACGTACTTTAACGAAATAATTAACCTCCAACCCCTTAATAATAACCCAAGCCTTTTTATATACCTACCTTTTATAAGCACTTAATATAATTAAATAGGCGCATATCTTTAATTAATTTAATTAATTAATAAATTTAAACTTAACGGCTTTAAGTTTAATTTAACTTCTTTTTCTTATATACTTTTTAAAAACATGCATTAATTACTTAATTAAAGATTGCTAATATAATTATAAATATGCCATAAGAGAATAATAGTACTAAGCATAATAAGCATTATGGGCATTATAAGCAATTAGCACTAAAGCACCGGCAGGCAAGGGTCACGTGCAGCAGCACATAACCACCCCTAGATAGTTTATAGCTAAAAGGAGGTTCTGCAGCTTACGGCCATAACCCTCCTTCCTTTTATATAGCCAATTCAAATACAACCAGTCTGCTATCAACCAACGTACATTAACCCAACCAATAAAAGGTTAAATTACTCTTTAATTATATTTATTTCTACTTTATTTACTTAGCTTAAAATCATTTAACGGCTTTATATACTTTAAATTTTAAGATTTTTAATAAGAAAAGCCCTTAGTTAATGCTTATTAAAGAGTAATTAATATTTTTAAGAAGCGGCTATTTAAATTATAAAAAACCTTATTTTAAAATATATTATTAACAGCCTTAATATTACTTAATTAATTACTTAAGTAAATAAATATATTTTTTAAGTTTATAATAACTTTATTTAAGATTTTAAGGCATTTAAATAGCTTTAAGCATTATAATAATAATTATAAAGTATAATTTTTAAAATGCCTTAATATAAAAAGGCCTTTTAAATATTAACGCTAACCTAAATCGCCTTAAGTGCTGCACCTATGTTTTTTTCTATATATAGCTTTATAATTAATAAATAATAATATATTAAAAGTTTAAAGAAAAGAGAAAATTCCATTATAAAGAAAACTCATAATACATAATAGGGTGGACCTAACGCGCACGCGAATGTGAAGTGGGCCGAATCAGGGGGTGGGCCGAATATGCAAACCCTGACTTATATTGGGATGTGTGGTCTTCGAACCAATGATTCCAGGTGTCCGTCCGCCTTTACGCTTAGGTCCTTAGTAAACCCCTTATTTGCACAATCACATGAAATAGACGGATGCCCGAGGTGGAATTACCATTCCGCAGGGTTTCTTTTGGGAAACCGATCGGGAACATATTGGCATGAAGCTGAGAAATGCATTGTGTTAATTTATCGGAGTTCATGTTGCTGATGGTCGGAGAAGATTATTTTGGTAGTCCAATAGACGGTCGCCATCTACTTGGTTCTTCATGCGATGCGAAGGGACCGTTGTGGGTTGCACGATCAAGCTTGAAGGTGGGAAACTTGCATGAGCTGCAACGCAACTTGCTGACAAGGCTGCGACCTTATCTGAACTGAGAATTTGGTGAGCCACCGGAGCCATTTAGTGACGCCGTGAATATCCATTCCTAAGTATGTGTAAGACACACAGTTGCGCTTCATGATCGGTCTGAGTTAGCAATAAATTTTCATCAGGACCAGCCACATCTTTGGCCACATTTTTGCGAGGCTCGATGCCCGACGACGCTCGAGAATTAATTAAGGCATCCAGGCGCCCCGGCCGGGGTAACGTTGCCCAACAGTATCTGTGTAATATTAGTATCGCCAGTGTCGTTCCAACAATAGAAGTACCAAAAGGTAAAGAAACAAATTGTCAGGAGATATTAGGGCTGCTGTGTGAGGGTCCAGTGGCACGAGGTATTTTGAGAACGCTGCCCGAAAATATGCGACGGCCCTAAAACCACGCTGGCCAGCGCCTCTCCTCAAAACTGGCTAGATAATCATATGGGGGCCAAAATGGCAGATGGGGGCTGAAGGAGCAATGCAGGCTGGGTAGGTGTTGCCGCTGTAAATCAGAGTGTGATCCTGACTACCCTGGACGAGAAGTCCATGTTGCTGAGTCATGCTGTGCATGCCCATTACATTGTATTGCCAATCGTGTCGACGGAAAGATTGGGGGTTGGTTGAACAAGTGAAATGTATTCTCAAGGACACTTGAATTGGTCTGGGGCTTATAAATGGGTAGAACCTCATTCTCTCCGTGAGTATCTCCAATTGTTTCAAGCGCATCTTTTGATCATGATCAGTCAATAGCTCAATTTCTTTTCTTAGCGATATTCTAGAGATGCTCTGTGGGGTGAAGGGCGAAGTTACAACGACTCTCGTTGTCTAATAATGGGCTTTAGGCGCAGTAATGATTTGCCTGAGTACCACTGCATCTGGGTTCGGTGGACCGTAGTTGGACACAACGGCTACGATGACTTCTTCAACATCCTAGGGTATACTGCGCTGGCACTGCATAGTTTGTTGTAGCACGCAACAGGATTGATCTGCAGGGGCATATGTCTTTGAGCACTTTGGACAGGTTTTGCGAAGTTATAGGGAGAGTTCACAATAGAATAGGGCAGCCAAGGCGCGAAGCTGGTGGGCCAAGCATCACAGAAAAGACAGAATACACAGGAGGGACTGAGCAGTCCAAGCCATATTCCTTAGCTAACACTGGTTGAGCTTTGGTTCAGTTACCTAGTTGACCTTGTTAAAATCGCTGAAAAGGTTTCTCAACATAATGCAGAGATCCCCTGGAAAGCCTCGAGTAGGAGATGTTCGATTCACCATCTCGAACTTGTTGTCGAGCATGTAAGACGAGGATCATCCAGTGAGCCCCGCCGAATCCCAGTCGCGATTCCAGAACGTTCCGCTGTTGACAAATGGCCAATGGAGTCAATGGACTGGTCTTCTGCGCTGGGCGTACCTGCCGGCTGCAGCGGGGTTCCCCCCTATACCACAGTAAGCTTGCCGACTTCCAGGGTCCGCAGCTCCAGCTGCCAACACCGACGCCATCGCAGCCCGGACGAACCTCACCTCACCTCACCTTCCTTGCCCGCTCCCCGCGCCTTCCGATGCTGCGCGCCTGTGCTACACGTACATAATCGGACGGCATACAACCCGTCCCTGCCTGCCTGCCTTACACCATTCCCTGTTTTCCTGTATCCCCTCGTACTGCACCGCGTCGTACCCAGCCGTACCGTACCGTAGCTGCTCACGGAACCCAGCGTGACCCTCTGCGATCTGCGATCTGCCGCCTGCCGCCTGCCTTGTGTGCTCTGCCGTCGAGCTCGGGACGACGACAATGCTCACCACCCGCCCTCTCAACTCCTCTTGACTGACCTAGAACCTGCAGTCCTCTGAGACACCAGCTTGTTTCCTCGCATTTACCACAGCAAACCTCAGCAACAATTGGTCCAAGCTTTGTCCTCCAACTACCCGCTCAAATCGAGATATCGCATCGCTCTGTTCGACCCGCCTGAGCAACATGGCGGTGCAAGAAGCTGCTGTCCTCAAGGAACAGGGCAACAAGCGCTTCGCAAGAGGTGACTATGGAGGCGCAGAGGGTCTGTACTCGCAGGCGTAAGTCCACGCGCCCCTACCTCTCCCCTGCCACTCTGCCACGAATTGCCCCGAGCCGACACACCACCTCCCGACCACAGGATCATCGCCGACCCCAAAGACCCCAAGATCTACACCAACCGCGCACTGGCACGCTTAAAGCTCCAACGCTGGGAGGACGCCATCCTAGACTGCCAGACATGCCTCGGCCTCTCCTCAGACAACATGAAGGCCCACTTCCTGATCGCCCAGGCCCAGATCGAGCTTAAGTACTTCGACGACGCCCTCCACAACGTGAAGCGCGCCCACGAACTCGCAGTCAAGACCGGGGACAAGTCCCTCGGCGCTATAACACAGCTGGTCCTGCGGTGCAAGAAGGAGCGCTGGGACGACAAGGAGCGGAGGCGCCTGCGCGAGAGCTCCGCCTTGGAGCGCGAGGTGCTCGAGATGCTCGAGAAGGAGCGCGCCCAGGCCCTGGCCGACTGCATTGACGAGTCCGAGCTCAAAGACGTTTCGGCAGACTGGGACGTCAAGATCGCCGACATGAGGAAGACCTTCCAACAAGCGAGGGGCGAGCAGGGCAAGAGGAGGGATGTCCCCGACTGGGCCGTCGACGACATCACGTTCGGCATCATGGTTGACCCCGTCATCACGAAGACGGGCAAGAGCTACGAGAGGGCGAGCATCCTCGAGCACCTCAAGCGCTCCAAGACGGACCCTGTCACGAGGGAGCACCTGGATCCGTCTGAGCTGCGGCCTAACCTTGACCTGAGGGACGCCTGCGAGGACTTTTTAGAAAATAACGGGTGGGCTGTCGACTGGTAGGATCCTGGCGACTTGAGCACCCTTGCCCCCAAACCAACTCCCTGGCGCTGTCTGGTGTGCAGGACCTGGCTGGGGTTGAAGCGCCGCACGAAGATGCCCCGGCCACAGAGTGGATCGCCGCGGCCGTTGTAGGCACTCCATCTACACTCCTGTTTATAGAATACAGCTATTGCTCTTGATCGACGTCTTGGTTCCCGGCATACAACATGGCATTGGCGTACACGGCGCTCGGGGTGATATCACGTTGACTTCGAGGGATTTGGGCATGATTAGCGTCTGCAGTGGGAAGATGAGTACTCTCGGTTCGAACGTGGAAATAGGTGGGTGGACCACTAGACAGTATTGAATTAATCATATCCAATAATACCACCTGGATTGTATGCGTTCCTGTTCAGGCAATGCGTTCGTTATTGAAACTATCCCTCGTATTATGTCTGTGTGCGAGAGTCGTCATGAAAGCATCGAAGTTGGAATTGTGGTCATGGAGGTGAATTGCTTCAGTAAAAGTGAGAGGGTGAAACCTAGAGATATTTGTTCTAATAGTTGTGAACCAACGCCCTCAGGTTCTGTTGCAAATAGTGTCCCGTGTACAAGTGTTAACTCTGTTGGCTCCTGCAGTAAATATTGCTGAGGTGCAATTGCCCATGTCCTCCTTAGCTCTATGAGTGACGATGGCCGGATAAAATCTACCCGTTTACAAACGCCCAACGAGCTCGGAGAGTTTTGTCTTCGGACCTTCGGCACCGGCGAAATCAATAGTAAAGCGGAAAGTATCCAGGCCAGAAAGGAGAGCTGACGGGATTTAGTTGGGCCGTTATTGCTTAGTGATAGTCAGCTTCGTCGTTGAGGCACGCCGAGAGCAGGCCATGGTGGGGCCACCCGTGTTGTGATTACAGATATCTGATCTGCATGGCCAACCCAACCGTCACTATTATATCTGTACCACGCATATATAAAGACGTGAGTTGACTTAGATCGCCGAACTTCCATGAGTCAGTTGGTTGTATTAAACACGCATATTCTCTGCATCAGAACTAGTATTTGCGCCCAAGATACATGAACTCCGGTTCAAAGTGTTCCGAGTCTACTCCGATCACAGTTATCGCCCAGCTTGACCAAGATGGGTGGGAAAATAAATGCTTGGACATTCACCCACGGGGGTTACCCAAAGGCACTTCAACAGTCAACCCTCCCCCCTGACACAAGACCATTGAAACCCTCAGAGATCCGTATCAAAACCTATGCCGCATCCATCAACCCCGTCGACGCCCAGCTAATGGGGTTCCCCCTGTGGCCGTACCTCCCAAGCTTCCTGATACCTTCCCAGAAGGGCGTGGCCGAGGACTTCTCGGGAGTAGTGCAGGAGGCAGGGCCAAACTCGGGCTTCAAGACCGGCGACGAGGTCCTGGGCATCTGCCCCTTCCTCCCCGGGGGCACCCTGCAGGAGGCCATCAGGCTCGACACCAAGAAGGGTTCCGTCGTGGTCCCCAAGCCCGCCGACTGGTCTTGGGAGCAGGCCGCCGCGCTGCCGCTGGTCTGGCTCACCGCGCGGACCGTCATCGCTGAGGCCGAGAGCCACGTCAGGAACGGCAGGGTCGCGGTGCTGGGCGGGAGCTCCGCCAGTGGCATGTACGCTGTGCACCTCGCGGCGCGCCGGGGGTGGACGGTGGCCGCCTCGTGCTCTGGCCGCAATGCGGACTTCGTGCGCGGTATGGGGGCGAGCGAGACCGTCGATTACACGGCCGAGAGCGTGCCGGACCGGCTCAGGAGGTTCGCGCCAGACGTGATCATCGACTGTGTTGGCGGGACGGAGTGCCTGGGTATTGCTAAAAGATATGTCACTATCGTCGGTGACAAGACGAACCGGTATACGATGGGCGGCGCAAACACCTATTTATGGAACCCTCAGATGATCTTGCGTGCTCTCCTTGGGAGGGTAGGTCTTGGTCGGTCGTACACTTGTGTCAATCTTGAGTTCAAGTACCCCTTCCTGGAGGAGATCCTGAGCCTGCCTAAGGACAAGATAATTGTCGACAGCACCTTTGGCTTCAATCAAGTTCGAGAAGCGTTCGATAGACTAAACACTGGACGTACAAGAGGCAAGGTTATAGTTAGAATCAGTGCCTAGAAACCAAAGAGACAGATGACCCCTACGGGTATAGATGACTTGAAGATGGCACCTAGAACAAGACATTCACCCGTATGTAATTAATTACTTCAAGATAATTAGTTTGTTCAATCGCATGTAGACATCGTATTTGGACATGAGACCTGCGGTCCCAGGAATTTTCATCATGTCTGTTAAGTGGCCGGTGACCAAGCTTGGGAGGTTTTACAGACAATGTCCTACCTCTCGAGGGAAGTCCTTTGAGTAAGAGTATTAGGAAAGGACCCGAAACAGATATGCCAAGCCACCAAAGACATTCCCCAAACGACCAGAAGGATCTAGCAGTATACCACCCATCCGTTAGAGAACCCATCCTTCATAAGGAACGTACAGGAGGGCCATTCGCAGAGCCACGCGCGCCATCCCCACCACGGGCCTCTTCGGACGTGAGTATCCTCCGCATGCGGTCCATGAAGCTCTCCCTCCGCGGAATGTTCTCGCGGCCCGGGACGTTCGCGACCAACGCAGGCCGCTCCAGGTGAGCCGTGTGCTCCTGCCCGTCGAGCTTGGTCTCAAGGACCAGGCGCCCGTGGTTTCCCTGCCCCCGTGATGGTCCTGCGCTTGGTGCCATCCGGTCCACCGGTCTCGATGACCGGTTGGCACGCTTCTGCTGCTCGGCCTCGTGCTTATCCCTGCACCTCTTTGCGAGCTCTGTCGTGGAGGCGTGGCGCTCCGGCCCATCTGCTTCAGCACCGAGCGTACGACCGCCTCGAATGCCTCCTCGACGTTCGTCCCCATCCTGGCGCTCGTCTCAAAGAACGGAACCTGCAGATCCAGCGACCTGGCCAGGTCCTCGCCCTCGGCTTGAGAGACCGATCTCCCTGGCTTGGCCTTGGTGACTGCGGTTTCCGAGGCCGACGGTTCATGGTCCCCATCTTCTTCGTCCTCCTCTGACGCCTTCCCGAGAACCTGCAGCCACCGCTCGACGGTCTCGGAGCTTTCTGCGTGAGATGGCTTCGACCTGTTGGTGGTCCCCAGGACCGACCACGCCGCGCCAAGCTTAGCATCCTCGCGGAGGTCGCGGTGCAGAGTGTCCCCGAAGACAGCTATGGCGGACTCGCAGTCGTCGTCAAAGTCGTCATCCTGATCAACTAGCCCGTCCTCTTCAGACAGGTTGGAGTCCCCATCGCCAATGTCAGCCTTGTTACCCACGAGCGCGACCACCACATTATCGCCTGATCCCTTCCCGGCCTCCACGTCCTCCTCAGGCCCGGCCAGCCCGCCGCCCGGGCTGAAGAAGCTCATCACGCTGCCCCTCCTCTGCAGAGACGACCCAGTCGGCGGGCCGGAGTGCCTCCTCGGCACGTGCGACCTCTGCCTCCTGTGGTGCTTGGTGCTGGTACTGCTGATGAGGGGCACCTCGGCGTGGAACTCGCGGACCTTTTCGAAGCTCCTCCGGTCCGAGACGTCGTACACGAGGAGCACGGCGTCGTATTCGCCCTTGGCGAGGACGTGCTGCCGCACCTTGGCGGACTGGAGGGCTGGGTAGTTGACCACCTCTACGAGGTACGTGCTGGCTCTGTGTACGCACTTGGCGCATGGCTGTGGCTTGGGTAGTTCGAGCTCGTGGCCGAAGGAAGCTGAAGTGGGTATGCTTGTCGTGCTGGTGTTGATTGTCGACGTCGTGCTGACGAAGGATATTGGCGACACTGGGTCCGAGATGGGGCTTGCTGGGCCTGCGGAGTCTGGTGGTGATAGAAGAGAACGCGTGGACCCGTGGAAGTCTGTCGAGACGCGTAGGCCGGGGAGCCTCGATGCCCGGGAGCCACCATCACTCGACGGCTTTGGCTCGAGGGTGAGGAAGCGTCGGCTGCATAGTGTGAGGGATGGGTCGTAAGGAGGAGGGTACTGCGATGTCGTAAATCTCGACTCCAGGCAATTCTTCCCGGCGCCCGCTGTCCCTATCACCAGAATCCTGACCGTGGGATTTGAAGCGGTCTCCTTTGCCATTTTGTTTCTTGCTCTGCGCGGTATCTCGAGGTGGTATTCGAAGAGGCCAAGAGTTGGAACACGCGTGTCCGTTTCAGTTTACAATCAATGACAAATCCTTGAGGATAGTCGCAACGCTCAAGTGCAACTGTAACAAGAAGAGAGCAAGCAGGCCACTTGAGGAAAGAGGCTCCACGGCCAACACCGAACGCCGTATACCGAGATCTTCTCTAATTTGGGGAGTTCATCTATGCAACTGCTCACTTTATCCAGTCCAGACAAGGCGATAAATAATGGCTGGATGTCAGCCGTACACACCAGCCCACAATATGCCGCCCAACAATGGAGACCTCGCAGATTGTGAGCACGAAAGCTTGGTCTCACATTCTTGAGCTTGTTACTGGAGCGACGGCCCGAGTCAATGCTCGGCCCGCAAGGCGGCCATGGCAAGCTTGATGACGCATCTGGCCAAGGCCTGACAGCATCGAGATCAGGACGGAAAGAAGCACATCAGACTCGAGCACAACACGAGACCTGTGTGGCCTCACAATGGTCACACAAAATGGGGCGATGTTGTTGTGCGTTGACCAAAGTGGTGAACTGGTTGGCACCCTGTGTGGACAGCAGGCTGTCCCGTGCCTAGTCCCAGCTGTAAAGCGGACTCAGGCTAAATCGGTCACCGGAGACAGACGTACCTAGCTCGACAACGGTACTCTCTCGGCGAATTTACATATATTGGATGCTGATGAGTAAGACCCGCTTATGGAGGTCTGAATGGTATCGTGACTTGCTTGCCGAGCGGATTGCTGCAGCCGACGTCACTACTGCTGCCGTTTCCTGATAGGCGCATGGAGCGCGAAGCCGGATGCTGGCCCGAGACGGTCTTGCCGGTAGACATATCAAAAAGAGCGAATTTCGAAAGCCAAGTCAGTGGGTCGATTAAGGGATCGCCGCCCTCATTCAGTAAATGGTTGGTTGTACCATCCTCGCGCTGCTCTTGTGCGGCCCGACAGCCCTGGATAAGATGCACTCAGCAGTCAACCATCCCAAACCTTAACTGGGTATCATCAAAATTCTTATCATCCTGGCTGACGAAGGAATCCTTTCAATATCCATTGTCATCCCCGATTAATTGCGTCGGGCGCAGATGTCCAACCCGTGTTTCCTTTCGCCAGGATCCACTGCCTGCAAGTTTCGACGTGACACGTGTGGAACGAAAGCCTTTTCGACCTTGCAGCAGCAGCGTATGCCTGTACTCTATCAGCCTCATTCCTAACACATTACACTCATCAGGCAGGCTCGCCAGATTGAAGGGCTCAGCAGTGCCATCGAATACTGCTTGGGGATATTGCTTCCACTCGAATCCTCCTCGTGTGATGGCCGATCTCACAGCAGCGCCTCTGTTGCCTGCGGCAGAGAGCTTGAGAAGAGCTGTGCCCCAAGTCCAGCGTAGATCTCGAGTTCTCTTCGGAGGCAAATGGTCTGCATTTACCAGGCATTAATTCTCGTGCCGTGATTTCTTGAGACGACGCACTCTCACCCTTGCTCTCTTAGGCCAGGCGAGTGATTGATACTGCATACTTCGAGTATCCCTAGGAAAACACTGCCCGTTTCGTGAGGACTGCAGGTGGTCGACAATCACAAGCTCCAGAAACAACGCATCGTGAATTCCAGGTGCACAATCGACACGATTGCGGAAGAACGGCCACCAGAAGCCTTGCTTATGTCACTGAGCCCGCCAATTGACGCTTTATTGTGCACCGGTCGGTCGCAGACACACAAAATATTCTTTGAGACTGATAAGTATGTAATTATTGAGACCTCGTCGAATCCCGCTGTAGTCCCCGAACCCGGCTTTGGTGGCTTTCGATTTGACGTTAGTAGCTAAGCCTTGGAAATGTAGCCCCAGGCGACCATACACTCAAACACTGTGCCGGCCTTACGCGAATCCCAAGACGATGGATTCTTGCTACAGATTTCCTTGACCTGTTTTTTCTTCAGAGAGCCATTACCCTTGACAGCTTCCCTGATAATCTCAGCCTTCACCATAACATAAGGCTTCGGCTGCATCCTGATGACCTCGCAGAGCCTAACCTCTTCGTTCGTGAGAAGATGATAATCGGGCATGTCTTGGCTCAGCTGCATCGGCGTGACGCCAGAAATAGGCTGTGGCACGTGGGTTGGCTTCTTCGATGAATCAGCGCCGTTGGCTACGACAACACTGCCGCCATTGACACCGTTCGCATGGGTTCCGTTCGTGAGCTTGACGTCCCCGTCGGCCGCAGGCTCGCCATTCTGGAGTCCGCTCTTTGCTGGCCGTATCGGAAGTTCTGGGGCTACCAGAAGGGCGGCTCCGCTTGGCGGATCTGACGGCGGGGGCTGCTTGTTACGCTGAGCCGCGGCCAGGCGTTCCCTGTCCATGGAGCCCATTGGAATCTTATTCTGTGCGCGAGCTGCCTTGTCCTGCTCGTACTTCTCGCCGTTTCTGAGGTTGCCAATACCCATGTTGCGCCAATCTTGGAGCTGGGTGATGGCCTGGCGGAGGTTGAGCTCGTCAACAAGGCCTTGGTTGAAATCCTCAAAGTCCTTGTGGTTCATCATACGCGCAAACGGTTTGGCTTTGTTGAGGATGTCCCGCTCCTCCTTGGACCGCTTCTTATCGAGCTTGGTATTCTCTCGATAGTCGAGGAGGTTGTGCTCGAAAATGACCTTTTTGCGATCCACACGTTGTGTCAGCCGCGAGTTATAAATCTCCATAACCGTCAACTTGAGTTCCATCTCTGGTTCCAACTGGCCAGTGTTTGGGTTGATGCCATCTCCAGGTTCGAATTGCATGAGCTGGACTGCCTCCTCGGCCTCGTTGGCATGCTCGGTCTCGAACTCCAGGCGGCCAGGCATGTAGCCCTGGATCTCGTGGCACGAGGGGACAGAGGCGGTTGGTTTGGTTTTCGGAGGTGGGGCAGGCGCATTCTTGATGGCGTCTTTCCGCTCCTCGATTCTCCGTTTCTTACGGGCCTGGAATTCCTCCCTGGTGATTGCGTTCGCTAAGGCGGTGTCTTTGGGACTGCAGCGCTCAGGGAGCGGGAACTTGGAGGACTGGATGTAAACCTTCTCATAGTGGTCCCTGACCTCGTCCTTGTTCCGGTATCCGCCAATGTGGTCTGCAATGTCTGCCCAGGACCCGAGACCATAGATCTCACAGCCCTCAAGAAGCAGAAGCTCCTCATCTGCTCCCCACTCTTCGTCGTAGATGGGGAAGGAATTCTGCTCTATAACTCGGTACGGGTGTGTGGCAGGATTGTGGTTATTACTTGCTGAGCCCTTGGAGAAGCACTGGACGCAGAGATCATAATCGTTACAAGCGGCGTGGGCGCACCGTATTCGGACCTGCAGTAGCGAGATGAATCAATGTCAGAACTGGCAGTGCAAGCTTGAGTGACCCCGGCGGGGAGGGCGGTGCGCAATGAGGCAACGGGGGCAAGGGCAGGAGATGGTGACTCACGGTGGATGTGATGTCCACAGAGCAAACGTCGCATATATATTTGACACCACCCTCGCTGCCTCGGGTGGCAGTCTTCTTCCTGATGACAGCCATGGCGGTCGCCGAGGGTCGAAGCGGCGATCAGGAGCACGTTGTCGAAGCGTCGAGCGGTTGTAGTGACGTTTGAGAGGAAGGAGAAGGAGGGCTCAAATGCGCGTTCGATTGGCTCCGAAAGCCAAGAAAGATGGGCTACAGTGCAGAGGGGATCGAGAATTGATGATGCGACGCGTAAAGTCGATGCCTGGGAGTGCGCATTGATGACAGACGAGCGTGGTCGTCGGTGCTGGATTGATGCTGAATTGATGCGGAGGTGGAATCGCGGGTGAGCAGGTGTGGAGCCTTGGCCGATCCAGTCGGACGAGCCAAGTTTGATGGATGGACCTTGAGCCGCAGGAACCAACTCCGAGCTCCTGGGTGGGCCCCACCAGGGACGCTAAAGGGCGCGATAAGCAGGATAAGCCTTCCCAGCGCAGACAATGGCCTTGGCACCAGCTGACATGTTGAGGCGAGCTGCCAGAAGGCGGCCTGCATTTTTTGGGTGCATGCCTATGTACAGGCTCTCACAGAATTGAGAGCTTGATGAAACGGACAACCGCATGTCTACAACGTTGGTATATATGCTATGTGTATATATGCGTAGATACCTACGAAGTACATAATACCAACTCGACCACTGACATATCTGCTGAAGATCGTAAGGCACCGATTGATATTTCTGCTTGTCGCTGGAAAGGCGCACTTGCTTCTCTACCGTATACTAATTGACCAAACGTCCCAATGATCTGGAAAAATAACAAGCCCTCTGTCACGACAACCAGTGAGAACAACAGGACGTGTTCGAGACCAGATTGTCTGCTGGCGCCGGGTTCCCCGAATTTTGACCCACCCCCAGCCGAGGCCAATAGGCCGCCAACACACTGCCAGGTGCTCGGTGCTGGGTGGTGCTCACAGAAGCTGGGGGACTGGGGGCCGGGGACTGGGGTCGTCACGGCGAGAGCTTGAGCGAGGACCGCCCCACCAAGCCAGGAGCAGTATGGCGGGGTATCAACGATAGTAACACCACCTTGTGCCAGAAGGACCGATGACAGGATTGTTTAGTGCGCGTAATTCTGCCGTTCGAACCACAGGGTAGGTAACAGTAGTCTGCAGTACATATAAGAAAACGGCTCATTCGTCTCGAGACCTCGGGCTGGTCCCTCTGCTTCACTCTGCAGTCCTGCCCTTCCCCCCGTCCTCGTCCACGCCTCTTCTATAACATGCCCGACAAGATCCTCGACGATATCTCCCACCGCAGGTACAACCCGCTGACCGGGTCCTGGCTGCTGGTCTCGCCCCACCGAACAAAGCGGCCGTGGCAGTGAGTGTCTCACAATCCTTTTCCACGACCTGTCTGCTTGTAGATGCGCGCGCAACAACCATGTATCTGACCACCAGTCTCTTAGAGGCCAGCAAGAAGGCGCGCAGGCGAATACCCTGCCAGACTATGATCCACAGGTCTGTCTGCCGCGTCTTGCCTCTGCGCTCTCCTCTCGCGCATGAGCCGCAAAAAGAGAGCGACTGACCCCCGTTTCTAAACAGTGCTACCTCTGCCCGGGCAACCCTCGCGCGCAGGGCGACTCCAACCCGCAGTACGAAAACACCTTTGTCTTCGTGAACGACTATAGTGCCGTCAAGGAAGAGCAGGCCGAGTACCACCCACCAAAGCCCTCCTCCAGCGATGACCTCTCGGCCCTCCTGCTCCGCGCCGAACCCGTCACGGGCAAGTGCTATGTCCTGACCTTCAGCGCAAAGCACTCCGTGACCTTGGCCGACATGTCACCCGCCGAGATCCTCCCGGTCATCGAGACGTGGACGCGCATCTATGCCGCCCACCTGTCTCCCTCGAGCCCCCTGGCCAAGGTCGCTGCCGCCCTGCCGCTGCTGCAGAAGCAGCCCGGCCTGCCGGACAACATCGACAAGCCCAAGAACCAGCTACGCTACATGCAAATCTTCGAGAACAAGGGCGCCGCCATGGGCTGCAGCAACCCCCACCCGCACTGCCAGGTCTGGACGACTAGCACCCTGCCCGAGGAGCCGGGCAAGGAGATCGCCCAGATGACAAAGTACCGCGCCGAGCACGGCGGGCGCCACCTGCTGGCTGACTACGTCAAGCTGGAAATCGAGAAGGGCGAGCGCCTCGTTTGGGAGAACGAGGGCTTCGTCGTGGTGTGCCCGTGGTGGGCTGTCTGGCCCTTCGAGCTGCTCATCATCGCCAAGAGGCATGTGCGCGCCCTGGTGGACCTGAGCGACCAGGAGAGGGTGTGGTTTGCCGAGGCGGTTCAGGAGGTCACCAGGAGGTATGACAACCTGTTTGAGTGCAGTTTCCCGTACAGTAAGTTACATCAGCTCTCTTTCTCCCTCCCAACCCGCCTGAAAAGGCCGGCCAGGCCGTGGTGGCTGACATGACCAGGCTCTGGAATCCACCAAGCGCCCCTCGATTGCACAGAGGAAGAGGCTGAGAATAGCTACTTCCACATGCACTTCTACCCACCTCTCCTGCGCTCGGCTACGGTGCGCAAGTTCCTCGTGGGATATGAGCTGTTGGCCGAGCCGCAGCGGGACATCACGCCCGAGCAGGCGGCGGCCAGGCTGAGGCCTCTGGGAGGCGAGGTCTACCGGAAGAGCCTCCAGAAGTAGAGACTACATTCACACAGAGAGTCACTGTACATCCTACCTGTAACGCCTTGTATTAAGCATTAGTAGTATATAGAGCATAGAGCCAACATTCCACCCATCCTCCATACAGTGAGTGGCTTTTCAGGAAACAATATCATGATCGGGAAATGTGCACCTCAGAGATATTCGCCCTCGTATAGGCCCGTCCTCTGCTTGGTTCGGTTCTCTTCCTTATACACCGCGCGCACACGCCGTCTGTCCACCCGTCCACCCATTCATCCTTGCTCTTTTTACGCCTTCACATAGTTCCCATACTGCTGAATCATCCACAAGCTCCCGCTGAAGGCGGCCGCGAAGGGGAACGCGTGCTCCCACCCTAGCGCCACGGTCTTGAACACCAGCGTCTCGCTCGTGAAGTGCGCGGCAGCCAGCAGGTGGGTGAACAGGCATAGCTGGTAGAGCACGGGGTCATTGACTCGGTAGGCGCCGTAGACGCGGATGACGCCCGCGAGGATCGTGTACACGCCGAACAGGCGCGCGGCGAGCGGGGTGACCTGGTCGACGGCGGTGGGCTTGTCCTTGAGGGACCCCGCCTCGACCAGCGGCTGGAGCTTCGCGACCGAGTCCGGGTTGTTGCGGGCCGAGGCGCGGGGCACGAAGAGCCCGTTGTAGATGCGCCGGGTGTAGTGGAGGGTTACGAGGTTCTGAACTGCGTTGCCTATGGCTGCTACGGAGACCTGGGGGATCATGGGGGTTAGCGGTGAGGCAGAGGAGGCGGGCGAGCGTGTGCGCGGAGGGTGACGAGATGGGGTATGAGCTCACTAGCAGCAGGTAATAGGGAAGGAAGCCGTCCTCGGCAGAGGGCAAGAAGGAGCTCAGGCCGCTCATTTTCGCTGGTTTCGAGCGGTTTCAGGGTCTTGAAGCTTCGTGATGCGTCCGGTAAGGCCAATTGACTGTATGGACCGAGTGATCCAGGAGTGACAGCGTCGATTGGATCCCGGGAAAGCTTCGAAATCTGGGTACCTGCAATGGGTGGTGTGAGAAAAGTGGACGTTGATGATCGTCCTCGGGGCCGGCTCGGCCAAGCTGCTCCACGGCCGGAAGCGGACAACGACAATGACCCTCGACGGCACCAAAACGCCCCATCATCATCTCATTGTCGCCCAACTCATGCTGTCAAGAAACATCGCATTGTGCAGCCTAAGGCGTTGGTTCCACATGCCGTCTCAATTCGCTGCATCCAGGAATGTCGAATTGCAAGGTCTGGCTTCGACATAGCACAGCGCGCTGCAGGATCCTCGGTTCTACGTCCACAATGGCTGTCTCACGTCCTGACATCTTTGTTCGGCCTTAAGCAACTCATTTATTTAATATTACTAATAAGAAAATCGATACAAGAATCGGAACCACCAAGTATTACGGAAATTAAAGGCTCCCAATGGCACACAGCCCCAGGCTATTCTGCTCACATATGCCTTGACCTGTGTGCACAGATCGTCCCCAGTTGAACGACACCCACCCCAATTCATCAGCAGTTTGACCCCTGGCGGCCAATGCCAATGAGCCCAAGCAGCCCACCCAGGAGGTTGCTCAGCAGACTCGACAACCCCGGGACGGAGGTGATGAGCTTGCCGTCCAGGAGCGCGTTGGCGATGGCCGGGACGTTCTTGGTAGACGACATCCACGTCTTGACCTCGCACCTGTCATTCTGCACGAAGGTCCTGACGGGCTGAGGGAGCACCTTGGTGCAGTCCGTGAGCGAGTTGATGTTGTTGACGCCCAGCAGGCTGAGTCGCACATACTCGCGGGCATAAAGCTGTCGGACACGGGTCGGGTTAGCAAGTCTGTGTGGACTGCTGCGGCTCGTCGCGGCCCGGGCTTTCCAAGGGATTACTTACCAGGTTCCACGGCAGCTGCGCGGCGTTGTTGGGAGCGGCAAAGGCAGTAAACAGCCTGCTCATCCTGGGATCTGCGGCCAGCTTGATGTCGCTTGCGAACTTGAACACACGGGCCGGCGCGTTGGGGTTGATGGTCTCGTTGTAGTAGAGCATGTCCCATACGCCGGGGGTGCTGTCCTGGGGATCACCGGCCCTGCGGGGGTCGACGAACCGTTGCTGGGCAGTGGAGTGTGCACCCAGGAGGGCGACCAGGCCATTCGGCTGGATGGTCTTGTCCTGGAACAACTTGATCAGGAAGTCGGCACTGGCGTCAACAGGCGGGAGAAGGCCGTCTGTGGCGGGCTTGGGGTTGTCCTTGCGCCCGATGTAGGTCTTGGTGCGAGGGCCCAGGGGGCAGACGACGGTAGCCACGTTGGCGCCCATTTGCACGAGGTCGGCTGCAGAGATCCCATAGCCCTTGTACTTGTTGAACCAGGTCTGGGTAAGCGTCACGATCTCCTCGAGGCCGCGGTTTCCTGGTCGTCGAATCTCCTCCGTGTTCAGGATGAGGGAACCATCAGCACCACCGTCCGGCCCCGTCTTTTTGGACCATCCGGCCGCGTCGTGGAACCCGAGACGGACGGCAGCCCTCGCTGCATTGGTACATCTACCGGATGGGCCCTTGAAGGCAGTGACCATCTCGTTGGCGACATACTGCCACACGCAGCAGGTGTCAGCCTTGCACTGCGGTGTTCCCAGCCTGGGGACGTTGGCGTATGTCTCTAGGCTCTCACCGTTGGCTTGGTTCAGGATCACGGCCTTGATGTCCTTGCCGACGGGTGTGAGCTGGCTGTCCTGAAACGTCACGAGGTCGCCGATGAGCTCATTGGAGTTCAGGGCTGGATCGACAGGGCCACCCTGACGTGACATGATATTGGCCTTGATCTCATTCACAACCTTGGCCATGCCTGGATGGGCCACGGCATTGCCAATGAAGGCTGCGCCTGCGCAGGCAGTGGTGATGGCTGAGAACTTCATTGTGTTTGGAAAAGGGTGACTGGGCACGAAAGAAGGAAAACGATGGTGGGGCAAGGTTCAGAGGAGGATGAATGGGATGTTTGTGAGCAAAGAGAGAGGATGTTATGAACGAAGGCGATGGTCCTTGTGTCAACAACTTCGACGAGGCTGGCGAGGGCCACACGTTGGTTTTATATCCAACGGCTTACCCTCATCTATCACAACATGGCGCGAGGGCCTCATCTAGACCATTTAGTATACGAGAAGGCTCACCTTACCAATGTAGTTACAAACACAAAACTCTTGGCCTCTGCCTTCATCAACATCACAGTGAAGTTCTTGGAGCAGGCGATTGTGAGCGCACCCGGCCCATTGGAGGAGTCCGCGGTTTTCGCGAACGCTCTCCAGCCTATCAAGCTGGATGAGTTTCCGAGACGGCTTGTCTGGGTGGCCTTGGCATCCATCGCACTGGGTCGTAGAGAGGCGCGCCAGAATTATCTATCACGAGGTGGCTCTAGCTTGTGGGCTTGAGCCGGGGGAGCTGGTAGGACCGTGCTGTAAACATGGCTGTGGCAACTCTTCGACGGACAGCATCTCGCTGACGGGCTGGATGGCGTCTGGAAGTAGCCATTTACCGCCCCATCTGTGCCTTTCCCTACAACACTGCCGGCTGAACTAGTAACGAGGTAGCCGTGGCTGTTTCCCTCCCACTCCCTCGCAGTTGCATATTGCTTTCTGTAGCGTGGAGTACGCATGTTCTATGGGTGTATTGCCAGCATAACAACGTTGCCATGTAAGTGTGCGCCATAGTTGTACGATAGTTGTACGAGGAATGGACATCAGACGCATTCTTGGAGGCCCCCTGCATGGTATTGGTATCCTCGTGCTCTGTCCGTGGTTGTCACAGCGGCGTAAAAGAGGCGTTCCTGAACTAAAACACGGGAACTGAAAGAACGGCGCCGCCACTAAACAGATAGCGTGTGCCCCGAGTGCTAACGACGAGGCACTTAGAGTGAAGAAGTCCATCCCATAATAGAATCTGGACGACGCCAACATCCACGCGCCCGAGCCCCGGGCCGAGACCAAAGCGTAGGCCTTTATCGGACCAAGGGTGTCCGTGGTCACGATGGATGTGTTAAAAGGCCAAGACCGCCCGAACACACGGCGTCGCCAATGCTCTGCCGTGCTTTGGTCAGCTTTCTGCTGCACGCGCCGTATCAATCCTGGGCGCTCTCGAATAGCTTCGGCATGGCCAAGAGCTGGGGCTCGGTCGAGCAGAGACGCCCCTATCAAACCATATTCACCATCCAGCGACGAGGTGTCTTGGCGACCCGGTGAACACCGTTCAAGCGGCAATAGTCTTCCTATTCTCTTTGACCATCTCCAGAAGACAGGTCGTGGAGTGTCGAGGAGAAGAAGACGGTGCGTATCCGACGACCAGGCTATGCAGCCCGTGTGTCTACTCCATCAGACAATGAGCCGGCACGATCGTCGAGGCCCTGATAGGCCGGAAGAAGGAGCAGGACATCATTGCCATCGGGCTCGTCGTCAATACCAGAAGCCTCCTTCACATCGGCCTAGACGATCCACAGCCAAGAGACTACCAAGTTTAGGCCTCCGCCTCGATTGTGAATGCAGCCAGTAAATACATGCCAGGGACTTTGGTGCACTGTTCTCGATCGCAAGGGTTTGGATGCTGACAGACACCTGGAGAAGGTTCTCTGATATTGCCACGACACCGGTCTGTGTTGTTGAATGGCCCAGCATTTGGCTCCCTTGAACTCGGTATCATACCAGTGCTGTCTTTGCAATAGTCTCCACTGCACTGTGCGCCTTGGCCCAACTGGGCTCAGAGCCAGCGACTGCTATAGCTTGGATGGTGATACATCGATTCAATGTTCGGATGGCGATGCTCGCCGCTCACGGGAAGCGTGGCCCAAGATGCCCACGTAACAATGCAGGGTATCAGCCCACAAGAGGCAGCTACACGTCCCGTGAGAGGTTTCCAAGTAGGCACGGCGGCGGCGCCTGCGAAGTGTCGGTGTGAGGGCTGTTTCTCTGGCCACTGTGAGCGGCTGAGCGGCAACTTGCAGACTTGATCAATGGGGCAGTCTTAGAATAGAAGCCTGGCGTTCGGCGCCGCCAGGTAGTGGCGGATGGCTTAAGATAATGAGTGGTGGGCTTCCCTTGGCCATGATCACGGGCGGTTTCATATTCCATAGCTTTGTTGCCAGACCTCAGATCGGCCATTGCAGAAATGCTCGATTGCCATGTCAGCTCTTGCTGGGTCTATTCGTGATGGGCAGCTTGCTTGGAAAATAAGTGCGAGGTTGAGACTGGATGTTTTCCGGGTCTCCCTGAGGAGTGCAGAGTAGGAAAGATCCAGGTAGGTCGTCTAGTCGGTGGTGGATGCCGCACTGAAGGTACGTACCTCGCCAGACCTCGGCTCCAGGATTTGTTGGCTGGCCGGGAGCTCTGGGCCCCATCAATTTTCTTGAGCTCAATGGGCGGCCCAGTTAGCCGGTCCAACGAACTCACCTCTGTCAACATCATCACCAAAGACTCCAGTTTGACAGCGGCGCCATGGCAGTCAGTGATATTCTCTCGACTGTTCCTCAGCCAGTCCAACTTGGCCTGGCTGGCATCGGCACCCTCTACATCGCGAGTCACATCTTGAGCTACGCCCGCTTGCTCCTCAACCTCTTCGTCCTTAGCGGTACCAATCTCCGCAAGTATGGCAAACCAGGCTCCTGGGCTGTCGTTACGGGTGCATCCGATGGGTTAGGAAAGGAATACGCAAAGCAGCTCGCTTCCAAGGGATTCAACCTGGTGCTCGTGTCGCGCACCCAGTCCAAGCTCGAGGCATTGGCTTCCGAGATCGAGAGCTCTAGCAAGCAGGGCGTGCAGACCAAGATCCTCGCCATGGACTACTCACAGGACAACTCAAACGACTACGACCGCCTATCCGAGCTCGTCCAGGGTCTCGATGTTGCCATCCTCATCAACAACGTCGGCCAAAGCCACTCGATCCCGGTCCCTTTCGTCGAGACAGACAAGAAGGAGTTGCAGCACATTGTCACCATCAACTGCCTCGGAACATTGAAGACAACTCAGGTCATCGCCCCTGGAATGGTCCAGCGGAAGCGTGGGCTGATCCTGACTATGGGCTCCTTCGGCGGGTGGATGCCTATTCCGTATCTCGCAACCTACAGTGGCAGCAAGGCGTTCCTCCAGCACTGGAGCAGCGCCTTGGCCGGGGAGCTCAAGGAAAGCAACGTTGATGTCTATCTGGTCCTGTCCTACCTTGTCGTGTCGGCCATGAGCAAGATCAAGCGCCCGTCCGCCATGATTCCCACTCCCCGGCCGTTCGTGAAGGCTACGCTCGGCAAGATCGGGCTGGGTGGCACGCAGAACATCGCATATTCCTACACGCCTTGGTGGAGCCACGCTATTATGCAGTGGTGGGTCGAGAAGGCCGTTGGCTTTGGCAGCAAGGTTGGAATTGGCTTCAACCTGAAGGCCCACAAAGACATCCGTACCAGGGCTCTCCGCAAGGCAGCAAGGGAAGCAAAGAAGGAGTGAAGGAATCTGGTGGAAGGAAAACAAGGCTCTTTTCTTCTTCCAATTATGGTATTTGACTATGAAGGGCATCAATCGAAGGGTTCATGGGGGATGGAAGATAGGAGGCAAGAGGGCATGGTCTGAAAGATGCTTGCTCTAGAAGTAATGGCTATGGGATACAGCTCGGCGCTGCTAACTATTAGACCATCAATGAAGATTAGGAAGAAGCCTAAAATGCCAAGCGAGATACGACTGACAGTGATAGTCATACTTTGCGAGGACATGCGTGGAGTGGCATATAACATTCCGAAGATCAGTACCTGCTGAGCTGAGTATGTATGCCTCGTCTGCTCAGGAAAGAGCTTCTTCGCCTGTTGCACCCTCGGTTGAAACATGTTCGCCTGGCTTCGTTCTCTTGTAATGGATTCGATCCGATGACTCGCATGAAACACTGCCATTGGCCACATCTTTGTGGCATCGTGTCGAGGGGCCAGAGTATTTGAAGCTGTCGTGCCCGAAACAGCCTAGCTCGACGGCCCTGCGCGCCAGGTTCGCGTCTCCACCGAAAATTGGGGCCCAGCCTTCCTTGACCAGCTTGACTGCTTGAGTTGACCACCACCCCTGCAAAGAAATTGTGTTGACTGCATCGGAGAGCTGCAGTCGGCCAAACCACGCCTCACTTCCCACACCTCCCATACCAAACCAGCCGCATCAGGCCAGGACCACACTGGTCGACCGACTGCCAGCCAGCCTCCATCCAACATCCAGATCGCCATTTTATCCCAGCGACCTGCGGCTGCACGCTCCTTGCTCCAGCTCCTGCTGCTTCCGTTCCTGCTCCTGCTCTTCCAAGCCCTCGACTCGACGCGACTCGACAGGCCAGGTCCCATTGATGTTGCGATAGCTTGGTGCGATTCGGTTGCCTCTGCGCAAGACGGACAAGTGGCTGAGGCGAAGCTGCTGCCGTCGACCACCGACCACAGATCACCGACCGTCGACCTTCGCCCTTCGCCGCGAACGACAGTCCTGTCTTGAGGAGGGGCGCTCCTGACATTCGGTCCTGAAGCCCACGCCGTCGACACCCTACTGCATCCCACATGGCCACACCGACGCCGGTGCGCCATCTGCCCGGCGCATTCATCAACACACCCGCGCCCGCTAATGATGCTACACGACGGAACCTCTTCGGAGATGCAGCGGCTGGGGGGCCACGGCTAGGGCCCTTGGGACGGGATCCCCCAAGGCCTGCCCCGGATCCGTTCCGTGCTCCCGGTGCCCCAGGTCCACCACAACCACCAGGCCCGCCTGCGCCGCCTGCCCTTCAGATGGTCCCCGATAATGCGGCCCAGCTCCCGGTTCTCAGGGCTGCGAAGGTGGTCAACGACCTCCTGCAGCTCGACGGCAGCTACCCCGAGCTGAACTCGTTGTGCCAACGTGAGCAGCCCCCGATCTCGCATGCTTCTAGTGGCGGCATCCTACTCACAAGCTTGAACAGTTCGCACCTCGTCCGATTATGATCTTGCGACGCTCGACCCAGCACTTGCTCCCTTCCACAAGCCTACCCAGTACCCGATCCCAGACCGGGTGTTCGAGAACTTCGACCGCGGCCAAATTGCGACAAATATGGGTCTGTTCACCGAGATAAATCACGCCTGGGTTACTATTGATAACGCGCTCTATCTCTGGGACTATACCCATCCAGATCCAGAGCTGATTGGATATGAAGAATCGCCCCATACCATCACCACTTTGGCTCTGGTCCGTCCAAAGACGGACGTCTTTGTCAACACGATCACACACATCCTGGTGCTGGCGACTGCAACAGAATTGATTCTCCTCGGCGTTTCAGCGACACCCACGCCCAACGGTTCCCATACTGTCAATCTCTACTCGACCAGGATGACGCTACACAAGGGCAGCCTCGATGTGAGCTATATTGTTGGCTCCGCCGACGGGAGGATCTTCTTTGGCGGCAACAACGACACCGATGTGCATGAGCTCTATTACCAGCAGGAGGAGAAGTGGTTTTCCAGTAGGTGTGGAAAGATCAACCACACGCACCCTGGATGGTCCTCGGTGGTGCCCAAGCTGCCTCATCCGAGCACGCTTCTGCCCAGTCCAAGTTCTCTCTGGACGCCCAAGACGAACGAGTGCCTGGCCGACATGGTCATCGATGACAGCCGGGGGTTGCTGTACACTCTCTCCAATACCTCGACCATCCGTGTCTACCAGCTGGAGGGCTTGTACAAGCTCAACAAATGCATCGAGAAGGATAGGACAACGTGCTTCAATGAGACGACTCACTTTGTTGCAGGATCGCCGCTGCTGACGAACAACCTGACAATCGTGTCAATCAGCCCGATCTCTGCCAGGGAGAGTTTCAACCTCCACCTGGTAGCTCTGACCAGCACTGGCTGCCGCATCTTTCTGAGCGCAACTAGCTCATCGTCTGTATCTGGCTCCGCCCCGCAAAGCATGCAGGTCCAATTCGTCAAGTTTCCCCCCTCTGCCGACCAAGCTCCCCAGGCGCAGCAGGCCGGTGAGGGAGCATATCTTACCGTCAACTCACAGGCTCTCACAACGAGCAGGTTTGGTCAACGCTTTGCGCCCGGGTACTTTTTCGATTTTGTTGCAAAGGCGGATAATCCTAACACCGATATTCTGTTCGTTGCCGCACCGGAGACTGGCCGTATCAAGTTGCAACATGGGACTGTCGCGCATAACGAAAGGGCCATGAGGTATTACGAAAGCGCAAACTTCATTGACCTCGGCCAAGGAGTCAAAGTCCTTGCAGTGGGGTCTATCACACCACCTTTCGCCGCGGCTGGACAGCCTGTTGGCTTCGGAAATGAACTCGCCGTCCAATTTGATCAGTCTCCCTCCGAATTTGCTATAATGACTAATATGGGCATCCACGTCGTTCGAAGGCGGAGGATGGTAGACATTTTTGCGACTGTCATACGAAAAGCCGCAAGTGACGACACCGTCAAGTACGAGACGACGCGGTTCATTCACCTTTATGGCCGCAACGAGACCGTTTCCACAGCTCTTGCCATCGCTTGCGGCCAAGGCAACGATCTACGCAACGGCGCGGCCCGTGTGATTGACCAAGTCACGCAAGACCGCGCAAGATCTGTTTTCATCGACTTCGGAGGCGACCCCACGGTGACCGAGACGGACTCAATCACCTTGTCTGCCCGACATCACGCTCTGGGATTATATCTCACCCGCTTGGTTCGGATGCTATGGAAGTCGAAAGTCGTCGCGCAAGGCGTGGATCAGGCTGGGGCAGTCTTCGTGAGATCGACAGTCCCAGTGGCCAAATTGAACTCTGTTCAGGAAAACTTGGATCGTCTGCGGAATTTCCTTGAAACCAACCGTGGTGTTATCAAGGGCCTGAACGGTCCCCAGGATCTTGCGAACGCGCAAAACCGCCTCGCAGAGATGGCTATGCAGTCTGAACATCAGGGCCTGCATTCTTTGCAAAGGCTGATGGAAAACATTGCTGAAGGAATCTCGTTTGTACTGATGCTTTTCGACGAGCGTGTAGCCGAAATATTCGTTCGGCTAGACGCGCCAACACAGCATCAGCTGCGCGAGCTCACTTACGAACAACTCTTCTCCCAGGAGGCGGGGAGAGACCTTGCGAAGCTTCTGGTCAAGGCCATTGTTAATCGGAACATCGAGAGTGGCGCAAATGTGGAGACCGTGGCTGACGCTTTGCGGAGACGGTGCGGCAGCTTCTGCAGTCCGGACGACGTCGTTGTCTTTAAGGCCCAGGAGCAATTGAAGAGGGCATCAGAACAGGCTGGCAACCCTAACCACCTTCGACAAGTGCTTGGAGAGAGTCTGCGTTTGTTTGAGCGTGTCGCCGGCAGCCTCACCCTGGCTAACCTCCATGGCGCTGTTCAGCAATACCTTGATCTACAATACTACGCCGGGGCTATCCAGTTGTGTCTGAGGGTGGCTCAAGAAAAAGACCGCGGAAACACGGCGCTGTCTTGGATCAACGATGGCAGACCGCCTAATGACCCTCGACAGGCGGCCTTCAACGAGCGTAGGAGTTGCTATGATCTTGTCCACGAAGTGATGCAAAGATTGGATGCTGTCTCGGCTCGCGAGCCGGAACTGGTCGACGGACGCCTCACCTTGGCCGCCACCAAGCGCAATGAAGCCTACAACGTCGTCAACGGCTCTGATGACGAGGTGTTCCACTTTGACCTGTACGAATGGTACATCGAACAGAACTGGACCGATCGTATCCTCGCTATTGACTCGCCGCACGTCGTCACCTTCCTCCAGCGACTGGCGGCCACTGAAGCCCGCCATGCTGACCTTCTCTGTCGGTTTTACACGCATCGTGGCAGGTTTTATGAGGCTGCTGAAGTCCAGGCCGAGCTGGCGAAGAACGAGGTTCTCGAAATAGGAATCAAGGACCGCATCACCCTGCTGAGTCGTGCCAAGGGCAATGCTAGCGTGTCGACGGTTGGTGTCAGCCGGCAGCATCAGCAGGTTCTGAACCATGATGTGACGACATTGCTGGAAATCGCGCATATCCAGGATGACCTTCTCGAGAGGCTCAAGGCGGATGAACGAATACCAGATGATCGCAAGGGTGACTGCGAGCAGGCTCTGAACGGCCCCATACTCTCACTGACAGAGGTGAGCATTGCCACGGCTTGTACCAACGAATTAATCATGTATGCTAACCACAGGATCCACAGCTGTTTAACGGTTTTGCCGAGCCAGCCAATTACTACGACCTTTCTCTACTCATCTACCACGCAGCCGATCACCACGCCCCGCGTCTCATTGCTGACACATGGCGCAGTCTCATTAACGCAGCTCATTTTGAGACGGAGGAAGCATACCGCAACTGGGAGGACCGGGGCCGGCCAGCTGATGACGCTGAATTTGGCCCGCCCCCGCTGCCCTATGAGCATGTGTGCAACAAGGTTCAAGACATTGCTCACAGGACCAGCATGAACAACCACGTCTTCCCGATCGACACTGTTCTCACAATCCTCTGTGAGTACGCCATCACCCAGAATCAAAACGAGGACATCCAAGCCGATCCAAACTGGCCTGTCTTGCTGTTTGTCAACAACCTCGGCGTTGCCCACGCCATCGTCACACGTGTACTCGAACGCATACTCGACGCACAGGAGGCGCCCTTCACAGGCCGACGTCGAAAGGTCGTGGTCCGGTGGATCTTGATGGCCTGCGAGCTATGGGTGCGCGAGGTGGAGCGCCGGGGTCTGGATGGCCAACAAGGGGGCGGTAACATAGGACACTGGACGGTGCAGCTGCTCAGCAGGGCGGTGCAGACCATGGATGAGATCATCGAGACAGAAAGGGCGGCCGGTAGGCCAGAGCACGCAAGGGAAGCACAGGGCCTGATGGCTGGCGCTAGGGACCTGGCGGCCAAGATCCAGCAAGTACTTGGACTGGAAGAGGCTAGACCTGGGCGTGGGGGCTGGTGAGATGGACCGGATGGAGGTTGAGGAAGGGCAGTGGAAACTCGGGGGCACGGATTTGTGATAGCAACGTCGCTGTGGTGAAAGGCGGCATGAGGAGGATAAGCGCACTGGTAAATAGATGGAGAGGTTGTCACCATTTCCATGGCAACAGACCCCTTGAAGCATTTGGCATCTCATCTTGGGGCTCTTGGGGAGAGAGGGTGCTCATGAGTGGGCCCTTTTGAAATTTGTACAAAAGTATGAAAGAAAATGTGTTATGACAGGGTCTTGTCGGACCTTTATTAGTTGAGCCAGGTGATGATGAACAGGACCGGTCCTGCCGGGTGCCGTTCACATAGTCAGCCGGGAAGATGGACAGCTTCTTGGTGAGGAGGAGGGGCCAAGACAGTCGAGTATATTTCCAAGTGGGTTAGTCTCTCCGTGAGAACAAGGTCAAGAATGTAGCTGACGATCAGAGGGCCAGTGTTTAATACATGTGCAACCGAAAAGGCCCGACAGCTTGCCTGACTGGAAGTCCGATTGCCACTTACAGCTCTGCCATCGGAATTCGATGTCTTGTCCCCAGGGTTTGCCCATCACAGTTCCTGTGCAAGTACTGCTGACATGGGAAAGAATTATTTTATTAAGCATTATGGAATGGAATACTTCGGCGAAGCCAAAAGTGCGGCTGCCGGTCTCCTGGGGCTAACTCCTTGTTGTCGACGGCGTACTTTGAAACCATGTCGGCTCGACCGCCGAGCCCAGCCTTTGCAACTACTCATACCCGTATAACTAAAAGACCTAAGAGCGCATCGCCGATAGCTTTTCCCACCTGACCCACTTAATGGAGGAGGAAGAACATGTTGGCCAGCGCCAGAACAAGCCCGAAGGTCGCCTTTGGCGAAGGAGAGCCGACCCCGCTGAGGGGCCAGGCACCGGGCACCATCCGCAGCGGGACGGAGACGACGCCCGGCTGCGTCACATTGGCAGCAACAGACTGGGAGGGCTCGGCTGCCCGGGCGACGAGTGCGTTGGACTTGTCGGCGGGCTCAGGGTAAGGCAGGAACCCGGGTATGAGGTGCTTTTTGTGAAGGCCTTCAGTGGAGGTTGGGGGGTAGTAACTCCTCAACGTCTCCGCAGACTCCTTGTCCTGCCCATCAAAAGGAGGAGGGACGACATCCCGCTTGACGTGCGCGCTGTTAGCGACGAGTGCGTTGGACTTGTCGGCGGGCTCGGGGTAAGGCAGGAACCCCTTGATAGGATGGACCACATGCCGCTTGACCAGCGGGCTGTCGTCAGAGCTGCCAAACGCCCAAGGTCCGCCGGTCCTGGGGTCGCGGTACCAGTTCTCCTCCGGGTCGCCCATGCACTCGCCCACGGTGACGAGGCGGAAGCCGGCGTCGCGGGCCTGCTCGATCATGTAGGCGGCGAGCTCGTGGACGGTGCGCTCGTGGATGTCGTGCGCCAGGACGATCTTGCCGTTGGAGCCATCCCACGCGCCCTGCTGGACCGCCTGGCTGAAGGCCTGCCGCGCGGCGTCGTAGTCGCCCTTCCAGTCGTTGGTGTCGACGCCCGCGCTGATGACGTGGTAGCCGAGGTCGCCCACCGTGTCCAGCACGTCGTCGTTGGTGCTGAAGTAGGGCGGGCGGAAGTACGTGGGGATCCGCCCCAGGGCCTGCACGAGGGCTTGCTCGTTCAACAAGAGCTGGTCGAGGATGCCGTACTCGTCGACCGTGGTCAGGTCCGCGTGCGCCCAGGTGTGCGTGCCGACCTGGTGGCCCTCGTCGACCATGCGCCGCAGGAGATGGGGGTGGCCGTAGTCGGTGATCTGCCCGTCGCCGCCCATGTTGCCGCCACAGACGAAGAAGGTCGCCTCTGCGTCATAGTCGCTCAGGATGTTGAGGAGCTCCTCGGTGTACTCCCAGGGCCCGTCGTCAAAAGTCAGGGCGACGGTCCCGGGCTCGTTGCAGGTGGTGATCACCTCTCCGTAAGGCACGGAGCCCAGCTCGGGGCGCGGCAGTCGAGCCAACCAGGACAGAGATGGGCGCTTGTACAGCTGCTCAGAAGATGAGGAACTGGCTTCTGTGTCCTGTGTGGTCGTGTCCTGGCGTTTCCGAAGAGATGATGATCGGCCTTGGCTGGGCGACGGGGCCTTTGGCTGCAGCTTGTCGTTGATGTTTCCTTGCCAATTACAGCCAGTGCTGTACTTGGGTAGACAGTCGATTGCGCTACACGATAGCTCATCAGAGCCACATACATTCTATTCATTTACCCACGTTAGCATGCTGGGCCGAAGTCGTTCAAGGCAGGAGATGGCTTACACTCTCTGAGCTGCAGCAAAGTCCATGTCCACAGATAGATCCGCGCTTTGCGGGGGCCCCATATCCGCAGGCGTCACCTTTGGAAAGCAGCGGCAACGAGGTTGTGTTGTCGAAGGGTACAGGTTGGTTCTGAACGGATGGAGAGGCCTGTACTCCAGCAAGAGCTGGCAATACAGGCAATAATTTTGAGGTGAACGATTTCATCGCGGATGTGGGTATACGAGCTTTAAGGAAGCAGACGTGTACGATGGTATTAGAAAGGGTATGCTCCCGAACCGAAGATGGCAGAAGGGAACTGCCTTTAAGAAAGATTTAATAGCAATTATCTAGACCATGAGTTCGTGGGAGAAGCCGTCTTCGAGCTAGATGGCCCAGCGCGCTGTCCGGCCCTCAGCACAAATATGGCGGGCGAGGAGGACCCTGGTGAAGCGTTTTTCGGCCTTGTAGACTCATCTTCATACGAAACTGGACAGCTCATGCGCCTGGTCTTGGAATATTGCCGCTCTTGTTCCTCGTCGGCCTAACATGTATGTTCAAGTATACTCAATAAACTGGAGGAGCCCTTGAGCCGACGTGCCTATATTTCGGACAAGACTGTGCTGGTGGGCTCGATGCCACCTCAAACTGTCCATTAGAGGCAAGAAACATAGGCCACATCATTTGTGATCACTAAAAGTGTTTAGTCCGTAACCGGTCGTCACTGCCCTGCTCTGCTGATCGATTACACGGGCCGGGTCTATCTATGGCAGGAACGATCATGCTCTGGACAAAGTACGGCCGGTCATTTACTTGCACATTCTAGAAGCCGGGGAACATCCAGCGGATACCTAGGTATGTTTGTCTCCGGGTTCATAAAATTGGTTCTATGTCCCAAATAACACTACAGGGTTGTGAATGGCTCTCATCATGTTAGCCTTCGGGAGCGTCGCTCCTACAATATAGTCCTCCTAATGTGTGGGCTGAGCCTGCCAGGCTCGTTTGGCTTGTGTGTCCCGCCCTGGGAGTACGGATGCTGCTAGTGTGCGCCGTCGCGGAAATTACAAGTTGGTGTTATAAACTAAGGCCATGGACTGATCATTTGAGAGGAACTTTTCGCTTCCCCGGGGCTAAAGGCGATCTAGACTTGCTAGTCAGAACTACTTTATGGGCACCGAGATACTCTGAAGCAAATCAAGTCCGTTTCATTGTAAGCCCACCTGGCTCTGCATTCGTCTTCAAGCTGACGGAAGATTTGAATAATTATTCTGCCAGTGATACCAACCTGACTTCTGAGGTGTAGCTAGCCGAAGTTTATCGTAGAGCCTTGTACCTCTTCAGTGCCAAAAGACATGACCAGCTTGCTTGTTGGGGTTGTACAAGTGTTGTCTCGCTTCGGAGTGTGCTGAAGTCACGCATGTCCTCTTAAATCTGTACACATCAACGACAACTGCCCGACGTGTTGACCTATTCGCAAACCCATCAGCTATAAAAATACGGTATACATACCAAGATATGACCCAGCCAGTCGATGAGTTACTTTGCGATGGCTTTGCAACGAAAATGCGGTGAGAACTGTATATTGCCGCGGCGCCGACCTTAGCTATCAGCTTCATCATGCAGGCGGGAGGCTGGCATCGGCGCTGCTGTCCATTTTCATCCCTGTTTGGGCATCTGACAGACCAATGAATCCACTGTACAGAGCACGGACTGCTTTGTGTTTGGACCCGTGGGCGGTCTGGGCAAGAACCTCATCATGTGGGCAACGGTATCGGATTCGCAAGTTTCTCAAATGCATGGAACTGCCCGACCATGGAGACGGAGCGGCTGGTGCGCACGGTAGCTCTGTCAATTGACAATAAGCGGAATCACATGCCACATATGATGGGTTTGAGTCTGGTTTGGAAAAGACGCAGCAAGGCTGCATTATGAGTCAAGGCCAGGGGTATAACTCAGTTATAAGTCCTTCCTGATGCTCCTTTAGTAAGCAGGACATTCACACAATATGCTTCACAGTGGTCATGTAGTTGCATATGTGGATTGACGTGTCCTCAAAATGGTATTGACCGCCGCGTCAACTGGTGTCACCGCGTGCCATGAGTGAACAGTTTCAGTATTGCATTCTGCTCAGCCTCTTGGCGTACAGATTCTCACATGATTTTCTTCTGCCCTTACCCAATCCTCTACAATTGAAGGTTGACTGCCACAACGTTGGCCACCAGCACCAAAATCACTCTCGCCACTGTTGACCAGATGTTCGGTTAGTTCAGAGCCGCATCCTCCCAGACCTGGGACGTTTCACTGAGGCGAGAAGAACGAGCTAAAGAAATCGATTTTCGTCCGACTTGATTGGTTGGACTCGAGCGGCGGCCGGATGAAAGACAGGGAGTTCCCAGACACGATATCTCGCTATGTCAGCTTTCGTGTCTGGCTCGTCTTCTTTCATCCTGTGCCCAGCCACAAGACGAGTCGATTCGCTCATCTATATCCCGAAGTTCGGGTCCAACACGGCAACATCCATGTGAGGAACCAGACCAAAGGTACGATCATGACATCTGAAAACTCGCAAAACCTTGTTCATTATCTGAAACTTTATGCGTTGAACATGCTCCGACCGCAACCATCGTTATCTGCCGCGAGGATCTCCACCTCCATCCCCAATGATCTGGTGCAAGAGCAGGCGGAGCCCAGAACTGCTGCTGGCTCGGCACCCAACCATCGCCCGATCGTCCACCAAAACGCCCACACCATCCCACGTGGTATGGGGATCACTGGGTCGTGAATGCGGTGATATTTGCCTAAAACCCGTCATGTCGCCACAAGATAAGACGTCGTCAAGGCACCATCCGGACCGTTGGCGGCGACAGTGACGCTCCCACCACACTGTTGGGCGCAAGTGCCAACCTTATCTGATGCGCCTAACCTTCTCGTGTCCTGGGCACGACGGAAGTGTGTTAAGACCGTCTTTGCTTTTCCCGCCGTAGCTCGGAGCTAGCTCACCTGTCTGGGATATCCAGGGCTGGCCTCTCTTATAAGCTTGGGCATTCAGTCAAAGCACGGGAAGGGCTAGCGGCAACGTCTCCAAAGAGGCGCCTGATCAAACGGATGGACATATAGAAGTGAGACATAGCTCTTGCGGCACTGCTTGGGCACCCTACTCCGCTCTAGTTATGTTTGTCAGGGCTCGAGACCTTAAGAACTGTACGATATGGTTGTGGCATAGATGTCTTGCTGTTTGACCAGGCCGCCATTTGTTCTCTAATAGAAAAGCACCGCCTAGCGACCCAAACTTCAAAACACAAAAAAGGATGTCTGTCAAAGAAGTCGAACGCCGTCGCACACATCATTCTTCATCGCCTTCGATGTCGGCGTCGGCGTCACCGAGCTCTGGGTCACCAGATGCCGACCATGATCATCACAGAAAACGGCAAAGGCGACGGAGGCGCCCCTCTGGATCAGACATAGTAGACGACCTGAACGATACCTCAAGCAGCAGCAAGCAGATTAGGGTACGCTCACGGGACCGAGGCAGACACCGCGACCGAGAACGCGGCCACGAACAGGACCACCGTCATCGTTCCTCGACCCTTCCTGATCTAGGCATCGCTGGCATGACAGCAGCAGACGACGATGCCAATGGTGATAAGCCATGGTTCAAGAAAAAGACCCTCTGGGCGAGCGTCGCAACTATGGTCAGTAATTCTTCCCTCCCTTTATGGGAGATTCTTGTTGGACGTTGTGTAAGACATGGGACGCAAAGACCTCCTGCAGCCATCACGATAGTCCCAGTATCCACTTCAAGCGGTGAGAATTCCAGCTAACAATGCGCCAGGCCACGGTTCTCGCCCTCCTACCGGCTTCGGTTTCCGCCAACGCGAGCCAGGAGGCCGCAGCAGCGAGTATGAAGGCGGCCAAGGCGGCCGGTAAGAGCGCCGAGGCCTCGACCAGGGCCGCGAACGCGACGGAGAAGAGCTCCAGGGCAGTCGTTGGCACCTCCATGGCAAACGGGCACATTGACAACCGAGGCAATTACTGCGGGCCGACCGACCACTTCAAGGGGAGGAGCGGAGGAAGCCAACGGGGGAGCCGGTCCAGGTGATGAGGAGGGGAGCAGTGGAGACCTGCATCGTGCCACACAGTCTCGTCATCACCAATAGGAGTTGCATCACCGAACTCACCCGGCCACCATACCCAGAAGCGAAAGTATCCCTGGATGAAATCGACCGCATTGGCACGAAGATCAACATATACGTTGTCGTGTAGAAACGTTCGGAGGAAAAGCATTATAGGTGATACAAAACACGCAGGAGGGGACCTTGTGGAGGAATGGACATTTTTTGTGGTTGCATACATGTACACGCTTAAGTGCCTTTGTCATATTCTTTCCCCGTTGCTCAATTCCTTACTCACGATACCTTTTTCGCTCAGTCATTGTCTAGCGTCTCTGTCACCTCAAAATGTTCTCAGCCGTCAATCTCGGAGGTAGCTGTAAAGTGCTTTGGCTGCGGATGGTGGAAGGAAAAGTATTTACTTGCTTCATTAATACTCTACCCCGTTTCTTCTGCTCGGGCTTCATCGATATGCGCAATGCTTCTGGCCGAATGACCGTATTAGTGTGCTATTTGCCGTTCTTGATTGCCTCCTTGCACAAGTTGAGGAGATGATAATGTGAAACATGAGCTGCCAAGGTAAATGTTTAGGTTTTCATCACAAACAAAGTATAATGTCCTCAATTGCCAAGATCAGGCCTGATTCTTCCCAGCAGACTGTCACAGTATGCAGGGAGGCACCACATCAGCAGAAGTGTGTCCCAAAGTCTACTCAGGTCGTACAGCCTGAAGTGGTGGTTTCGATGGTCTGCGGTCACTGGCAAGTCCACACTGCCTGGATAATTGGCTGGGAGTCTGGGAGTCTGAACAAGCACGCAAGCAATACAAAACTCACAAACCGTCAGTCAACAGTGGTCGCCTTAACGAAGGCAAGGACAGAGAAATATTTTATACATTTCAGATGGTTCGACAGCACTCTGGGTCTGCTCAGCCCTCTTCAGGAAACCCTACTATTTGCCTAGGTAGGTATGGAAGAACTCAGTGGCGAACACAAGGTCCTAGTCCTTCAACAAACAGACAAGTTTGCCGAGATAGTATACGGCGGAAGCATTCAGGGATGGAAGTACCATTGTCATATCTCATTTGAACGTTCACTCCATTATGGCTGCTGCTAATCCAGATAAGATGCCCATCCCTTCTAGTATATACACAGAACTGTGATGGTTCCTGCCCCATCCGGCGACGTTGTATGTATCTAATGCCAGCCGGCAGCCCATGCTTTATTTTCCACGCCCCAATCCCACCCAATGCTATATGTATTGCCTGTACCATATAACACCCAATACTAACATGCCAATCCCAAATGGGCGCATCATATGCCCCCTCGCTTCTGGAAATGCAACCAGCAGACCCTACCCAGTGAAAACACACCGGACGCCTGGACAGTCGTGGCATCGAGTCGTATTGTACAGCAGCGACCTAGCTGCAATATTCCCCGGAAAACTCATCATATGTAGGCGCCACCTCTCGGGATCTGCGTCCCGCTGCCGCTGCCGCTGCCGCTCCTGCTCCCGTGCGCGGGTGGTTTGGGTGGCGGTGTTGGCGGTGTTTGATCTCTGCTGCTACCTCGGCCCTCATTCCACCTGCCTCTCTGAGGCTCGTTCCCCTTCTCATTTGAGCCATCACTTCCGGCTCGCCCTCTCGGCGGACTGTCTGTGATGCCACGTCCATAGCGCGTCATCTTGTCGTCGCTGTACAACGCGTCATCGTCGTACAGATAGTCGTCAGAGCCCTCAAAGTCGTCCTCCTCGTACAAGGGCAACGCCGGGGCTGACGAGTAACCAGGCCCTTGGTTATTACTGTCGCCCTTTACGAGACCTAAACGTTCCTCCTCTGTACCGTGTGGTTAGCTATCGGGTCTTGGAGCACTGAGTTGCACACCGGGTTCCATATCGAAAGGCTTACCAGTCGCGGTCTTTGCGTGCGGAGCGCTGTAACCCCGGCTAGAGATGGGCCTGCTCGTGGATTTAGAGCTTGTCGGTCTCTCCTCTGCGCCATCGTTTCCGTGGTCCCGGTGTCGCTTAAAGACGTTCTGGAAGGAGAACTGTCTCCTGGCCGAGTGCGGTTGAGCATGCGGCGGTGGCGTCGGAGGGGCAAGGCTTGCGTTATCTGGTGTGTGCCGAGTCTCGCCACCGAAGTGAATATGTCTTTCACGGCCGCCGATGCTGTCGGAAGAGCCGTGTGAGCCCGGGTCGTACTCGGTCTTCACGCCAGCAGGTACGCCGTAAGCACCGCCATGCGCCACAGAAATCTCGGTCAGTTGCACAGGGTGCATGGGGCTTTGCATCTTGTTGGAAGAGAGATTGAGGGCATTCGAGGAGTCGCTTCCCAGAGAAGACTGCCTGAAATCCGGATGTCCTGGCAACACGCTCGTCGCACGCGATCGGATGGTACCCATAAAGCTAGAGAGGCCTGCACTAAACGGTCTATCCTGCTCAGCGAGTTCCTCGTCGGTTGGGAAGTGCGACATGCCCAGCGGCGGATGTGGCGAAGCCCCGGTGTTCGGTGTCATAGGGAATGTTTGCGGCGTCGTTATCTGCCTGCTGTGTTGACTTCCGAGCGCTGCACAGCTGTGAGTCAGGTGTCACATTTCATTCTCCGGCCGACAGGTGCGAGAAGAAGCCATAACATCAAGTCGACATAGTTTCGAGGCTATTTAAAGCCCACTCGGCTCATTTGCCTCTTGATAAGGTAGGAGAATGATAGGGTGAGGTGAGTAGGCTTACTTGTTCTACGCCTTCGCAGACCATCCCATTCAAATTGCGGCTGGCCGTCCTCACTGACCGCCTCGAGTCGCTCCTGCTCCTTCTCGGCGCGAATCCGTTTGAGTTCTTCGATCTCCATCTTCTCGCGCGTCGTAGAGAACCGACGCACCAGCGCTGCGGTTCCTCGGATAGCGTCTGCCTTGGGTTCCGTCTCGGCCTGCTCCTGTTCAGCAATTGTGCGGACCTGATTAAGATCGCCACTGAAGACTGCTGCGTCAGGCACATCTTTGGCGGATTTTGATAGCTGTAGCAAGACGACCCCGGAGCAGATGGTGAGAAAGCCCATCACGACGGTGACAATTGAGGAAGGGGTTCCCTTGAAGCCCTGGAATAGCACGGCAGAGGTGATGATGGTCGTGCTGGTGAAATAGACATAATAGGTGGGGGTGACCATCGCGGCATTGAATATGTTGAGCGCTTTCTGTGAAGAGCGTTAGCGGCGACACATGTAACTTGACCAGGAGAGTCAACTTGCGTTCAAGAAAATAATTTCCGTCAATAGTGTTCCGATGACGAACACCAACAGAACATAGATAAACCACTGGTTGAATTGTTGTTTCCCGCCAATCTGGGCCACGATCGCAGCGCCCAGGCCCTGGGTCGCAACAACACTCAATCCTCCAACCCAACTGCATATGGAGATGTACACCATCATGTTCTTCTTCCCATATTTGGGCCCAACGAAATAGGCGACAATGACGGAGCCGATAAGAATCACGCCGGCATAGCTGAGGAAGCCGGGCGCGATCACGAATTTCTGCATCTCCTGGATGTCTGCGACCGAGGACTCCTCGGGCGCGTTCATAACGATGACGACGGAGCCCACGATACACAAGAAGCAAGCGACCTTGCCGACCATGCTCAACCTTTCCTTGAGAAATATGGCCGACAGAACGCTGGTGATGACAACAGACAAGGCTCCCATTGGTGTGACGAGAATGGCATCTGTGAACGCATATGCGACAAAGTTGAGCACCTCGCCCAGAATCATGAGGGTCATGCCTCCCCACCAGAAGGCGTTCTTGAGATAGCCATATCCCTCGCCGGCTTCTTCCTGGTATTTCTCATTGGCCTTGAGCAGCCCGACTTTCTTGAGCACGAACGAGGTTCCGATGAACAGGCCGGAGCCGATGGCCAGACATATACCGATTACTTTGTATACGGGTGGGCGCTCTTCTTTTGAGGAGTCGGTAGAGGTCTCGTTTGCGCGGGTGTAGAGCTCGTGTGCCGTGGACAGCACCGCTCCTGCTGCGGCTTCCATGCTGAGGTGGGATGGCTGTCGGCGACAGAGCAGAGATTGAAAAGGTCAGGAGGCGTCGCAAACGACGACAAAGTCGTCGCTGCAGCGCGGAGGGGCAGGTGGATCTGGGCTGTCGTGTTGTGCGGCCCGGTGTTGGGGCGCGAAGGAGGTGCTGACGTCGTGGGGCAGTCGCTGCGGTCAGCCAGCCAACCGGCGGAAATACGGATCGTGGCTCGTGGCTCGTGGCTCGCGGAAGTAAATAGTCGGCTCCCTCTATATCTGCAACTCCTCCATGTGTGTGCAGGTTTTCACGAGTAAACAGTTCGGTCTTGAGAGCAATGGTTCAATCGTGGATTTGAGAAATTGGTAGTGTGTAGCTTGGAGAGGCGGCGGGATTTGCGAATAGTGGTGGTGTTATTGTTGTCTTCGTCCTATCGTACAGGGAACAGGCCGGGTGGTGGAGCGGGCATGGGACATCAATTGTGTGGAATAATGGACCAGGCGGCCGAGCTGCTGTAGTCGGGATTGGAAACTCTGCTGGACTTGGCACGATGTCAACCACTGCCTACAAGGCAGAAAGAGCAGGAGACGCAGACATGCAGAGTACGTACATCTGCCAGTGGTCGAGGAAGCGCCGGTCTTGAGACGCTGGACGTGCGATGTCTTGCCGGGATGGGAAGATGTTGGTTGCAACGGGCGACCCGGGAAAAAAGCAGGCCTGGAACCCTGAGGGTAGCGATTCCGAGGTCGAGGCGGCAGGGGACTGGGGAGATAAAAGAGGCGGAGCCGGGCGCAAAGTTAGAGGCTATTTCTGTCGCCGTCGGCAGGCTTGTGGTGGTTGGATGGCAGACTCGAGTCGACCACCGTCCAGCAGTCACTCAAGAAAAGAGGAGGACGATTAGACTTTCATGAGGAAAGAGTGGAGGCTTGAATAAGAGCACTTGCTTCACATTCATTCATTCATTCATTCGCTGTGTCGTATTAATCCGGATCGGTTTGGATTGGGTCCGGCTGGGCTGGGCTGGCGTCGAGTGCAGACGCACGTCGTGCCCGTCATCCGTCAGGTCAACAACAGGGGCAAAGCAGATCATCGACAGGTGGGCGATGCTTCCTCACGCCTTCCAAGGTTCCGTGGTAACCCAATGCTAGTGGGGCCTGTGAGACAGCGCAGAGGAGCTTACCGATAAGAGTCAGGGTGTGACGGCAGGGCTTTGTGCTAACAGAAGCTACCAGCCAGGGCCTCAGAATGGTCTGGACTGGACCCTTTCCTGTCTCTGGTGCACTCGTGCAGGTGCATGGGGGTCCCGACGGCTTGGCTCACCGTGTTGTTGCTCCGTTTTCACAATGTGCACCTTCCGTCACTGGTCTGCATCGAGTCTACAGCTGCACTTCCAGTGTGGCAGCTGCACTCTGAGCCCTCTCCTCTGGACTCTCCATCTGGATTTGCTCTCTTCTTGACGTCGCGATCGTGTGCCAGGAGCCCTCACCGCATCATCTCGTCTTCTACAAGCAATGGGTACAGCAACTTACGACTGCGTACGACGCACAGAAACCGGGGGCATGGCTGGCGTGATGGGCCCCGTTCAGCCAGTGCGGTGTGCCAGCCTGTAGCTCAAACCCGTCGAGGCTGTGCAGAGGCCTGTGTCTGAAGCCGCGTCTCTCGAACTGACCACCCTCCGCCTCGGCCGACCATTCTGCATCTGGCCCTCCTCTTTGCCTCTTCGAGCATAAAGTTCCGGGCCTGTTTTGTCGTAGGCGTCGACTTCGGACAAATCACGGCGCAGCCCTCCAGACAGGTCGGATCAAGTCAATCGGGTCTTGTCATGGTTCCAGGTTTCTCAGTTCCTACGGTATTGTCATCTTTGCTGCAGCTGCTCTCGCTGCTCACGTCTGAGGGGCAAATTGCTGATCAGCAGAACTCCAAGTCGGTCGTGCCAATACGTAGGTGGCTTTTCATTGCGGCATCACCCCCCAGTGCCCCTGGCCGATCCAATCCATAGGCCCACGTCCTTTCGAGATGCAACATCGAGGGTGGGCTAGCGGGCAGCAGGCGGGGGGGAGCCACACTGTCAGAAGTGTTGCCCCACTGCTCATACACTGCCAGACCTTTGTTTGCAACGGCCAGCCATCCAGCCAGACAAAGCCTGCGAAGTGTGCCGCAGCAGATGACTCGGCACCGAGCCGAATACCCACCCGAACACGCATTGACAACGATCTTCAACGTCGGGACTTGCCAACCCCAACAAGCCTTTGGTGAACGATCTCGGCCCAGCCACCCAGAAAAGCCTACTCTGATCTCCCTGGGCAGTACGAACCTTATCTGGCAGTCAAGCTGTTTGGCCTGATGCCTCTGCACATCCGCAGCTGCACCACCTGCACCACCCGGCGCCACCCTCCCTAGCCTGTCAACTGCGCCCGCCACCCGCCAGCTGAGCCGCGCAAGCCCCATATCTTGCGACGCACATTGTCCCGGCTGCGACTGGGCTGCGACTGGGGGGTTGACGTCTTCGCAACAGCCGCTGCCAATGAGCTTTCCCTGCGCTGTGTCGGCAGGTCGGCCAGTGCCGCGGCAAGCTGAAAGAAGCTCCCCATTCTGGACGGAACGAACTCGAGTCCGAGTTCGCCCCCGTCGGCGTGGATGGCGAGGCACAACTGGAGCCGATCCCTGGGCGGCCGTCCCATCACGCCCGATCCCCATCGCTCGCTGCCTGGGTTTGATTGGCCGTGATTGATCACATCAAACCCATCATTGAGACAGATATGGGCCCGATTCGGCCGACTTGTCCTCGACCCGGCGCATGCTCTCGAGACGACGTTTCAAGCGCTTGACCACGTGCTCGATCACGAGCTCAGCCTTCCAGAGCGCACACTGTTGTCAACAACTTCTCGAGCAATACATACCGGAAATGCAGGATGGTCAATCACGTCTCGTTGAAATGTGTCTCATCCACAGCCGAGATTTGTTAATCATGCAGTATTGCAAAGGGACTTTGGAGGCACGAGTTCCACAATGGAAGTGCTTGGTCTCAATCTCCCTCCTTGAGTAAAATCGGGGAAGCACTCTAGAAGTGATTATAATCGTCCCATCTGCATGTGCCCAATCCACAGGTGATGCATGGCTGTTTACCAACCTGTAGCAATGTTACCTGCACATCCTCAACATCATCACTGAATTCACTAGCGGAAGGGAACTCGTCATGTAGGAGCAGCCCAAACGTCATGTTATTGAAATTGCACAGATATGAATCAGAGTCGTGCATCGTTCTATACTCTTAAGTAATGCCCTCCACGTGAGATCGCCAATTAAAAGAAGAAAACACCAATGGCAAGCGCCAACAACACCCCGGGGACTACCTCGAAGGCTCGTCCTGCTCCAGCGATCGTTGCTAGAGTTGTCGTCTTTGCTCCCGCAGGCTGTTGACCTGTGCCTGTACCGGCACCCGCAACCCCAGACGCTCCCTGAGCCGCGGCGGAAGACACGCCGCTGTCCGCAGGGGTGACGTCGACGGTTTCTGTCGTTGCGTACACATTCGTTGTTGTGAAGGGCACGGGCGTGACCAACTTTGATACAACGAAGGTGGTGGTTGATGAGATGGTGGAGCAGTCCGCACCGGACTTCCCTGGCGCACAGGTGGTTATGATCGTTGCCGACGCGCTGTAGACGGTCGAGGTCGATCGCCGCGTGCTGGTCAGCCTGACTGTTGTCGTCCGGGTGATCGTGCTCCTGGTGGTTGATTCGCCCTCGCTATCGCCAGCTGGCACAGGATGGACAAGGCCAGTGGAGGAGTGCGAGTCCCCTGCTCCTGCCTCTGGTGTCGAGGCAGGCGCAGAGCCATCTGGGGCAGGTGTTGCTCCTGGAGGCGACTGCGCTCCCGTTGTGTGCCCTTTCTCTGCTGGTGGAGCTGTGGACCCATGTTCTCCTGCGACTTGTGAGCTATCCGTGTCCGGGATGGCATGGTTCTGCGCCACAGGGGCATCGCCCTTCTTGTTCGTTGGCAGAGTGGCGGGTGGTGTCGATGACTCAGAGGCCTTCACGTCTGTGTCTGTGTTATACAGCGATGCACTGGACTGGCCATACTCCATTGACGTAGTCGCGGCGTGAGACCCAGTCAGCGAAGTCGAAGACTCCACCTCGTGTTCGTCGTCTGGAGGAATGACCGTGGATGAAGACGCCGGTTTATCCGATTGCTTCTCTGACCCATCCTTGGGAGGTATGACTGTCGACGAAGCCTGCGACTCTGCCGTGGCCCTCTCAGTCGGATGAGGCGTGCTGGGATTGCCTGGAGACGCCGCCTGTGAGGTCTGCTGCTGCGAACCGTCCTTGGGAGGTTTGAACGTCGATGTAGATTGCGATTGTGGCGGGGAGCTATCATTCGGACGAGCTGCGCTTGGAATGCCCGAAGAAGGTTCCGGGGAACCATTCGACGGTGCTGATGATTCACTGGAAACGGGGCAGACGGTCGTATAAGCCACCACAACCTCCGTTGAGAGCACTGTGGACCTTGCCGGACAGCTCTTCACTTCTGCTCCACATGAGGTCACGGTGTATATGTTCGTGCTGTAGACTGTAGAGGTCGTGAGTTCAGGTGGCTCGGTGGAGACCGTCGCGGGATTTTCAGACTGCGACTCAGTGACTGTGCCAGACCCATCGTGAGAACTCGTTGGGGGCTGGGAAGAAGCAGAAGCAGACGATTGTTGCGAGCCTGGGCGGTTCACGGGGCCGACTATTGAATTTGTCTTTCCCGGTGCAGTGCTTGACGAGGAGCCCTTCGAGGAAGTGCCCTTTAAGGAACCCTTCGAGGAGGAAGTAACCTTTGAGGAGGAGGTACCCTTTGAGGAGGATGGACCTTTCGAGGAGGACGTGGAGGAACCCTTCGAAGTAGTCCTCTTCGAAGACGCAGGAGAGCTAGTTGATGAGGGAGAGATTGGATCGTTCAACAAAGAGGTGGAACGCCTCGAAGATGTGGGGGACGGACCTTTCGAGGATGATGATGTTGTTTGCGAAGCGGCATTCTGTGCAACCGGCCCCGACGAAATAGCTGTTTGTTCTGCTGTTGAGGATGCTGGCTTCGATCCTGATCCCGTAGATGGGCTTTTCTGTGACGAAGACTGGCCCTTTTCCTCGGTGACCGGACAGACTGTGGTGTAGTCGACTACGACATCCGTGACGAGCACGGTCGAGGTCAGAGGCTTATTAGCAGGACAGTTCGTGACTGCCGTGTTACACGACGTCACTGTTGAGAAGACGGTCGTCTTGAAAACAGTGCTTGTCGTGAGCTGAACAGACCCGGAGCTTCCGCTGGCCTGGGTGTTCTGACTACTGGCAGATTTGGTCGAAGTCGTACCGCCCGTGATTCTACTCGATGAGGACGAACCTCCGCTTGTCTGAGTACTGTGGCTGGAGGCAGTGTTGCTTGTAGTAGTGCCACCCGTAACTCGGCTCGACGACGAAGATCCTGTGGTGCTGATGGTGTTGGAGGTGGTATCTGGTGCTGGTGGAGCCGCGCTGAGGGTGTTGAGTGCGGATGAGCTGACGACTGAAGACAAAGACTTGGGCAGCTCGGATAAGCACTTGACGCTGTCGGTGGAACCTCTCTTGTCGGTATAGTTGAAATAGGCACACTTTGATGACGGTTCAAGGTTCACAGTCTTCACATATGCAGTGTACGGCAACTTGTTAAAATCTGTCACACCACCGGACCACTGTATGACTCCAGGGGCGTTGGATGGATCACCTGCAACCCAGGCGCCGAGGTGGAACCGCGATGGTGTCTGGGGATACTGGTGTTCACCGTTGTCGCAGTCCTTCTTGTATAGGGTCCTGACGACTTTATCGTCGATGGTCCACGTCAGGCTCTCGGCCGTCCAGTCTATGCCGTACTTGTGGAGTCCCGTCGTCATCTCGAACGCCGGAGTCACGAATGTCGAGCGGTCGTAGCTGCCCGTGATGCCCTTGCCGAAGTAGTTTGTCTGCACCGTGGGCTTCTTTAGGGCATAATTATTGCCGCTCCATTCCCAGTCGACCTCATCGGCGGTATCAGACATGAGAACGGCCGAGGAGATGACGCCTGCCCCGGGGGAGGCTTGCATTATTACATCGACGTGGCCGTACAAGAAGTAACCAGTGGTCCAGATATACGGTGCATCATAGCGTTTTTCAATAGGGAAGACACCGCCGGTCTTGCTGTCTGTACGGAAGGTCGCGTAGTTTGCGATGGTCCAGCCGTTCGTCGGAACGTCTGCTGTGGCAAGCTTGGTGAAGTCGACGCGAAGGGGTGAGGTTATCCCTGGGATAGGAGCACAGGTTTCTATCAAAAGTCAGTAAGAAGAGCCATGGGATAATGTTGGTCCTGAGTCCGGCATGATGTCTTGTCTTACCTGTTAAAGGATTACAATTTGCGTTGACCGTGGTTATGCCAACCGTGGCGATGGCACATATCAGCCTGCGAATTTTCATTTTCAGTCACTCTGATAAGAAACGTTCAGGTGGTTTGATTGAATATCTTGCGATAAAGATGATGAATAGCGTAGGAAAACCCGGTGTTCTTGAGGAAGCCAGATTCTTGAGTGGCTGGAGAGAGACGTTGCCGACTCTTTGTGGACAAAGAGGCGGACGCCTCATCTCAACCACGCCGACACACGGCAATCGAGTGAAAGGCCACCAGTGGCGATATCATCTATATTTGCATGCACCACAAAGGACGGTTGGAAATGCTTGTTGTCAAGCTCCCCGTGTTCCCTTTCCGGAAACGATTTTACTCGATGTGCCTCCTCATCAATGTTTACTGACCCGGAAGAATTCAACGGTAATTTCCTACGACATTAGAGCATACATGTCGATAATATCTTGAAGCAAGGAGTAATCTCATTCTGGGCGACTACTTCTCTTTGGGCCAGATATCGCGCGTGCTACTTGGTTGCAATCACGCCAGTAAACTCATCCTCACTGTGGCTTGCCAGATGGTGTACCGAGACGAACATGGAATCTTGCTAGCATGTTCATGCACCACATTCCTAAATGGTGTGGTCCCGTATCATCCAGGGTGCCTGGGGTTCATGTCTCCCATGTTGTCCACATCGCTCCGCATTGATACGAGCAAGCGTACCTCAAGTGCTGGCTATTATGGCCGCCGCCTTTGCGTGCGCTTGTGATTGACCGCCGGATTCAGGTTGGATTATCAAGCCAACCATGAAGCTGAATGTTTGAGATTCACGCGAATTAGGGAAAACGGTAAATATCCTCGGGTGGGGTTTCGGACGTTGCAGTCTAAAAGGTAGGATGTGAGAGACTTATCCCTCGGGAACTCAGACTTGATGACGACAATGGTATGACTGACTCGCGATCGGGCCGTGTTTGGGTGGGAAGGCCACCGCTGGCTTATGGAGAACAGGTCGAAACAATTTGGCACGAAATCGAACCAACAGACCCTGGTGAAATGCAGGCTGGTGTCAGTGAGACAGAGGTCGGAGTGGGCAAAGGCGGGCGCGACCAGCCCGTGACCAGCCCGTGACCAACCGCCCGGCCGGTGATAAAAATAGGGGGCCAAGACGTGACGACCGGGGCACGACCAACAAGTCGACCAGCACAAACAAATGGGCGCAGCGCTTAAGATACATAATGCCGGCGATAAATCCGGAGCGCCACATGAACAAAGGAAACATTACTGCCACTGCGCATGGCCGATTGGGAAGGAATCCTAGACTCAGATCAAGAACCCAAAAATCAGAAAATCCACCACTCTGGGACCGTCAACATCACCATGGAAAGCCATTCACCTATGGGCATTCTCTCGCTCCCGGATGAGCTCCTCATTGAGATATTCAGGGCGGTCAAGACTCACAACCCAGCCAATAAGGCACACCACACATCCTTCGCCAGCTCATCAGGAGACATAGCCAGTGTCAGGCTGGTGTGCCGCCGATTTGAAGCTTGCAGCTCCCACCTGCTAGTTCACTTCATACGCATCGATGGGATTAATTCCGAGTCCCTGGAGAAGCTCGAGGCCATCTCCAGGCATCCCGTCATCCGAAATGGTGTCCACATTGTCAGACTCGTCACTCAGTTTTATACCTCCACTTATGCAAACGATGTCCGACGGTTTGCCTGGCATGCAGTCAACCGGGTGTTTGGCCTAGCATCGCGGTACAAGGAGGACGTGGAAGCTGCTGAAGATGCCGATGCCGAGGGCTTCAGCGAGAGACGACAGGAGGCTGCGGTGGTGCTGGCCAATGTGAAAGCCATCCTTAAGACATGGGGTCGCGTCAGCCTCCAAGGCATGGAGGATTCCATTGGATCATGGAGCGTCGACTTTGACAAATCCAATCAGGACTGTATGGCAATACGGCGCAGAAACTCGGGCGAGCAAGAAAAAAGCGAAGTGGAGAGGCACCTTCAACTGCTGCATATCGCTCATCAGCTCTACCGGCTACGCTTTGAGGACCAGGAACGACTTCGACAAAATGACGCTTTCATCGAGAGGTTTGCAGCAGCCGTGTCTCGGATGCCCAAGGCCAAGGGGATCGAGTTCCACGACTTTCAGCGCCCACAGTATCAGAGCTCGCACGAGGACGGTGGTACCGAACAGAGTGGCTCGTTCTTCCCAGAAACCGACGAATACGCTGGCCTCGTGGACATGGAATCGCTTGTGCAGCCCATGTCATGGGATGAAGCCACAGATCGGCAACTCGGCGAACCTCCAATTGAACTTGTATTCAGGCTTCCAGTTGCGATCCACCACGCCGGAGCACGGCTTGACAGGATATCGATGCAGACCAACACATGCGCAGAGCAATACTACCCCTTGTTTGAGAGGGTCAGCATGAACGACTTTATCAAGCTGGGGACGGCCATCAACAGGATGAACTTGAAAAGCTTCATCTTTCTACACCAGGAGGAAATGAAGCCGCGCATAAGGCAGACGCCTTCCTCGGAGGAGATTGACGCCTTTGATAGCTTCATCTCGGCCATGACGAACAGCGGTGGCCTGGAAAGGTGCTGGATGCGTCTGGACGGCGGATGGTCTGACGGCGGGCTCGACGCCGATCGACAATCCGGGCTCGGGCCGTTTCTCCTTCCTGACGCGGACTCTCTGGGTCGCTGGGGACAGCCAGACTGGAGGATGCTCCGTGACATCCACCTGTCTGATTTCGCGCTGCACCTGTCCGACCTGGAGCGCCTGGCTGCGCAGCTCAAGGAGTCGGGAACAAGGCTCGACTTCCTCACTCTGCAGCGCACCCGTCTCCTCAGCGGAACGTGGGCCCAAGCTCTTGAAGTCCTCAGGAACGTGGAAGTGGAGTACGAAAAGCAGCTCGTCGAGCCCAACGGGGCGGAGTGCGAGGACGTGACCATGATGCGGGGCGGGCGGTATGATGTCGTTTTTGGAAGGTCTTGGGACGAGACGAGGAGTCTGGCTGACGACTTTATCAACGGAGACATGAAGCATAATCCGCTGCATGAGAGTTATACCGTCGAATTCTTGTACTCTGTCGATGGTGAGGACGTCACGGTGGAGGTCACGGTTGGTGATGAAAGTGAGGGTTTGCCAGAAGCTGGGGAAGCCGAGGATGAGGTGGCTACACAAGTCATATCACAGATTGCATTTTGAATAAAGTTTTGATACAGTTGGGAAGATTCGCAAGTGAGTGTGACTCAGGAGAGGAATATCAAACAGAGTACCCGGGTACTGCTCTATCCATCGCACATAATTTGCTCGGACTGTGAGCTTATTGACATGATACGTGCTGATATACTTGTGATTATAACGTGGCCTTTTCGAACTGACCAGTACCAAGCTCCACCTCACCTCATCCCATCCTCATGTTGTCGGACTCCAGACCTTTGGCTTGCAGACGTCCCAGAGCTCACCTGGGGACCTGCGCCTGCACACGCCCCACCGAGCACCGAGCACCTTTCTTTCCTTCAAAACCCTCCAAAACGTCAATCCTCACAACTCTCTTTTCTCAGGACTGTCCCCCCCCCCCCCAAGTGCGAGCAAAATCATTGACAAGGCGCGACTTTCCGACGATCCTCTAACCCCCACCTCTCCATCTAGCAGAGCAGACAACAGCCGTTTCTGCGCGACCCGTTTGACGATGGCACCAACATTCCTCGACCAGGACGCAGACACTATGGTCCGCGTCGTCCAACGCGGGCCTGTGGAGTCCAAACAAACCGAATTCATGGTACTGGCCGCTGCCATCTCCATCAGTCGCTACTGGGAAGCATTCATTCGTCACATGAATGGCACTTCGGGCTTCAAGCCAAACAACACGCACGTTGAGGACACCGGCATAACTATCGTCGCTGTCGAGATCGTTCTCCGCGGCCTCCACCAGGCCTATCACCATCGTAAGAGTAACAGCGGCGGCTCCAACGAGGGTGACGCAAACAGTGTCGAGGGACAAGTCACAAACAACGAGTCTGTCACCGTCGGCGACGGTGGGGCAGTTCCGACTCTTGGTCCAAGGGACGTGGACGTCTACTTCCCTCACGAGCTCCTCAAGGCAGACATTGACGACGTCTGGGGTGTTCTTGCACTGGCCAACCTCGACATTGTTGGCAAGAGCCACAAAGGAAAGTTTGATGTCGACCGAACAGTGGTTGACTCGTGGTTTCTCAGGTGGCGCGAGACCAGCTTCGCCACCTTCAATACCCAAACCGACTTCGAGAAGGTCATCTTCCCTACGTTCGCTTTCGAAGACTCCAAGGGTTTTGGGTCTCGCGACGAAATGGCTGTGCCAGAGAACCAGTGTTGGAAACATTTCTGAGTACAGCCCCCTGGTTCACAGCCAAAGGACACAGTGGTATCTGCATCTCCATCTGCCTGCACGCGTCACATGTAAGTTTTCTGCATCCCTTGGTATTCCCCTTGCCATGTGCTGACGGAAAAGCAGCCAAGATTCGTACCATGCGCAATCAGCTCCGTGTAAAGGTCAGCGACAAAATCTGGTCCGTCATTCGGGGTCATGACGGCTGGCTCTTGCACAGTGACAAGTGCGCCTGCTGGGTAGTAGCTCACTACAACTACCTCAAGGCGCTTGAGAAGGCGGGTGTGCTTTGCCCTGAGCTTGACCGCAGGAAGACCATCATGGAGTTGGTTGAACTCATGGAGACGGTCGAGTACGAGGAGCCACTGAATGCCAATTCCCGACATAGTGCCGGCGTCTGCTCGGCCGGGGATGGGCCGTCGGCTGATTGAGTACGGTGGTATTACAAACGTCGCGTTATTTTACTTGCCGGCTTCTGACATCACCGCCAAACTCGGGTGCTCATGAGCTACATAGCGGCCTAGTCCAGGCCCACAACCGACACGACTTGGAGAAAGCGATGGCAGGAGTGAACCCCGCGGGCCTCGCTGCACGGCAATAGTTCTATCTATTAAACCCAACGGGTCGTAGCCAAGAAATGTGCCCTATTATCCATTGCTCCCCACGATACCTTGCACCCTAACCAGTAGATGCAGATCACTGCCTGTCGCCATGCGTGCTCCCAACAGTATCACCCGAGCAGGCGTGGCCTTGGGGTCTGTGATTTTGATCCTCACACCGACTGGCTCTAGCAGCAATACAATCGACCTCTCTTCCCAGAAATGGACACTATCCAACAGGGCATACAATATCTCCGTCGCGGGCAACGTCCCATCCCACGTGCACCTAGATCTGCAAGCCGCCCAGGTTATTGCCGACCCCTACTGTCAGTATTGGCCTTCTCCTGTTACGGCTCGCCGCCTGTTTTGTTTTCTAATTTCCCAAAATACATTACTTCAGGCTCCGCAGTAGGTTACTAACATAGACCAGACGGATTGAATGATTTCAACCAGCGGTGGGTGGCATGGGCAAATTGGAATTATACGACTACAATCCCGAGGGACCAGCTTGATCCCGCTGCTGGAAGCAATGCCACCACATACCTGCTCTTTAACGGCCTGGACACTATTGCCGATATCTGGCTGTGCGGTCAAAAGGTCGCTAGCACAGATAACCAGTTCCGACAGTACTATTTCGACGTATCTGCCATCCTCCAGTCCTGCTCGGCTGTGGCGGGCTCCTCGGAGCTATTGGTTCAGTTTTTCAGCGCGCCGGGGACCGCGGCCTACCTCGCCTCGCAACCAGGCGCTGAAACATGGCCCTGGGGAGTCGAGGGCTTGTTCGAATTCCCTCATCGCCCGTTCATCCGCAAGGAGCAGTCTGACTTCGGGTGGGACTGGGGCCCTGCGTTTGCACCGGCGGGAATATGGCAGAAGGCTTGGCTCGTCCAACTACAGGGGGAAGATTTGAGCGTGAGAAACTCGATTTTCGATATCTATCGCGTGGGCCAGCTACCCAACCTTCCTCCGGACCAAGGGGCAGACTGGGTATTAAATGCCAGCATTGACGTGTTGGGAACGGTACCAGAGGGAGCAAAGTTGAGATACTCGGTCATTGATCTGGTGACAAATGACACAGTGAGCAACGGGGAGCTTACAAACGTCACCAACGGAGGAGACGTTATTACTGGGCAGGCTGTATTGAGTGGCACTGACTACAAGCTCTGGTGGCCGTCCGGCCTGGGTCCCCAGGATCTGTACAACATCAGTGTTGAGATTGTCTCTGCCTCGGGTTCGGAGCTGGCCTCAGTCAACAAGCGAACAGGCTTCAGGACTATAGTCCTCAATTTGGGCGAGATCACCCAAGATCAACTCGATCGGGGTATCGCACCGGGTAACAACTGGCACTTTGAGATCAACGGCCACGAGTTCTACGCCAAAGGAAGCAACTTCATCCCACCAGATGCCTTCTGGCCGCGAGTAACGCCACAGCGAATCCAACAGCTCTTCTCAGCCGTCATTTCGGGGAATCAGAACTTGCTCCGGGTCTGGGCCTCCGGCGCCTACTCGCCTGATTTTATGTATGACCTTGCGGACGAGATGGGGATTCTTCTGTGGAGCGAGTTCGAGTTTGGCGACGCTCTGTACCCAGTGGATCCAGCCTTTCTCGAAAACTCAAGGCAAGAAGCCGTCTATCAGGTACGACGAGTCAACCATCATCCATCTCTGGCACTCTGGGCGGGAGGCAATGAGCTCGAGAACCTTGAATTACCTGAGGTGTTGGAGGCCGCCCCGGATGAGTACGACCGATATCTGCACGAATATGAAACGCTCTTCATCAATACCCTCCTGCCGGCAGTCTATGGAAATTCGCGGAGTATTACATATATCCCATCAAGCACAACCAACGGATACCTCTCCCTCAATTTCAGCAACCCCATCCCAATCGTGCAGCGGTACGACAACGCCACGCCCGGGAGCATATACGGCGACACCGACCACTATAATTATCATGCAGCAGTAGCGTTCAATATATCGACTTACCCAAAAGGCCGCTTCGCCAATGAGTTCGGCTTCCACAGCATGGCGTCCGTGGACTCCTGGCTCCCTGTCCTGCCGCCGGATGAGCTGCACTTCAATTCGTCCACAATTCAGCTCCGCAACCACCACTACCCTTCTGGAGGGCTCAACACGTCCAATTTTGCCAACAGCACGAAGGGTATGGGAGAAATGACCATTGCTGCGGATATGTACTACCCCGTCCCGGACAAGACAGCGCCCCTGGCGAATTTCTCCAGCTGGATCCACACAACTCAGATCTTCCAGGCGGACTATTACAAGAGCCAGATCCAATACTACCGTGCCGGGAGCGGGCTGCCGGAGAGGCAGTTAGGCAGCCTATACTGGCAGCTTGAAGATATTTGGCAGGCCCCGACATGGGCTGGAATTGAATACGACGGGAGATGGAAGGTCCTTCACTATGTCGCCAAGGACATTTTCAAGAATGTCATTATTGCACCAGTGTGGAATGTGAGCAGCGGGATTTTGAATGTGTACGCTGTCAGTGACCTCTGGACAGAGGTGCATGGGAGTGTTAGCATGGCTTGGCTAGACTGGGCCGGGGACGAGGTCAATAGCCCGGGCACGACCGAATTCACCATCGGCCCGCTCAACAGCACCCTTCTGGCAACCACTGACATCAGCAGCATTTTTGGTAATGGCTCTCAGAATGGCACGGATGCCGTCTTTGTGGCGAACCTCACCGCCACTGGGACACTTCCCAATACCAACGCCACCAAGACCTTCACCCATACGAACTACTGGACGCCGACCCCTCTGGCTCGCGCGGCACTTAAAGACCCGGGAGTGAAAGTCAGCTACGATAGCCAGGCCGATCAGTTCACCGTCACCGCGACAAGCGGGAACAGCGCGTGGACCTGGCTTGCTCTGGACCCCGACGACTCCCCGGACACGATCGTCGCTTTTGACGACAACGGGTTCTTCTTGCGGCGAGGCGAAAGCAAGACAGTCGGGTACGGGGTCATTGGCGGGAGCCAGACAGCGGGTGATTGGGTCAACAGGGTGACCGTGGAAAGTGTTTGGAACAACACCCTGGCGGACTAGGATTTGTGGCTCAAGCAGTATTTGAACGAGAAACTCCAACATTGACGGCTCGACTTGTGCCACGGGCAAGCTTTTGGGCAAAGAGTAAGTGTTCTTGTCGGCAATCATGACGAGGCGGGCGCACCATCCGCCCATTCCGATATGAGATCGTGCATAATACAGTTCATTGGGAATACGTGTATTGTCCCCAGTTGAAACAATGCACCATCGAGAGTTTACTTGCCGTGATATTGAAGCAGGTAACTTGGTCCGTCAAGGTTCTCTCCGCGGAACGCGCCGACGGTGGTGAGCGCGGAGCAAACTAACAGTGCGCCAACCACTTTCTTTCACGATGCATTGTTGTAGCAAGAGTGGCTGACAGTAAAACCCCCAAGTGGCTTGTCTAGCTCACACATGTGTGTCGACACTCATCGGACTGGGACGTGCCTCTTTGAAGACCAGATGACGGAGTTGAGTCGCATCGATGGCACCACCAGACACCTTCAAGAACGATGAGGTTTGTTGCCGGAGGAGGCATTGACTATAGCACGGAGATTGTCAATATCGAGATACCCAAGCAGCTCGCAGTCGCAACCCAAATGTCTGCCCAACGGGCCGTCCTGTGCCAGCCCCTGAGCATCAAGCAATCTGGGGTACACAGTCTATCCGCTTTTGCTGATGTAAATGCTGAGTATGGACTAGCAAGCGCAGACTGAGATCGGTTGATGGTGAGCTCTGGATCCAAGCATAATAATCCTGTGTACGTGGCACGGCTGATGAGCTCGAGGAAATTCGAGACGTCTGAAGTGAGGATATTCGACAGACGAGCAATCAAGTGGCCGGGGATCAATCATCCGTGTCGTAGGCGCATACGTAACAATCATCTCAAAGCGCGCGCGCGTAATTAAGGTAGAATTTGTCGATCGTGCCCTGGCGAATGCGCGTACATAGGGACAAGAAAAGGGGAAATGCGTCGAGTTGTTACGGGCTTCCTAGTAATTACCAAGCCATGAGCTAGAAGACTAGTAGGCAGTAAAAATAGTAGCTGTGCTTGTGAGCATGCGGCTCCGCTACTCTATGCCTGTGCACCACGACAATCTTATTCCAAGGTCTTGGCCCGATGACGAGCGAGGGAAGAGACTCATGTGCCCACCCTTGGAGAGCACGCGACCGGCCAAGATCGCCGTCCGCCCAGGGTTTACACAAGTCATTCGCGTTCTAAGGAGGAACCGGTGGAGCTAGCGGGACAGAGTTGAAAGGTCTTGGGAAACAGAAATAGCCTCTACCCCTGCCTCAGTGTCGATGTTTTTTTTTTTTTTTTTGTTCTCTCTCTCTCTCTCTCTCTCTCTCTCTCTTCATATTGTGTTGGTGGTTTCCGCGCATGATAACATCGGAGCGCTTGAGGACATGCCCGTCGGCAATAGCAAACCTTGCATGCAGCACATTCACGGTGCATTAGCGGCCCCGGATTCGACTTATTAGGCTAGACTTCAACTGCACAGATACTGTAGCAATCAGCGTTTGCCGGTTCCTGGCAAGGGAGATGCGGGGGGGGGGGTGACCTGCAAATATCCGGCATGGTCTAGGTTGCACGCTGGTCCACTCTGCACCCGGATAAGCTTTGGGCCTAACCACGCCCACCTCCCGCTACAAGCGCTCCCGTTGACAAGCTGAGGGCTTACGACAATCTTGTACGTTTTGTAGGAGCAACAGGAGCACGCACGACTGATAGGCACCGTGTCAGAGTCAGGATGCTGCGATCCCTCATTTCGGGACCCGAATTAATGTCTCATGCACGATCCATGTTTTCGGACCGGCCCACGAGAGCAGGATGCAGGGGAACACAACCTCGAGCAGATATCTGCAGGCCGGGACGAGCTGGTCTGGGCCGGGCTGGGACCGACTAGAAGTACTTGAGCACAGTAAGCCCAACATCCCGCGAATGCACACACACGCCCCACCGCCCAGCCCTCTCTCGTTCTCTTCACCGGCATCCGCAGCTCCTCAGGCTCATCCAGCCTGCAAGCCAGCAGCTCCTTAGCTCTCTCAGGTCCCTTGAGTCGATCCCGTCGACACTCGCTGCCATGGCCATCCGTAGCCTTGTGGGCCTGGGCCTGGGCCTGGGCCTGGGCCTCTCCCAGCTCGTGTCCGCCTTTCCTACGACATACCCAGAGTCCAACTCAACCGACGCCAAGCTGGGGGCTGTCGCCTCTGAGAGCGCCGTATGCAGCAACATCGGCATCAAGCTGCTGGAGCAGGGCGGCAACGCCATCGATGCCATGGTCGGCACCACGTTCTGTGTTGGTGTTATTGGCATGTACCATAGTGACATTGGCGGCGGAGGGTTCGCTCTCGTCAAGAGCCCCAACGGGACTTATGAGTGTGTCGACTTCCGAGAGACTGCCGCGGCATCTTACTTTGAGACCATGTATGTCAACAAAACCGACTTGAGCCTCTACGGTGGTCTCGCAGCGTGAGTAAATCCCCTTCGTCCCGCTGGACATGAGCCGGCGCTGACCCGCGTGCAGTGGCGTCCCTGGCGAGCTGCGAGGGCTTGAATACATCCACAACAAGTACGGCAGTCTCCCGTGGAAGACGGTCATGCAGCCCGCCATCGAGGTCGCCCGCAACGGCTTCGAGGTCACGGCTGACACGGTCCGCTACATCGCCTCCATCACCAAGCCCGACTTCTTCACCCAGGACCCGTCGTGGGCCGTGGACTTCGCCCCCGACGGCACCATCGTCCAGCTGGGCCAGACCATGACCCGCAAGCGCTATGCTGACACTCTGGAGACCATCTCCAACGAGGGGGCGGGCGCTTTCTACGAGGGCGCCATCGCCAACGCAACCATCAACGCCCTCCAGGCTTCAGGCGGAACCATGACCCTGGAGGATCTTGCCAACTACACCATTGCGATTCGCGATGCGGTCGACATCAACTACCGGGGCTACAAGGCGACTGCCTGCAGCGCTCCCTCCGGCGGCGAGGTGGCACTCTCGATGCTGAACATCATCAACGGCTTCGACGGCTTCGGCGACCCCGCCCAGATCAACCTTAGCACCCATCGCCTTGATGAGGCCTTCAGGTGGTCGTACGGGCTGCGGGTGAACCTTGGCGACCCTTCTTTTGTGCCCAACTTGACCGAGTACCAAGCCGACATGCTCTCCGAGGAGACGGCTGCTGAGATCCGTTCAAAGATCTCGGACGTGACAACCTTCAACTCCTCTTACTACAACCCCTCGAACATCGAGGTTCTCTCCGACAATGGCACATCCCACATTGCCGCCGCAGACAAGAGCGGCCTGAGCGTCTCCATCACCACGACGATCAACACCATCTTCGGCTCTCGCGTCATGGTCCCCGAGACTGGTGTGATTCTCAACAATGAGATGAACGACTTCTCCACGCCCGGCTCCACAAACGCCTTCGGCTACGAGCCCAGTGAGGCCAACTTCATCCGCCCCGGCAAGCGCCCGCTGTCGTCCATCTCGCCAACCATCCTCGAGTACCCGGACGGCGGGCTCTTCTTCATCGGCGGGTCGGCGGGCGGCTCGCGCATCATCTCGGCCACGGCCCAGATCATCCACAACGCGCTCGACCGCGACATGAGCGCCGCCGAGGCCCTGGCCGAGCCCAGGCTTCACGACCAGCTCAGCCCCAACGCCGTGTCGTTCGAGTACGCCTTTGACAACTCCACCACCGCCTTCATGGCCAGCCTCGGCCACACGGTCCAGTGGGTGGCGCCCGGGTCGAGCACCGCGCAGGCTATTAAGAGGCTGCCCAACGGCACGTTTGATGCGGCGGGTGAGCCCAGGCAGCTTGCTAGCGGCGGATTTACTATCTGAGGTGTGGAAGCTGGAATATCATTTATAGGTCGAATACACACATTTATGAAATCAAGTCGACGAGCTTGCAATTAGCTTGGGAATGTAAACGACAATTTCTGAAGGCTTGGCCCGGCTCATGTGAAGTAGAATTCGACTGAGCCTGCCGAACTATCGTCAAGCTCCTAGTCACCCCACGCAGGTCTCCGTGCGCTTCTCTCCTGTGCTTTCCAAATAGAGAAAGCTCAATACAGGAGACAAACCTCGGAATGGAGAGGCTGCATGCCATGACTTCCTTGAATTGGAACAGGCTAGCATTTAAATTATATTGCAACACATGCATCGCCGTGCTCAGAATGTGAGTGCAGTATACGTCCTTAATCTTTGTCAATGTCGGTACCACCTTAACCTATACTAGTATGGTGACGCTTTTCTAACCAATCAGAATCCGCTGCACCTTGCATTTTCAAATAGAACATAATCAGAAGATTTATATGATGAAATTAAGCCTCACTTGTTTTAGTTGTAGAAATAAGTACCTAGGTATTTATTTAGATATCAATGCCGTAGAGGTACTCATGTACGAAAAATTCAGGGATCAGGGTGTAGATATGACAATCAACCCCACTTCCAAGGCGATACCGGCAAAGTAATCTCTGAAGATACCGTCCCTAAGAATTTCTGTATATATTGTCGAGTGTGTTCGGCGCCGTCGTCCAATTACTCTCAACACAGTACATGGTGATATTCCGTCGCCGCACACATGCGCATTCCCTTGGCGAGGGTTGCAACCCTGGTAAGTCGACTTCGTCACCAGCAGCCACACCTACCACCATGTTGTGATCGCCCTATCTTTACTGTTGCTCACGACGGGACCCTGGAGACTAGATTTCAAATCACATACGGATGTCATATAGACACTGAACATCTCCTGCAACATGCATACATCGCGCCTTCTTCAGGACTCGCTGCCCTTCTTCGGCATCACCGCAGCGTTGGCTGCAGGCCACAAGAACCTCATCATCGACACAGATCTCTTTAGCGACTGCGAGTGAGTTACCAAGTCTCTGTTTGCGGTTCCCCCTGAAAAGTCGCCAAACACCGTGTGCAATTTGAACTAAATATGGCTGATCGCTTCAGTGATGCATCGGCCCTCCTTCTTGCTGCTACCAGTCCCAGTGTGAACCTGCTCGCCGTCAACATCAACTACCCCTCTTCCTACTCAGCCCTCGCAGCATCCGCCATCCTCTCCCATTACGGCCAAGGCGAGGTCCCCATCGGCATCTCGAGGCCGATTTCTAACGAAACATTTATCGACACATGGTCATACTCACTGGGCGAGTTCGCCACCAAGGTCGCGTACCAGTGGCGCTGCGACGACTGCGCCGTGCGGTGGGGCCACGTAGAAAACGATACCTGGGACCCGGTGGCTCTTTACCGCAAGACGCTCAGCGAGGCGGCGGACGGCAGCGTGACCATCGCGTCGATAGGGTTCCTCAACAGCCTCTCCGGCCTGCTCAACTCGTCCGGCGACCCGTACTCGGAGCTCACCGGCCCGGAGCTCGTCGGGAGGAAGGTCGCTGAGCTGGTCGTCATGGGAGGCGGCTACCCTAGCGGACACGAGTTCAACTTCTGGGGTTATGGCCCTTCGGCGACGGCGCACGTCGTCAACAGCTGGAGGGGCCCTGTGGTCTTCTCCGGTGCCGAGCTCGGTGGCAACGTCAGCAGCGGAGGTGACCTGATGGCTCGTGGCCCGGCGAGGGATCCGGTTCGTGCGGCATATCTCTACTACACGTACAACACATCACGATTCTCATGGGATCCCCTCACCATGCTGTATGCTGCAGACGGTCTTGGACAGCTATTCGAGTTCGGCAACGACGGCGGATACAACTTTGTATACGCCAACGGCTCCAACGAGTGGATAGAGGATGCGAACGTCAAGAATCAACAGTGGCTGAAACTCAAGGTTGACAATGCCACAGCGGCAAGTTCCTTGGACGAGATGATGGTTAAAGCCTCCTGGTCTGTTGCCACCAATTCTACTGAGATGCCGACGTCCGAGAGAGCTTCACATTCGGCGAAACGTGCAACCCGGCCACGCCAGTACACCCTACACCATCATGAAGAGCTGTGAGTGGAATTTTGGAAAAACAGAGAGTCTGAATCTATTGAACTGCGACACGGGACAGAGCTGATTGCCTAAGCATCGATAGCTCCACGGCCTCCAAGGGTATCCATCTCTGAAATTAGCGAGGCTGCACTTATTAATTCCACCATGTCTGATTGAAGAATCTCAGCACCGTTGAGCAATTTCAAACACAAAGACTCGTCCTCTTAGCAAGCGCATACCTTGCCGTCAGCGCAGTTTCTATGAAGACACACTTTCCATGAGCCCCCCCCCCCCTCGGCAAAGTGAGCTTAAAGTGTATTGCGTGTTGAACCGATGGTCACGAACTGTTTGCCGATTCCATGAAACGCATTATCAGCTGCGTAGGCACCGACTTGCAGTGATGGGCAGACCTGACCCCAACTCTAGCAAAATTCGCAACGGGCGTGATCCCTCACAAGTGCTGCACATGCTCTGGACTCTTCCTGCCGCGTCCGTCCAAGGAGCCAAGATGGGTCCTCGGTGGTTCTCCAAGTGCTTCCATACTGGTTGTAAAGACCCAAAAGTGCCTTGCTGTGCATCATGACACCAGCGAGCCCAGAGATGCCTGACCAGCGAGCCTCGTCTCGATCATCCCCGTTCTCATCGTCGTCTATATAGTTCTTGAACAGCCGGCGTCCTCTGGCCGAATCCTCTGCCCATGTCGGAAGCTGCGCTGGGTCCAAGGGCCCCAGCCCAATGTCACCGATGGTCAGGCCTTGGCCGCAGCGGCTTCGAACGATGCTGTTCAGGTGGTTCTCAACTGGCACGTTTCGCAATTGCCAAGATGCATCGCGATGGTGTCCAGCACAATCCATGTGAGTACAGAGTTGCCAGTCCCCGCCACCGTTTTGATGAAAAGTGTGAAACACCCTCAGAGGAAGATTCCATATGGTGATGGATTTGAGGGGGCAAGTGTCCTTGGCCATTCTATCAGCGGGATTCCTAGCGCAACCAGTGCATTCCCTGCATTTCTGGCTGGTGTCGGGAAAAGGACGATAGACGGCAGAGAGGTCAAGCTTGCCAACGTATGGGTGTTCTTGGATCTCGTCCAGGTACTCAAACACCATGAGCTGCAGCTCAGCTGGTAGGGACCTCCTCGCCATTGCCATCTGTGCCAGACGCTCGCTGTCCCTTGCGAGGTGGCACTCTGCGATCTTCCGAGCGTCCAGGACGAACTGCCGCGATCGGCGGAGAACGGCACGGTGTCGGGAAACTTCTTTTCCAGTGTCTTGGTCCACGAGAGTGTAGCGGAAAGACTCTCGAATCGGACCATCTGAACCAATATCTTGCCACATGAGCATAGACTCGCCATCCGCAAGCTTTTGGTAGCCGGCCCGGGAAGAATCTCGATGTCGCGGGTACTGTGCCGTGTCCCCCTCTGCCCGTTTCCAACGCCAACGAGGCTGTACGCCATTCTCAGGCGTCAGGGCTGCCGAGTCCGTTATACAAGCGGTCTTGACTTGGTCTCGTTTGCGCTGTTCATGATACTCTTTGACTGAGTTGCCAGGGCCGGCAAAGTCTTGACAAGTGCTGCCACCTGCAATGTCGCAGCTACAGGCATTGACCGGGTAGTCAGTAAAGGCCCACTTGAACATTTCTCGTTTGTCGCTTTGAGTCCATATCTGGGCTAGGCACGATAGCAAAAGATCGTCGAGAGAAATGGCAAAGTTGCAACGCAATCCAATCGGTTTAGCGCTTGATTCCAACATTGGCAGCCTTGTAGGGAGTTGGCCGTGCTGCCGGTAAGCCTCGGCCAGGTACAAGGTCATGCGTGCTGCAATCAGATGACCATGGGGTTCTATCTCAAGGAGAGCGTTGATGGGGCCCAGGAAACTCTCCCATGCTGCGAAGATCCTCTTGTCTGGCGTTGAGGCACTTCCCAGATAGCTGCCGAAGTCGCGGATGTGCATGTAAAGTTGTTGCAGCAAAGCTTCCAGCGGGCCTCTCAGTTCCTCATTTGGGTCTTTTCCACTTTCTTGGGACAAGTCTGCATTTTGTCTCGTTTGGACGAAGTTTCGTATTTCTGCGGTCAATGCTTCATTTTTATTGCTGGTATATGTTAGCTATGAAGCCTGAAGTGATGGGTTCTGGAATGCTCCAAAACACAACAGACTGGGAACCGTGAAAGGAGAAAATCTGTACTTACGGTACAAAGCGGAAGGACATCTTCTGCTTCAAAGCATTGGCCATGGTGTTTGTGCAGTATTGGCTGGAGGGCGATGTGGTTCAACGGTATTCTAATCTGAAGGAATCAAATGAATGCAGAATGAAAATGTGAGAGGATTGGTGGACCGCCCGCATTTCTAGCACGAAGCAAATGAGGCTTCAATAAGTGAGTGCAAGGGAGGTCTCGACGCTAGTGGCAGCTGCCTAAACCACAGCAAGGGTCAGTGAACTGACAGGGAAAGACCCCTCCAAAAAAGAACACGGAAATTCACACCTGCAAAACAGAGGGTACACCGGTATATCAACTTATAACATAGCCATAGCTAATCAGAACACATCACCTAGGTCTAATTCATTTACTTACACCTAATACCTTACACCTAAATTGAATTAGGTATATCAATTGGGTATATAAGTTGGGTGTATGCGTGTTGGGTGTATGCGTGTTACTGTTGGTGTAGGTGTCGGGTAAGGGTGTTGGGTATGGGTTTTGGGCGTGGGTTTTGGGTGAGGTGGTGATGTACCGGTGTACCCTCCGTTTTTGCAGGTGCGAATCACCGTATTCCCAAAAAAAAAAAAAAAAATGAAAAGTATCACCTCTCTCAGACTCAACTGAGATACGTATGCAATTTGGCAGGCTCAAGTGTTTTCAGGCCTATCAAAACCTTCAGATCTTGGGCGGTTTTGTGGTGAGGTGGGCAATCAGAGAGTCAGTGGCTGCATTGAGGCTAACTACAGAACGGCCACAGAGGAGAGGGATAGATAGGAAAAAAGATCCGAATGGCCTGCGATCCAGGCTGAAAATACTCATCGGAGGGGTCTCTACATCTACGATTGGAGGGTTGAGTGATCGCCATATTCGCCGATCACAGGTCTTGAATAATGAGCAAGCCAACTTCAGTCGTCGAGGGGCAGAATATTTCGTTTTCCGTCCCTTACTTGCTCTACAACAGTCAGTGAGGATTCAATTACCCCCCTCAAAGGTCCAAGATCTGCTTACCTTCCAAATAGCTCTTCACCTGTGTGTAGTCCTTGCACACTGCAGACGACGTCAGTACTTGGCCCATACATCAAAGTGTCCATAACGTGAGGCGCTGTTCTCACCATGACGACCATTGAAGGCATTGTCAAGGTTGATAGGACCAGGCTGGCCATTCTCCCCACGAGGCTCAACCGCGAGGTCCCCAGCACACATGGCTGCCTGTCGCATGTAGTCGATACAGTGGAGGAAGTGGGCCTCATAGTCGTCAGGCTCAGGGAGGTCCGGTGAATTCGTCAAGACTGCGGAGAAGATCTTGCCCATGATGTACTAGTGTATGCAGCTCAGTATCGGTCTTGATCAAGCGGAAAGGGAATATACCACATACCACGCAGTGCAGCTGGTGTGTCACAGAGGTTGAGTTGTAGACGAGGCCGTCCGGGCCAAAGCCTGCCCCAGCTACACGCTCATTTCAGCACTCCATCATAAGAGCAGGGTATCATGTGGGTCGAGCAAACCTGGGTACAAGCTCTCCCACTTGGTTTGGACCTTCGGGTTGAGGAACTCGGTGGCATTCAGTGGCACGAAGTCATAATCCGCCCTCCATTGCACGACCTCGGTCGGAACTGTATGAGGTGTCAACAAGATGCCGCTGGTGACGAACAATTAAAGGGAACCAACAGCTCTGCGTTTTCTCCACGTGATCGCCTCCGACTTGGTGCGAACATGCTGCTGTCGTGCTCCTGATTCGGCTCCATATGATCAACTGGAACCCAAGTACAACCACTAATATCCCGGTCGTGATGAACCACCGGTATTCTGAAAGTGCTCTCAGGCCTCCCCTCCATCTTGACTCCCGCATTCCACCTATATCTGCAGTCCGCCAGTGCTTCGCCTCTTCTGCAGCTGATGCATCGAACTCCTGCAGCAGGCCTCGCCGATCCTGCATTCTAGCGGCGTCTCTATATGGTTGCTGGCGACTCATTTCGGACAATGGTATAAAAGGTGTTCCAGGGCGCGCGATACTGAGAAATATGGATCAGGTCTTGGCGATGAACACCTAATTGAAAGTAATCACAGTGATGAAATGGGTTTGTTAGAGTTGATTTGCCTTGTCAGTCGAATCTTGCGGAGGAAGAGCTCAGGGACTCCATTGCAGTTTCACGTCGGGTTCTGAAACAACATAGCGGGATAAATCGTCCCAACTCGTGCTGGCGTTTCAAATCCTGGGAGAACACCATTTTTGTTTTGATCTTGAATAACTGTAAATCAAAAATCGAACAAGAGGATTTACTTTGCTATCGTCTTCTGCAGCTCCTTAGAGTATTTGAGGGCTGGCCAGTCCACGCAGGACAGCCCCACAGACCGACCATTGGTCTTCTGGGCTACTCCTCAGAAGCAATTTGCAACTTAGAATGCACCCTAGTGGTGCGTTCTTCTCCCAGATACACCGAGTCAAACACATGCTCTTTAATAGATCTTCTTCAAAGTACTTAACATGATAGCAATAACCGGAATTTCGTAGCAGCGGCATTTCACAGAACATCTCACACTTCTAGGGGCACTGAGAACACTGAGGCTTGGAAATTTGCAATTTTTCTTTTTTTAAAGAGTCTCGAGTTCGGTGTAATGACCTCGGGTAGTTTCGAGCATTACACGGCGTCAAACGCCATCATAGGCTTCGTAACAGTACATCAATAATGTACACTATCTAGCTGAATCCAACTTCAGTCACCCCATCACATCATGATGCGTCACTCCCTTAGAAGCCCAGGGCCTGGTTAAAGGCGGTTGCGGTGGTAGCATCCTTGGTGCCCAGGGCCTGGATTTGGGCCTTGGCGCTCTGGCAGGCATCCTTAGCGGCCTGGTTGGCCTCGCAGACGTTGGTCAGCTGGTCGCAGATACGGTTGGTGATGATGTTGGGGTTCAGAGCGTCCTGCTGTCCCTGAGCGACGAGAGCATCGGTGGGCAGGAACGTGCCCTCGGTTGCCTTACGGCCAGCGCGACCGAACTGGAAGTCCATGGTTGGTGTACACTTTCCGAAGTCCGCGCCAGCCAGCGAAGTCTGGCCACCGGTAGCAGCAGCTGTTCCGTTGTTGGCAGCAGCAGCAGCACCGGCATTGTTGTTGGCAGCAGCACCGTTGTTGTTGCCGTTGTTGTTATTGGCGTTGGCTCCGGCGTTGTTGTTGTTGTTGTTGTTGTTGTTGGAACCCTTGCCCTTGCCCTTGGAGCTGCAGGACTTCTTGCCACCGGCACCAGCGTTCGCATTTCCATTCGAAGCGTCGGCAGTGGCATTTCCGGCAGCACCAGAGGCAGCATTTCCATTAGCACCCGAGGCAGCACCCGTAGCCGCGCCGGCGGCCGCGCCACCTGCCGCAGCCTTTGTGCCATCAGCAGCAACGGCGGTGAGGTTGGAGAATCCCTGAGCAGCCATGATCTCGGCCACGGACAGGCCGTTGGCGTCGAAGGGAGTGGTCAGTGATGTCTTGGAGTTGGCGTTCTCGGTATCAGAGCCAGTGACGGCAGGGTCGATCAGAGGCACGACGCCACGCAGCTCTGCGGTTGCAGGAAGGGTGGCATCAGAGCAGATGCTGGGAATAGAGACCACAAAAGGGTTGAAGTTCTGCTCCGCAGCCACGAGCCCCTTGGCGGCATCGATGACGGACGGGTCAGTGCCGAGCTGGGTGACGATCTTGTCGGCCAGGGTAAGCTGGAGTATTTAGTCAGTATTTAGTGAGCCTGTGGAATCCGGATAACAGAGTGGCTTACCTTGTCACATGGGTTGGCGGCCGCGAGCAGAGACCCCGGAATGCCACCAGCGAGGGTGGCAGCCTCTCCGGGGTTGCCAAAGTTGGAGAGGGAAGAGACAGCAGAGACAGGAACCTGTTCCTGGCCGAAACGGGCCTCGGTGTAGGCCACGAGGGCGGCGACGATGATCGACTTGGACATCATGGTGGCGATTTTTGATTATTGGAGTGGATAAGCCAAGGACGTGATATGTTTATGAATGGGTATAAGCGAAATCCTTGACCGAGCAAGAGGATTTAGGTGTGTAGAAAAGAATGAATGTAAATAGTAGCAGGCAAAGAATGTGGTAGGGAACCAAATGTTCACAGAACTGGTAAAGAATGGAAGATCACGAACTTGGAGCTGGAAGTGTATACTTGGAGATGATGGTGAAGGTGTGGGAGTAGACCGTCACCCCATGTGAGCTGGTAGCGAGGTCTTTATAGGCCGCAGCCGACCCAAGGTGATGTAGGTGATGGGCGATGTACAAAACATGATGTGAAGCAAGGGTATAGAGAGCCATGACCACTTGAATCACCAAGCGATATGTTCCCCTTCAATGCCGATCATACTGGGCCTGGGCACTGATGGCTCGCAGGGATGGTGAGACGATGCCCCTGAGACTGGTGCCATGCCGCCCATCCCAACGTTGCGGTACAGTAACGGGAGCAGGGGGGTCAAAAAAGCGTGTGTGGGTGTGTGGGCGAGGCGCGCGGCAGAAGACAAGAAAGGGAAAAAAGGTGCAGTAGACCAGACGAGACAGGCCGCTTGGCAGCTTGGACAGGCATGGCCGTGGTCCGGAGGTTGAGGCTCTGGCAGCTAAGGACGCCACCATTCGACATGATGGGACGAGACGTCATGCGATGTGCACGAGGGTACCCCGGGCTCAGATAGGGTTCCTCTGACGGCAGCGACTAAGTTGACAGCAGCGAGTAAGTCGAGGAGATGTGACGAACACACAGTCCAGCCGGGAGATCTGCAGCTGATAGTGATCACCAGCCAGGTCGACTAAGGTTTTGCTGCTGGAAGCTTAGCTATGCTCGACAGTAGGGTTCTGCCCCACACTAACCAGTCAAGACCGGGAAGCGAGAACCAAAATTCCGAAGAAGCAGGGGGAAAAAAGAGGGCGGCTCTGTTCCACGTGCACGCAGGTGTGGAGACCAGACCAGACCAGACCAGGCTGACAGGCCATGGCTTGCCCTCCTCCTCCCATGGCTGGCCATGTCCAGACAGACGACAGACCGGACGGAGGTTGGCCCTCAATTGCGGCCATGTGTTCGTGGCCCAACCTGACAGAGACCCATCATCCGGACGTCGCAGAAGAGTACAGTAGCTGGTTAGTCGGCGGCTGCTGGAGCATTGTTGCCCAGGCGGCGGCATCACAGCCCGTTGACGGACTACCCGAGGGTCCAGCGTCCCGCTCTGCCGCAGGACCGTGTACATGCACAATGTTCCAAGGCTATTTACAGTTGGTCGGTCCTGCTTTGGGGATGGCCGATGCGAGCAGTTGTCTGGCGCCGAGGGGGGTGGGTCAGGGCAGAGCGGCAACAGAGGGAAGTCCCTGGCCGAGATGACACGGAGACGGGGCGAGGGGGGGTGCGAGGCAAGGCATAGCGGGGGCGCTTCCACCTGAGCGAGTTTCTTGTAGCTGGGAAAGGCTTAGCCGTGCGTGGGGTGTTGTGGTGAGAATAAACTCATCAAGGTTGAGATCCACGAAATAAGCAGCAGAAGAGCCTCAACGCCAGCAGGGGTGGCCCTAGCTGCGGGGGCCAAGACCCTGACCCAGCTGAGACACTTGGGGGGGAAGGGGCAGCACAGCGCCACACCACTGGCAGGGACGGCCAGGGACGAGCTAGAGCTGCATGTGGTAACTGCCCAGGTGGGCTGCCTACCCACAGGGCTGTTTGTCACACGGGGTCTGCACTTGAGACGGACTCCTGTTCTCAAGAATTCCCCGCTACCCGCCAGCTGCTACTCAGGTTGCTCTCAGGTCTTGCTGGTGACACGACGAGGGCGCCGGCTGGCCTCGTTCATGGGCTAGCCTCACGCTCGTCACCCAGATCCTCCGCCAGATCGGACCGCCCAGCCGCTGGCATCTGGACTTTCTCGTCGTCACGTCCCATCCCGTCTCATCCATCCCATTCTCACCTGTGCTCTCTTTCCACGTCTCTTTCCCTCATCCTGGCTTTTCGGCTCAAGCTGATTGAACTGCTGGCCTGCACCCGCATGTCAGCCCGTCCGGACATCAGATTTCTCAGCTCGTCTCTCATCCGAAAGCGCAAATGAGAGAAAGAACAAGGAGCGAAAAAGAAAAAAAAAAGATTGGTATGGGCTGCCGCACACGGGCCTAAGCCGCACACAAACATTACCTGGGTACCTAGATCAACCTGCACGACTCTGTGACATGCAATCGATGCTGTGCACCTGCCTCAATGTTCCATCAAGCACATGTCACATGTATCTAGCGAAACATGGCAACGGTGCGAGTCACAAGGAGCAGAAAACAAAACCCAAAAACACAAACATTAAACGTACGCAGTGTTTGTCGATCAGTCAGCCCCTGGAAGTCTATTGTCCAACGAGTAAACACAACCCTATCATGACACCCGTCCATACGAGCCCCTTCCCGCGACTGAGAGTGGCCACACCGTTGTCAGATGTAGCAGTAGCTGTGGCCGCCCCCGTTGCAGTCACAGTGGTGCTCGCCTCCGCCTCAGTGCTTGAGGGCAACTCGGAGCTCGTGCCCGTCGCCGAGCTTGTGCCCACATCCGCCCCTGTCGTCGCAGAAGGACTGGCACTGGGGGCCTCCGATGTGGCTCGGGAGCTCGAAGATACGGTCGCAGTCGCCGTGGCAGTGTTGTTCTCGATTCCCACCATGGATCGCACCCAACCTGCAGCGTCATCGGTGAATTTCTGGAAGTAGTCCAGGTGGGTCGCATGATCATCTCCCCCGGCGCACACGGGATCCGTAGCTACGCAATAGGAGCGGAGGACAGAGGCATAGGTGGCCATCTTCTGGAGATCTGTGCCAGAGCGCGGGAAGCCGCTATTCTTGTCGGCGCCAGTCTCCACGTTGTACGGCTGCCCTGCCGTGTGGCGGGTGTCGCCGAAGACGAGAACGGCAGCAACTGTTACCCTAGCATCAGCTACACTCTTCTCCACATCCAATTACTGCAGGTGCTGCTGAATCTAGCCGAGGCCCCGCAGCAAGAATACTTATCAAGTCAAACAAACGTGGACTTACGATGACTCCCCGGGCTCGTCTCGGCCGAGTCGAACCCATCCACCTCAGGCTCTGTCGTTTGGTACATGATGGAGTCACCACCTGTACCGCACAACATATCTCCCACGACGTGTGCGCCCAAGCTGTACCCGGACATCACAAGTTTAGCCTCGGGGCAATCCTCCGCATAGGCTGTGACCTGAGACTTGCCAGCTGTCACGCCCTCGTGTATCGAGACCCCGTAGACACTCCCCTTCATGTCGTCAAAGATAATGTCTTCATATCCGCAATCGCTGCCGCTGAGCCCAGAGCAGATGGCATCAACCACTGCTTTCTGTCTTCCGGGGTATTCCTCGTTCCATCCTCGCACGAGGAATATGTGGGTTGTCTGGCAGGCAGATCGCTCCGGGGTTGCGGCGGCAGGCGAGTGATGTGATGCAAGGTCCGTTTGGGTGCTGGAAACGAGTGACAACAGCGTTGACACAAGTCCCAAGAACATCGAGCTTGAGAGCATGATAATTGACGTTGGGAAAGGTCAAGTCTGTTTTGTGTCGATCAGTGTACTCTAGAAGCAACCTCAGCAGTCGGCTCCACAACGACTCCAGTTACGATCCCAGTGCTAAGAAGACGCAGACGTAGGCCACTCGAGTCACGCCGGCGTGTTTGCTTCCTAACTGGAATCTGTGACTTGTGCACAGAGCTGCCCCGAGAGTGTCAAAGAAATTGTTCCAAATGCTGGTGAGGATGGCCAAGACGGACAGGACCAGGTTCCCAGTTGGTATCCAGGAACTTACCCAGCGTTCGTTTGCAGGCCGCCGGGCTGTGCGTCTTGAGGTCAGCTGTTGGGCGGATTGAGTGTGTTTGTGCCTGGTTCCTGGCATTAAAACGATCAACTTCCTGTTTCCGTCGCCCAGAGAACCTGGGTGGAACACACGACGTGATGCCTACCTGATGCCAAATTTATACGGAATGGGTAGTGAGCTGGGCGATTAGTCGATCTGTGTCTGCATTATGGCTATTGATGGAGGAGGGAAAAGAGGCCAGATAGCCTGCGATCTAGGTTATAAATACTGGACGGGGTGGTCTGTGACTGGAGGTTCGGGTGAATGCCGCCGTGTTCACCGTACCACGAGTTTCCTGCGGGGAGCCGCTTTGGCCAGGACTGAACAGTTGAACTAGACCATTCCTCCATACGGCCTTAGGCGATTCAAGATTGTACCTAGGTCGGCGGCAGCTTGCTTATTAGCTAAACTTCAGATGTCTCAAAACTTTACATGGAGTGTAGAAAGTTTGTAGTGCCTACCGCATCCAGAGGTGTAACGTTGTCTGGTAGTCGTCCACATACATAATCAGCCATCGTCTCCTTCCACCTTGGAGAGGTTGTCTCAACCAGCATGATGACACATATGGCTATGTGTTATTAAAAGACACAAAAGCTAGCCGACCTGCGAGTATTTTGTGCATGATGAAAATATAAATAAGACTTCTCCGGAAGCAGCCGTCTCTGGCACCACTGCAAACTTAGGTTCATGGCCACCAAATTTGGGAAGGTATCATTAATCTAATTACAATTCAATCCGGAAACATCAAAGTCAATCACATCGGAGTGCCAGTTGCCTTCTTTGGTACTTTCGACCAAGCTCCGTGATCAAGACTTTCTGTCGCCAACGGGAGACCAACAGCTCTGCTGTGCAAGACAAGTTGGGTTTGGATGATTGTTGGAGCCGTGCATGAACACCTACAGGCCTCGACGTTTCTGACTTTCTTATGCCTGCTTTTCATCCGATTTGTTTCCAGAGCCAGCCACCACCGTAGCTGCCAAATCGGACCTAGAATGGATGAGGTTGCTCAATTCAGGCTTGCGTACGGTGACGTCACAGGTAATGAGCATGCTAACAAACATGCTCTACCTGGGCAGCTGCAGCACTTGAAAGCTCTGCCTCGCATACTGCTGTGCTGTTGTACAGTCGACCATCGATTTTCAGAACTCTCTCCTACGCCTACCTACACTCGGTCAGACTGTCTCCCACCATGTTCTTCCCAACCGGCCTCGTGGCCCTCATCATCACCCTCATCAGCGTTTATGCCCTGCGCCAGTCCGTCACGTCCATCGGCAACATTTCGAAATATGAGGAAAAAGCAAAGAAAGCAGCAGAATGGAGCAACACGGCCAGGGACCGCCTCTGGGGCACGCGCTACACCATAGGAACGGGCTTTGTCTCTGTGAGCACTTCCATACTTTGACCGTCTAGTCTACTTGAATCAAATGCCGGGCACAGCTGACCTTGTACCCCGAATTAAGTGCCTGGTGTCCCTGATCACAGCCGTGGCCTACGTGCTCCTCGTCCCGTCCGGCTCCGGCATCTTCGCCGCTCCGTTACGGACCATCTGGCCCGCAGTGCTCGCCGTAGCCCTGCGCTTCGGTGCCAGCCGGTACATGCACAACTTTTGGGCGACCAAGGCCAAGGTGCCACTGGTAGACCAGTACAACGCCGCGATCTCCCAGAGCATGGACGTAATCGGTTTCTTGGACCTGCTTTCGGTCGGCTGGGCTGCTGTGGCGGTGCTCAAGGCGCTCTCGCTGTGATGGTGGGTTCGAAACCGGTCAGGGGATCTATGGGTCGTAGGGACCGCGTGCGCGTCTCCCGGAAAGCAGCTCGGCCTCTCCCGCCTCTGTGACCAGGTAGATGTCTTCATGACGCACGCCAAATCGATTCTCGAGATAGATACCTGGTTCGTTTGTAAATGTCATCCCGGCTTGAAGGCGGATCCCCGTGTTCCACTTGTTCAGGTACGGTGATTCGTGAGCTGTGGTTTGCTCCGTGTTAGTTTGTGTTCTCATCAGCAGGGGAGAGAAAAACACCCGCGAGGCTGCTGACCCTTGATTCCAATCCCATGACCCAGCCGGTGTGTGAATCCATATCCATATCCAGCGTCTTCGATTACGGTCCGAGCTGCGATATCGATGCTTGCGGCCGTCGCGTTGGGCTTGAACGCTTCCGCTGCGGCCGTCTGTGCCTCGAGTACGATTTCCCAGACTCTCAGTTTCTCGGCATGGAGCTCTGGAATTGATGGAGCTGCCTCCTCGCCCTGGCCGCTTTGACCTCCCAAGAGCCGCCTCATGCTTGCCAGGAATCGGCCAAGAAACGTGTGCTGTCGCGTAGGCGGGTCTATGAAAAAGCTCCTGCAGATATCTGAGGAGTAACCAAGATAATGAGCTCCGACATCAATCACCACCATGCTCTCATGCTTTCTGTTACACATTAGCAACTATTGGTAAACAATGGAACAGTCCGCACAGAGTCAGGACTCATACGTACAATTTGAGCCAGCCCGTAACAAAGCCGCCGTGGGGCAGAGCTCCGTGTTCCTCGAAGAGCACAATGTTGAAGAACAGCTGGAACCCAATTGATAGCATCGCATTGTTGAGGATATCGGTGACTTGATTTTCGGTTAAACCAGCCACAAGACAAGGCCTCATGGTCCTGACAGCCTCGACCGTGCCTGTATTCACGGCCCTCAAAAGCTCAACCTCTGGGGGGCTTTTGGTCTGACGGACAAGCTCCACAGCAGGGTTCAGTCCTACAGTCTTGAAGCCCGCTCCGTCCAGGCCTCGGACGATGTAGTCGCGGATTTCCTCGTCCATCATCAGCTTGGGGGAGCCGTTGAAGTCCGCGAAGAGTCGGGACTCGAGCAACGTGTTATACGGGTCCCAATGCTCCTCCCAAATGACGATGTCAAGCTCGTCGTCGCGGCTGGGGATACCAAGCATTCGGACGCGACCTTCTTCGAAATGTGGCGACAGGAAGGCCGTCTTGGCTCTGATATCGCCGTTCTCAGATTGCTCGGGCAGCACAAGCATGAGGAAGGGTCGCTCCTCAGGCTCCCAGGGCTCCCAGTCTGTCTGTGAGATGTTTCCATAGTATCTGGCTTTGGGTCAGCCAGCGGGTACTTGTATGCATTCTGAGCGGTAGAAGCGACGACATACTGAAACGTATAGCCAGGCTCGAGGACAAAAGCATCTACTTCGGATGCTGCCAGAGCCTTTGCAAGGCGGTCTCGTCGGCCGATGAATTCCTCGGCCGTGATGGGCTTGGCCTGATCCAGGAACGACAGGTCCTTGTGCAGGTTGTCGATGGCGCATCGCTGGGCCTTGTCGAAGGCCGAAGACGTCGTCCTCTGGAGGAAGGGCAAGGGATTTTCAGAGACAAAGAGGCAAGCAAGCCATGTCATGGCCAGAATGGCGCTACCCAAGCTAACGACGCGACGCTTGTGTGACAGCTGCCCAGAAGCGGGCCGAGCGCTCGGCGGCACGCCGCCTGCTGCATGCTGCACCTTCTCCATGACTTGGGTATCGCGTGGCCGACTTCTCGAATCCTCTTGTCAAGTGCGTCACCGATGGTGCCTCTTTCGACGTTGATGCCAATTCCAGGGCCTCGGGCAAAGATGGTGTGAAGGATGCAGGTCCTGGTGGCCCGACATGCTGGATCGGCTCCTACACGGAGACAAACGTGCCGGCAAAGCGGGTCTTCCCCCGCCCATCAGCACCGGGTATCGCTTCGCACGTCCTCTGGATGCCGGTGAACTGCCGGTAAGCCCTGTCTGTTGACAACATGCTTGTGCGTTACATCCGTCTTGATAAGACCATACCTGAGTGCACAAATTGAGTGGGGGGTCTTGTTGAAGTGAGCGAGTCCATGTCGCGTCTCCATGTTGTGAGGGGCGCTCTTAATTTTCCCCTCTGTCTCCTACAGCCAGCCGTTTAAAGCCAGACATTGCCTGAACTTGATAAACATGGCTGATCCGACCACCAGCCATGAGTCTAAGGCTCCTGGAGCCCCCGGTGACGGACTTGAGATTCAAGAGTCAAAGATTGGCGCAGCTTCAGCCACCATCGATGATGCATGTGGCGATGTGGAAATCCAGGCGGTAGAAGAGCCAGAGAAGACTTATTACAGCAAGCTCTCGGTCTGGCTCATGGTGCTCTTCTCGGGCCTGGCGATTGGATCTGATGGCTAGTGAGTCTCCAATTCAAAGTGCCATCCGCGCAGACATAATGGAAAGCTGATCGCATCTAGCAATGCCGCGGTGATCGGCAATGTGGAGCTTCTCCTGGCGGTGCTCTACCCGGAGGCACTCACTGACGCTATCTACAAGCGCCTGAGCAATGCCTTTCTCATCGGCATGATCCTGGGCATGGTTTCCTTGGGATTTACGGTGGACCAGCTGGGCCGCAAGACGGGCGCCGTCGCTACTACGATGATTCTGGTCATTGGAATCGTGCTGTCCGCCGCTGCAAGTGGAACGTCGCCTACCGGATTGCTGTGGATGCTGATCATCGCACGTGGAATCGCCGGCGTAGGCGCCGGCGGCGAGTGTGAGTTCCAAGTTCAAGAGGGTTCGCCGTCATCCGAAAAACATCCCCACTGACGCATCGTTGCTTGTCATAGATCCCGTCTCCGGTGCCGGTGCAGCTGAAGCGACGGACGAGAGTCACCAGTACCGCAAGCATCGTGGCTTCATGTTCGCCATGCTGGCCGACCTGTCCAGCTCACTGGGCTATGTCTGGGGAGGCCTTGTCCCTCTGCTCTTGCTCCTCTGTGTCGGCCAAGAGGTCGAGAAATACGACATCGTCTGGAGGACCTCGTTCGCGCTTGGGCTCGTCCCGCCATTGGTGATCTTCTGGTTTCGCTTAAAAATGGCCGTCTCGACCGCATATCGAAAGTCTGCCCTCCGCAAACAGCGCACCCCGTACCTTCTTGCTGTCAAGAGATACTACCGACCTCTGATCGGCTGTGCGACGACTTGGTTTCTATACAACTGGATCTCGATACCTTTTGGAATTTTCAGTTCCACCATCATATCACGGGTTAACGTTGGTGACAACCTGGTCAAAAACTTTGGATGGGGGACTTTAATCAACTGTTTCTACATTCCAGGCCCGTTCCTTGGTGGATATCTCTCGGACAAGATCGGTCGAAGGAAGACCATGGCTCTGGGTTTTGGTATGCAGGCGGTCCTGGGATTCATTCTCGGCGGAGCCATTTACCCGATCCAAAGCATCTTCCCACTATTTGTAGTCATCTACGGGCTTTTCCTAACATTGGGTGAAGTTGGGCCCGGCAGCACCGTGGTTCTCACGGCTTCAGAGTGCTTCCCAACCTCAATTCGAGGGCAGATGATGGGCTTCGTGGCTGCTTGGTCGAAAGCTGGGGCTGCGATAGGCACGCAGGTATTCACGGCAATTCTCAGCGCGTATGCTACCGATCCGTCAAAGGGCGACCAAGTGGCATTCCTCGTTGGGTCGGGCTTTGCCGTAACTGGCGCCCTCGTCGCCCTCTTCGTTATTCCAGATGTATCGAGAAAGCTAGAAGACGATGACAGGGACTGGAAAGAATACCTCGCAAAGCAAGGCTGGGAGGGAAGCTGGGGCGACAATACCACCAAGGATCCTTCTGGGGTGATACTCAACCAAAGGGGATCGTAGAAGAATAACAATGGAATTCTGCCTACTATCAGTTATTATACAGAAATTTTATATTCACCTGCGCCCACCCACATGTGAGTCGAGCTATTCGAATAGGGCTTTGATCAGGAGAACGGACATTGGCACAGAAAGAAACGGATGGTATACAGATACGTTACACGTCTGGTACACTTATACCCACGCACCCACACCCAACGCACCCACACCTAACACACCCAACACACCTACGACCATTTCACATCCCCCAATCCAATTCATATACACACTACAATTCACATAGCCACATTTATACACTTAATTTACACACCCAATCTATGCGACCAACTTGTTGTTCCGGCGCCTTTCCCGGTCTATTTTTTTCTGTTTTATTATTAAGAATATTAAAGTAATAATAAAATCTTAGCCACGCGTTACATACAGCAGCATGACTGAGCCGATGCCCGACCTATTCCAAGTGTCCCAGCTGGTTTTCTGTCGTTACCAGCGCGTATATACATGATAGCACATAGGTCCGGGACAGACGACTAATGTTTGGACACTTTGAAAGGCAAATTGCTTAGAATTCCTCCCAAGTGGTCGATCGGATGGGTCACATCGAGTGCAGGAATAGCTTGAGGCGGCAACGGCGGCTGGTTCTGGTATTCCCTAGGCATGATTAGTGTCTCGGTGACCCTCGGGGAGCTCAGCCAGGCGCTTCAGTGTATTATGCAGTATTTCTTCAAGAGCAGACCCCTTCTTACCCCTTTGCTAATATTACCGCTCGCTGCAGACATCAAGGCAGGGCGAATCCCACCCCAAGGGCGGATACGAATAAAGTTCACTTGTGGTACGGTGTTAGTGACGGCAAGGTGGGAAGCTGGAGACCCGCAGCCCTGTCCCAGCCAACAGCAAGACGCGCTCTTCTACTAAATACAGAACCGTTGCGGCAGAGATCTGTCTAGTCCCTGAAATTTTCTCGGTCCGCAAGTCTAACGCACCATGTCACGATTATGGCGCAGCCGGGTTTTGAGGGATGAAGACGAGCCGGGGCTGGTTGGCGTGCCCACATCTGATTGGCGCGCATGTTGCATTGCGACTTCGTAAGGGTCGACTCCATTGGCACGTGTGTTGCAGGGCTGCAGACATCGCAAGATTTTGGGATTTGTGGGTCTGTGTAAGCTTCAAAGACATGCGAGAGGTATTCAGCGGGCTTTATCTTGAGGGTCTGGATCTGTCCATGCGTGATGTGGCGCGTATAGAAGGGTCGCATGCACGACTGGTTCGGTGTCCTCAAACAATACCCGCCCCGAGAGGCGTATCAACATACCCGGGCCATGGTCGCCCTCATTGTATATAAAGCTTTTGCTCTCGCGGCCTCGATCGTCTGTTTCTCGGATACCTGTAGACCTGCAGTATTTCTTTTCCCTTGCTGGTCACCTTTTCATTTTCCGAAGTTAGAAAGCAATATTACCAGTCCAGACTCGCCAGCACCAGCATCTTGATTCTTCGCAGAGGACGCAGGTGAAACGTTATCAATATGTCTTACAAGCCGCTCGAAGGCAGGCTCGCAGTCCTGACAGGGGCATCAGGAAGTGAGTCACCTTCCAGAGCTCCGATCTGGCGAGCAAAGTGTCTAACCCACAACAGCGATAGGAACTGCCATCGCAGATAACCTCGCCTCCAAGGGCTGCAACCTCGTCCTGAGTTACTTTGTCCCTGAATCAGCCCCTGCTGCCGAGGATCTTTCCATTGCGCTGCAGTCCAAGTACGGCATCAAGGCTTTCGATGTCCGTGGGGACCTCGCCAAGCCAACCGGTCCTGCAGACCTCGTGAGTGCTGTCAAGAAGCACTTCACCGAGCTCGAGCCGAACAAGCCTTTCCAAATCGACGTCTTGCTAAACGTGGCCGGTATCGCTCTCAACAACAAGCTCCCCGATATCAAGGCGTCAGAGTTCGACACTACGTTTCGTATCAACGTCCTGGCCCCTCTGATGCTCGTGCAGGCTGTCCAGCCGTACCTTCCCAAAGACCGCTCCGGGCGCATTATCAGTGTCTCATCAATTTCCGCCCATTGCGGCTTTGTTGGGCAGGCAGTATATGGTGGGACTAAGTCAGCCATTGAGGGTATGACGCGCGTGTGGGCACGGGAACTTTCCGAGAACGCCACAGTGAACTGCGTCACTCCAGGCCCTGTGGAGGGACCGCTGTACGCGTCCAACACGGATGAATTCAAGAGGGAAGCCAAGGGCTGGATCGAGCACACGCCGCTTATGCGTGTGAGGAGCGGCATCGACCCCGATGACGTTGTAGAGGAGGCGAAGACGACGGGAGGACGACCCGCATACGCGCATGAGGTTGCGGGAATCATAGCCATGCTTTGCCTCCCGGATGCGGCATGGTGTACGGGGCAAGTTGTTTGTGCCAACGGTGGCATGCTGATGTGAACAGTGCTGCACAGCAGATGGGATTAAGGAACGAAAGACTATCTCATGTGTACATTTTTCAGGTTTCAGGGCTGCAACGCAAGAATAGAGTTGTTAATATAGCATGAGCTAGAAATGTTGTTAAATGCGGAAGAGTTCTGGTACACTGTTATAAATAATACTTTCAAATATAGAAACCCATTTCTAGCATCTTCAGTCATCTATAAAGTAGAGTTCGAATGCAGATGGTGCTTGGCAGATGTTGGATTTTGCAAATGTCGTTTGATTGGCGTTGCTAGCTGGTGGCTGCCCACATGCAAGCAATCTACTCAGTGGCTATATCTCGGTTTCGGAGGGCGAATTTAGTAGTAGCTTTAATGTCAGGGGAATGATGAAGACATTGCAACACCGTGCGAGCTTCTGAATCCTGAATATATTTGACTCTGTTTTATTAAGTGTGCTTCATTTTGTGGAGTTTCGAGCAAAGAACACACTGGCAAGTCTCTCTCCCCATGTCACTTGAAATAACTTGAACTTCAGCAAAGGCAATTGACACATGTTTGATCATCTTGAACTGTTCCACCTTTCTCAAATCTACTGTTGACAGTACAATACTCTCATGTTCTATGAGGAAGAGACTGCTGTCGATCCGCAGTCAGAAGTACGGGAAATGCTCTCGGCCTTTGTCACCCTCTCATCGATCAAGAGGTTCCGCGATTCTGTCAAGTTGGCGAGCGATGCTCAGTATTGATCTCAAACCAGGCCTCTGTGCCTTGCCACACCAAATTCGCAGACTGAACAATACGGATACCCTGTAATTAAGTCTCAAAATGCTTAGGAAACGATCAAAGTCTAGGAGATTTTTCGCTAACAAAAGTATACTGGACTTTGTCTGGTCACATTCAAGTGTTGGTAATATCCATGAAGCCATCGACAAGGTCACAGAGGCGCAACACCCACTGGGGTCTACCCTACAATTTCTACTCTACATGAATATCTACGAGGTCTCTGACAGTCGGTGCCCCATAAACTATTGTGAAAAAGCAAGGCGTCAATGCAACTTGAACATCAGTGAGTCCTACGACGGGCTACAAATCCAAAATGGGCCATGAGCGCTCGGAAACAAGCAAGCGGATCATGCACGTGGGGAGCCCTGGTAGGTACGTGGTCAGCAATTAAGCATATTTGCTGAGCACCTTTTTGAAGTACAGCACGCGTTACTGGCGTTGGTATAGCCACTAATTATCTTAGACATTGATGCATTCAGAATTGGTGGCCGAGCAAGTTTCTGATCTCCAAATCTCACTCCATGGCCATCCTGAGGTACCTTACAACACCTTCGTAAAGATTTGGATCAAGCCGTACGCAGGGAACGAATTTGAACTTGGCCCGATTCAAATTTCATTTGCGTACAGGAGCTGAGGACATTCAAGACTTCTCCGGCGGAGGCGGTACCCACACGGGCTGCTGAGCCTGGGCTGCAAGATTCGTCATGCCAAGGGCTTGATAGGAGCTTAGGGCTTGCGTACATGGCCAATAGGTCTTCTCAGCGCACACAAGACAGCTAGTATAAATTGTAACCTATGTCTTCAGTATGCATCGTAAGCTGTGAATGGGGTAGAAGGGTGATTATCCCCAAAAGACAAGAATGGCAAGGAGCATGTGTGAATGATGGATCCCCAACGGAGTCGATCCTCATTCCCCGCAAATTCACTGCGCTGACCGGATATTGAGAGTCGCAGTTGATCTGCATGTTCAAAACCAAGATGTCTGCTATCAAGCCATGTGCCGGTTGTTAACGATTTCGGAAGACCGCCCGAGGTGCTGCAGGCCTCCTCCGGTCTTCCGGGATGTGAGCTGTCATATGGCATGGGGAAAGGGCCGGGTGGACTGCCCCTTTCGTATGGCAAGTCCAATTTCGAATACATACAGGTTATTCGGCTGCGCACCACGTCTCAGCAGTCTGTGTCTACATGAGGCCAAGTGCACACATTGGAAGGAAAGGGCTGACCATAGATTTGCTGTACTACATGGTCTTGCTAGATAGAGAATTAATCACACAAGCATAAAAACCAAACCTTTTCGATCCCTTTCTATAAATCGCCCCCGTTCTCAGCAATGCGAGATGCCACAAGTCGTTGCATCTACTGAAATACGTGCGGGATTCACACGTCAAGTGGTGAGGCAAGTTCCGGCGTCCAGGCTGCTCTTCGGGAGATTAGTGCACACACTCAAAAGGATCAGGTTGTGGAACCCGCGATTCCAGCCCACATCGTAGAGGAAGGTTTGATCGAAGGCGTGTGGGTATTTTTACTGGTCAATTGTCAAGCTTGTCCCAAAAGGAGCATTTCTTGCGATTCCAATCGCAATTGATGAGGCTCACCGCCCCAAGGGGAGTGCGAAAACTGCGACTCATGCAGGCAGTGAACTGGATCTGGGCCTTCCCTCTGGGGCAGCAGCAGCAGCACTTGCGGACCGTATACGTCGAACTAGTGGAGCCATCTTCGAGGAGAACGAAAAGCAAAAATACCATGCCGGACCGCCGAATTAGGACGTTTCAGTACCATAGGCTTGGGATCAGGCTTGGGATCGGGCTTAGACGGTTCGTGTAAGTCGTCGTTGGCAACGGTCATTGATCTGCAAGGCCACATGTGCAGCAGCCGGGGTCCCCAGTGTGACGTTCAGGGGGGCCCCTGGAGGCACGCTCGAGGATCTTTGCAGGGCGAGTGGGACCGTCCGATGTCCCAGAGATGGCGGAGGAATGGTACCGGGAATGCGGCATTGTCTGTCGATTGTCGCATGCGGGACGAACCACTGGAGTGTGACTAGGAAAGTTTCAATGTCACCTCGGCCACATCAGCCGTCGATGAGCCGTACATACGTATGCCCCTCGACCTCAGGGTGCGATCTCCCTGTAATCTATCTGGGCTGGTTGTGCCATCATCCCGGAGGGCGACCCCATCTCTCGGGAGGCTGCAAAGGAACCTAACCAGAAGTGGTCATCTTCACGAGCCGCGGTCGACCACCGTGCGCTTTGCTTTGCTGGTGGCTCTGTGACCCTCTTAAGTATTGTCGACCCCCGGCAGTTGCCACGAGATATGCTGGGCCACGCGGACTGTGATCAAGGAGACAGAGGTAGATCATTGGATCAAAGATGGTGGGGACTACCATTTTGCAGTAGACTTCCCAGGGCACTTGATGATGCGTTCTGCCACGGCTGTATTATTCCATGCCTGTCCTCGCTCTCCGATGTGCCTAGTATCTGCTTGTCGCCCAGGGCATTGGGAACCCTAATTACACGAACCAATCGCAAAGCTCAAGATAGATGCCTCGGCGTTGAAGAGAGTGACTGCACTAGGTAACGACGGCATTCAGCAATAGTTTAGTAAGTCATTGCCCAAGTCGGGCCACTTATTCAATCACTTCTCAACGAATCAGGAGAGAAGAGGACGGGGACTGACAGAACAGGTGGCGTAGGAAAGACAGTCAGGCGAGGTACACCATCCGCGACTGTGCAGCAAAGGAATAACGACGCCAGCCAGTACGGGTATAAATAGGTACGGAAGGAGCCTCGTCTCTCGGCGATTCACATCCTGTCCATTCTTGCGAAAGGCCGTCTCTCGACTCCCATACAACTCCATCGACCGCGAACAAAATGAAGACCATCGGAGCCGCCATCGTCGCCTTCGGTTGGCCCATCCGAGCCGCCTCTATTCCAACGAACCCTGGCTCCCAGGCTCACAGCAGCTTGACTCCTCGGGCCGACTGCAGCAACATCACCTGCACACCGTCCACCGATGCCGCGCACATCGTAGTCAGCCGTGCCTCCACCGAGGCCCCAGGCACAGGTGTACTGGGTAGCGTGGCTGATGCCATCGTGGCCGCCCGCCCCGGCTCAGATATCGCTACCAACCCCTACCCAGCTCTTCTGGATCCCTACTTGGAGTCTGAGACGGCAGGCGTCGGCAATCTGACTGAGATCGTTCTGGCATATCAAGCTTGCTGTCCGGATAGCAAGATGGTGCTTCTCGGCTACTCTCAGGTGAGCAAGGCCCCAATTATCTCCCAAGACAGATCGGCTTGAATGAGTGCGACCGGATATTTCGAGATGAGATCCAATTAGGAATGGGTATCAACTAACCTGCTATCTCTAAACAGGGCGCGCAAGTCACTGCCGATTTTCTCTGCGGCCGCAGTTCGGCAGGATTTCCACCAACGCCTCCTTACTCCGCGGTCGTGACCGAGAACAGTGAGTCCACCACTACTGAGGGACTCCTATTTTCTCTCGGACGAGTCGACTGGAAGCTGACCTATTTACCCAGTTGCCGCGATCGTCCTAATGGGTGACCCTTCATTCGTCAAGAACCTCTCCTGGGACCGGGGCAATGCCTCGAACGTCAGCGTAAGTCCTTCTACTCATCGCGAGTCTGTAGCATAGCATAGTGCCCAAGGACGGCAAAAGACATGCCTTCAATAACGGACGTCGTGATAAACTCGTCTCGAGTCCCGTCCACCTTAATCACGAAGAAAAAGCCGAAAGCAGAATGCTGACCAACTCCCGCAACAACAGTACTTCCCTCGCATAGACAACACAGCCTGCCTCCCCGTCGCCGACAAGCTGATCTCGTATTGCGACAGTAACGACTACTTCTGCGACAATGGGACCACACCCGACGCCCTGACCATTCACGAGACCTACGTCCAGAGGTACGGCGCAGAGGCTGCCGAGTATGCTGCGGACAAGATCGGATGCAGTACGGAGTGAGGCAGAGGTACGCGAGGCTATTTGCAACATATCAACAGCACGGCCTCTGAGCAAGCAAAGAGTAAATGTCCGGATGCTGTGGCAAACAATGTTTGTATATAAAATGCTGTACAGCTGGTGAGTCTAGTGGCCCTCTAGCTCCAGCCTTGGATGGAGTTAGCCAAGGGCTCAGAGTTGTAAATGGGCCAGCGGACCATGCAGCTTCATGCTTTGCCGTAAACGAGTACCCTAATTCGTGAGTGACACACATGAACATACCTCGCTTCGGAGCCGTGCCGACCACAATATTTACTATTTTCCATGTCATTGTCGGGCAAGATGAGAGACTAAGGTACATTCCGTACAACAGAGACAGCTGCAATCTAGGGACACAGTAGTCGTGGTGGGAATGATGTGATTCCGAGATTATTTCCCAATTGGGTCCCCACACGTACAGTTTCAGACCACCATCGAAATGATCACCACGAGTAGTGAAGCAGCAAGTACAGTCAGTTCTGTGACCCCAGCCAGCTACAGGGCTGGCTGAGCCTCGGGGAGAACGGGACACCACCACACCAGGCTAAGAGGGACAAAATATGTCCGATATGATTAATTGTTCATTTTAACAAGAGAGGAAATCACCCGGAGATCCCAGGTGAGTAAGTACAAGCGCTCAAAGTATACCGTCTGTTGTTGGCTGCCTCTTACTTAGGCTTCAGTTTTACCAGTATGCCCGACAAAGGCGGCCTTTACAAGCTGGAGTATTTCTTGAAAGCTCCGATCAAGCCACCAGTGCTGGCGTCGTGGCCGGACCCGGTGCCCTCCTCGTCCAGCTCCTTGAGGATCTTCTTGGCCAGCACCTTACCCAACTCGACTCCCCACTGGTCGAAGCTGTTGATGTCCCAGACAGCGCCCTCCGTGAACGTGAGGTGCTCGTAGTAGACAATGAGAGCGCCCAGCTCGGCCGGACCAATGTGGCCGCCAACCAGCACGCTTGTCGTGGGCCTGTTTCCAAGGAAGACCTTGTGGGGCGCCAGGTCGTCCGATGTACCCTCAGCCTTGACCTGCTCCACGGTCTTGCCGACCATCAGGGCCTCGGCCTGCGCAAGATAGTTGGAGGCAAGCATCTTCTGGTGCAGGTTGTCGGACACGGGGTTGTGCGACTTGGCAGCCAGGATGAAGTCGGTGGGAATCAGCTTGGTGCCTTGGTGGACGAGCTGGAAGAAAGAGTGCTGGGCGTTGGTGCAGGGCTCGCCGAAGAGGATGGGACCGGTCGTATACTTGGCCGAAGTGCCGTCAGAGGTGGTGGTCTTGCCGTTGGACTCCATGGAGAGCTGCTGGAGGTAGGCGGGGAAGCGGTGGAGATACTGGTCGAAACTGTCACAAAGACTGTCAGCAAGGAGGATGGAAAAGCCTGGGAGGTCTCAGCTTACGGAGCGACCAGGTGTGTCTGGGCGTTGTAAAAGTCGCTATACCAGACACTCAGGAGACCACCGATGGCAGGGATATTGTCCTTGAGAGCTGCAGAGCGGAAGTGCTTGTCCATCTCGTGCGCACCAGCCAGGAACTTCTCGAAGTTGTCATAGCCGATGTAGAGCGCGACGGAGAGGCCGATTGCACTCCAGACGGAGTACCGCCCACCGACCCAGCTCTCGAAACCAAACATGTTCTTGCTGTCGATGCCGAACTTGGTGACCTCGGACTCGTTGGTGGACAGGGCTACGAAGTGCTTCGCGATGTCGCCCTTGCCGCCTGTCTTCTCGAGGAACCAGCTCTTTGCCGTGTTGGCGTTGGTAGTGGTCTCAGCGGTGGTGAAGGTCTTGGAGGCAATCAGGAAGAGGGTTGTCTCGGCGTCGGCGTTGGCGAGGGCCTCTGCGACGTGGGTGCCGTCAATGTTGGACACAAAGTGCAGGGTCTGGTCTTTAGCACCGTAGTGCTTGAGGGCCTCGGTGACCATAACGGGACCCCTATCAGAACCATGTCAGCTCTAAGATCATGCATTCCCATGTCCATAGCCACATCCGTGGTGGTTGCAGCTGCTGGAGTGGAAGCAGGCCATATTGCCCCGGGGTATGGGGGTTTCCCACTTACAAGTCAGATCCACCAATACCAACATTGACAATGGTGGTCAGCTTCTTTCCTGTGAAGCCCTTCCACTCTCCACTGCGCACCTGCTCGGAGAACTCCTTCATGTGGGCCAGGACGTCGTTCACGCCGCCCTTGGTTCCCATGACATCCACGCCATCGACTTTCAGATCCCAAGGCTGGCCCTCGAGGCCAACGTTCCGCAGGGCAGCATGGTATACGGCACGGTCCTCGGTGAAGTTGATCTTCTCACCGTTGAACATGGCGTCACGCTTCTTCTCAACGCCAGCCTCGGAGGCCAGCTTGGTCAGGAGGTCCAGGGTGTCATCGGTCAGGAAGTTCTTGGAGAAGTCGAAGACAATGTCTGTGGGCTTGCCGGAGGAGGAGACAGAGCCGGGCAGGGTGAAGGTGCGGGTGAACTTTTCGAAGCGCTTGGGGTCCGCAGCGAAGGCCTCCTTGAGCACGAAGGACTTGCCTACCGTGTCGCGGTGCTGCTGGAGCTCACTCCACGCGGGAAGGCTGCTTGCTTGGGGCATTTTGGCGTTGTTTGGGGTGGGTGATCCTGTGGTGATGCTGCTGTGGTCAGATGCCGGCGTCAGTCTTGAGATTGGAACACTATAGCGAGGTGAGGGCCAGTTGTTACAGAAAGGCACAGAGAGGGGGGGATGGGTGGCAGAGACAAAAGGTGAGGGGCATAACAGCTTCAGGATGGAGCTCCCAACGACGGTGTGAACGGAGACGGAGCACTTACTCAATGGGTGACAGGTGTAGGATTCCGGACGCTTGAAAATGGTTGAAACCTCAGAAAACTGCGAGGAAGAGGGAAGTAGTGATCAGCCCAGAGTTTTGAGAGAAACAATAAATCGAAGAGAAGTTGGAAGTGCCCAGGTGGTCGCCCAGGTGGAAGCGGGGTCCTGTGCTTCCACAGCTTCCGACACAGCAACCAGCAATAAGTAATGGCCCACGGGAGAGACATCATAGCCTAGCTGCTGCTGCCCCGCAGTGGTCTTACCATGTACCCGGGTACATGGTCACCCTGGAGCTGTGGCCCCAAAAAGAGGGTATCCGTTACACAGGCCAGAAACCGTGCAGAGTGGATGCGTTAAGATGCGTACTGCATGCTACTGTGATAAACACATCAAGAATGCACAGTCAATGGGGCCCTGAATCCAGCAGTCAATCAACCTCGTCAACTCCACTTGGGTGATCAATAGCCCGACTTTACAAACCTTTTGGAGGAAAAACATAGAAGACAACAGATTCAGACCAGAGACAGATCCAGGTTGGCCTCCCCGCTTGGTGAGCAGGTGGAGTGGAATAGACTACACTACCTGATACCCAACCTTGTCTGCCCTGCCCATCCCATCAAACTTTCCGAGTTCCAATTGTGGTGATCAGGCAAAGGTGAGCAAGCCCAACAAATGGGACTGGGACTGCGTCACCACGCATGCGTGCATGCACTGACCCAATAACTCATTCAGCACAGCAGACAACACAGCACCAGCTACAGGTGCTTCTTGTCTGTAATCAATAAACAAGCTAACATTTTGGACTCTGGGCGCTGACTAAGGACAAGATGCAGCTATTCCCAGACGTCTGAAAATGTCCTTCCCGGCGGGCCGCCCTGCCCCGTCCATCCATCTGTCTGTCAATCTACATAAGAGATGGAGGAGGCCAGGACATCGATCACTAGAGCATGGGCTGCTTGTCCTTCCGAATACAATTACAAATTCAAAAGCCAATGCGAATACAAAATAGGTGGATTCACTTGCCCAGTGGCCAGGGAAGACCTGGAGCCAGTCTGAACCGGCCGATTTACCATGTCTTTCAACCATGCATGGCCTGATCCTGATCCCGATCCTCATCTGGACCATGTCTTGGGAGTCCAGAATGGACACCAGAGCAAATTCTGCCCCAATTGATCCCCCAGGCGACACCACACCACGCCACACTCTACAGAAGAGCTGTTCACGCCATTCATGTCCACATGTGTTCAAGTCCAACTGTGCACTTCCCATTTGGCTCAACTCTAACAACTGCTATGATCATGTCTACCACCAGGCTTTTCCTCTGGTTCAAAGACACAAACCAGTAACAACAAGTGCAGATCATGGAATTTGCAGAATGAACCCTGCCCAAACCCCTTTGCCAGCCAACTGAAATGTGTAAATGAACAAGACCGTACTCCGACATGTGAATTGCTTTGAGGCCAGTGGAATGCAACCAAGCACCATGAACAGGCTGACTGGTTTGTCCTGTTGCCTCAGGACTGCTTCTCCGTTTCCCGACCCAGCCCAGGATTGGGCCCCCTTGTGGCCAAGCTTGGTCTCCTAACTGCAGCCTCACGATAAAGACAACGATGTGCCTCCACGATGTGCCTCCTTACAGAGCATTTTCTATACCATGACCTCACCTCCAGTCGCCATCATGCCCTCATCCAACAGCACGGCTTTGTGTCTGAACATTTACAGTCTGCCAGAAACGACAGACCAGGTGAGTCTACCTGTCGTTCAGACTGCCCGCGAAACCGGGGTCTTTGACACTGCCACCCATCGGCCAGGCCGGCGATTGGCCGGTTGTACGAAAAGCCCTGGAACTGGTTCTGCATCGTCTGCGACAGGACAGGGCCCTCGACGTACGAATCCTGCGGCGCCTCCGATGTGAATTCGGGATCAAAGTTGGCCGTGTCCAAGGCATCGGCCTGTTAGTAGCCAAGTCAGTAAATATGTCCAAACAGTAACAGTACTCTAACGCCAGGCCAGACTCAATGCCTTGCGAAAGGGGTGGGTGGAGGGGGGTAACATACCACATTGGGTTTGAAGGTCGGCTCGTACTTGCGCTGCAGCAGCTTCCGCCAATCTATGGCGTGGAAGAACGGGTGAGCCTTGATCTCAGCCGACCCATTGGCGCCCAGCCGCTCTGCTGGGTTCCGGTTCAGCAGCTTGGTCAGCAGGTCCTTGGCCGCTGGTGGCACGACGTCGTGGCTGGGGAAATGCAGCGGCTCTGACAGGATCTTCCTGTACATCTCGTTGGTGTTCTCGTCGTAGAAAGGGGGTAGACCTGTCAACATCTCGTATAGCAAGACACCGAGAGTCCACCAGTCCACGGTCTTGTTGTAGCCCTGACCCATCAGAAGCTCCGGGGCGAGATACTCGGGAGTGCCGCAGAAGGTGTTGGTACGGTCCTCGTCCTTCATGTCCAACTTGCATAGGCCAAAGTCGCACAGCGCAATGTGCCCTTGGTAGTCCAGGAGGATATTCTCGGGTTTCAGGTCTCGATAGATGACGTTGAAGCCGTGCAAGCACTCGAGAGCGCAAAGCAGCTCGGCAGTGTAGAACCTCGACCGGTTTACATCGAAACGCTGTTCCTTCTGCAGGTGGTGAAACAGTTCTCCTCCGTTAACGAACGCCAGTACGAAGTACAGCTTCTCGGGTGATTGAAAGGTGAACTTGAGGGGTACGATGAAGGGGTTGTTGATCTGCGCGAGAACGGACCGCTCGGCGAGAGTGTGGGTGACCTCAGACCTGGAGATGATGTGCGCCTTTCGGATCGTCTTGAGGGCATAGATCCGGCTGGTGTCCTTCTTCCGCACCTGCATGACCTTGCCGAAACTGCCCTTGCCCACCACCTTCAACAGCTCGAAATCCTCGATCTTCAGCTTGCCGGCCCGGTTCTCGACATATTCGACACCGATCTTGAGCTGGCCCTGTCCGTACTGCACGGGCACCCACTGAACACCGTTGTGGCCCAACGTCCTCTCCTTCTCGGCGAACTCATTTGCTGCCTTCTCCCGGTCCTTCTTGCTCGCCTTCGGGTCTTCGGTAAACTGGTGCTTCTCCTCGAATCGTGGGTTGATGCGGACAACACCCAGGAAGATGTCCTGGCTTCGTCCTGCGCCGGGCGGGGCGGTCGGGTTCCGGATGTAGAGATGGACGGTGAGCTCAGTCACCCTTGACACATCGAACTTGTACTGGGTGTTGGAGCCCGCCCACAGGGGGTTCTCGGGATTGCCCTCGACGGAGTTGACAAAGACCTGGACCTTGTCGAAGTCGAGTAGGGCGTAGGGCATGTACTTCCCAGAAACACGGCCATGGTTGGTGGGCACGTTGCCAAAACCGCCCGACGTGTTGGGCCTGTGTCCATTTACGTAGGAGCCCGCTGCTCGTTGCGAAGAGCCGGGCCGTACGGACCCGGCGACACTGGCGCCCCCTCCTTGAGAGAGTGAGCTGGAGTGACTGCTGAATATACTCTTGTGCTGGTCAGGTAATGCAAAGTCTTTGCCTTCGTGTATAGTGACGACGAGAATCCCGGGCTTGGGCGGCGTTATGACGGGGGCCTGGGTGAGGGCTTCCGAAGAGGCTGGACAAGCGGTAAGTCAGCGGGAGTTGCAAGGCCCAAGCCAAGGCTGCAGCCATCTGGGGCTGCAATGCCCACGGTGGGACGGAGAATCGTACCGATATTGTTGTCTGACGGTGTAGGGGATGCAGAGCCAGCGATGCTAGACTGTGCCTTGTCGTCCTTGTCGGTGATGGTCGAGGTGGAGGTGGAGCGCCCGAAGCTGCCCAGAGGGCTCAGGTGCGTCTCCTTAAGTTCTGGAAGACGAAGAGTGAGGGGTTAGCAAACGGAAAGCTCGCAGAGCGGCGCAGGCCGTCCTGGACAGCAGCGCAGAAGCGGGCCACCGCTTGTTGCTCTGCTGCAAGTCCGGAGAGAGGGCTCAAAGGGCCAAACGGGCAGGAGACTTACTCTTGGTGAGTTTCCACGACATGGTGAGTGTTTTGGGAGTTGCGGGGAGGAGGGTGGGAGCTGGGCGATGCGACGGCTGATAGTGCTAGCACTTGCAACCCGAGAGAAAGGTCACGTCTCCAAGAGACAGAGCCACAATGAGAGAGGGGAATGTGGGAGAGAGGCTGGAAGAAAGCTGACAATGAACGGGAGGGGAATCAGCCAGGGAGTGAAGAAGAAGCCGGAGTGATGGCGATGGCAAATGGCAAATGGCAATGGCTGGGAAATGTGTAGATAGGTGACCAAGCTCCGTGGCAAGTTGGCAGGCTGGAATCGGGTTGTTGACTTGGACCACGGGGGGGATGGGCGAATGGGTGGGCGGATGGTGGTTGATGCTGAGGTGTGCCCAGTGCGGCTGCACCAAGGTTGGCACTTAGCACTGGATTGGTAAGACGCTCGTTTCGGGGACAGGGCCAGACTTGGGGGCGCTGCGGTTCCACTGGGGGCTCTGCCTCTGGGCAGGCTGAGGATTGACAGGCTGACTACCTGGATACAGCGGTAACAATGAGCGCTCTTGCAGTACACAGCTGAGCATGGTTCGGCAGGAGGTACCCTTCAGGTAGGGTTCGGGTCGAGGGGCAGGGAGGGGGGACGGGGGCATGGAGCAGGGACAGGGACAGGCACGAGCAATCCTTGGGCAAAAAAAAAGGGCCACAGAGCCCAACTGGCCACCCCAAACTACAGGCACGTGGCCAGTGGTCCCTGGTCACTTTCAAATGTGCAGGTGGATGGGTCAGACTGCAGCTACCCAACTGTACAGCAGATATCTGGGAGGCCTGTGAAAGGGAAAGGGAGGTTGCAGAAAGTCAATTTCAGCGGTTCTGGTCCTAATTTTAGTCGAGGTCGATCCAGATGTCTGCGTGTCTGGTCGGGACAGGGGCGGTCAGGGGCGTTTGGTTTTGGGGCCTGGAAAAGGGGTTGTTCAATTCTTTTCCCTGAACAAACAGTCTGATAAGTAACAAGCGATAGGAATCCTTCTGCAGTCTGTGTTTTGTCATGTGCGCAGTACGGTGCTCTGTCTACTTGGCCTCCGTGGTATGGGAGACTGCGATATCTATCTAGTCTGCCGGGCTATCCATCTCCGTGTTCTATAGGTAGGTAGACTAGGTGGTCTACAGTAGATGAAGAAACACTCCTACATGTGCTCAATTGGCCCATGGGTGGACCTCCTATAGGCCACTGCCAGCCCATCATCCCTGGACCGCCGAACGAGTCGGATCGTGTTGCTGTCACCAGCCAAAAACGGCCCGAGACGAAACCTTGGAAAGTGTCCAGGCCTTGTGGCAAGCAGCACCGCCTGCAGCACCTCAGCCCAGCCCAGCCAGCCCAGCCCAGCTCAGCTCTTGTCTAGCCAGCCAGCCAGCCAGTCAGATACTCCCCTCACATTTTTCTCGAAGCCAGTGTTGCATGTAACGCCAAGGCGGGGGGTGGCAGTGCCTAGACTCTAGACCTCCTACCTACCTGGGTATCTAGCAGCTGAGATGGTCGGGTACCTAGCCCGTGCCTAGGTAGTCTACCCACATTATAACCAGCAGTAGCACAGACACAAGCCTAGCCATTGCCGACCTCACACTGTATCCCTATCTTCGCTATCATAGATCCATTCTATTGTCTCGAAATGAAGGGTAAGTCATAGTTGACACTTCTCATCAATGCTTCTTCTCTATCTCCATTCCAATCGTTCCAAATTCCTCCCAAGACTAAACCATGACGCGGTTTTGGATGCCTTTATTGTGTCAGAGCTACGGCTGCGACGGTCCACACTACGGTACAAATTACAATCTGTGGCACGGAGGCCCCCAAGACATTTCCGGTCAGGAATCGATTGCAGGAAGTTGATTTCTTTTCCACCTCATCAACCCTTTTTGAAATTCTTCGTTCAGGAAGCTATGCCACCAGGTCTTGAGGCAGCTTCGCAGTCATTATGTCGATTCATGTGACCCTCGATGTTGAACTTGTCATGGTCAAGGTCCCTCTCGTGCCACTCAATTTGATATGAGACGGTAGTTTTAGCTGTTCCCATGGTATTTGCGCCTCAAGTTCCTGTAAATGTGTCACCCGCTTTTCGTGGGACCCATTATATTGTTTGTCGTTCCAAATCTCGCCTTGTTCGTGCTGAACAATATCATCCTTGTGCCACAGATCTATGCGTATTTATAGCCAGTCATTAGCAAGATCCATGGTTTATGTTGCCACACGTCTGAGCCCTCATGCTGTGGTGCGATTTCTCCCTGAAGTGACACCACGGAAGGTGTTTTGTATGCAGTGTATGCAGATATGACTGGGTTTGATCTTATTATAGGCGGGATCACATATAAGTTTGCGCTACCCTAGTGTTAAGACATAGTAACAGGCTGGATTCTGCATTATAGTAACAAGCAACAAGACCAGATGTAGACAAGATGCACCGTAACCAATCAAGAGATTGTACGGGTGCCTTTACAGTCTTTCGCGTTGCACCGCGATGTTCGAGTCTCTTGACAGAAGACCACATATTGAGATTAAAATACGGTGCATGGCACAATGCATGTCTCTACATGTCAGCCGCCGGAGGCACTGATTATCAAGATTCAGATGTAGTAGACTGACATAGTATACTGTGTGTAGATTTTTCAGAAAGAAAGACATAATAACTAGCACAATACGAAGAAGCATCACAACAAGAACGAAGGCAAGTCGACCTCGCCGCTGGTTTGTTGGACAACGAGACCAGTCTCCACACGCTCGAAAGCGACGAGATGGGATTGTCGAGGGTGGCACAGTTCAAGTGATCAAAGGCTTTCGGGGGGGGGTGTAAAGGTGATGAAATGACTCTCCGAAGAATCTTTGGCGCACGTGGTCGTATCTAGACAGATAGGCGAAGGAGACAAAAATATTGTGCCCACTTCTCACCAAAATCTGAGATATTTGAGCGACCACCGCTTCGTATCTAAAGAATTTCTTCTCTATGAGCACATGACCGTTCTGAGTAAAGACCTGGAGCGCATAGTCGCCTCATCCGGGGCACATCCTGCGCCATCCACTGAGAAGCTGGAAGACTTGCATCGCCTTTGAAAGGATCATTACCCTGGCCTATCAACTCGTCGCAACGGAGAAAAGAGAAGGAAAAAAAAGGGGGGGGGCACACAAAGTGACGAAGGGGACGAACTGTGGTTGCGGCCTGTGAAGTTTTATCATTAAACGTCGTTCTATCTGAAGCTCCTTAACAGAGAATTCTATAAGGATCCAGGGTAGTATTTATCCTAGAGTACCTGACAACGAAACCGCGCCGACATCATTCTTCCCCAGATTGCCTAAGTTCCAGTTGTCCTCGGCGGTCTTGGAGAGGCTGTAGTGATCAAAGCGGGTCGAGTTAGTCGTCCCGACGAGGTCATCCGATACCGCACTTCCTAGCAGGACGGCCAATACTCGATTCTCTGCCAGGTAATTCTCGCACTCATCGAAAGTAAGGATGATGAGTGTCCTGTCGATGTTGAAGTTTTGGTTCGATAGCAGCGGCTCCATGAAACTCCTTGCCCACTCCCCTGCGACTGTGATGGAGCTGTCGTGGCCATCTGAAGTCATGTTTGGTGTGACCCAGATCCACTGTGGCAGGGTGTTACTTGCCAGTTCTTCGTAGAACACGGTTAAGTTCTTTGATTTGGCCAGCCTGTTGATATCCCCCGTTGCCGAATTATAGCTCATCATGGGCTGCCTCAAGAATCAGCATCTCCGGCATAGAAGCCCAATGATGTAGGGGAGGTAAAAACTTACGTTATGCTTTCTTACATACATGTTAGCGCCCGTCTCTTGATTGACCCAATCCGCCTCGAACCCCGAGTATGGTTGGTCCTCTCCATAGATGCTCCAGCTAACACCGCCGGCTTCCAGGAGATCAATAACGGTCTCAACGCTCTCGTCGATTTGCACAAAGTTATCGAGCAAAACACCGTTCTTATCGGCGCCCAGCGCCGCAACGTAGTTTGGCTGGGACGGGTGCGTTATGCTCCAGTAATTATCGAGCTTGACACCCAGGGTGGCGAGGTAGGCGAAGTTCGGGTCGCCCTCGGCGATAGCGTAGTCTTGATTTTCGAAGAAAATCTGCACATAGCGATCAAAGTGCTGGCCCTTGACCGCGCTAGTTGGGTGCAGGGTCAGGGCAGTTGCTGCAGCGGCGGCGACGTCTGATGCTGCCGTGCCAGTATACATATTAGACGCTGCGGGCGTCGACTGCGAGGAGCCCATGTCAGTGAGCCCCGCTGGGTGTCGAGACTCAGTGGTTGAGGTGAGGAACAGAGGCACACCTGTGGCGAGGAAGCAGGGTGGGCATCCTCATAGTATTTCAGCGGCCGTTGCAGCCCGTGGTTCTACCGCAGGCATACAGCACGAGGTGCTCCATCTCGCGAACTCATCTTGTCGAGCCGGCGCTCTGCACGGATGCGGCGACGGGGGCCAATAGAGAGGGCGGACACGACGGTCAGAAGGCCTCTCAGCAGGGGCCGGGGCCGACAGTGTGGATGCAGGGGCTAGAGGCGATGCAACAAGAGCCGGAGAGCAGCTCGCCAGTGCTTGTTCAGGAAGTGCCACCATCGTGGCGAGATTGCATTTGGGGGTCCACCTCGCAACCTTCTCGGCCGATTGGCCGCTGCTTGATGGCTTGGTGGAGTGAAGGGACGGCGCATACCCTGACACCTCGGAGGCCACCCGCGCAATCAGGAACTAGCGTAGTTGTAGGCCACTGGTAGTCGGACAATTTCCAAGTCCCGAGTCATCGTGCCTCCGTCGGTTGGACCCTAAGTTTTGGTAACCAATGCCTGGTTGATGCATCATTCCCTGGATCGGAGTTGTTAACTACGAGCGTTCGCGGTTGTTTTGACGGGCTGGCAGGCTGGGCTCATTCAGGTACGGCACGGTACGGTGCGTTACGGTACTGTGAGCGGACGCTGGTGGCACAGGCCATCCGTTTGGGCCCTGGAGCCAAGTCCAGTTTCCACCGAGTAGCACCTTTGTATGTTCCTGGCGTACCTACCCCAGTACCTACCCACCGTACGGCGCAGTACATTTATCTACAATGCATCAAACCTGAGCGAATAATCAATAACCTATGCTCCTGGTCTGATTCAAGGCCTTGTCGGGCTCGGCCATGGCCACCTCACGCAGGGGAGACGAGTACTACCGCAGCCTCTACGCGAAAGAGCCCGACTTCCATCGTCTAGCGCTGCAAGATGCCAACTTCAAAGCCATGTGGGATCTCAGACGCAGGACCCGTGCATGTTGCAACCATGGACGCTGACAGCCGCGCAGTCTCAGCCCGAGCTATCAGCTGGACTTCACCGACCCGGCTGCTGTCAAACAGCTTACCAAGACCCTCCTTAAGATCCATTTCGACACCAAGATTGACCTACCGGGCGACAGGCTTTGCCCTCCTGTAAATACCCTCTCCTGGCCGCCACATCCGATGCTCACACTGATTCGCCCAGGCTGACCTGCTCGACATGAACGCAGGTCCCCAACCGGCACAACTACATACTCTGGCTCAAGGGCCTGCTCGACTCCACCTCGTACAATGAGCCTGGGGACAAGCTCATCGGCCTCGACATTGGCACCGGCGCATCCTGCATCTACCCCTTGCTCGGCTGTGCCCAGCGGCCATGGTCTTTCATCGCCACTGGTGAGCAAGCCCATACGACCCAACCTCGCCGTCGTGGACATGCCCATCGCTGACGTGCCATCTCCTCAAGATGTCGACCCGGAGAACTTGAAGCACGCAGAGAGAAATGTCCAACTTAACGACCTAGAGTCTCGCGTACAGGTTCTGCCCCGGAAACTCACAGACCCTCTGGTGCCCCTGGATGAGCTCAAAAGGGACAGGATCGACTTTGTCATGACCAACCCGCCCTTCTACGAATCCGAAGAGGAGATGCTCAAGTCGGCCGCCAGCAAAGCGCGCCCGCCGAATTCCGCCTGTACTGGCGCACCTGTGGAGATGGTCTGCGCTGGCGGGGAGGTCGCCTTTGTCATCCGCATCCTGGATGAGTCTCTGCGTCTTAAAGAAAGGGTGCAATGGTACAGTTCCATGTTCGGAATGGTCTCTAGCCTTGAGGTCATGGTTCAAAAGTTGAGGGAGCACCGTGTGGACAATTACGCGGTCACCGAATTCGTCCAAGGCAAGAAGACCCGGCGGTGGGCTGTGGCGTGGAGCTTTGGGCCCATGCGACCAAGCCAGAATGTTTGCAGGGGCATGAAGGCTACGCCTTGGAGGAAGCTTTTACCAAATGTTGTAGAGGTGGAGATCCTGACTGTTCAGAAGATTGAAGAGGCTGGTGTAAAAGCCGATGAACTGTCTACGCTCGTAGGCTCTCTGCAGCTCTTATCGTGGGAGTGGGATAGGGAGAGGCTGAGAGGTACTGGACGAGCGAGGGAGAACGTCTGGAGTAGGGCATGGCGGAGGAAGAGGAAGCGCGAGGAGGACGGTGGAGCCACAGCCGCTGCTCAGGACGCTGGGGGAGAGGAGCAGTGCGCCTTGGGTTTCTCAGTGTCAGTGAGCGTTCAGAAGACGGGTGCTATTATCAGCTGCAGGTGGCGAGAAGGCCATGACGAGTCCATATTCACGAGCTTCTGTGGGTTCGTCAAGACAAGACTCCAAGCAGCAACCGCAAATAAAACCACGACTTAAGTAAGTGATGTTGGATTCATGGAGCCAGCATCTTTTGAGGCGCAACTGACTGCCCTCCCTCTAGCGGCTCCGCACCCCCCCTCCCCCGGCCCACCAGTGCAGTATGCCAACTCAGGGTCTGTAACCCTGCTCGCATACACCTATAGAACCTTGGAACTTTGGCCTGTCGCCGAGGTCGACTTATTCCCAGACTCTGAGCACCCACACACCACTTCGCATCAACACCCTCTTGTCTCTCCAGTGTTCTTTAGCGCGATCCCAGCATGTCGAACTCCTCCACACCTGCCCAGGCGCAGTCGCGCTTCAAGGCGCCAAACAACTTGTCCACGCAAGAGCGCATCTCGACCAACACCGTGGGACTGGTGAACCTGTCCGACTTCCGCAAGCGCAGGGCAGAAGTGCTGGAGCAGCAGGAGCGCGAGGCCAGGGAAGCGCTGCGCTCAGGTACGACAACCCCTTTGATCGACCGGTCACAGAGCGCGACTCCGAATAACCTGAGCGATGGGGGTAGCGAGCGGCCAGTGAAGAAGCAGAAGAAACCAAAGAAGGCACTGGTGTCCTTCGGCGATGACGACGAGGACGACGACGCAGGGCCTGCTCTGAAACCCAAGGGCAAGGCAAAGAAGGCCACGAACCTGACCAGCAAGGGCGGTGATCAACCGGAGCCGAGTACCGACGGCGACCTTAGCACCAATGACAGCAAGAAGCCCGGCGGGAAGATCGCGGCCAATACCTCTGTCGGCTTCGTCCCCCGCGCCATGACAAAATCGGCGCTGCGGCGCGAGGCGGCTGAGCGGGATGCTCTCAGGAAAGAATTCCTTGCTCTCCAAGAGGACGTCAAAGCCACCGAGATCGCAATGCCTTTCGTCTTCTACGACGGTACCAACATACCCGGCGGCACAGTCCGTGTCAAGAAGGGAGAGTTTGTCTGGGTATTCCTGGACAAGTCCCGCAAGGTCGGTGCCGAGCTCGGCGTTGGCGGCGAGAAGAACGCCAATGTCAGAAGGGAGTGGGCTCGCGTTGGTGTCGATGACTTGATGCTGGTTCGTGGCACGATGATCATTCCGCACGTAAGTCTCCTGAGCCTAAGCCGTCATAATGACAAAATAAATGTGTGTATAGTCTAGCTAACAACAAATGAAAACTCCAGCATTATGAATTCTACTTCTTCATAATGAACAAGACGGTGGGACCGGGCAACGTCCGCCTATTCGACTACAGCGCCGAGGCTCCCTCCAAGACTCCTCGCGCGTCAGCATCACCCGAACCATCACCGAATCCCCTCTCCTCATCGGCCAGTAAGGGCGGTATCAACAGCAGTCTGGTGGACATCAATGCTCTCGAGGGGGCAAACGAGGACCCTGCGTTCACCAAGGTCGTCGATCGGCGGTGGTACGAGCGCAACAAGCACATCTACCCGGCGAGCATGTGGCAGGAGTTCGATCCAGAGAAGGACTACACGTCCGAGGTTCGTAGGGACACCGGTGGCAACACTTTCTTCTTTACGAAGTGACCTGCTTCTGGTACCGGACTCTTTCGTATCATATCTGTCGTGTATCCGGCCGATTCCACCAAGACCAGGGCGGAATGCAGTCTGGATATCAGTACACCGCAGGTGTATTTCAGCCAGCCAAGAACCTGAGCGCCGTCCATGCCAGGTAGAGCAGGCCAATAATGAACCAACCCGGCCAAAAGACAGCCAGGCAGAGGCTATTCCCACAGCCAAGAATCAGCACGAAGAATTCGAACTCCAGCTTCTTGCGCAGACGTCTCACTTGGGTCGAGTTCCACGCGGACCACGCAATCTCGCCCAGGGCTGTGGCCGACCTCGTCGTCAGATCTTTGGCGATGAGATAGGTTTGCAGCGCTGCAACATTGCCTCCGAATATGAGATGCGTGAGAAGGGCATGACTGAGGCGGAAAACTTGTTCTGCGAGGGTGAGAAGTGCAGGCCGGGCAGCTTCGATGAACAGCTTCAATGCGGGACTGAGCTCAATGGTGTATTTGCCAACAAGTTCGGGTTTCTGCCGGTAGCTCATATCCGAAGCGGTTTGGGTTGTTGCAGCTGCGAGGAGAGACATTTTCTGTCGAGAGAGCGGGATGTTGTCCTGGTAACTCGGGCTCTCGATGCGATAAGGCTTGGGCAAGTATATCGGTCTGGGAAAATAGGGGGATTCCCAATTTCGCAGGTCGGTCGTTGTTTAGGGGACCATAAAATGTCTTGTATGAACGCAGTCGGTTGGGCACACATCACCCGGTGCGTTTGAGAGGAATTTGCACATGCCCGATTCCGGAAACGATATCTACCAGCTCGAACGATCACTCCGAACGAGATGGACAGGACTATAGCTTTTTATGAACTGCGACACCAACGTACGAAATCCGTCGAAACGTCTCTAAGTGTCCTTGCATCTCCCGCCAAAGCACAGTCGCGGCCCAGCCCCACCACCGTCGACACGATTCGCAGGCGGGCTGGGCGCAACCCCACCAGGTCGAACCCACGAGAAATCTCGCCAAACAGTCGGTCCCACGTGGGGCTGGAGCCGTAAGCTCTGGAACCACGGTTGCCGCCCCGATTGACATATGAAAGGCCTGATCCCCGAGTCCTAGGATCGGCGACAGATCTGCATTTATCTACTGCAACATATTCTAATAGATAGCTAATCTATCAACCTACTTACTGTACTAGACAGTCCAGGAGGCATGCGGCCAGGCCGCCTAGGCAATGAGAGGATCCCCCACTGGTGGTGTACACCGCTTTTGGGCATTGCTGTCTTTCCCTCTGCACGTTGGCATAGTCTATGGGTCCATTAATAGCTGGCACCACCACCGTTCGTCCGGGTGATTCTCGAACGAGCAACACCTTCCCTTGTTTTCGATCAGACGGCTGCATGGTGTACGAGACCTTACTCAAGCCTGAACACCGGAGTCGGCAATGATCCTCGCTGTCTACACGATGGATGCAGTATACGCAGTACCTAGACTGCCAGGCTACCAAGCAACGTATAAGTGGGCTTCCCCGCGCTTTCTTTGTCAACCTGCTACACTCATGGTTAGATACTAGGTCGGGCCTGGGTCACCCAAGAAGGAGAGCCGCAAGACCCTTGTGCTCCTTCCGTGTCGTGCTATTGGCTGAGGCCTCCTCCACAGGCTTCCCAAGGTCGGGGCAGCATGACCATCCCCGACTCAACACCTGCCTCTGATCCTGTGCAGACCTATATAGGTAGTATGTTCCTCGGGTCTCACTGCTTGAACATGTGCCCTGGCGCCCTGGGTGATTGGTCTCTTTCTCCGCAACGGAATTGCCTGATTCATGAAGCCGTCGTATCCTCTTTGCTCCGCATGCGGGCTGGAGTAGTATACCGTGCTGCACAAAACATGCCTCACAGGCACTCTGGGCTGACCTCAGTTGTGGCGAGAGTTTATCCTGCTCGTAACAAGAGCGGCAGTGTTCAGTGCTGCTGCTCAAGTCTCCCTCGCATCTCCTTGGCAGGCCCCCATCCGAAGTCGCTCGCCCTCGCCCCAGCTGCCCGCCAATCGCGGTGCTCCGAACCGCCAAATTGGGCAAGTCAGTGTGCTCACCAATCGAGGATCATGTCTTACCAAAACGAACATCATACGAGCATGCGCCCAAATTGGCCAACTTGACATCTACTGCCTACCTATGTAGGTGTATATGGACCTCTAGCAGGCTGACCTGGTACGATTTATAGGGTAAATGGCTCATATTCCAGGTGATCGTGGAACAGTCGACCACCTGGACCAAACCTGCATTTTGGGAGAAGTATTCGAAGACATCTGGGGTTCAACATGCGGCAGATGAGCTGTAGCAAAGAGGGCTTCATACGTGTGCAGGAGCATGATTGCATGCGTGTCCCAGTTCCGCCTCCGGCCAGATGTCTTGATTATTCTGGCCCGTGTCATGCACTCGCTCGGTTTGGATCGTTCGCAAAGCTGATCAACTAATAGATGATATTCACGAATATTTGATACTAACACTCTGAATATATACAGCATGTTGAATTATTACGGATGCTCAACACCTACAGAGAGAACGCAACCCGTTGCATAGGGAATGTGCTACATCCCTTCCCGAGCCGCAGATCCATGAATATCGTCACTAAACATACGCCTCGCCTGCTGGGGAGTTGCGCCGGTTGCCGCCGCAGTAGCGTTCCGGATCATGTCCATGGTGGTTAGTAAATCGGCCCCGCCCAACGGCTCAGCTGGGCGTGTCCATCCCACCTCGGTTGGCAGACGTTCTTTCTCTGCGGTCGTGTTAGGAAGGATCAGATTGGCAGTACGTCCGAGTGGCCGCAAGCGGTATTTCGGTTTGCTTTCCAAGGAAGAGCGGCAACCTCAGGGAAGGGCAAAAACTGAATGTAGTTCACTTACCAAAGAGATACTCCACCACCGTCCTGTTCGCCGTGCGTGTTGTCTTGTTTCCGAGTACGATAAGATAGGCTGCTGACTCGCCAACGCTGAACTGTTCGCCGATCTTTGTGAAGCCGAAGCTCGGATTTGTCATGTTTGAGGTGTTCACTCGCGCCAGCCTTGCCTTGGCAGCCTGTTGGACGTCGATTGTGTCCTGCCAGTTCGAGCGGGTCTCGTTGAAGACGGTGTCGTTGAAGGCGATGTTGTCGCCAAACGCAGCGTCCTGCCGGCTGAGGCTTGCATCGTGTTCGAGGATGTTATGGCGAGCAAGGTGGTCGAGATTGAACGAGTTCGTCACGTTGCCCGTCGGGTTAGTCCGGACTGCCGCCTTATGCAGCAACTTGCCAAACTCTGGTGGGATGTTCAATGCCGTATCCAAGGCCTTAGCCGTAGTGTTCTCGTCAATGTTTTGTCCATTGCGAGGCAAGAAACCCTGATTTGCTAAAGCATTTAACATAGGGCATGGACCGCGAATATCACCAGGTCCAGCCGGTGCGAACTGATCCGGAGCCTGAGAAAATGCTTTCTCAGCAACGAGTGTAAAGATAAAGAGGAAGCCGGCCCTCATTTTGTCGAAGATTACCGCAACAAGAAAATTCTGAAGTAACGTATACAAATCGCACGTCTAGAGAGAGACAGGCATGAAGAAAGTTATTCGGTCGCGGCCCACACTGATGTTGCTTTATTACTTATATCCTGACAAACACTATAGTGTCAATGGGAAGCCATCATGCGCGGGTCGCTCTACTATGGACAACTGAACATTCGACGGTGATTCCAAGATGGAATGAAACAAACAAGCTTGGACGAAATGTAATAGCTGTGACCACAGCATCCGGTGCGTCTGACATGGACCGTGTATAGTGGCTTGGCATTGCCGCGGGAGACCTATAAATTTGCCAGAAACGGCAACCCATCCATGAAACGATCTGCCTTGACACCAATCGCATGCTCCGACGGACATCTGACTGATAAACGACAGTCTCGGTCAATTCGTCCACTGTCGACATTCCTGGGTACTCAGCAAGAGCTAGGACTTGATGTCCAAGCCATTCTCAATTAGCCTTAGCCCTTACCAAAGCATCGTTTGAGACCAGCAGAATGTGTAGGAACCAAAAGTGGTGGCCTTCGGGTTCCAATGGTCGTGACAAAACCTCAACAGTAGTGAAAGCCCCAGAGGACGGAGGCAGGGTACGCCCACCCAGCTTCCACAGTACGCCCACCCAGTACAAGGAAATTGGCTGCATGCGCTAATAAAACTAAGTACTTTCTTAATAAGCAAAAAGCTACCCTGCATCCTTAAAAAGCTACCCCGGCTAGAGGGCCCCCAAGGGCAAAGAGGGCCCTTAAGGGATAGAGGGCCTTTAAGGGTAAAGAAGGCCCCGGAGGTATAAAGGGCTGCCCCGGGGGGTAAAAAGGGCCTTAAGCAGTAAAAAAGGCCTTAAGGGATATAAAGAATATAAAGGAGCATAAAGGGCATAAAGGGGTATAAAGGGTATAAAGGGTATAAAGGGTATAAAAAGTATAAAGAGTATAAAGAATATAAAGGGTATAAAGGGTATAAAGAGTATAAAGGGTATAAAGAATATAAAGGGTATAAAAAGTATAAAGAGTATAAAGAATATAAAGGGTATAAAGGGTATAAAGAATATAAAGGGTATAAAGGATATAAAGGATATAAAAGATATAAAGGGTATAAAGGGTATAAAGGGTATAAAGGGTATAAAGGATATAAAGGGTATAAAGGGTATAAAGAGTATAAAGGGTATAAAGAGTATAAAAGATATAAAAAGTATAAAGGGTATAAAGGGTATAAAGGGTATAAAGGGTATAAAAGGTATAAAGGGTATAAAGGGTATAAAGGGTATAAAGGGTATAAAAGGGCAAAGGGGCAAAGGGGCAGAGGGGCAGAGGGATAGAGGGGCGGAGGGGCGAAGGGGCAAAATCCAAAGTATACCTATATTTTACTAGTGCATGCAGCCAATTTCCTTGTACTGGGTGGGCCAACGTTGGAAGCTGGGTGGGCGTACTGTGGAAGCTGGGTGGGCGTACCCTGCCTCCAGAGGACGCACAAAGAGAACCCCTTATTTTCGTTCTTTCTTGTGCTTTTATTTACTTATTAATTTCTTTTTTTTTAAAAAAAAAAACCAATTATTATTTCTGTGATGAAAAAGAGACATAATGATGAACATTAAAGGTAGAGGTTTCATGACTGACGTAGACGAAGATTATTGAATGCAAGGTTAGGTTTTAATACTCTTACCCAGAACTAAATCTCTTAGAAGTCAGCCTCGTGGGTAATAAATTTAATGGAGGGTTGCTAGAGTTAAACACTGGATTTTCATACGCTTATGCAGCAATTTGATTTCCTTAGATTCTTCTATTATACACCCGGATTGGAATACGTCTATGTGCTGGCCCGGCTCAGTAGTATGATTAGATGTAGAGGACTATAAGTAGAATCCTCTCCAAAAACTCAATCTCTAGCTTAGCTACACAGCAGCAGTCTTGCCTTCTCTGGAAAGGCAACAGAGATTTTGCTCGACAAGTGATATTTTGATTGCCAATTTTTTTGGACTTGAAGTTCTCTGGAGTGCTGATATTCTAGCTCATAGGCTTCTTATGTAATGGCAAGAGCAATAAGTTGTAGTCATCTATATCTCAAGTGTCGATGCCACGCCCTGCGCCGTATCAGGAACTAGCAATTGGACATGAATAGAGCTAAATGAAAATGGGCCTCAGATGTGGAGCCGGAGAAATGATAGCAACTGTTACAAACTTATGGCACTGCCTGATACCAGCAACCACACTGTAGAAATTCACCCATCTTATCGCATCAGTGAGCAACATGCACACTCACTAGAGAGCCAATCATGAACCTCCACACATGTAGCGAAGATGCGACGAGATATGGTTTGCCGTAATCTAAATACCTTTTACGACAATTGCGTATAAGAGTTGATATAGATATGGGCCAGGTGGCTGAAGGCGAGGGGCATGTCTAGATTGGCGAAGCAGCTCTCGGCTAAATAATAGCACCGCCAACGAGCTGCTTGTTTACCAAGTGAACGTTGAGAATATCCAGGGAAGATTAATGACGGCAGCATCAACATTAATTCTAGTCACATGGTAAGTTTACAAGGGCTGACTTCAAAGGCACCATAATCACTGCGTCTCACCAGAGAGGGTCTCACGTGAGATATTAGGTCGATTCTCGTGGCCACCTACAGTCCGCACTTGCGTATTTTGTATTTTGTCCAAGATCCAGCCATTAGCCCTGTTGAGATAACTCAAGCAAGCACGATCCGAGCAATCCATTTCTTGGCATAAGCGGCAGTGACACCACCCCGCTCACGATCGCCTGCAGTGAAGTGGCTAGTGAGCATATGCAGTCTAAAAGGGATAGACCAAATTATAACTCACGGACACAAAATATTACTCCAAGTAAAGGCCCTCCTCCTTTCCTTGTCATGCTTCTCAGTACTGACCATTGTATTGTTCTCATTTGGCGATCGCTCAAGCTTTCATCACTTACAACACATGTCTTATCTATCAGGTGCCAGCACGCAGGATGTTTCCCGCGAGATTCAAACTGTCCAGGAGGACATCCAGAATCTCTCGTGTGCCGGTGATGGGGATGATCAGGCCCAAAGGCAAGCACTTCTCAGCTCAGCTCGCGAGCTAGTTAACGCCCTGGAAACTACTGGGCATGTAGTTGCTCGAATGAGCTGGGATGAGCCAACCATGTCTGGGTCTCTGCGGATCCTGATCGATCTCGGCATATTCAAGCATATGCTAGAAGGCGATACCACGGTCCCTAAGCAGGCGAATGAGCTTGCTGAGCTGAGTGGAGCCGATCCGGTTCTGCTTCAAAGACTGTTGAAGCGCGTGGCCTCGTCGTCTCCACCGTTTGTTGAGGAGACTGGAGCAGATGAGTATACACCTAACAGATGGACACGAGCTTTCGCAGATGAGGTGAATACTGGCGCCTTCACGGATGTGTATGTGGAAAGCTTCCCCCAGTTACCGGTCGTTTTCAACGTTATCATCACCAAAGGCAGCGGGTAGCTAACCTACAATTGACGCAGGTATGACGGATGGACTTCTGCATGTTCCAGGGCCACAGAGTTCATGAAGAAGACAAACTACAGGAACCCGATCAGCAAGGACGACACCATCTGGAAGTTCGGCGCAGGTATCGATATCCCTTACTTCACCTGGTTGCAATCGCAGGACGACCGACTGCTCGCGTTTGCAAACCATATGAAGTTCAAATCTGTTCGTCAGAACTGGTACGATACGGTCACTCTCAACGAGATTTTCCCGGCCGACTTCGACCCCCAAGCAGTGCTAATGGTCGACGTCGGTGGCAACGCGGGCCACGATCTTCTCGGGTTCCACCGAGCACACCCCAAGCAGCCCGGACGACTGATCCTCCAAGACCTGCCAAACCAGCTCCAGCCACTCGATAAACAAGCACTCGCCCCCGTCGAGCCGATGGCTCATGATTTCTTTACTCCGCAGCCTGTCAAGGGCGCCAAGGCATATTACTTGAAGATGGTCTTGCACGACTGGCCAGATGCACAGTGCAGGGAGATTCTGAACAACCTGAAACCAGCTCTGACTCCCGGATACAGCAAGATTCTTCTCAATGAAATCGTGGTTCTAGATCAGGGTGCAGACTGGTTCTCTACAAGTGTAGACCTGCTCATGATGGTCTTCCACTCATCGTGGGAAAGACGAGAGAAACAATGGCGGGAGCTGACAGAGAGTGTTGGGTTGAAGGTGACTCGGATCTGGCCTTGCGGAGGCGCGCCGGAGAAGCTGATTGAGGTTGAGCTGGCCTGATGTGATGCTGGGTGCAAGTTCAAAGGAACGGGTTCCGATGAATGGGGGATCCGATGGCAAATGCTTTCCACGGTCATGGCGAGACAGACATTTACTGACTTCTTGAAAAAGTACCTTTTATTTAAGACACACGCTGTAACTGGAATAATGCTAACAAGACGCTGCATGAAGTCGTGTATGATGTTTACATGCCAATTACTGCCATCTAGACGTGCCACAAATCCCGACAGCACTTCATTTGCGGGCTTTCCAGTACTCCTCGCCCCATCGTCGAAACATCTCGCCAAAGAGCAGATGGAGTGCGAGCTTTCCCTCTGTGTTGGGTGATAATGTAAGGCCTCCTGTCTCGCGTGCCAGCCTTGTCATGTCCCAGCCCCCTGGGAGTTGCCTCACAAACGGTCCGGCTTCCTCGGAGTCCGCAAAGGGTCCCGCCACAGAGATGATCTCGAACCGCTCGGTTTTCCGAATGCCTGCATGCATGGGCGAGGCGGTCTGCTGCGTCGAGTCCGTCAGGATCGAGTTGACCCGGATGCCGTTCCCTTTGAAGGCCTGGCACATCGAGACCGCGTCGCCTCTGCATGGGACCTCGTCAGTGCCCACGAGCACGACCTCCATCTCGGTGCAATCTGGGGCGTTGCGCTTGACCAGCCTCGAGGCCGCGTCGAGGACGTCGCACCAGTCCTCGCAGTCCTCGCGAATGCACTGCTCTGCTATCTTGGGGCTGTTGGACTGCAGGAGGCGCCTCCCGGAGAAGTTGACTGTCATTATACATCCGCGCCCCCGGACGTCCCGGAGATAGTCGAGGACTCCTGAACAAATCGCAAGGCTCTTCATGGTCCTGTCTTGGGAGACCGGGCTGAGTCCGAGGCAAATAACGATCGCTGCTCTTGGCAGACTTGGATCGTCCATCTTGGCTCGTGGAGACAGTTGACGATCCCGGATGCTTGATTTGGAGGGCGTGTATCGAGATGCGGCGCGGTCCCTTTTGTTATTTCGGTAGCACTGGCGAATGAAGGTAGAAGCTATCCGTGGCCTTGTAATCTGTGAAGAACGGGCTATTCGGCTTGCTAGCGGATAATTGTCTGAATAACAGCATCTAAAGCCTCGCCGCGAAGCGAAGCTAACGGGAGCATCTCGCACTCATGAGAGCGGAATACTCGAACTAAGCAGACATCATTCTCGGTACCGATTGCCCAATGTAATTATGCACACAATGCCAGAGTTTCAATCGTCCTTCAAGGGTCACCTCGCATGTCTCAGGTCCGCCTACCGTTGAAAGCTGGTCTTGAAACAAACGAAAGCGCTCGGCTAAGCTTTCCCTGTTCCCTGTCAGTTGCTGTTTGATGGCAGGTCGTACCCGTTTGCACAACTCAATTGGAACAAATTTCAGATCCGCCCGAGCTCTCGCATAATAGAAATATGGAGCTTCCCCAGCATCAATGGTCAAATCGACGCTCATCGTTAGGCCGCCGGCCTCGGGACGGGAGATGTTGAATGCTCAGATACCGCAGCTATGGGACAAGAGACTGACGGTTCTGCAGCCATCAGCGTGACTGAGGATCCTGGCTTGGCTTCTTTCTATCACCATGTACTGCTCCGATGATGCTGGGTGCCATTCACCAAAGTTTGACCGTTTCAGGCTGCGTACTCCAGCCCCCTTAAACCGCGGCAACCCTGAGCAGGGGCGATGAATTTCTGCGAGTTGTTTTAATGGGGCTCCGTTGAGCTCCACGTCCATCGTTGATTCTCCCAAAAGCCAACACCCCGAGTCCGAATCGGGAACACTCGTGCACGTCTCCAATATTGTGCATATGATTTATAGATTACAGTTTTGATTTGTCCGACCTCTGTCAATATCCACTCACTTTCCATCCCGCGGCTGAATGGAGTTGACTCCCTACGACACTGCGATTCACGTCGAATAGCCTTGCGTCGATCCAACGACTGCCGACTCGGTTCAGGCTGATGCATGTGTAATACTCGCTGCAAGCCTTCGACGTTTGTCCCTGGTCGCAGGGACCTCCTATTCCCGATTCTGACTCTGCGAGGGAGCAACGTGCCGCGCACAAATCAGTTTATAAGGAACCGGCCGCCTGCAGTCGCAGCACAACATTGAAACTCATCCGGGCTTCCTGAGAAAACAAGTCTTGGGAAAGAGCTACTCTAGGTCTCGAATTGGACCGATACGAGCCCTCAATCTGGTAACCTCATCCCCTGTCAAAATTTCTTTGCAGATAAGAATGAAGGACGTTAGAAGAAGAAACCGAAGGCACTACCTGGGTATGTGGACTGTGTGTTACTAGGCAAACTGATCCACCACGAATGATTTCGGGAACACCGGCACAAGCCTTTAGTTGTGATTCGGAGCCTCGTCACTCAGAATTACATGCTTTCACCAAGCACACACTCAAGTCTTGCGGAGACATGAACATCATGACAGAACGGCCATCTAAATCCTGACGCACCGGCGTACACAGCCACGTGAATGCTCCATTGTTCTGTTTGCCGACCAAATATACCAACAAAAGGTTGGAAGTTGTGGCTAACATTTGGTACTGTCCCTGCCTCTGCCATTATAAGGATGCTAAAACTCCTGAGGATGTACTGAGGGTCCTAGACGTCGTTGAAAGTTTCAGCCAGATGCATCTTCTTTGCTACCTTGGGCCTCCCAAGCCCTCTCTAGAGTTATGAGCGACTAAGTCTCAGCTCATAGGCACACATATGGAATACGTTCCAGCTTATGGCTGTTCATTCATGGCTCGGAATCTGACATGCAAGACGGCTGCCTAGCGAGTGCTTGCGCACGTTGTGATCAATCCATTCCAACGTGTCCATCTACGGCGACCACGCCGTGAACCTGCCCTATGGGTATATGCTCCTTTTCACCTCATCGAAATCGTTGCTTGCATCCCACCCGGCTAGAATCATGGAGCCGGTCTCGATTCCACGCGCCTTATGGTGATGGTAATCATAGTGCCGCATAGGAATAGCCATGAACAGCTAAATGGGCCTGCGCCGTTGAGCGGCTGCCACACCCCTCGGAACTCTGACATTCGCACAGGGATAAGTAAGATCTCGCTCCGTGCCAGCACCGCACTGCCCTGAGCTGCCTCTCGGGCTCCCTCGGCTTGTGGTACTGAGCCTCTAGTAACGCTGCCGACCTCCGCGGCCGCGATTGAAGCCCCCTCGGTTGCCTCCGCCGCCCATCCCCCCTTGATCATAACCAAACCCTTGGCCTTGATTGCCACCGAAATTGCCGCCACCAAAGTTCTGAGGCTGGCCGCCTTGGCCCTGTTGGCCACCAGCATTCTGCATGCCGGCAAACATGGCGCCCATGGCGGACGGGTCCATCTGGCTGGGGTCCATGCCGCCGCTTGCCATCATCTGCTGCATCATCTGCTGCATCTCTGGTGGCATTCCCTCCATGCCCGGCATGCCGCCAGGAGGCCCGCCCTGGCCCGAAGCGCCCTGGCCACCACCGGCGGCGCCAGGCATCATTCCCGGCATGCCTCCCATGCCCATCATCATCATGTTCTGCATGTCCTCCATCATCTTCTTGTTGTTAGCAGCGATGGTGTCGGAATTGAACTCTTGCCTCATGGCCCCCTGCTTGGAGGCGTAGAGCGCCCAGGTGAACTCGTCGAGTCCATAGTTGAAGTAATCGGACAGATCGGTACCGGGCCTCCGCCATGGCTTGTCGTGCTCGGCCAGGTCCTCGTCGATGTTGACTTGTGTCAAGGGCTTGCCGGTGGGCTTGTGGGTGGGGATGGCATTGATGTCAAGGGTGGAGGTCCTGACTGCGGGAAGGTCGGCGCCGCTACTTTGTTTCCGGGCGGCGGGCGAGTCTGGTTTCTTTGGGGGTGCTTTCGATGCGGTATCGTTAGATATTGATCGCTGGGGGATATCCTTGATATTGCTGTATCGGGATTGTCTGGTTATAAAGGTCAGATAGGCAACCAAGGCGGCCAACTCAGCATGGTACTGGTACTGACGACGGTGGGCCTGCTGAGGTTCCGTCCTTCCTTTCTGTGATAATTACCATGCTCTGGGGAGAAATCATTAGCCACATGACACAATGTGATTGGGGGGGGGGAGGTGGGGTGTGCTGTTCATGCTCACATCATCAGAGGAGTCGTCCTCGTCCATGGCGCCGCCCTCGTCTTCCTCTTCGCCCTCCTCGAGGTCCTCGTCCTGGTCGGGCTTGGACTCGGGCTCGGCGGGGGCACTTGCTGTTGTCGCGGCGCCATCTGGCTGCGCGGTAGGGGCTGCAGGGGCTGCAGGCTCCTCTGGCGCATAGAAATCGTCGTCGTTGTCATCGATATCCATCTCGTCTGCGGGTGTTGGACTGTGTATAGGGTCAAGTAGGGAGCTGTCCGGTAGGCGACAAAAGTGCAGAAGCAGGTGCTGGTGCTGGTGCTGGTGCTGGTGAGAGGTCAAAGAAGCATGGGCCCCCACCAGCCCACACCACCTTAGCTGCAGGGCTGCAGGGGAGCTGTTGACCTGGGACCGTTGCAAGGGGAGCCCTTTGCAGGCTAGCACGGACGGTACCGCAACTCCAAAAATCAACAAGAGGGCAGCGCGACGGCGTCGTCCCGGAGCCTCAACTGCTCGATACTAGGAGGGACTATCGTAAAAGCGACCGCATCGCATCGCATCGCGTCGCGCCGCCTCAGCTCAGCCGTTTTGCATATCTCCCGCCATACCAGTACAAGTGTTTGAAGGCAGGCAGACAGACAGGCAGGAAGGCCGAAAAGCAGAGACATACAGACGGGGCAGGAGAGAACCCGCTCCTCTGTCAACAATGGCCTTTGCCAGATCCGCCAGTGGACCAGCCGGTCTTAGTATCAATACTGGAGCCGCCAACCTGTTGTGGGTACCCTCTCTCTCCATTCTCTCTGTGTCTCCCTCCCTTCGCTGCCTCTTCCTCCCTTGCATGCATACTGTGCTTGTATTGCGGCAGCTCTTCACATGTCCTCCGTAGCAGCTTTGTACATGACCAGAGTACATAGTCTGTCATGTATGTGCACAGTCTTTGTCTCCGTCTCCGCCCACGTTTTCTCCCCTGTCCTCATCTTCCAGCTGCGACAAGACATGGGTCCCCTTCATGATGGAAAATTGCTGATGACTTCTCCGTCCCCAGCGGAAGCGCTTCGAGTCAGCCTCCACCACCCGGCGGATCAATCCCAGCCAGTGCACAACCATCAACGCAAACGAATAGCCTGTTTGGCGGCAACCTGAACCAACAGCAGCAACAAACACAATCCCAGCAGCAACAGCAGCAGCAGCAGCCCGGCGCCGGCGGCGGTTTGTTCGGAGCAAGCATGGCAGCATCATCACAGCCCAGCCTGTTCGGCTCCAACACTGCAACAGCAGGCACGGGAGGTGGAGGAGGCCTGTTTGGCGGCACGACAGCTTCACAACCTCAACAACAGGCGGGCGGCGGTCTCTTCGGCTCAAGCACCACTGCCACAGCTCAACCAGCACAGGGAGGTGGTGGAGGGCTGTTCAACACTGCTGCCACCCAGCCCGTGTCTACGGCAGGCGGTGGGCTGTTCAACAATGCCCAGAATGCTGGTGGCTCTTTATTCGGCGGCGGCGGAAACACCAACACTGGGACATCGAGTCTGTTTGGGCAGAAGCCAGCGCAAGCCGGAGGTCTCTTTGGCGGCCAGGCTGCTACCCAGCCAGCTCAAGCCACATCAGGCGGTCTATTGTGCGTTCGCTCCCTGGCCCGTACCTCTCATTTATCCCGCTCTCCTTTCTCGCAAGCTAACCCATTCCACAGCGGCGGCCTCAACAAATCCACAAACCAGCAGCAACCGAATCCTACTTTGGGCGCCACCATGAACCCGCAGGTCGTTCCTGGCGTGCGCATCGATGTTTCAAACATGAAGTCCACGACGCGCTTCAACGACCTGCACGAGGATATCCAAAAGGGCATAGCCGACATTGACAAATTCATACAGAACTGCATGTCCCAGAAGGACCAGCTCGATGCCTTTATGCCTGCACATGGCGAGCAACTCTCTGCGATCCCAGGCGACGTGCGCTTCGTCGGTCGCAAGTACGCCGCCGTCGACTCGGCCCTGGGCGCGGACCTACACGCCATCAAGCAGATGCGCGACCTGGTCAAGTCGGATGCGGAGGAGGCGAAGCTGAGCTTCTCAGCGGTGGACAACCTCATGCTGCCCAGCCAGTACCACGTCAACAACGCCCCGGGCTTCTTTGGGAGCTCGAATAGGGACGGCTCGGGGGGCGGCGGCAAGGGCGGCGACGATGATGACAAGACGGCGTCGGACCTGGTCGGCTACTTCTCCAAGCAGGTCGACGAGATGGACGAACAGATCAAGCGCTTCCAGAAGAACGTCCGCGAGATTGAGATGCACCTCGGCGGCGTGCAGCAGAACGTTATGGACCAGGCCAGCCGGCTGCAGAACGGCGGCGGCGGCTTTGGTGCCGGGTCGGCCGAGGACAAGCAGATGGAGCTGTACGCGGTGCTGAGGGACTTTGAGGAGAGCATCCTGCAAGTCGCAGGTGTGGTTGGTGCCGGCAGGGAGGGAGTCACCGAGCTGCAGCTTAGCGATTTCAGGGGGCGGGGGCTGAATGGTGTACACTGAGTTACGGGTGAGGCAGGGACCCGTCCTGTAATTTTGGTATTTAAAGGCTTGTTTTGTACAAAGGCTGGTCGGCCAGTGGCAGTAGAGCGAAAGGGCATAAAACGAATATCCCGGGTGCCAATAAACGGCACACATCTACCATCATCGCTTCGGGAAATGACCATCGCTATACGGGCTTCCAGCTGGACAGTAGATTTGGGATCTATCTGGGGCTGTAACGCTGACCTGGCTGATCTCGGTTGGGTATCAATTAATCCGACGTCCTCACGCCGGTGTGGGCCTCCTGGTCACGAGGAAACTAGTACTCTCCCTCATCTCCGCCACCATCGTCCATGTCGTCGTCATCGCCATTATCGAAGTACCCCTCGGCATCGTAGTCACCCCCGTCATCGTCGTCGTAAGCGTCGTCCAACTCCTCGCCGTAGCCATCCTCGTCGTCCAGCCCCAGGTCGATATCGTCGTCGCCCTCGCCTCCGCCCTCGCCCAGCTGATCCAGCGCCTCGAGCGCCTTCTGGTGGTCCACCGCGCCGGAGCCGTCGGTGGCGGCGACGGGCTCGGCCGGCATGTTGAAGATCTCCTCGGCGGTGCGCAGGCTGGTGACCTTTGACAGCGTCATGGTCTTCTTCTTCTTACCCGGTCTCCTGCCGGCCGCGGTTTGCGGCTCGTCGTCGCCGTCGAGGGTGGCGTGCAGCTCGGGCGGGAAGAGCGACTTGTTGAAGGGCCGCTCGCTGAAGTCGGGCAGGGCGCGCTCGGGCCTCCGCATGCGGGAGGAGGGCATCTCGACGGCGGTGAAGGGGTCCAGCGTGGCCTTGCTCTTGAGGCCGTAGCGCTGGTTTACCTGCTCCTGGCCGTAGGCGCGTATGGCAGCGGATGGGTCCCGCGAGCGTGTTGCTGTGTAGAAGGGCCCGTCGTGGACCTGCTCGCGAAAGAGAAGGTATGACTTGACCTGGGACTTTTCGCGGACGACGAGGGGCGCTGGGATCGGGACGTCATAGGGCTACAGTGCACATGTCAGTCAGGCACAGGCACAGGCGCATGCACAGGCGCATGCAGAGGCACAGCCTGCGAGGCGGCAGGATTGGCCACGTCTGTACGCACTGGAAATGCCTCGGCTGGTCGGCCGTCCACCCTGAGTGTGGGATCTTCTTGCCAGGGCAGCTGAGGCCCGCCCCCTCGTCTGCCGCCGCGACCTCCCCTTCCCCCGCCTCGAGACATGGCGCAGCGAGATTCGGTGGTCTCTGCGATTATCGTGGTGCTAGGAAGGGGTGTAGCAGGACCAATGTGAGGGGGTTGGAAAGAAAGAAATCTGGACGTGCCAGAGGAGCTAATGCCAGGGTATGTATGTTCAAGTTGTGTGTGGTTGAGGGAATAGTTGGCTCGAGTCAAGTCACACGCCGAGCAGCAGCCTGGAAATTGTTGATCATGTCCGTCTGAGAGCTGCCAAACTTCAGCGGGGCGTCACCCTTAGTTATCGATAAGCTGGAAGCTCCCGCCGATCACAGGCCCTGCAACAGGGATGCTGCAGACACAGTGCAGTAACTCAGGTACATCCGGTACAAGGCACGAACATGCACACAGGACGGGAGCTTGGAGCTGCTGTCGCATATACACATACGTAACCGTCGTGCCTAAATCTAGTATTCCTCATCTCCAGTTTGACTGCATTTACAAGGGAGGGTCAAGTGCGGGAGGGCTGGGGCTGCAGATTCACAATTCTTGTGGCAGCGTCTTACAACTTTCAACATTGACATTGTCATCATCACCACCTACCACCGTTCAGCTGTTGTTGCCTTCCAACACTGGTGCAAAGAACGTCACATCAGCATACTAGGCAGCAAATATGGCAGACGGCCAGGAAAACAGCCTTCCGCTGGCCTCACAGCTGGACGAGCTCGAATCTCATCTTGACGAGCTGCAGCAGCAAGATGACCCCTCAACTCACTTCAACGCCTCGCTCTTCGACCGCATAAACTACCAACTGGGCCCGGTCGAGTACCCCGAGCTGACGGCCCGACTCCTCCCAAAAGTCGCCGGCATCATCAAGAAGTGCGCTGCCACCGCAGAGTCGTCCACAGACTGGAAAGGCTACCCGCCACCGCTCATCACCCTCACAATCAAGCTCCTGCGGCCGCTGCCCTTCACCCAGGCCCTTGAGCTCTGCCAGCCGGAATATCTCATTACTGCCCTCGCCTCCCCAGAGCCCTACATCAACGAGCTCGCCTTTGCCATCCTGGAGAAGGCCTCCCGCTCCCCCTCGGACGCGTCCATTCTCGCCTCGGCGCCGGGCCTCCTGGAGGCCTTCCTCGACCGGTGGCTCTCGTCCCCTGCCGTGGGCGTCGGCCACCAGGGCGTTCGAATCCTCGGTGACCTTCTAGACGTCGACTCGCCCCTCTCACAGCCCGTCTTCACAGACGACCAGAAGCAGGCCTACGACATTCGCCTTATCCGCCGGGCTGCCCAAGGGCACGGTGCGGTATGGCGCAGGCTATTCGGCGACGAGGCACTATGCTGGCAAGTGTTGCAGAAGATGGACACGGCCTTCCCATCCTCGTCCGCGGATCAGAACGTCATAGCCCAGCGGTCCTTCGCACAAGACCGTTTCCTGCGCCTGCTCCCTCGGATGGCAATTCTCGACTTTGCGAGTCTCAACCGGTCAACCACGCAACTGTCACCCAGCGGCCCAACCGTATCCCTACTTGCCTTTGCGGTGTTGTTCATGGTCGACCGCCGTGGCGACGAGCTGATGCACCTAACCTGGGTCGACTTCATGCAGAAGCTCGTTGGCGCGCTGAGAGTGTCCGATACGGCCAAGCTGAGCGTCGACGCACTACGCGCTTTGGTGAGGGACGCGGATGATACGCAGTTGTTTGATGCACTTTGGAGCATGCCGGAGAATCTGGTTTGGACTCCAATGGGGGAAGCGGACGCGATGCAGGCTTGGCTGAGGGAAGTCGCGCCGAGACGGGCTTTGAGGATAGAGGGGATGTTGAACGGCGACTAGGACGGCTGGCCCGGGCGGTGGCAGTTGGTCCAGTTCATTTTGAGGAGCAATCTACCTTTGGCATCTGTGAGCTTTTGCCACGCTCCATCTTCCTTCGGCCTCAGCCAAAATCGATACTTGACTGGAATGCTCTGTGCGCACACGTGCTGGGCATTCGCATCTTTTGATTACCAGGCTCTGACTCTTCAAAGTCCGTACCTGAAACGGCATGCAGGTAGGAAGTCCTGAGCCAGAGCCGCCGGGGTGACTGGTCCCAAGCCTGACGAGAGGAGAACACTGGAGTTGTATGTAGGCATCTCTTGTGTCTTGCAACTAGCTGTTATCCTGCATTCGACCTCCCAACACCAATACTGAAGGCACCAAATCACTCGTGTCCCACCCGCGAGGCAATTTCTCGTGGAGGACCCGCTGCAACCGCAGACTAGGGAATACGTAGTCACATATTGAGTGCTGTCTTGCTGAGGTTTCGTAATTTGAGCTCGGGAGTATTAGATCAAGCATTATCATACTGTGGCTCAAGTTCTCATATCAAAAAGCTTCGTCGCCGCCAGCTTCTATAGCTGAAATGAAAATGCAGTTTTGCCAATGCATTCAAGAATCAGAAAGTACAGCTCAGGCTGTAGATTGGGGCGAAGCTGGTCGGTTGATACAGAACACAGTCGGGTGTGCATTGCGGCACTTACAACTTGGGGGTGAGTCTACTCTCTACAGAAAATGTGTGGGGATACTACGTTGATACAGCGGAAGGACCACGCGTGCTCGTATACTTTGGAGCTTTCACACGGTGGGAGGATTGAAAGGCTCCATCCCAAGAATCCAGAATTAACCGAACGCATGGGCCAACAAACTCGAAAATCATACATCCAAGAATGGATGCAGATCTAGGTTGAGTTCGGATCCAGGCTGAGAGATCTCATCTACAAAGGGTTACGCAAATGCAATGCATGAAGGGAGGCTGCAGTCCCCTAACGTGCGAGCGCCATGGAAAAAAGGCATGTCTGAGTGGACGGAGCGAAGTGCGGGTGTGAGAAATTTGGGCGTCAGGGTTGGCCTCTCGACGGCACCTTGGTACCTAAGTAAGGTGGATCAGGATGTCGATCAGAGAAGCTTTAGCAGGTGGTCCGTCGGAGAGGGCCTAGGTCGCAGGCAGTCCAGAAAAGAGAGTCCACTGGCGATGCCCTTATGCAGGCCTTTGTTCTTCCCTTGCCCAGACACGACCATCACACAGTCCTCAAACTAGCTGTTGTGTGGCTCTTTGTTGGAGGACATTTGAGTTCAATATGCACGTCCGCGAGGAACTGAATTGGTATTAGTACATACACCCTGAGATACGCTACGCGTGTGTCTATTCCACGGCGGGGATTATATCCCCAACAGTTGTTCGTCGCATCGCTAGCGGAAATGTCGGTCGCCCTTTGCCTTCCTTACAGCAGAAGCTCAAGGGGGTTCTCGACGACCTTCTTCAGCTCCCTCATGAACTCAGCACCGATCGCGCCGTCAACAACCTTGTGGTCAAAGCTGCCGGTAATTGTGATCTGGTCGTCCCACGCAACGCCGCTCTCGTTCTCGGATGGTATCGCGACCTTCTTGGGGCTGCCAATGGCCAGTATCGTGGACTGAGGGGGGTTGATAATGGCTGTGAAGTTGTCGACAGCGGGGTTCATGCCCATGTTGGAGATGGAGATGGAGCCGCCCTGGTATTCCTCGGGCTTCAGCTTGTTGTCGCGCGCACGCTTGGCGAGGTCCTTGACGGAGGCGGAGATGGCCTCGAGGCCCTTGCCCTCGGCAGCCCTGACGATGGGCGTGATAAGGCCGGTGGGGGTCGCGACAGCCACGGAGACATCGACGGTGTTGTACTGGCGGATAGCGTCGTTTTGCCAGGACGAGTTGGCGGCGGGGACCTTCTTGGCCGCGGCGGCGATGGCCTTGATGAGGAAGTCGTTGACGCTGAGCTTGTACTTGCCCTCAGCCGAGCTGTTGAGGGCCTGGCGGAGCTTAAGGAGCTTGCTGACGGAGACGGACGAGGAGACGAAGAAGTGAGGGTTCTCGCGGACGGACTGCTGCAGGCGGTTGGCAATGGTCTTGCGCATCCCGCTCAGGGGAAGGTCCTCGTATGCGGCGCCAGAAGCGGCAGCGCCAGAAGCAGGGGCAGCGGAAGCCTTCTTGACATCGTCCTCAGTGATCTTGCCTCCGGGGCCGGTTCCCTTGACCGAGGACAGCTTGATGCCCTGTTCAATGGCCAGTCGCTTGGCGGCGGGGGCAGCGTTGGGCTCTCGCTGCAGAGAAGTCTCGAGCCTGCCCGAGGAGGCGGTGTTCTCGGGCTCCGGGGTGGGCTCCGGGGCGGGTGCCGGGGCGGAAGACTCGTCCTTCTTGGGTTCCTCTTTCTTCTCGGCCGGGGCGGCAGCGTCACCGCCGGCGTCGGCAATGGAGAAGCCCTCAAAGGCAGAGATATCGGCACCCTCTTCGACTAGGACAGCAATTGGCTGGTGTAAGGAAAGAGTCAGCAGTGTTGTGGTGTGGATGTGCTGCACGGCAGGTGGGTCTTATCGCAGCGAGAGACAACAACGTACGTTACCAACGGCGACATCCTTCTCGCCCTGCTCCTTCAGGACCTTGGCCAGCACACCCTCCTCTTGGAACTCAAAGTCCATCTGGGCCTTGTCCGTCTCGATCTCGACCAGCACATCACCAGGGGCAATGGAGTCGCCGGGCTTCTTCTGCCAGGCGCCAATGTTGCCGGCAGTCATGGTTGGCGAGAGGGCGGGCATCTTGACGACGGTGTGAGGCGGGTAGGAGGCGTACCATCTTGCCAGGCTGGAGGTGGTGGGCAGAGCTTGTCGGAGGGTGTTTCGCGATTGAAGGACTTGCCTTCGCAGTATTGGGCCGAGCATGCTGGGCCGTTGTTGTGGTTGTGGTTGCGGGAAAAATAGCTCTCGGGGATCGAGGAAAGGTGGATGTCCGGGCCTGCGCTCAGCAAAGTCGCACCAGACTGACGAGAGGACCGGGAGGAATGTCCTTGGTCGCGCGGGAGGGAATTGCTCTGCTCAAGATGCCCGGGGAGAAAGTGGGCGGCAAGGAGGAGAGTTGAGCAGATGGGAAGACGACGGAGGGAGTGAGTGGGTGAGTGAGCGCGGGTCGCCTTGACAAGGGTTGTTGGTGATGGAGGAGAGGTCCGATGTTAGGGAGTTTTCGGCGGCGATCTTTTTTCTTTTCTCGCTCCCCGTTTCTCGTTGGGGGGAGCAGGAGCTGCTGCTAGGACCGCAGGCTGGGGGCTGCGGACCAGGATTGGGAGCTCCGGTCCCCTGCACCCTCCCCGACAGGTGCGCAATCGCAGTGCACAACGAGGCGGATGTACCCCCGTACCGCAGGCGTTGAGCGCCGGCTGGCCTGGGCCAAGAGCGCCATGCCGCATTGGGCGATGGTTTGACCCGACAAAAAGCTGAGGGAGTGGGCTTATCGATTGCTGGGTACCTGGGTATCTTGATACCTCGACCTGTGTGGGCAGGTAGACTTCGGTACTCAGTCTGTTTAACACATATACGCGAATAGAGACAGACAGAGACACAAATGCTGCACTTCTACACTGCTGGGCGTGATCATGAATTTGGCCATCATGTGTACCAGAGCTTATACTACTCGCCACCCAAGGCGAGTCATAGCTGCTCTCTTCTCTCATGCCCCTATGCCACAGTACATGTACCTGTTGTGCGCGATATAATGCGTAGCACAGCCGGTCGGGTTTCTATGCCCACCCATGGGACAATCTCAGCTCAGACGGCACATACATTGTATTCAGGCTCACCGATGGTGTGCTTCGAAGGAAATGCGCTTCGAGAAGAAGACCAATGAAGCAAAGAGATGCTATTTCGAGAAGAGGAGCGTGCCGGTTCGCGGATGGGTTTGACCGGATGATATGTGCTTGGATGTGTGGACTTTTTATTATGACATGCAGACACAACGCAGTCGACCGCTAGAAGACTCGTAGTAATAGATGCAGCACATGTTGTATTTACGTAGAGACTGGACAATGTTGCTGGTTACTGGTTGTCCGGGATCCTTGGAACTGACTGACGGTGGGTCCCGGTCTTCCCACCCGGGTGAGGCGTCGAGGTCCAGCGACCACAGCTCACTCAGCACGGCCCATGCTTGGAAGCTGCAACCTGGTCCCTTCTCGGTTGAGAGCCCCAGCTGCGACACCGAGCACTGGGAGTAGCTGCCCGTGTCTGCTGCGTAGCATACCTAGCGGAGCCCAGCGGTGCCCTGCACGTCAAGTCCACTCAGTGTAATAAAGCACACGGGCAAACTAAAGACACGCAACCGCCGACGCCGACATCAACCTCGACGTCGACTCCGGCCCCGACACTGCATCCGCCCTTTCCATGGAGCGACATTGCACCAGCTCCAGCACCGAGCCTGACTACTGACCCGTCAGCCGAGCCCAATTGCTGTCTTTCTCATGGGCTGACCCGCGTTGTCTATTCCTTTGACCACAAGGAAACCAGCGCCCTGTTTCTCTCTCTTTCTCCCTGTCCCTCAACCTCACCCTCTCACCCACCCTAGTCCAGGGACCGAGATCAAGACCAATAGCAGCCAGACAGTCCAAGATCCAGAACCAAAGCCCCTGCCCCATCGATCGCACCCGTACCGCAGAACGACCCAACGCGGATGCCTCCTGATCTCCGCCCAGCACGGCGACGGCGACCATGAGCTCCATCCGCTTTGTCGTGTCCTCTCTGGATGCTATCCAGAAACATGCTGGCACCCGCAACAAGCCCCTGACCGACGGCGTCGAAAAGGCCCAGGCTGCCCTCACAGAAGCAGACCCCCACCTGCCAGACCCCGAGATCATCTTCGCGCCTCTGCAACTGGCCTCACGGTCCGGCAACGCCCAGCTGACAACCACCGCCCTCGACTGCATCGGCAAACTAATTTCATCCTCCTACTTCTCCCTCACATCCGAGTCTCCTGCCGAGCCACCAGCCGCCCCAGATGCCGCGGCACCTGCACCTCCCCCTTCCCAACCACAAGCGCCGCTCATCGAGCGGGCCATCGACACAATATGCGACTGCTTCCAGGGCGAGGCCACTCCTGCCGAGGTCCAGCTGCAGATCATCAAGTCCCTGCTCGCCGCCGTCCTGAACGATAAGATCGTGGTCCACGGCGCAGGCTTGCTCAAGGCTGTGCGCCAGGTATACAACGTCTTCCTGCTGTCCAGAAACACCAACAACCAGCAGATAGCCCAGGGGACCTTGGCGCAGATGGTCGGCACCGTCTTCGAGAGAGTCAAGACGCGGTTACACATGAAGGAGGCCAGGGTGAACCTGGCAAAGCTCAAGAACGGCGAGAGCAATGCCACCTTTGACCGGCGGGACTCGGTGGATAGTGACGAGGCCAACGGCGAGGACGGCGAACCTGCCGAGACTGCAACCACCGAGCCTTCCGCGGCCGAGCAGACGGCTGAGGGGGGACCAAAGCTTACACTGAGGGACCTGGAACACCGGAAGAGCTTCGATGATTCCAACATGGGCGACGGGCCGACCATGGTGACCAAGCTGAAAGGGCCGAGGAAGGCTTCGAGGTCCGTGTCGGAGCAGAGCAATGCCGAGACAACTGCGACAGACCGCGACCAGGACGATGTCCAGGAGTCTCTCGACACCGAGGACGAGATCTACGTCAGAGACGCCTACCTCGTCTTCCGCTCATTCTGCAACCTGTCCACCAAGAACCTGCCGCCCGAGATGCTATATGACTTGCGCGGCCAGCCTATGCGGTCCAAGCTGATCTCCCTCCATCTCATACACACACTCCTGAACAACCACATCTCCGTCTTCACATCACCCTTATGTACCATCACGAGCACCAAAAGTAACGAGCCCACGAGTTTCCTCCAAGCGATAAAATTCTACCTATGTCTTAGTATCTCCCGCAACGGGGCCAGTTCTGTCGACCGGGTATTTGAGGTCTGCTGCGACATCTTCTGGCTCATGCTGAAGTTCATGAGAGCTCCATTCAAGGTCAGTCGTCGCCCGTCTCTTCTGCATTTCGAGCGATCTCTGATATGTTTTGCAGAAAGAAATAGAGGTCTTCCTCAACGAGATCTATCTTGCGCTGCTGTCCAGGAAAAACGCGTCCCCCACACAGAAGCTGCAAGTCATCACGATCCTTCAGAGATTTTGTGGCGACCCTCGCGCCTTGGTGGAGTCTTACTTGAATTATGACTGTGACAGCCAGATGAACAACATCTTCCAAACAATCGTGGAGGACCTGGCCAAGTATTCCACAGCCAACGTCATAGTGAAGCCGGAGCACGAGCAGCAGTATGAGGAAAAGGCTGCCAAGACCAATCCGGGCGACTGGCAGATGAAGGGCATGCTCCCGCCCTCGCTGTCGGTAGCAAATATCGTCCCGCCCGAAGAGCCCGAAAATGGGATTCCAAAGGAATACATGATGAAGCGTGCCGCTCTCGACGCTCTCGTCGAGTCTCTACGGTCCATGGTCAACTGGTCACAACCCGACCAGTCAAATGGGACGAGCGAGTCGTCCGACGCTGAGAAGAGGCAATCTCTTGATGGTGTGAGGGAGTCAATTGACCCTTCTATCGCAGACGGCACGTCGAGGATGGAGACACCCATCATGCCGTCAACGCCCACTATCGAAGATGATCCTGAGCAGCTGGAGAGGGAGAAGGCGCGCAAGACTGCGCTCGACAGAGCCATTCGAGCCTTCAATTTCAAGCCTAAGAGAGGTATCAAAATGTTGCTTGATGGAGGCTTTATACCTAGCGACAGCCCACAGGACCTGGCGCGTTTTCTCCTGACCGAGGAACGATTGGACAAGGCACAGATAGGGGAGTACCTGGGAGAAGGCGACGCGAAGAACATCGAAGTCATGCACGCATTTGTCGACTCGATGGATTTTCACAAGAGGCGTTTTGTAGACGCACTGCGCCAGTTCCTGCAGTCATTTCGACTGCCCGGCGAGGCCCAGAAGATCGACAGATTCATGCTGCAGTTCGCGTCGCGCTACCTCGCAGGCAACCCCAACGCATTTGCCAGCTCCGACACAGCATATGTGCTCGCGTACTCGGTCATCATGCTGAACACGGATCTGCATAGCAGCAAAATCGCGAGGCGCATGACCAAAGAAGACTTCATCAAGAACAACAGAGGTATCAACGACAATGCCGATCTTCCCCCGGAGTATCTAACCAGCATCTACGATGAGATCGCCAGCAACGAGATTGTCTTGAAGAGCGAGAGAGAAGCTGCTGCTGCGGCTGGGGCGATCGCGCCCCAGACCAGTGGCCTTGGTCTCGGTCTCGGTTCGGTATTTTCAAACGTCGGCCGGGACTTGCGAAGGGAAGCGTACGTGCAGCAGTCCGAGGAGATTGCTCTCAGGTCAGAGCAGCTTTTCAAAGATCTTTTCCGCAACCAACGGAGGAACGCCGCCAACGCCGGGGTCAAATTTATCCCAGCGACATCATTCAAGCATGTCGGCCCCATGTTTGATGTCACGTGGATGTCTTACTTCTCGGCGCTGTCAAATGAAATGCAGAATGCTCACAATCTTGAAGTGGTCAAGCTGTGCCTTGAAGGGATGAAGCTTGCGGCCCGGATCGCCTGCTTCTTCGAATGGGCAACCCCGCGCGAGGCTTTCATTTCGGTATTGAAGAATACGGCAAATCTCAACAACCCACAAGAGGTGTTGGCCAAGAATGTGGAAGCGCTCAAAGTGTTACTGGATCTTGGTCAGACCGAGGGAAATTATCTGAAGGAGTCCTGGAAAGATATCCTCATGTGCATCAGTCAGCTAGACCGCCTGCAGCTCATCACTGGCGGTGTTGACGAGAGTTCGGTGCCAGACGTGTCTAAAGCACGCTTCGTGCCGCTGCAGCGGGAGAACACAACTGATTCACGGCGGTCCTCATCGTCCAGGAAACACCGCCCACGCAACAACACAGGCCCACAAGGGTTCTCGACAGTGCTTGCTCTGGAGGCCAGGTCAGATGAGATAATCAAGACGGTAGACCGAATATTTACCAACACCGCGAATCTTGACGGCGACGCAATCGTCCAATTTGCGCGGGCTCTTACTGAAGTGAGCTGGGACGAGATCAAGGTCTCCGGTGCACATGACAGGCCTCGCATGTACAGCTTGCAGAAGATCGTCGAGATCAGTTACTACAACATGACACGTGTGAGGTTTGAGTGGACTCACATTTGGGATGTTCTTGGCGAGCACTTCAACAAGGCTGGGTGCCACATCAATGAAACCGTTGTCATCTTCTCCATCGACTCGCTGCGGCAGTTGTCAATGAGGTTCATGGAAATCGACGAGCTTCCTGGCTTCAAATTTCAAAAGGACTTTCTGAAGCCTTTCGAACACGTCATGTCAAACTCCAGTAATCTCAGGGTGAAAGAGCTGGTCCTCAGCTGTCTGATTCAAATGATTCAGGCGAGGGGCGAGAATATCCGGTCTGGTTGGAGGACCATGTTCGGGATATTCACCGTCGCAGCTCGGGATCCGAACGAGACAATCGTCAACATGGCCTACGAAAACGTCCTCAAGGTGTACAAGACCCGGTTTGGCGTCGTAATCAACCAGGGCGCATTCACAGATCTTATCGTCTGTCTCACAGAGTTCTCAAAGAACATGAAATACCAAAAGAAAAGCCTGCAAGCAATGGAGACACTCAAGTCAATCATCCCGCAGATGCTCAAAACGCCGGAGTGCCCACTGTCCCGGAAATCTGACCTCGGTGCGGCCCAGTCGAGCATGGCAGACATCAACCTCAAGTCACCAGGACAACAAACCCGCACATCGGTGGAAGAAGGGTTCTGGTTCCCCGTCTTGTTCGCCTTTCATGATGTCCTCATGACAGGAGAGGACCTTGAGGTCCGGTCAAACGCCCTGAACTATTTCTTCGAGGCCCTACTGAGATATGGCGGGGACTTCCCCCCAGAGTTCTGGGATATCCTGTGGCGACAACAGCTGTATCCAATCTTCATCGTGCTACGGTCCAAGCCGGAGATGAGCAACGCGCTGAACCACGAGGAACTTTCAGTGTGGCTGTCGACTACCATGATCCAGGCTCTTCGTCATATGATCACGCTCTTCACTCACTACTTTGAGGCGCTTGAGTACATGCTCGACCGATTTCTGGAGCTTCTGGCGCTTTGCATCTGCCAGGAGAATGATACGATCGCAAGGATAGGGAGTAACTGCCTGCAGCAACTCATCCTGCAGAACGTCAGAAAATTCACTGTGGACCACTGGTCAAAGATCGTCGGCGCATTCTGTGAGCTGTTCGAGCGGACCACTGCTTACCAGCTTTTCTCGGCTACGACGATCAACAACACGGCCTCATTGGCGCCGGTGTCCAACGGCGTGGATTTTGGGGAGCCGCTGAGCCCTGGCTTGGAAGGGACAGACGACGACGCCAAATCTCTGAAGATCAATGGCGTGGAGACCAACGGCCACTCGGACGATGACCGGCCTTCGACAGCAGCTAGCACCACTGCAGAGGAAGACCCTCAGAGGACCCCGACGACAACCAAGCCGCTCGAGGAATTCAAGCCCTCGAGCAACCTACAGATGCCTCCGCCACAGATTTCTGCCGCCCGGCGCCGATTCTTCAACCGCATCATCAGCCGGTGCGTCTTGCAGCTTCTCATGATCGAGACAGTCAACGAGCTGTTCAGCAACGACAACGTCTATGCGCAGATCCCCTCCAACGAGCTCCTGCGACTGATGGCCGTGCTCAAGAAATCGTTCCTATTCGCGCAGCGATTCAACAACGACAAGGAGCTGCGGATGCGTCTCTGGAGGGAAGGTTTCATGAAGCAGCCTCCCAACCTGCTGAAGCAGGAGTCTGGATCCGCTGCGACGTATGTTGCGATACTGTTCCGCATGTTCGGTGACACGGACCCGCGTAGGAGCGAGTCCAAGGCCGACGTTGAAAACGCGCTGGTACCTCTGTGCAAGAGTATCATTCGCAGCTACGTCACGCTCGAGGAGGAGAGCCAGCACCGGAACATCGTGGCCTGGAGACCTGTAGTGGTGGACGTATTGGAAGGTTATGCGGCGTTCCCGGAACCATCCTTCAAGAGCCACGTGCAGTCTTTCTACGGACTGGTGGTCGAGCTCATGGCAAGCAAGGAAATGACGGGGGAGCTGAGGGGCGCTATTCTTGGCGTGCTGAGGCGGGTGGGCGAGGTTGAACTAGGGATTAAAGGGATGGTCAACGCCGCTGCTGGTGAGGATGATCTAAGGAGGGGCAGTGTGGTGTCAACAAGGAGCGATGCGACAAGCGCGCTTGTTGACCGTGAGGGAATCGATGCTAGCGCTAGGATGTTTGGGAGGGCGTGAGGACGTGCGTGAGGGACGAAACAGGGACGGGAAAACACCGGACTAGACATTAACCTTCTTGTGTTTATAATTGTACAGAAAAGGTGGAAATGCAGGGATATCCCATTTCCTTCGAGGCAGTTGCAGAGGCGTTGGGTGCGTCAATACCATAATTCTTCGTCAAACAGTCCACGGTCTACACGGGATTCATTTGTTCCTTTCCACCGCTCGCCCCGAGCGAGGGCTCATTTGTTTCAAAGTTTCGGCACCTGGGCCAACATCCATCCAGAAGCCTTGACTACGCCGCACCCGTGTACAACAGCCTGTTGGGACTGTTCTGGGCATCCTGGACTACGTCTTTGATCGCAAGTTCCTCCAGGCGAGCTCTGACCGCATCCGGCGTGCTCAGGCCCTCCAGTTTCTGCAGGTAGAGCACGACACCAGCAACGTGCGGCGAAGCCATCGAGGTGCCATTTGTGACATGCGTTGCCGTGTCGCTGCCAATCCACGTAGAGAGTGTGTCCTCGCCCGGTGCGAACACACTGATGCCTTGGAAAGCATTAGCAATAACATGAATGAGAGAAACGAAGACGGGCCGATGTAGCACCAGACTCACCAGGCCCATAATTGGAGAGCGCGGCGCGCCTCCTCTCCCTGTCGACACTCGCGACGGCGATGGCACCGTTGGCACCGGCCGGCGAGATCCAGGTGGAGACACGATTTCCGTTGCCTGCTGCGGCAACCAAAGTCATACCTTTTCGATATGCTGCGAGTACCGCGTTATTGACTGCGGTAGATGTTGGCCCCCCACCAGAGACGTTAACGACCGACTTCTCAGTCCGATTGTTAACAATCATGTCATTGAGCGCCCAGTCCATGCCATCAATCAGGGCGGAGAAGGACCAATTCGTTGCATTTGAGATCTTGACCGAGACAAGGTTGCACTTTTTTGCGACTCCGTACTAGGGAAATGGACAGGTCAGCCACTTCGTCCTTTTCAGTATCCTGTTCTCACCAGAGGAATGATACACGCAGTGTCTCCCGCTAACCCTGTAACAGTGACACCCTCGGCTCACTGGAAACCATTCAACCAAATGTATTCACCATGGAATGGGAAAAGGCGGGTTCGAGCCTCTTTAGACATTGCTCACAGTAGTAGAACCGATCGTGCCCGCAACGTGCGTACCATGACCAGTGTCGTCAACGTGATCCTGCGAATTAAGAGCGTTGTATCCCAGAGACGCGCGACCCCCGAAGTCGACGTGGTCTACATTGATGCCGCTGTCAAGAACGTAGGCGTAGTGGCCCTCGCCTGCGGAGGCATCATAGATATAGTCGGTCGCACCCAGATCTCGGTGGGAGATGAGACTCTGCGTATTTGCCGTCAATGATTGACCAAGGCCGCCAACGAGAACCACAGCAAAATCACTTACCAAACCCCATGTAGCATTGGCCTGAGTGACCGGGCTCTGGACGTCCGACACTGAGCCAGATGGAATTTGAAATGCCTCGAACACTTCATCTTGTTCAACGTAAGAGACCTTCTCGATGTGTCAATACAAACATCCATCCACCCTGGGCCTGGGATGTACTACGTTTGGATGCGCTCTGATCTCCTCAATTGTCAGATCATCAAAGTCTCCGATGTATCCTCTGCATAAGTATCATGTCAGAACCAAGCTGATGATCGCCAAAGCGATTGTGCTAGGGAGATCCATGTAAACCCACTTGGACAGAATCATCCAGGAAATAGTGCATACCTGAACTGACGAAATATGGTCTTGACCCCATCGAGGCCCTCGGGCAGTGCCCGTTTTCTGTATCTTGACAGGTTGCGAGTGTGAACGCTTCGAGCCCATTGAGCGTGAGCAGCTACATCAACGTCTTCTTTGAATTGGATTATGTAACTCTTAGGAACGTAGTTGAGTTGAGATCCAACATCAGATGTAGGCACAGCTGCAATCAATGAGACAATTGGCACGAGGGCCAGGAGGATGTTTTTCAGCCCACCCATCGTGGCTCGGATAACAACAAAACTCAAAATGGCTAGAGACTATGGTCAAGACGAATGTTTGGTGTTGAGTGCCGGGGCGTGTCTAGCTCTTAAACCATGATTGCATGTTTCCCGACAAGGTAGGTGATCTTCCTCAGAGCACGCAAGGTGACATTGCTTGAACATGTTCGTATTGTCGACTTGGCATCGCATGGTTGCATCGTTTGGTGGGCCCAAGCACGTCAACACGGCGGCCGACTGTGGGATTCTGCGATTGTGTAACAATTCCTATGTGAGCCTGGCATGGTTGCTATCCCTGACCGTAACCACCATGCTGAGTGTGTCCTAACGTGTCTCGCAAGTGACGAGAAACAGTGTCTGTCGTGGAGCTGTGAGTGCTACCCTTCTTGGATTCCAAAGACTGTTTCGCAGCTTGCCCCTCTGTCATGTCATATCTAGATGCGTTTGCCAAATTAGCGGTACCGAAAGTTGAACGATACCCTTTCAGGCAGTCCCATCGGCGGATTTACAATACGAGAAGCCAAGCCTCGGCTCAATTGTGGAGTTCCGCAAGCACCTGCATTGCCAAGGCCACATGGAAGACTGGTCCATATTATCTACGAGAAATGGTAGCAAAAGTCCGGTAATGGGGCGAGATCATTTGATATATCTACTAGTGAAGACTGGCGAAAGAGCCCTGGATGTTGGTTGCTTTTCTACACAATGAGCCAGTCCAACTATCACGCTGAGATTTGGACACAAATCGGTCTGATGTGACGCAGCACAATATCACGAAGGCAGTGCAGCCTCGGGTAAGCTGTGAAATTTTGCAAGGCTTGGGCAAGTGCTGGCGGGTATAAGTTCAAGGTCGGTGATGCTCAGACTGATGCACACGTGGATACTATGTGCCCTGGGCTGGCAGGAGACACGACGGCTGGATCCAGCCTACAACTCGTCACAAGCACCCAATGGGAGACAATTCAAGGTCAGACCTGGACAGCGTGCATTGAAAAGTGTATGCGTTGATCGAGTTCGATTGCTCGGAAAATTACTGAGGAACCAACAATATCAATATTTCCCCAGTCATCATCTTGCTGGGAATAGTTGGCGTTCAGAAATTAACAAGGAAATCACTTGGTTCAAGGCGAGCCTCCTTAAAACCATTCTGCCATGCGTATCCAGCAACAACCTCTCAACCATCGTCCATCTTCCCGCTATCCCCGAGCCCGTAACATCCTCTCATTCACGGCCTTGTCAAAGACTCAGAGGCAAAGGTAATGAATAGGGTGGGTGAACAGTCAAAGCCAGCACCTCAGTCTCCCCCACCAACTGCTACAAGGTCGAAGTGCTCGCGCAAATCGTGCTCGTCAGCGTTGATGCCCCATTTGCAGTCGATGGCCCTACAGTCGTTATTACCGCTGGGCAATGCCACTTGGGCTCGAGAACGTGAAGACTTGTACACCCGTGGCAGTCCACGGCGGTATACTCCGTTACCGTTGATGTCCACTTTGGGGACCGCGCGCACGGGTTGTGAAGGTCCCCCATGACGGTTGTAGTGCAACCGCTGACGATAGTGGGTGCAGGCATCGTTACCTGGTGTTCCGTTGACACTGGGAATGAGACGGGAAGTACTGGTGGCATCGGACCAAGTAGATTGACTTCGTCAGTGCTGTCGGAGTCTTGAGTGGACACCTGGCGCTTCTCGTTCTTGATTTGTGCTGGATTTTGGCCAAAACAAATACTGCTGGGAACGACGGTTGATTCGGCTGCCGTGGGCTCGACGACAAATTTTATATCCGTTGACTTAGTAGACTGTGGGCCGAAATGTATCTGTCGCCTCGTAGGAGTCCAAGAGACTGAATTAGATGTAATCGTTGTTAAGTACTTCTGACCATCGTGTGGTACCAAGGGACTTGGAGCGACTATCGTCAGCAGTAGAGTAAGCACTGCCAGGCTACAGCAGCGCATCGTGGTAAGACTTGAAGTCTAAGAAGACGACAAGGCTAATGGGAATCTTCCTGAGGGGACAAGGAATAATATCAGAGGAGCTTTCCCAGACCATGCAAAAAGCAGTCATGAAGTGTGCCTCCGCGGGACAAGGGACTCCTTTATAGGAAATGCTGGTGCCGCTCGATTGAGTGGAGAAATTATTCTGGATATCAATAATCAGGCATCTGGACACAGGTCTTTGGTTGGTCCACGACAAATTCAAACTTGTGTATCGAGAAAAGCTCGCTATGAGGGCTGCCTGACGAGACACAATTCGAAGTGCTCATGACACAGGCAACGCGGCTGATACAAATGACGGAAGCTTGGGATTACCAAGTGATGACAGGTGTCATGTAGGAAATGAGGACACCGCAGATCTGGACGCTTGCGCACCTGTACGGAACTGAAGCAGCTACACCCGCCGGTGAATGGAGAGTGGCGAATAGATCTGAGGAGAGACGGACGCTGCCTTTAGTGGTGTGCGTGACACATATCGGGTCTGTCCAAGCGAGTTGAGCCACGCAAACCGAGTTTAGAATTCCAAGATGGATCTTTGCGATTCGAAAGACAGAAAAATTCATCATGGGATCCAGGATGAAGAAGGGTTCATTGCAAGTTGAGGTCTCCCTTTGGACAACCTACAGCGGCTGCAAACTCCCAGTCGATGTGACAATCATCGCACCCACAATTCCATGCGGATTGTGTTGAGATAGAGCAGGTTGGAGACATTCATGCGAAACTATGCTCAGGATCATCCTAGGAGCGCCTAGATGCGTAGAAGAAGAAGGGGGACACAACCGCGTCAATGACAATGATCTTTACATGGCGTACTCGGTCACACGGTCATACAACAACTTCCGTGAAACTCCATGTCCTTCATTACGCAGCGAAAGGGTTACCATCGACTCAAAGTCTAGGCAGTGAACGACCATTTGAGGTGGTAGAGTTAATTTCAGCTCCCAATAGGTTTTGGCCAGCATCCAGGCCTTCGGCTCTTCTATACGACTGATTTCGTTAGAGCGGGTGTTATGTGTTGTACTACCGTCTTAATTCCCGAATCACGGAAGCCTCTGCCACATCACAGATCGATAATTGGTGTGATCATGGTACCACCGTGCCGCAAGCAATTGTGCTCCTCTTGATGCCGGTATTGGCGGTCCCGGTGATCGATGCTCCGGTTGTGAATTGCTGTGGATCAATCGCACTGCTGTAGCCCAACGATGGAAGGTGTCTGTATCTAGACGGATTGAGGAAGACGGCTGCGTCCTTGTACCGCGAAAAGATTTGCTTTGAGTATCAATGCCTCTTGTTCACTCAAGTTGTTGATCTGAGCACAGATCTCGATGTCTACCTAACCAGAGGACACGCCTCTGGGCGGTGGGATCTGGGGGATCTTAGAGGCAGTTTTCGCCTGGTGCAGCGGCAGGAATGGTGCCGAAGAAGTGATGGCTTCAAAGAACTAAGAATATCGCCTGCTGCGCAAACCACAGATTCTACCGGCGGGGATCATTTCGAAGCAAGCATTTATGTTACAAACGTGGTCAGAAAGCCGTAGCTAGCGATAATCTCATTTTGAATCAGTGAACAACATTGCGCGGTAATCACCGAACAACATTGACCGTCGAGCGAGCGTTGCTGCAACAGCTTTCTGCGCAACAAGGTCAATAACTGGGTCTTCAGAGACTCCAACAGCTTGGATGACAAGGTGTTACAGTGGGATAACAGAATGTACGTCAGTGGCATTGAGTTGTAAGCGAACACCGCGGACTCAGAGACCGGACGAAGACAAAGAACGCAGAGGATAAGTGCCTGACTAAGTGATTTGGCAACCATGGTGTTCTCCCTGTGGAACGTGAGTCCCAGGCTTTTGCCACCACGACAGCCAAGTTGGGTTCTCGTGGCATGCCGGCTTTACACAGTGACCTGCTATGTGAACTCGGGGCATTGCACAACAAGGCACTGTCTGTCTCGACTAGCGAGTCTGTTCTGTCCCAGTGGCATGAGCTGAGTGGGCTGCTTCTTGTACCCAGGTTCAAAGTTAAGGGCGGCGAGATGGTAAAAGCGACTGAGATGAGATATGGTATAAAATATGTTACACACACGCCCGCAGACGGCGCCACACGAGTTCATACGCGATGAATGATTCTAGGGAGCACCATCTGCATCCGGTAACTACAGGCTACTGAAGACAAGATCCATTCCACCGAGATTAATGTTAAAGTTGAGATGATAGCTAGGATCCTGAAGCTGTAGTCATGGTTAGCAAATTTTAATAGTACTCGGATATTCTAGACGGACGCCTGCTAGTCAGCACGTCAGACGGTCATGGGCAACAAGCTTACACAATCCCAGTCCCACTCCCTGCTCAGTTGCTCAAAATCACCCATGCCAGAGAAGGCATCTTCGACGGCGGCAGAGACTTGTGGCCCATGGTCCCCTGTGTCCATCGACGAGCCTGCATCGGCCTCTCCTACGCTGGACATGGGATTGCCACCGCTCAGCGCGGCATGCATCTCTTTAAGAAGGTCGAGCGCCTCCCTTGCCGATTTCAAACAAGCTTCTCGTACGATGTCCTTGAGCTGTTCCTCGCTTGGATCTTTCGTGAGCCCTTCGGCTTCAGCAAGCACCGCCGTTGCGAACAGAAAACCCTTGACGTTCACCTCGCCAGCCTTGATGCGTGCTCTCATCCACTCCACCGTATATCGAAGCACGTCAAGCATCTCGCTCTCATCAACCATTGGGCCCATGAAACCTAGTCCCGCTCCCGGCGTGCCAGCTGCCGATGTTGTTGAGGTTGTCGCCGTGGTGCAAAGATCCAGACTTCGTGCACCTTCGAGGCGCTCATCCAGTTCCCATACGAACTCAAGTGTGGCCGCCACTAGGATATGTTAATCACCGGCTACGGGCCCCAAAGTGATGCGTTCTGGACAGACGGGGAACCGTGGATAGAGATGAATGGTGCTTACGGAGACACTGCGTGCCGATAAACCGCACCGATCCTGAGCCACAGATAAGTAGCCGCCGAAAGTCGTCCGGTTCCTGGAAAGCCCTATCTGCTGGGTCGATGGACTTATGAGCCCTAACCACTCTGTGGTGCCTCAGACCGGCCTCGACACAGAGCCTCCTGCTGTAGAAGTAACGCGGATCATCCTTTGCAAGGCCGAGCCAGGGCAGGTGGATGGCCAGGAAGTACCTCTGCATTATATGTTCGACTGTCCGAAGTTGGAATGAAGAGGGGCCAGGGTTTTGGTTTTTGTGCGCACGCAGCAATGCATCCAGCGATCGGGACGCCGCCGTGAGCTCGGAGTTGATAGCTAGGGACTTGTCGTAGCTCGTCACAGAGCGGAACTCGTTGAGATATGCTGCGATTTCGATGCGCACCTTGATCGTCCTGACCAGCCCGATCTGGATTGACGTGTCGGTGAAGGTGGTCAGGGGCTTAGGTTGTGGCACTTCGGCTAGGAGATCCTCGTCATTATAGTTGCCTGGCAGTTTTGTATCGTAGTCAAATGGTGATATCAGCGGCGGCCCTCCTGAGTCCCTAGTATGTGTCAGTCACTTACTACGGAGCCTGGGGTGATGCATTCCATATCTTAAAGACGGGGAGCTGTTAAAGGAGAAGACTTGTGCTTACATGCTTGACTGTACCAAAATCTCCAGTATCGCGGCCCATACTCGACGGCGTGTCTCGGCTGCAAGGAGTGACATTTTGGGGAGATTATCTGGGTCCCGATGGAGGCCGATATACAACGCCATCCTCATCAACGAGCCAGCGGATGCCCAAACCAGATCTGATCCAACTCCACAAACATCACGGGCTAGATGGATGAGGCAACATATTTGCAGACCTGAAAGGTTCATCCTTGACCTCTCCGAGGGCTGGAACAGCCAGAAGCGAGCTTCGTAGACCCATCGTACCGCCAAACTCCGGAGAGAGAAGTGGTCATCGTGCAGTACCGCACCTATGGCCATACAGAGCTGGAGCTGGATCACAAATGCCTGCCTCGCCCCTTTTGGGTTCTGCCAGTACCGTGCGTACTCGAGCCTGAAAGATGGGATGTGCAGGACCCGATGGATAGTCTCGTAGGTCCGTAGGTACGCTTCCACCAACTCGTCGGCGAGCTGCTTGGATGGTATGTGGTTCCCAAACTCCAAGGACATTATTTGAGGCACTCGCAACGCTTTAATCTGGCGCCCTAGGGTCTTGCTCTGGGCAACTGCCTTGTAGCCTTCTGAACTCTTGTCTGACTTTAAGGACTCAAGGAACAACATAAGCCGTGGAAACTGTGGAGCAGTCAGAGGGCTAGCGCTGTACATGGTACTGGAGGTTTCGACTGTGACAGGTATGTCTCCACGCAAGGAAACAGACTGGCTGTTCTCTGATCCGATGAATGAAACGACGGGAGCGTGTGATGCGTTGTGCGGCATAGTGCAGAACCTTAATAAAAGCAAGAGAGTGGGTCGGTCAAGTGCACGGGAGGCAGAACTCTCCTGTGCGACCGGGAGTGGGTGGGTACAAGTAAAATGGATGGGGCTTACAAGCGTCACCCCATGTATCCAGTGACTATTTCCCAAGTACCTGGACTTCGAGAGGATGGCGTTGACGTTGCCACTCGTGGGATGGTTCTCTTCAGTGTTCGGGCCGCCTCTCTCTTGATTCGGCCCCTGAGCCTCTCTTGAGTGTCTCGCTCTTGGCAAGCTAGTATCTGCAGTGCCTGAGCCCTGAACCTGCCAGTGCTCCGGTCCCAGGAATCTGGATGCGGTCGGAGGGTTGAAATTCGCATTGTTAAGGTATGCTTTGGGGACCTCGGACCGGGCAGGGGCACTACTATTCCGTGCGTTGACGAACTGGCCGAGCTGTTCCTCGAGCTGCCTGACCCTTTCCGCAAGCTGGTCCGGAGAGCTGTTAGATGGGGAGGCTGCGGTAGTGAAGAAGGGCACACTCGACAAAGCGTCACGCTGCGGGTGTCGGCCGTTGATGCCATCTTCAAACCCTTCGGTGCCCTCTCTCGGCTCAATACGCTCATCAGAGACATATGAACAAGAGGCGGCCCTCCGTGCGCGGACGCAGTTTTGACACGGCAATTTGCGATCGCACCTCACTTTGCGGCGTCTGCAAGCGATGCAAGCCAAGGGCGGCCGTCGTCGACGCTTCTCGGGCGGTGTGTTCTCCATGTCTGGTAAGGATGGGCCCACAGCCAATCTGTGGAATATGGCGAGTATGTCCGAGAATTCACCTCTAGAAATGCAGTAGGAGGAGCGTGGTCGCTTTGCAAAAAGGGCGAGCTCGGAATAAGCCGAACACTATGTCCGAGGGCGACGTCTGATTTTCGGACTGTATCGCTTAAGTGGAACTCATCGGATTAATTCCGCGGGGAATTCCAGAAGGCCGCTTGTGGGAGGATCTGATTCGTCAGAAGCACGGTCGGGCCGAAAGGAACGAAAAGGCCGTCTTACACAAGTAGCTCGCTCAGATGGCGGCGCCCATTCTGACCCACAAAGCCTCCCCGTACACAATCACATGCATATCAGCAGCGACCGCGGGAGCTCCAAGGTATGAGGAAAGTAGAAGAGTAGGTTTCAAGTATGCGGGCCCAGAGTTAATCATCGAGGTATTCAAGAACAGGATGCCTGAAGCAGAAGAGACAGCGGGAACGTCTCAGTGCATGACTGACACCTGGGGTTACAAAGGGGCCAAGTACAAATTGACACTAAGCGCTTGATAGTGCTATACAACTACTTCAACAAAGTAACTAATAGTCAAAATACTTGCATCATCTCTATACACTGTACAGCTGAGACCAGTTCACAATAGAGTGTTTGGGGCGTTGCACAGGATTGGACTCAGCGGATGTAGTCATTTCTACCAGACATCAATTTGAAAAGCAATGATAGCAGTTCCAAATGGTGAAACATAGAGAACCAGTCAAGACAGAGAGTATCCGCGAGCGCTGTATCGTGTCACCGAAACAAACATCATACCGGTAGACGATAGATACACGTAGCTCCGCCGTCATAATTAGGACTACAATGATCACTCTAGAGAGAACTGACCCGGAAACTTTCATCTCAGTGATCTGATACGTCCCCCTGGCCTCCTACCAGACCAAGGATCGATGTTGTCAATGAATCAAAGTGCATCATGAAGTGTCTACATTGGTTCAACGTTAGAATCGGATTGCACCTACCTAGACCTTTGCCATCTCCCACATGATGGCGAATCCCGCAAACTGAGCCGGAGCCTGACGCTAGCCTTTCACCGTGTTCCATCAATGATCCGGGACCACCGATACAAGCGGGCGGGATGAGTACGAGGCTGGACGGGCGTACAATAGATTTGGTGCTTGGAAGCCTCAGCATGGGGACGAGTAAGGCTAAAATAAATAGAACACACAGTGGTGACACTACTCATGCGTTGATTTCAAGGCTACATCAGATTAGCCCACAATCTTGGCCAAGATGGGCAACCCGGAAGGTCGGCTCCGTGCAGCTCACTGAAGGCTCGATGATGTCGTGGCTGGCTATTTAATTAGAGCTGCATGTATGTCCAGACGAATCTGTAACTAGAACACCGTCTTCTGTCTCGACGTTCTTCTCTCTCCCCCCCCATCGTATGGTGAGGTGCCGCTCCTTGGTTCTACCCTCTTCCAGCGTCGTGCGATACATCAAGCCTCGTCGGGAAACACAAACTGGAACACAAGCAACATATCAGCTGAGGCACGAAAAGAACCCCAAAGATTTGGTGAATACGCCGGGTTCTGAATGCATCAAAGGGGAAGCCTAATTGAAGTGCCAGCCCTTTGGCAACCATCCCTACGTGGTTCGCGCCAAAGCTTTCCGAGCCACTATGGCTAAGTTGCCCGATGCTACTCTCGCTGCAGCCACGAAATCTAGCAGCTTATCTGGAATTGTAGCGACGTATTTAATTATGGAGTACTTATAAGTAGCAACTTGTGCGGATTGGGACTGCTTCATGTTGCAGAATACCCACGTTGCAATTCTCTGGACTTCAGCCACATTTGCAAACTTCTTCCAGAGAATGTTCAGCACAAGCTTTTTGGTCCTGGCTTTTGCCATGGCAGCCGTCGCAAATCCCCTCAAATCCAATGAGCCCACTTTAACCACCACTGTAGCTGAGGAGCTGCCTGGGCAGACCCTCGCTCCTTCTCCGGGTTACGTGGACGTTGAGCTTCGCAACCTCGCCATCACGACCACACTCGGCGTCAAGTGCACCGTCACCAAAGTTGTGGGCAGCCCCGTCCAGGGCGATCCGACCCTGACCAAGTACCCCTACACGGTCACATCTACGGCGGCAACGAATTGCCACGGCTGCAAGTTGAGCGTGATCACGCGCTCGGTCATCACGTTCGAGCCAGTGAAGTACACCAAGACGATCACAGCTCCTGATCCAACCACCGAATATAGTTGGGTGTGTTTGCCGACTGGGTTGGCAGAATAGGACTGGACAGTCCTGTCTTATTTTGGAAGAGTGAAATCCAAAAGACATGGAAAGATCGCAAAACATCATCAGAATCACTACAGAAGCTAGTCAGCGACCAGTATTAGCAAAGGAAACGGCAAGGAGAGATGTTGTGAGGACGTGTTTAGATTCAAATCGTTGTTGTCGAGCCCGAAGAGCTGTGGCAAAGTGCCTGGACTCGAAGAGGAATCATGAGGGCGCACTCAAACACCCTCATACTGTTGGGCACAGCGCTTATTGTACCTAGGTGAATTTGGGTTGATGCACTCCTTCTTGCATGTCATGTTCACTCTTGGTCATACCATTGGGGAATAATTCGTCGGCTTGGCTTCCCGTATCCAGCCTTGGGATCGAGCTAGCCGTCTAACAACTCAGTAGTCTTTCAATGCAGCTTTACTCTTGTGGTTTCGGCCTTCGTATCTCACTAGGAGCCGCACTTGGCCGATACAGCGGTCGTTTCTGTCGGAACTCGAATTCGTTGCCTGCAAGGTTTAGACGGAAACGATCTCGTCTGTGGATAGCGCAGACTTTCGCTCTTCGAAACAGGCTCACGTATGTCAAAACAAGACATGGGGCAAAGTTCCAGCAGCTTCCTTCGATGGCAACCTGCCAAATTGGAGACTCTGCCGTTGCGTGAGATACTGTAACAAAAGAGGTGGCGTTTGGGGGAGAGTCAGATTGAAGTCGAGGAGAATTCGGTGCTGTGTTTGTCATTCGTGTGTCTGATGAGGTCACCACCACAACGGTCTGGGATCTATCTCGTTTGACCTCCATGGGGTGAAGGAGCCGAGCTTGTTCACCGTGGACGGCGCAGGACATTGTCAGCCCACGGCATACGTCTCAAACTGCAAGAGAGATACTCGTAGATGAATTTTCTATACGCCCATGTTCGTGTTTTCGATCGGACTCTCTGCAAGTCGACGCGGTTGGATCATCGAAAGGTTGTACAGGAGGTGTGACGCCGATGGATCGCTGGGTGAGCCAGAACTCGCACTGGTGCACAGTCTGTTTTTGGGAGCTGCCCCATGAACTGGGCGGCTGGCACTGTTTGATAGAATTCTGGGTCATTTGTCTACCAATTCGTCGTTTCCTCAGCCAGGAAACGGTTGCCAGTGTTGGGTGCGTGGTGGTGGGGCAGGGAGAAAAGAGAAGTTGACAGGCACAAAGAACTACGCATCAAGGGACGAAACACACGATGGTGCGGAGAAGGGTTTCAGTCGTTAGCATGGGATTGTTTGGCACGAGTTGAAAGGAGCCGTCGCAAAGTTCAGGCCGCCACCAACAATTGCTTGCTTGTTTGGTTGGTGCTTTTGGGAGCCTTGACTGCTTGGAGTGGCTGATCGAGGTCTGTTCAGACGACGCTGACCTCTCCTCGAGTGAAACTGTCAATGATGCATCCATCAAGATCTCCTCTTGATCCAGGTTGGAGTCCTTGGACCTGAGTACCTAGGTAGGCTGCTGACGAAGGTGGAGAGCAACTGCCCGAGGGCCCACGCGTCGCGTACCAGCAGAGCTCATGCGGGAACAAGCGCAGTCTGACCTGACTGCGTGTGCTGCGTCGCAGACAAACACGATGGGTGTGGCACTAGCATTTGTCACTTTGGCTGAGATTAAATGGACAGGTTTGACGGCACCGACGTAGTAGGAGAAGAGGAGCAAGGCCGATGGGACGAGCAAGAGAGATGGTATCACCACAGAGGTCGCAAGGGATCACAGCGCAAGCAGAGGCAGTAAACGACAGAGAAAGACCGCTGAGCGAGGGAGACAAGACTGAATGTCGACCGTCACACGTCAGGCAGGCGAAGCAGGTCGTCAATTCTCTTCTTCGCATCGCGAGACAAGCTCACGAGTGCAATGAAAAGAGGGGGGGAAGAAGGTCCAATCAATATTTCGCCACCACGAAGCCATACCGAAGCAGCTTGCAGAGCCATAGGCAGTGAGCACACGTCCCACGCTGGATGAAGGGCCGAACCACTTGCAGAGCCATATGCAGTGAGCTCACGTCCCACGCTGGATGAAGGGCCGACAGCAACAGGAGCAAACCAATCATGGAATGTCGACAAATGCAAAGGGGAGGTTGAGGTGCAGTGAGGTGATCGGAGGGGCCGAGGCCACTGAGTTGTGTCAGAAGGAGTTGTTGTGTTGTGTTGTGTTGTGTTGTGATGAGGGAAGAAGGAAGGGGGAAGGAGAGAGAGCCAGCTGCCTCTGAGGGTTTAAGTACTCGAAGGGGGAGCTGGTGGCTGATTTCGAATCACAAACCAGACACGTACCTGGGCCCAGGGCAGGCTAGCGTGCGGCTCTGGGAGGAAACAAGCTCGCGCTAGCGGCCTTTTGACAGCTTATGTGGGCCCATGTCCACACACCTGCGCGGTCAACACCAAGCAAGGACCGCAACACTTGTCGTGATCCCAAGCCACCATGGCACTTTACAGGAACAAAAAAATAATGTGCATGATGCTTAAAGTTTTGCGAAGCTTCTGTATGTATTTTTGTCAATATTAGACGTTCCGTTGTCGAGGGATCCGTAAATTTTGTGCCTCATCCTCCACCCGCCTCCTCCGTTTCCAGACCTGGCGCCCACATTAAGCCAGCCAACCAAAATTTTGGGCTCTTGGGCACCTTTCCACTTTGGGACTCGCTGATCTCGATCCGTTCTTGCGCCTGCTGCTCCCGCTACCGATGCCCAAGCCTGTCCCGCTGCCTCTTCCCAGCACGTGACGCCTTCACTTTCGTTGCAGTCTCTCCCATCAAAGCCTCGACCATTGCTTGTCGGTTGTAATCAATTGTTCATTCTGTTATCGTAATCGATGAGACTGCCCAGGTGCATTTGTAGAACTTGTCCCTGACCCTGACTCCTGCTGTCAAGGGCTGCAGTGCCTCGCACCCCCGTGCGCTCGACGCTCGGCAACACCCTCAGAGCTGTCTTCTGCAGAATGTCCCACAGCCTTGCACCCAATCTGTGACCACTTTCCGTGCGCTCGTGAGCTGGTTTCTCAGTGCTACGAAGAGAATCTTGCGTAGGTAGTCGGCCACATGGCTGCCACTTCTGTTTGCTGGTCAAGTCTCCACATGAGCGTGCAGCCCATATTACTTGCTCTACATTCAATGATTGGCTCACATACTGCTGTGTTGGTGGTACCTCACATCGCAGCGGGGTGTGCTCTTCCCTGCCATTGCCAACCTACATTGGATGCCTGAGAAGATTGAGCTCTTTAGTTACTGCGGGGTGGCCGAGGCATCGTCGACTCGGGCGGACAAGCTGACTGCGCAGCCGGCAAACAACGTCCAAATCACCTCTGCCCTTTACCTACCTCTAACGGTCTTCACACTGCTCACTGTGCTGTTCTGACAATCGCCCGAATGGCGACAGTGATGGTTGAGCTGCCTCCTCTGGGACCTTGCAACGATTCCAACGATTTCTCTCAATTTGAGCTCTGCGCCGACCGCCAACGTTTGCAACGTCTGTCTCTGGCGTGGCTTGGTCTCAGGCCCTTCATGCGAACCAGCAAAGTGCATTCTTCCAGTAGTAGGTCGCCTTCCACTTCCACTTCCAAAGCACCCCAAGTCATCCATGGATGTTGCTTACAGCTCTGCTGGCTAACATCAAACAGGCACTGGTATCGGAGCAGCCTTTGATCGACCCACATGGATCAACACAATGTAGTCACTCGGCATCAAGACCTTTGGCCTTCAATCACAAGAAACGCGTCTATTTCATCCTTCTCGTTTTGTCTCCCGCTCTTGCACGGCTTCGATCGCATCCCCCATCAGCTTCAGGAATCTGTCCTGTTCCATGATGTACCGTGTCATCCACCAAATATCCGATGCCTCCTTTTTCTCGCAGGTGTGATACCAACCATCGCTCGCCGCACGATTCTTGCACATCATGTACGACTTCTCTCCTCCTGTCACCCTTGGATCAGAGCAGACGAACGACCAACCCTCGGGGTCTGTCGTGAAGCTCCAGCACCTGGAGGTGTCGAACGGGAGGAATGAGGTCCCGTCATCTGGCATCTGTTCCAGATCTCCTCCAGGACCGGGGTAACAATTTCCAAGGACCTTGTTCGCCCCGGCCACAAAGTATAACTGTCCAGTCATCTTAGCCAAGTTGCGGAAGCCCCTGTGACATAGCCTGTCCGGCTGGATTTCGACCAGAGCTCCTCGTCCTTCCTCCATGAACATGACATGCGTGAAACCGGCACCGTGCATTCCCACCAGAACGTCCGTGTGTCGCGCAATCTCGATCTGTTCTCGGAACGGCTTGCCTTCGAAGTCCACAAGGCGGATGTCCGCCACGTGTGCAAACTTGGCCTTGGCTGCCTCGAAGAGATGTTCTTCAAGTCCAATCAACCTGCGCGAGTTCCTTCGGACAACGATGCTGACGTTGAGTCTCGGTGGGGATGGCGATAGGAATAGGCTGGAGGCATGTGAGCGTGGTGCACCACGCTGCCGCTCGCGGGGAATGCCGTAGAAATCAAAGACTCGCTGGATAAAGACCCGCAGGACAGCGTTCTCGTCGCAATTGATGGTCACCCAGTCCGACCAGAGAGGGTTGGCAGCACCCGCCAAAGGGATGATTAATTTGTCCACTGGTATTACAGCCGCATCTTTCCTGGAGCTTGTGTCGCTACTCCTACTGGCGACCCACTCAGCTAACCGTATGGGTTCCTTGCCCGATGCTAGTTGAAAGAGGTCGAAATAGGGACCGTCCGGAAATTCGTCGATGATCACTATCTCCGTCCTTGGAAGGTCTTCGGGGCTGAACACAGCTTTGCCTCCAGAATCTGGGTCAGGCGTGGTGCGCAGGACATCCAGCGTGGATAGGACTGCCATGATCTCATTGAGGCAATGCCTGGGAAATCTGTCAGCAAGCTAATTTGTCTTCATATCCGGAATAGACAAGTCGCATATGCGGCCACAGAATGTCTTGGTTTCTGCGCTCCGCACAAAGTTACCCCTTTGACAATCCAGAAAGGAAAACAATTGTCTCAGAAATGCTAACCAGAGATTTCCGTCTACCTCCCGTTTCATTAGAATTACAAAGCTCTTCTCTTTGAGCTGTGATGGTCCGACAGAGCCTCCACCCAGAAACATGGGCGTCTTTTTGAGTTTCAGGTCCATCCACTCTTTCAGAATATACTTCGGCCCAGTTAGATACTGGTAAGATTGCAAGTCCTCGAATGGAGCAGCGCCCAATGCTTTCTCCTGGTCGGAAAGCCCACGAATCTGGCAGTCGAATGCGAACTTCTGCTGTTTGGTGTCAAAGACAACGCCTTTTTGAGCTATACAGAAGGAGTCTAACGACCCGCTGGCAAAGGAGCCGGAGTTGACGGTGTGAAAGCAGGTGAGGTCGGATGCCGAGCTCTCTGAACAATATCCTGCTCGGCGGTCCCGGAAGTCCTCGAGAAACTTTGTGCTGAACCTGTCTCTACAGAACTGAGACTGTGGCTCTGAACTTCGCCCTGGTCCGGTGGCGTTGTACTCGGGTGGGAGCGGAAGAGCCGCCACGACGGTCCGGTCGCCATCTCGTACCGTGCCCTCCTCGTCAGGGGGAGCCTGCTGGCCCTCGGCGGTCGGCAATGGTCCCAGGCTCCTTGTGGGGAAAGACCGCAAGCTGAAGAGAAGAAGCAGCACGAGTCCTGAAAGTAAAAGTGCGTATTTGCGTCCAGGTGCAAACAACGTGGCCATATTGCCGACAGAGAGCCAGGTTTACAGGTGAGTGCATGCAGTGAGCTGCCAGAATTACGCTGGATGGAAGAAGTTCGTTCGGGAGAGGCTCTGACTCGTTGACCGGTTTCATACTTTGCTGTGGGATCCGTTCGCCTGGAGCACCAATCACTGTGCGATGGGACTGAGAAGCTCAATAGCTGAATCAGTAAGTAACATCCTGGGCACTCCCAAGAAACAGGCATGATCGGCTTAGCTGAGCACGGGGAGTCCGAAAAACAACAGCAGCTGGACTTTGCACTCTCGCAACGCGGAACACCTGTGTATATTCAATTGCGGAGCTGCTAACACTTTTTTGCACCATCGACTTGGATTGCCGCCACTCATCAGACGACGCATCTGAAAAGTCTGCGTTGAGATATGCAAGCGTGTTCCAAGTTGAAGAGGTGGGTTGGTAGAGTCCATCTCGCCAGTCGCAGGCGACTCAGCATGAGCCAGAGGCACTGGTGCAAGGTTGCAGGTCATCGTCCAAGATGCAGACTGCTGCTTATATCTTGCGACGCGTAGGTGGCCACTCTACACATGAAGCATGCCTGCAAAAGTGCGAATGGTTGCGCGCATCAGGCGATGCATTGCGAGGAGCGTACAGACGGAGCAGAGCCAAACGTTTCAGAGGAAGCAGCATAAATGGCTTCATAGACAACGCAATCGCCCAATACGATGGCCGAGGGCGGAAGTTTATCGAGCAGGTCCGCCCGTTCCGACAGGGTCTCCTCTCTTTTGACGTGTCACATGGTCGACTGGCCATTGTTGTAATCTGCTGTCAGCTGGCCATGAGTTGGCATGGAAGTGATTTTGCAGCAATGCACTTTTGTGGTTCAGTGATCACGCGTATTTGAGCAGACTGATCGGCACCCGGCTTGAGCCTGTTACTTAAACTGGCTTATCTTGCATACAAGTGTGGCCGATACTACTTCGAGGGCTTCCCACACAACCGGCACTTTATTTTCGGTCCCCAAATCACCGTCCGCTGGATTTTGATCAAGGTGTGACCAGGCTGTGAAGTAGTCACATAAATGACGTGGCATTGATGGACACGTAAGACGGTGCGCTATTCGCCCACATATTGTGCCGGCCCTGTTTGTCAGCGAGTTACGGGCTGTCCATGCCGCATTCTTGAAGTAGATGTTGGATGACCGGGCTGAGAAGTGGTTATATTTCCTTTTTGCCTAGAAAACAATGAATCAGCCCCAAGTCGTAGCAGGGCAGTGGTTCCGCAACACTGGAAAATGTGTCTTGGGCAGCACCGCGATGATCGATCGCTACTCAATTCTTGCCAGCGAGGGCAGCAACTGTCAAACGGCATTTTGGTTATTCTCTGACTTGCATCAAGAATCGGGTGCTCACTCTTTCAACAATCGGCTTGGAGCATCCATGTGGTGCCTGAAATCGGTTCATAACCGGGTGATGTCCCAGCTGGGTCAATACGCGGAGACGGAGATTAATCGGCCAATTGGGTCAAGCACTGCTTGAGTAGGCCATCAGGCGAGCTGCCTCGAGGCAATCTGTATGCAATCAAGTTCACATTGGGAGGGTTTCACGGAAATACATGTCTTGCCCTGGAAACTCTGGTCGGAGTATTTGAGCGTGCCGGGCTGTCCTCTAGCTAAGCTTTCAGAAAGAAGTTGCTCTGCAGCACTCGATTCTCTTCTCACTCTTGTGACTTTGACTGAGCCCAAATAATAACGATTTACTTTACTCCACAAGAACACAATGCCCCGGTCACTACACGACCTCTTGTGCGCCACTTCAGCAACGATGAACGACGAGTCCAGCAACAAGAAGGTCCACGGACTCGTAGACCAGGGCGAAAGCAAAGCCGATAGCGACAACCAGACTCACAGTGAAGGCGGACATGAAGCTTATCAATTCCCCGAAGGCGGGTTCCGAGCCTGGCTGGTAGTCTCAGGGTCGGCTGCCAGCATGTTCTGTACCTTTGGATATCTCACCGGATTCGGGTATGTGAATAGCGTCTCGGCTGTCTCTCGATCCGGCGTACTGAACACCAAGACAGAATCTACCAGCAATGGTATGGCGAGAACCAGCTCAAATCTTACACCCAGTCAGACATCTCATGGATTGGGTCGGTCCAGATTTTCCTAACCTTCGCAGGAGGCTTGGTAGGGGGTCCAGTACTGGACCGCTACGGCAGCGTGGTAAGTTGAATCCCATTCCGTGCCGTTGAAGGGGCACGTAAGACTATACGCTGACACATAACCATCGGCAGGCCATGCTTCCAGTCTCCGTGATTTACGTGATCTCTCTCGTCTTGACAAGCTTCTGCAAGGAATATTACCAATTCTTCCTTGCCCAAGCTATACTAGCGGGTCTATGTCTCGGCTTCCTCTTCTCAAATTCATTAGCCATCATTGGACACTACTTTGATAAACGCTATGGTCTCGCTTCTGGTATTGTTATGGCAGGCGCTGCTGTTGGTGGGGTAATATTCCCAATCGCGCTCAACAGGCTGCTCAACGAAGTCGGTCTCAGCTTCGGATGGTCCGTTCGAATATGTGCTCTAGTGGTTCTCGTGCTTTTGGCTTGTGTGTGAACCCACGGCTACGTCCATTCCGCTGCTTTCTGGCTTACAGCTGACCTTACACAGACGCAAACCTGACCATGAAGCCGCGCCTCCCCCCGACGAAACAAAGCATGGACCTCTCCTTGATGAGACGGCCGGTATACATCCTCGTTGCCATAGGTGGCTGGTTGCTCAACTGGGGCCTTTACATTCCTCTGTTCTACCTGCCTCCATTCGCAATCACGGCTGGCCTCAGTGCAAAGCTTGCGCCGCACACTGTGGCCATCTTCAATGCCGTGTCAATCTTCGGCCGTGTCCTCGCAGGAGCACTTGCTGATAATCTGGGCTGTGTGAGTTCTGCCTTGGATGTCTTCGAATTCCACCCGGCCATTATCGCAGTCCTTGTTTTGCCCCCAACCTGGGTTCAACAGGCCTCCGGTATCGAGGTCTTGCAAGGGAGGGCTCAACAATGCCTCTATCTAATTCGCACTCATTCTGATCTGGACAAGACTGACTTGAGATTATGCAGTTCAACGTCGTGATCATTAATGGCCTTCTTTGCGCTGTTTCTCTGTTCGTCTGGGCAGCCACGCACACGGCTGCCGGCGTCCTCGTGGTCACCATTATCCAAGGACTCTTTATCGGGAGCATTGTGTCCTTACAAGCCGCCATCATTACGACCGTCACCCCTGATCCGAAAAACCTGGGCTCGATGATTGGATTTACCATGGCCATCTGGGCTTGTGGCGGGCTGACAGGGCCTCCTATTGCCGGAGCCATCCTAAATGGCCACGACGGCCCTGGAAGCTATAGTGGTCCCGGGTATTTCGGTGGCGCATCTCTCATCGCCGGCTCTGCGTTCTTCTTCGCTGCTCGCTTGATCATGCAGAAGACACTGCTCGCCAAGGTTTAATGAAAGCCTACTAGTAAGGACATGAGCGGTCATTGTGTCTCGTACAGGTCTTGGAAGCCCGTAACAAAGCAGTGGGTCCCTTGGATATATGGATTCACAAATTCGGAAGCATTGCTTATGAGGTGACGTAGACCAAAGTCTACAGGTCACTTTGAAAAGGCGTGATCCGATTACGAAGAAGAGATCATGGCGAGGAAGTTTCTCAGAGCCCAGCTGCTGAGACAAGGAGAGACGACAAGCTTTACACCTCTTGAACTTGTAAAGAATCTGTGTGCCGTGTGTGGTCCACGGCATGGTAGGCATTGACTCAGCCATATGGTCAAGTTACAGTGTCTTCCTACATACAGACGATAGAGGATCACCAGAAAATAGAATCAGTCCGTCATGTTTCGTTGCTTCTGCCTCCTTCGTGCCCCGCACATGATCATAATACTTCTCGACGCCCTCATATTCGGGCTTTCGCAGTCTCTCACTCATTTATACCACGGTTGAGTACTTCTAATATATACGCAAACGTTTTCAGTGGCTACAAAGTTACCTCCAAATCGCTCAGGTTAGACAACATGCTGAAGGAAAAGTAGGGGGATTGTATTGATGGGTTCCAATAGGAAATACAGCGTAAAAGAGCAATCCCTGGAAAATCATCAAGCCGATGACCTTTTCTACGTTAAAACCGATCCGGCATAGTCTGTAGATCTCGAGCCCCATTTAGCTAGTGTGTGTAGATAGAAAGCTGTCACTGGATTTCTCGATTGGCACAACGTGTGAAGACTCTCGTATGCCACACGCCACTGTTCGATTCTGACTGTGCGTCTCATACAGTAAGCATTACATTGTGGAGCCTGGAGAAAGAAGACTTCGTATCTTCCGCTTTTGAAGTCCTCAGACAAGAAAACACAGCAGGGACTGCAGTCCAGGCACTAGCGTTGCTTTTTTCTCTTGGAAATCCGGCCCGCAATCCCGCGGGGTGCTTTATCAGTCTCAGAATTAGTCTGGACAAGCACTGTGCCAACCCTTGCACGAGAACCGTATCAATTCATTCAGGGGTGATGTTTTCGTGCTCCTTTTCCTGTGCAGAACCGCAATTTCGCTGCTTTGAACCCGTTCGGATTCAACATGCAAGGGAGGTCAAGTGCCTATCTGCAGGCGGGAACAACATTACACCCGAGTCCCACGGGAACGAGGTGGCTCATTCAGGTGGCGAGACTGCCGCGTTCCGAACATGCACAGGGAGGCCGTAACCAGACTTTCAACGGGTTTTAGCGCGAGACGCTGATCTGCCCTGGTGCCACGTGCAGTTAATCTAGGTGATTTACATCGCAACCAACCCACCTGTGTTACCCAGCAAAGTATTAATAAGACTCAGCAACAGATTAATAAGGTCGCTGGTACGACGGGACACGTGCAAAATACCACGTTGCCCCCTCCATGTCACAACATAAAGATATGACCTCCTCACTAGTTCCTGGTTCTTCGTGTCTCACCACCAGGATGATAGCACACTTGCAGACGTCAATTCCACAAGCGACTTGGAAGTACACAAGTCTTGGTACATTGGGACTTCGAAGGTGTTTAACGTTGGTATGAGTCTTCCTGATACGCCAGCGATCATGATACCGTAGCGCAACGCTGGACCCAGCGAAAGAAACCAGTACTAGTCGAGTATACCGAGTAAGATGGATACAGGACCACGTATTCGATAGTGCCGACTTTCACACATGATTTTGCCCGCGTGTGTAATTGTCTGTAGGTTGAAGGAGTCGATGGACCTCGTCCTCCATCTCTGAGCCTCACTCACGACAAGACGGGTCTAGGCGTCTGCATTGTGCGATTCTCATACATACCGGGCAAATGTGTACCGAATCCCAGAAATCGTCCATGCAATGCGCATTGTAGGATGCTGACAAGGAGCGCGGTCGCCTGATCTGTCGTCCGGCCTGCCGCCAGGGCATTAGAGCTGAAGACAGACACGGCAAAGGCAGTCAATGGCGAGACGAGGACCAGCGAGCTATCTCAAAGAGAGCATTGCAATCTGACATGGGCCAAGAATCCTATAGGCTCAGGAATCCCTTAGGTCCGTCTTGCGCCACATGCAGTGTGTCCAACCATGAGACTGCCCTCCACAATGCCTCAGAGTCCCCAGAAGCAGCTCTTTGTGGAGATGAGTTAGTGACCTTTTACGGCACACATGAGCGGCGGCCCCTGCCAAAGAGTCTTTTCAGCCCGAGGACAGACAAGATTCATTCATGCCTGTGTTGGTAAAGTTTTCTATTTTGAGACGTAGTAGAAACATCACACGTGGGGAACAGGGGCCGATCCCTGTGTTTCTCCAAGGTAGATATACGCAGCGATAGTGTGAGCGGATCCCAGAAAATGGAGACGGCGGGAGGCGCGGGATGTTACCTCGCCCGTCCTATCGAGCTGCCGGTGAGCACCGGGACAGTCCGATTTGTCGTCATTTCTCATCTTTCAACTTGTCTTCGCGCCAGCGGCAAAGCTGCGCACCATCTCCCACGGTCTTGTCTTGTATTCGTGACCGGCCACCCGCCGGGCCAGACACCCTTGTTGTGCGGCGCGCTTGCGTGCAGTCATGCACCCACGGGCATGGGTATGATCCCATCACAAGGCCCGAGTGTTGTGCGTCTGTAATACGATCGAAAGTTCCGACTTCCACCAGACCCACTATTTTGCGGGGTGAATGCCCAACAGGACAGCGGTCGTCTCACTGGCTCGGCCGCGACGCAGTCATCAACATGCGTTCGTTCATAGGCACGAGTGGCGCGAAGTTGCGCTGGTTCCATAGGGGCTACCGGCACAAACGCCAAGCGCGAATCTAGCATCTACAGGATCTGTGGCGTGCTCTCAGCTGTACGGTATTGTGGTGGCGTGCCAGCCGTGCTGGCATCGCTTTGTTCTAGACGGTTGGGCGAAGTTTGTTGGCCTATCAGGTCTTGTTGGGCAAGCCAGGATGTCAGCCTCAAGATGTTTATTTTTACTGTGTCAAGCAGACCAAAGGAGAAGGCCGCGGCCTACAAGGGTCTCGTGCCAACGAAACACGAAGCCAAGGCTGCAACCCCAGTCCTCCAGCCCTTGGGGACGGCCCGTACTAAGCCTTGTGTAAATGAGTGGCAATAAAATGGACTCACCGACTGCATGCCTGGGGCTCAGCGGCTTCGAGGATTTGTTATTTCGCCAGCATCCGAATCCCAATTCCCGGCCGACTATGGCTGCAATGTCGTCGGCCTCCACACCACTGGCCGACCACCGGCCGACGATAGACCGTCCCTTGCCGACCAGTGATTGGCCAGCTGCACGTCTTACTCACATAGAGACGTCAAGTCATAGCCCAAAGAGGACGTCCTGGCCGCTGGCGCATATGCCTACACCGCTGTAGGCATCCGTGTGGGGAGACGCCCCTATGCACTTCGTGAGACATGCACAGGGAATCACATGCACATGCAGCAAAGTGCGCCGTCAACTCTCAGGACCTGTTCGAGAAATGGGCGAGGCCCGAGGCTCCTAGATCGCATTGTGTGGTCATTTGTCCACATTTTCGTGAGCGCCTCTGCAAGTCGGGTCCGAAGGAATCAAGTCCGGGCCAATGCGTCCGTTGTACTTGGGATCACACTGGGATGTACCTCGTAAGTGGAATGACAGTCTCCCAGCAAGGCACGGGCATCGGCTGATGGCTGTACTTGGTACTTCTGATGCCCAATTACTTCTGTACGATCGAGCCAGTACCAAGGATTCGGGATCGGATATCCCAGGCACCAGTTACGGGGCACGCCAGATCTGACAGTGTCTATGTAGACACTTTATCGACGGGGGGGGGGATCTCGTTGACAGTCCCAGACCAGCCGGTTCCTGGAAGCAATCTCTTCGACATCATGTCCATGCCATGTCGTTTCTCTACTCTCTCTTCCGGCCGACTGACAAGCTCCCGATAGAGGGATGAAACGGTAACATCGGCTTGAACAGTCACCCATCCCCCTACTTAAATGAGACCCACCGGTTCAAAACACTCAGATACATCATGGCCACTATGTGATTGTGACTTGATCGCTCGCGCGCGAGCTATGAGCCGTCCGGTTCCAGATAGTTCATTGCTTGGCTCGTGCTACCGCTGCTGGCCGTGGCTCCCAGACCACTGCTTGTATATCGTGTGTGTCGTGTATAACCCCCAGGTGGCGTGAGCGGTTGTCAGCGGCTAGCCAGCGGGACCAGTTCAAACTCTATTCGGCCTGTCGACAACCTCCATACTTCCCGCCCTCATGCGGGTTCTCCGAGCCGCCCGGAAAATGAGACCTCCACGAAGCTCGGCTGGGACGAAGCTAGTCTGTTACAGTCAGGCTGATTTTAAGCTTGACTCCTCGAGGCTGTCTTGTTCGTATGTCATCAATTGCCCATTGCTGTTGATAACACTTCACTCATTTTGCCTAACAGCTTGGCAATGGGCATCCCACGGGCAAAGCTGAAAAGAACCAAGATAGTTTGAGGGTTAAGGCTCATGCTTGCGCCCCTGGTCTCATCCTCGCTGGACCTTCTCATGCTCAGCCTGATGGACAGGCCATGCGGCCGAGCAGCATTATTCTCGCTTTCTCGCTCCTACTTCCTGTGAAGCTCGTGTTCGGCATATTCGGACAGGGAGGACTAGTTGGTCGCGCAAGCGCTTAGACATCTATCCGCAAGTCAAGGAAGTATACGGGTTTTCCATGTCACTCTTCAAGTTACCACGAACCGCGCATATCGCTTCCGTGAAGTGAAGCCTGAATATTAGATACCTCTTGATACATCTACTCGGCTCTTCCTTACATTCCGAAATTACTTTTCGATAGCACTGCACTCTTCCACCTCCTTCAAGTGAAGGTGTGTCAACCCTAGATAGTCCTGACAACGGGGGGTGGACCACCCAGGCGCCTTGTCTCATGACAGACCACGCTGGGCAGTTACACGGCGCCCAGAAACTCATTTTCGATGAAGATAACTGGCATGCATGTACTGTCGCAATGTGGAGGAGCGTTCTGACGGTAGCGAAGCACTACTCATCTCATTTCACGATCTCACGGTCCTATGAGGAACGTTTCGGTCTGCCTAGACCACAGTTGATCACACACGTTTCCTTTCGTGTAATATTAGCCTCTCGACCATTCGAAAGCAATCTAGAAAACATTGGATGGCTTATCACAGGGCTTCGATCCCTCGGACGGCCGCAGTTGTATGAGGTCTAGTTCAGATCAAGGCAAATGGTATCGTGAGCTTGGAGTATAAAGGTTCCCTCGTCTGCCCTTTCCATGAGACTCGGAGCCAACACAACCACTCCAAAGCACAGCTCACACTCTCTTGATATCTCTTCATCCTCGCTCGCTTGGCTGCCTCTGACGCTTTGGTTCATTCGTTCCCAGCTCTGTCGAGATGCATCTTTTTACTTCCCTTTTTGTCACCGGGCTACTGTCCTTGCAGCCAGCCCGGGCAGCTCCCTCCTCACTTCTCCAGCCCACCGAAGTCCGTCAGGACGTGGGCTGTAATACACCCACAAACCGTGCATGTTGGGCCGACGGCTTTGACATTACCACGGATTACGAGACCAAGACCCCGCTCACCGGCGTTGTCAGGCCGTACACACTGACTCTCACTGAAGAGACCAATTGGAAAGGGCCAGATGGAGTGGTCAAAGATCTGGTGATGTTGGTCAACGGTAAGTTTTCTACGATGAAATTTGACCGAACTGCATCGACTGACTGAAATTTGCATTAGGCGATATTATTGGTGTGTCTTCAATCCTGCTCCGCTTCAAGCTTCTCGGAACATAATGTCACTAACGTGATGGTAAAGGGCCAACTATCCACGCGAAATGGGGAGACACCATCTCGGTCAAAGTCATCAACAACTTGGAGACCAATGGTGAGTATCCATGCGGGAACTGAGATTAATTCATGTCAAACAAAAGCTTACGCCAGCCAAGGCACCAGTATTCACTGGCACGGATTCCGGCAACTCGGTACCAATGTTAGTGTCCTTCCCCATCAATTACCACCCCTAGCACTGTTCAAAAGATGAGACAGAAACCCCAAGAAGCATTGCACTACGGTTTGATCAGTTGCTGACTGGCGCGAATACAGCTTCACGACGGTGTCAACGGAAGTAAGTTGGTTCATAACAGCTTTAAATCCCTACTGAACACGTTTGAGGCTGGGCTTTGTCAGACGTGTCAGATCTTCTGGCCTTCTGCAGAAGCCTTCAAAGGCTCTCGTCTTATTGGTGGAAACCTGAGCATTCATCACTAACAGGACTTCAGTCACCGAGTGCCCTATACCCCCGAAAGGTGGTGAGCGGCAGTATACCTTCATAGCTCGACAATACGGGAGTGGGTGGTATCACAGCCACTTCTCAGCCCAGTACGGTAACGGGATCATTGGCGCCATCCAGGTTGACGGCCCGGCAAGCCTGCCTTATGATATTGATCTTGGCCCCATGCTCTTGACGGACTATTACCACGATACCGCAGATAACCTCGTCCATTACACCGAGACCAACGGCGCTCCCCCAAGCGACAACGTCCTCTTCAACGGCCATACAGTGAACCCATCGACAGGAGAAGGCGAGTATGAGAAGGTGACGCTCACTCCAGGAAAGAGGCATCGTCTCCGTCTCATCAACACCAGTAAGTCACATCGGCCCCCGTAGCCCGCGAGCAGCCAGCAATTTTGACACTTTATCAGGCGTCGAGAATAACTTCCAAGTCTCGATTGTCGGCCACGACATGACAGTGATCGCTTCCGACTTTGTCCCTGTGACTTCGTTCACCACGGACAGCCTCTTCATCGCCGTGGGCCAAAGATACGACGTCACAATCGAAGCGAAGGAAGACATTGGAAACTACTGGTTCAATGTGACCTTCGGCGGAGGCAACCTTTGCGGCGCATCAAGGACCCCTCACCCAGCTGCAATTCTCCACTACGACGGTGCTCCCGATAGCCTGCCAACGAACGAGGGCACACGGCCGAGAGACCACAACTGCCTGGATCTCTTCAATCTCACTCCGGTTGTCCAGCGCAAAGTCTCGACCGCCTTCACGCCTTCTGCTGACAACACCTTGGAGGTTCAGCTTCCCACCGGTCCAAAGTTTGTGTGGAAGATCAACGGCAAAGCCATCAGGACGGAATGGGAGAACCCCGTGGCCCAGTATATTGCTTCCAACCGCACCGATTACCCAGAAACAGACAGCATCTGGCAGGTGGACGCTGTTGACCAAGTGAGTTTGTTCATGATTTCCACGCTTTCCTGTGTTCGCGCAAAGGCTGACATGTCTACAAGTGGGTTTACTGGCTCATCGAGAATGATCCAGAAGGAGCTTTCAGTCTTCCACATCCGATTCATCTCCACGTAAGTTTAATCCCAAATCGCATTCTTGTGCCAGCTGTGCTAACAGGTCTTGTACAGGGACACGACTTCCTTGTCGTTGGTCGGTCACCGGAAGCAGCCCCTGCGACGCAGACCAAGTATGCGTTTGACGCTTCCCTGTTGAACGGAGCCAACCCCGTGAGACGTGATGTGACCATGCTTCCTGCCGCTGGCTGGCTGCTTCTCGCGTTCAAGACAAACAACCCCGGCTCCTGGCTGTATGTCCCCCCTCGACGAGCCGTTTGCGTCAAGGAATACTTTAGCTGACTCATTGTTTCCAGAATGCACTGCCACATCGCATGGCACATTTCCGGGGGACTCGGGCTGACCTTCCTCGAGCGACTTCGTGATTATCAAGCTGGGATGAAGCAGAGCGATATAGATGTCCTGAACACCCAGTGCAAGGCTTGGAATGAACATGCCAAGAACGCCCCATGGCCGCAGGCTGATTCGGGTCTTTGATCCGCAGTCGACGAGCCTACAACTACAGCCAAATCGGCATGAAATCTGTTTCCGGGGATCCTATGTTTGCGATATTGTTTCCTCTTATGCGAATAATGCTTAATTCTATTGCGGGAGCGTTGTGGGTTGGAGCACCTTGTCGTATACTTCATATATGTACTATTGCTAAATCATAATTCATATTCTCCGTTCACTCTAATTCGGTCTGCAAGCCTGCTATCAGACTAGCTAGAATGGTGGCACGTCCATATTACAAATGTGACTGGGCTCGAGGAATAAGAGGCTTCAAGGACTTCTGCAAGGGACTTGCGACGTCTGATTTGCGAACACAATTTAATCGTCACAGCATCGGAACCATCACGATGGTCCTTAAGAATGCTTCCTGGTGTACGTTTATCGTATGCAATATTGGAGATCGTTCACCGTTTCTCTGCCGCGGAAACTAAAGCAAGGAAGATAAGTACTCATCATGGACTAGGGGCAGGGAAGGAGAGGTGCTGTTGTCTGCGTGGTGGTTGAGGCCAAAAGTGTTGTTCGCATGCAAGGGAAACTAATGCCCAGGTAGATTGTGAATTAAACTGGCCTTGGTGACTCATGCATAGACTTATACGCCACTTATCCAAATGATACCCGTTATAAAGCAATTCTACTGGAAACTGCGCCTGGGCTGGATCTGAGGACAGGCTCAGTCAGCTCCAGAAAGTGTTGAGCAAGGAAACCTTTGTTCACCCTTCACCTCTACTGTTCTATCGCTTCTGTCGGCTGAGCTGTGGTCCGAATATCGACGGGTTTGCCCTGCACGCTGTCCAAAAATACTGCAGGGCTCTTCCGGTGACGATTCACCTTGAGCTCGAAAACGTCCAGCCTTTGATAGCCCCCGGATATGTCGTGGCACTGTTTCCCCTCGATGCAGTCCTCAAGGTTAAAATCCGCGTACAAAATGCCTTCTTCATGTTGCAAGAACTCCTTTGCTTCTCTCTCACCAGCGCTGTTGACCGTGAAAGCTTGAATTGGCGCCCCCGCAGGATCAAAAAACATACTGACGCTTCTCGACGAATCTCTCAAGACTTGAGAGACTCTTTCCGGGTCCTCAGCACCGTCGGCGATGACACTGATGGCTTCATTCTCAAGAACGCCGGCGCACACTATCCCGTAGCATTTTGCTTCGAAACAATGAGCAGCTGCACGCACTTTGTTGGCCGAAACGTTGTCGTAGTTCCGGCTCCTTGCGATCGGCAAAGTCACATTCGTACTATCCTCGCTCGTCCTTCCTTTCACGTTCGATGACGCCGGCTTCGCCGTCCTGGTCGGCCATGCTGCAGGCCAGGTGGAGATATGAATCTGTTCCCCTTGGGCCATGAGGGAGTACCGGGCTAGCGAGTTTGTATTCTCGCCGCAGATGAGGTTTCCTATTTTCCCGAAGGCTGTCTCCGAAACCCTCAGGCCGTGTCCGTCGCCGTTGCTCCAGGTCAGCTTCTCGGCACGAGTTTCCGGTGATGGACCAGCACGTCCCCGTTGCTTCCGATAAGCAGGTTCGAGTTATATAGCGTCGCGCTGCTCGAGTGGACCTTTTCAGATATTCCTATGCTAACGATAGCCCCGGTCTGTTTCGCCGTAGCCCGGACTCGGATAGCTTGGATCTCCTCTCCATCTGCGAAGACACTTTCGAGAGCCATGCGTCGGAACAGGTCATGGTTCTCAGTTGGGGCTCTCAGAGAGCTCCAGAGGGGGAATGCAGGTACGTACGTCTCCGGAAATACGATGAGATTGGCCTTGTTCTTTGCTGCTTGGTGGATCAGGGAGAGCGCTTTGTCCGTCGTCGCTCTGCTGACAGGAACACAGGCGAGGCATGGCACGCCGCCGCCCTGACGAGTGATGCCATCAGTGCGAGAGTCCAAGGCGCAGAACTGCGCTGCAACTGGGGCTAGGGTGGGTTGGCAAGCAAGTGCAGGTGAATGATGTTGGGGGGCGATAGAGGTCGCACGTATTGCAGAGTAGCAGCACAAACTACAAAAGAGGGGGTTCGTGGAGAACAGACAAGTCCTGCCGGAAAGTAAGGGGACTGGCTGCAGCTGTCATCTTTTAGTCCTGTTTATTAACACTGCACGCAGGGAACTTACTCATACTGCATGCTCCCTATCCGTCTTTGGGTCGGCGGTAAGATGACAGGCAGTGATTTGGTCCTCGACACAACAATATGCCAGCCGAGGCCAAGCAAGACCCAAGGGCCCAAGCGAGGTTCAGTTGTCGACTACCCACCTGGCTTACTCTCATATGCAATCAATCATACCATTTTCGCGCTAATGACCTGCACAAAACACATCACACCCTTTTTCGTTTACACTTTTTCCAACTCTCTTAATTTAGCTTCAATCTATTTAAAATATATATAAGAAGAAAGCTGCTTCTTTTCTTATTTTATTTCTTCTTTTTATTATTAAATTAAGTATTTAAAGGAGGAGTAATTTATATTTAAATGTTATGGGCTGGCCCCAAAGGGGCTGCAAGCTGGCTAGTGCCTTCTCTTATAAGCTGCAAAGCAGCAACCTTTTAATTAAGCCAAAAGGTACGTAATAATCCAAGCTCCCTTAAATTATTTAGCCATATTATATAAGGCTTAGGCAATAGCCTAAGCCCATTATATAGCCCCTTCCCCCAGGACCCCCTTAATATAGTAATATAATTACCCCCAAGGCTTACCCGCAATATTGCCTTTTAAGTTAGGGATCTTCTTTATAAAAGGGGTGCTTGCATTTACTTGCGATAAACATAACTTAAACTCTTAATCCTAAAGCTTGGATTATTTATTATGGGCTGGCCTTAAAGGGGCTGCAGGCTGGCTAGCGCCTTTTCCCATAAGCTGTAAAGCAGCAACCTTTTAACTAAGCCAAAAGGTATGTAATAATCCAAGCTCCCTTGAATTATCTAGCCATACTATATAAGGCTTGGGCAATAGCCTAAGCCCATTACATTAAATTAAAGTTAAAAATAACTTAAGTTTAAATTAAATTTTAAAAAGAATTAAAGAAGGGTAAATTTTAAGAATTACATTAAAATTTTTAAGGAAATAAGGTAAATTTAATAAGATTTACTTAAAATTATACTTTCCTTAAAATTTTAAATTTTTTTTTAAAATAAAATATTAATATACTTTATACCTTTAATATTTCCTTTACTCTTTTTAAATAAATATTAAAAGAATTAATAAAGAAGCAGCTTTCTTTTAATATAGGTTAAAATTAAATTAATAAGGTATTTATTATATAGGAGGTGAAAATATATAAAAAAATAAAGTGCATACAAAAAAGGGTGTGGGGTGTTATGTGCAGGTTACTAGCGCCAAAATGGTACGATTGATTGCATATGAGAGTAGCGCTTCTTTGTGTCCAGCGCTTACATGGTGACACCAGACGGTGTCCGATCGGCCGAAAGCATGATTTGTAATGAGACCGCCCAACAAGAGGCACAATCGGCCCACACATCGCGTATGGGTCAACAAAGATACAATAAATAGGATTAATGTCGTCGCGCAGGTTCCTCTCAACATGACCTCTGACCTACCTAGGTGATATTGCCACGTTAAATTCGGACCAACCGCCACGAAGAATGGAACCTCAGAGTGCCAGAGTTAGGACCGTTCTCGTCACCGGTGCGAATGGATACATTGGCAACGCTGTCGCGAGAGGATTCGTTCGCGCCGGCTGGATCACGTACGGCCTCGTCAGGTCCCCCTCGAGTGCGCACTCACTTGCTGCTGAGGAGATTCTGCCTATAATAGGCAGCATCGGCGATGTTGGCACGCACGATGAGATCAAAAGCCAGCTGCCCCCGGCCCTCGACGCCATCGTCTCCACCACCGAAGACCACAGCGACTATGTTCAGCACTACACTGCTATCATCAGTCTTCTGCGCACAGTGGCATCAAGAAGTGTGGAAGACGGGATCAGGCCACTAGTCATCTTTACCTCGGGTTGCAAGGACTACGGGCTGGGTCCTCACTTCGCCAACGATCCCTCCCTCAGCCCTCACACCGAGCTGAGTCCCATCCGTCCACCAGTTTTCGCCGCGCTGCGTGCAGAATATTCTCAAAAGATTCTCGAGCACGACGACCTCTTTTCCCCAGTCTTGGTGAGGCCCACGAATGTCCACGGACGGTCGTCAAGCTTCTATGGTATCTTCCTGAGCGTTGCCAACCAGGTTGCCACAGACGACAAGCCATTAGTGATGCCGGTCCCACCAGACAGCATTGTCCACAGCATGCATGTCGATGACTGCGGTGACGCGTATGTCGCTATCGCAGCGCATCCACGGCGGGAAGACGTCTCGGGACAGGTCTTCAATATCTCTGCGCGGAGGTACGAGACGGTGGATGAGGTGGGGAGGGCACTAGCTGCTGAATATGGTATCTCGGAGGGGCTGAAGTACGTTGACAAGAAGGATCTGGGGCAGGGAGAGAGTCCATGGCCCCCGGGACTGGTGGACTTTCCCCAATGGACAGGATCCGAGAAGCTTAGGAGCATCACGGGCTGGAGAGACCATCGGCCGTTGTTCTCAGAGGCGATTCATGTTTATCGGGTGGCGTATGATGCAGCGCAATCAGCTGGACACGAGAATGTCCAAAAGGTGGGCAAGCTCTACGAGACAGCGTTGTCCACTGGGCGATGGAGAAGGGTTTAAGCTATGCAGCCAGAGCTCGAGGTACGCTTCTTTATGGCGGGCTTGCTAGCAGTGGCTGAAGCATGCAACTAAGCACCAAAATCTAGGTGGCCTGATTTTGTCCCCTATGAGTGTTTCGATAATCACGCTCATAGTCCAATGCTGGAGAACTACTGGGCCAGCCTCGGTGGCTCTGATTGAGCAGCACAACCGTTCCCCGCGGGGAGATACCGTCACAAGGGCAGTGTCGCTACAGCGGCCCCTCAGTTAAGAAGCAAACGCCAGCCCACCGTAGGACTCGTGGTACAAAGGCTGACCTGGTTGGTAGCAGAGACTCGGCCGAAGCACGTCTCGCAGGGAAAATTATGTCGAGGGCTGGTGCACGATGTCGAGCTACCTGGGCCGACATTCCTGCTGCATACAGCCAGCACAAATGCCCAGCTTGTCAAGCAGGCAGGCGGGGACGACTGCCATCTTCTCCCTGTCTAGCGTAGGCTGAGGCACGTGTTAGTGAAGGAAGGTATCCTGCGACGTCACAGGCCACTAGTGGCCATCAAGGTACAAGAGCAGGAACGGAAAGGACAGAAAGGTCTGGAGTGGGTGTCGGCCTAGGTACCGTACTTGGAAAAGAAACGGTCGGTTGCGGGGTTGAAACAGCGACTCGGCCGAGCCAGCTGGTTGCCTGGGGTACCGTGGTATTACCTGAGTACGGTGGGTGGGTGGAAAAACGCGGGGAAGGAGAGCTCAAGCTCTGGGGACCGGGGACGAGAGGAAAATGAAACCGACTTCGACGGCGACTGCGATGGCGGCGGCGGTTGTTGGGATGCTTAGACCTGCCAGATTGCCGGAGGAATGCAACGCCAGCGGCCATCGAGAGTTGCAAGTCTGTGACAAGACTGACGGACCGACAGAAGACTGGCAGTGAGGTTGGTCGATTGAGTTTGCTCAGGGTGCGTCAGGAGACGAGTGTGGTGTTGATGCATTGATCAATCAGGAGCGGGCAGTCAGATGTCGAGTTCCCCGGAAGGAGAAGAAGATGACGATCCCCCGCTCGTCCTGTCCCTTTGGAGCACGCTTGGAAGCTTGGAACCCGGCACGGTTGACGACGCGAGGCCGTACTGTTGGCCGATGCTGCTTCACGTTCGTTTCGTGGCTGGAGGCAGGTGCGGCTGCAGGCCGGTGAGCTGGGGGCGTGACAGTCTAGATGCCACTTGGTACATGCATGCTCCCGTACTCGTAGACTGCTACTGTACATGCACGGCCGACCGCGATCGATGCCTAGGCCGTGGCAATGCGCCCACGATCCACGATGCACAATCCACGATCGCAGGGGTTGTGGCTGTGTGCCCCGTTCCTCAGTGCCTGGTGATGAGGGGTTACAAAAGTCAAACGGGAAATTAGAATTGCTGCTCTGCTTGCTGCCGCGCTGTGTCGTGCTGCAAGACGAGGAGATGCAACAGGATGCAACAGGATGCAACAGGATGCGGCAGACCACCGGATGTACTCCGTACGTAGTCGCTAAGATTCGTATGCAGGGCGACCTTGAAGGTTTCAGGAGCTCTTGGTCAGTCAGGTCAGGCCATGGAGTACGAGCACAGCAACAAGTGAGTACCTAGGTAAGTACATCCAGGCTACATCTTCCTGGGTCGTCCACACGGCGAACAGACATGTCATGTCGAGCACAATCAATTGACTGTAGCCATGGTGACTACTGAGTGGCCCGCCCGTTTCCGTCTCCGTTTCCACCTTCCCCACAGCACAATCCCAAGCTCACCAGAGCTCCCTCCTAGCCCGAACGGTCATCTCACGATCATCAACGTCATCAATTACGTCGGTGCATCGACCACTGGAACGAGACCAGCCCTTCAGCTGAGCTTTTCCTGCTGCTGCTTGCTGCTGCATTGCTGCATCCTGCCAGCATGATGTTACTAGCTGCTGGTGGCTGGAGCTTGTCCCGCATCGGCCACGCATGCCCACAGACTTGATAACCTCTATGCCTCCTCTCTCTCTCCTCATACTGATATTTCCGTCCTTCCTTTCTCACACCACTAGAATTCGTGGGATAGCTCGACCACTCGTACTCACGAACCAGCCGGCCGAATAGCTCGAACCGACTTGACCTGAACAAATCCCGCCAGCCACTCTACCGTTGGTGCTCCCTCGCCGCAGTCAACATGTCGAACATTCTCGAGATCGATCCCATTCCCACCGTCAAGCGTACGTCAAGCCTCTCACCTTTTCACTTCACCCCTTGCTCACCTCCTCTCACCCTCACCACCGTTGGCACGTCCTGGCCTGTCCGTTTCCCCTTCCATGTCCCAATCCCCGTGCCTCAAAGCAGCCGCAATTGCCCACCCATCACTCGAAGTCTGACTGACAATGCCTTCTGCTCTGTTATAGCCGACCCCACTCAATATGAGGTCGCCGGCGACACTGGCTTCAGCACACTATGGGTCGTCTTCGTAATTATGCTGGTAGCCTCGGGCTTCTTCACCCTGCTGTCCTGGAACATCCCTGTGTCGAAGCGTCTCTATCATGTCATCACCACGCTCATCACAATTACCGCTGCTCTGTCTTACTTCAGCATGGCCACCGGTCATGGTGCCAACTTGCACTGCGTCGAGGTCAAGTCTCACCACAACAAGGTCCCCGACACCTACCACGACGTCTGCCGTGAGGTCTACTTCGCTAGGTATATCGACTGGGCCATCACTACGCCTCTCCTGCTGGCTGACCTCTGCCTCCTGGCCGGCATTGATGGCGCCCACACCCTCATGGCTGTCGTTGCCGACCTGATCATGATCTTGACCGGCCTCTTTGCAGCCTACGGCAGCGAGAAGACCGCCCAGAAGTGGGGCTGGTACGCCATTGCTTGCATCGCCTACATTTTCGTCGTCTGGCACGTCGCCCTGCACGGCACCAACACCGTCAAGGCCCGCGGAAACAAGGTCACCAAGCTCTTTGGATCTCTGGCTCTATTTACCTTCATTCTGTGGACAGCCTACCCCATGTGAGTACCGCCACGCATCTGCATCGCCACTCCCACAATTGTTGATACCGGACTGACGTTCCGCTTAGTGTGTGGGGCTTCGCCGATGGTGCCCGCAAGGCCTCCGTCGACTCTGAAATTCTGGCATATGCTGTTCTTGACGTCCTCGCCAAGCCCATCTTTGGCCTGTGGCTCCTCATCAGCCACCGTAGCATCCCCGAGACAAACGTCGAGATTGGCGGATACTGGGCTCACGGCTTGTCCAACGAGGGCCGCATTCGCATTGGCGACGATGAGAACTAAGCCATACTACCAAGGAAGCCTCGGGCTGAAGTAATTGGCAGCTGGCCCCACGGTACAATTCTTGACACGGGAATGTAAGGTTGTTAGTGCGTGAGTGCAGAATTGAACAAGTCCTCAAGACACCACAAGATTGGAACCACGTCGGAAACGGCTGTCAATGAAGAAACACGGGAAAAAAGCACGTATGACATCACGGAACTTGTCTTTTCTTATGGTTGCATTTACTGTGTTTTCGTTTTGTTCACTCTACTCATTCATGATTATTGCATGTTACACGACGATTGGGATGTTTACAGATGTTTTGGCGGCGGACCGTTGAGCGGCAGCATTTGTTTTTGATTCCAGGACGCGACTTGCATCGCCAGACAACTTGGATTAGCATCCTCTACAACCTGTATAATCCAATAGTGATAGCCTGCCTAATCTACTGCACATCACGGCCTATGTGAACCCCAAACATTTGTGAATCGAGTTTTGCGTTGAGTCCGGGTTTGCCACACGAATATTGTGGTTGAGGTCTGTAAATTCTACAAAGCTCGTCCATGATCTGACTCATGGGCAGGTAAGGACGCAAGGACATGGCCATCGTTGGCAATGGTTGAAACCCAGAACTCGTCCTCCTGTGAGGGCATCGACCTCGCATCACCGCATCATCCTTGTAATAGCCCGCCCATCAATTATGCTCCCTGCTTTTGCAGCAGCACCAAGGCATAAATATGGCTTGGCATCGGCTCAGGGTCATCTGAGGCCCCACTCCGTTACTTCACTCTGCTGTCACCAGAAGCTAGGCAGCGAGGTCGCGACGTTGTCTGCCCGATACCATCCGTGACTCAATAGGCATGGTTCGAAATACTTGTGCAGAAGATACAACATGTGGCACTGCAACCCACACGTCGTGCGGTTCAGCGTCCGATTATATCATCACCTTTTCTTGACTTCCGTTGATTTCCGGTGACTCGGCTGTATCGGTTGCATATCACCTCTCTCCCCCAATGCGTGGACTGCCTGCCACCTCCCATGCTTCACTGTACTACACACCAAAATACGGCTTGCATGAGCCAATTCTTCTCGGACAGGCTCGCCGACTCCCTCTCATTGTATTACCCCAGAGGACATGTTACCTTTCTTGCCTGGGTTGCAAAACATTGTTCAGCAGCGAGCAGCCCAGCTCTGCTGTTGTTGTCAGTGAGCCACAATGCGCCGGTCAATCACCCATCATATATTGTGGCGTCAAAAGGCTATGTTCAAGCGCGGCCTGAGCTTTGTATGGTAAGGGACAACACAACTGAGTTGGATAATGTTGCTTTACTCCATTTCTGAATTCCGACCACGATAGGAATGTGTGATTACTCTTTTCATTACCTTACCTGCACAGAAGAATTCCATCAGCCCGAGTCGTAGCCCTAGTCTGAGTTTCTCAACACTGCGCGTTCATACATTTCGTGAGGGCGTGGGTAGTCCGCATGAGCAATTTGGTGAATTGCTGACCAGGTCGTTCAAAAGATCGAAAACAACAGATCCTCGGTCATGACCCAGGCACACGGCGTGTAAGTGTAACATTCTGTTGTTGTAAGTCCGCAAATCGGGGCTATATTTCAACTGTTTGGGGCGACGTGCCCGCAACTGTAATGGGATGGAGTGAGTGTGTTGTGCACTGTAGAGTTCAAGTGGAGCTCAACTTGGACTCGACGGCAAGCTGTGAGGAACGACGTTGCTCATACAAATTCTGTGGTGTTCAATTGACTTAAGAATTCTGGAAAGTGGCAATTGTGGGTGAGAATGGCTTCGACAACATGTGGTTGGCGCGTTCGCGGCTTGCTTGATGTGACGCTGACAGGCAATCTGACGACTTACAAAGGTTATGATCCACTTCCAGTTGTCGGTAGGGGAACCATTCTATTGACGAGACTGTTATCAAATGCTTCTTGGGTTTCCATTTGAGATGCAGGGGTATCAAAACATTCTCAAGGATTGTTTCACTTGTACCTATGCAATGCGTGAAATGACCAGGTATACATTCTTCAACCTGCCAAAGCCCATCCGCAGCCAGTGTGGTTCCTCTTCGCAAACTGAGAAGCACGATGGCTCCTAGTAATCTTCATGAATTTTGGCCGAACTTTGGGTTTCAGTGGCCAGTCTTCGCCGTTGCGCTACCTAATCCAATACCCCAATCGCAGAGCAGGTGGCTGCTAAGGGTCTTTTATGATACCGGGGAACTTTGACACCTTGAATCTGTATACTACGTATAGTATGTACGGCCGAGGGTTGAACAGTGCATCTAACTAGTCAGTTTCGCAGCATTCTTGGACGAGTTACCTGCCTACCGCCCCCCCCCCCCAAAAAAAATTTAGTCAAACCTCGTGCTGACGCGGGCTGGTATCTGATTCTTTTCACACGCTTTGCTGCTTGGTTGGGTAGTCAGACGGGGGCGAATCCCATGTACGCGATGACAGGGCCCTAGATGTCTTCTATGTATTGGTGGTCTAGGAATGAAATCTTGTATCGCAGAAATGAGTGAAAGATCTTACTCAGGCGAACACCATGACAGAGGTATACAAGCTCTCACGTGCGAGAAGCATCCCCATATATTTTATTGGACATTGAAACATACCAGCCAGGCACCACCCTTATAGGGGCTCGGTGAGCGAATTGGCGTCAAGGCTGATACGGCGCCAGCCTTCCTTGTTCTTGGCGAGTGAACGATCAGCTAAGCCCTGATGAAGTTTCGCTTTCTCCTTACCTTGCCCATGACCACGAGTCGGCAAGCTTTCGAAGGAAGGCGCAAGAATGTCACCCCGTCCCCCCCTTGATCTGCGCTCCAGGGGGTGGCCGCATGTGCACTGATGCAAGCCACGGAGCTTGATTGCAAGCGATGTCTCTTCGGCTGGGGCGGCTGGCCACCCAGGTTCTTGGCCCTGAACTTCGGGGAGCATAGTTGCCACGCCTTCGCGTATTTGTACTCGAACAGATCAAGTCACCACACCGTAAATGGGGCCATAACCCCCTACCGTCAGCATCTCCACCATTGCAGAAAACCGACGACTCAGAGGAACGTCTCGGACGAGTATGTGACAACGTAGTTGGCTTCAACAACCTCAGTCGCGGATTCGATTGTTTCTGATAGATCGATGGCGTGTTGCATCGTGGTTTACCTTCTGAGCCTTCGGTTGCCTGCTTCTGGCGATTCTCAAGGAAGACTGCGCCAGAGCTCTGTTACTGTGAGCGGTAATCTCTCGGTGTACCAGCAACGTATGCGTTGGCGTTACTTGACTGCTTTGGTAGACCGAAGACAGGGAGCATGGCTATCATACGAGACATTTGTAAGGGGGCGAGAGTAAGCTGTGGGACTCGATAGGCATGAGCTACCTAGGTATGTTGAGCCGACATTAGGGCCGATGATGCTGTCACAAGTCTGAATCCGCTCCCTAGCGGGGCCAGCCTGCATAGCAGTCTCAGACTTGCCTCCTTGCGGTGGACATGCTTGCTGTCATTGGGCCCCCGTGATGTGACCTAATCTATGCCAGCCTTGCCTGGGCCGCCTCAACACTATGTGTGTATCGGCAGATCGATCGTTGGCTAGAGATCCCCCTTTCTCTCTCTCTCTCTCTCTCTCTCTCTCTACGGGTAATAGTCATAGCCAGTAGCCTAAGAGCCCGCTGCAGCCTCGTGCCTTTCGGCTGGAGCGCGTTCGCCATCTCAGATCCATTGAGCCTCAGCACATCCGGCCACCATAGTTTGCACCAGGCGTGTCCCTTCTTTCTCGGCGGTACTTGCGCCAAGTCCCCAAATGGAATCCATGCTGGTCTACGGACCGTGACCCTGGCTATTGACAGTGTAGGGGAGGGTTTTGCTGCGGCCGTCACGATATGAATGCCTGTGGGTCCTCTTCAGGGGTACGTTGGCAGCTCTTGATTATTCCTTGCTCTTCGCCGCTCACTTTTCACTCCCAATCCAGCAGCACTCTGCAGAGTGTTGTTATATTAGTCTCCGCTTCACACTAGTGGTGGTTCTGGACATTGTGTCTAGCCTCTCGAATACCAGAAAGTAGGTTTTCAGAAACTCCCCCGGCGTAGGGGTAGAGTTCGATGCCCCCGTCGTAGATCCGGAAGGCCGGAGCGAACGTATCATCTTATCTGATGGGAAGGCAATTCAAATCACGACAAGCTTTCTCGGTGGTTCTTCGTTCACTGGACGTGTCATTGCAATTGCATCGTCGCAGGAATTGCGATGACCCGGTGAAAGTAGTCTACAGGGTGCTATGAATGAAGCACTCAGACTTCGTCTTTGCTATACCGAACAAGCGCCGCTTACGTGAACCAATTTTGGAATTTCAGCTGGGCATGGAGCGGCCGAGCAAACAACGAATAACAGCCAATCGCCCAGGTCGGTGGCGTCTGGGGAAACCTTGTAGCGACCCAGCCGGGTCGGGGAAGCCGTGACGGAAACGTCCTGCGCCAAGTGGTTCTTGCATAGAACTTGGCAGCTTGGCCCCGATCATCACTTTGTGTAAGGTGGGAGCCTTTCGACGTCCTGTCATGGCCGAGACGGGCTGGAGAACCCACCTGCTCACATAGCAAGCCATAGCAGCGACGCCAACCATGCCAACCAAGAGCCAAGCCAGCAGTGAGCTTAAAATCATCCGAGGTGCCTCTGGCCCGCGCACAAGCAACAATGGTCCGAATGCTTACCACAAACCATAGTGCCACACAACTCGCCTTGTTCGGACGTCTCATCTCTGGATTGCCCAAAACACATCTCATGTCCTCTCTCTCTCTCTCTCTCTCTCTCTCTCTATCTTTAGATCTCTGGCGGCTAGCCGTTGAGGAGGCCGAGGGCGTGGGGTTGTGAGTCCCGGAGCAGCACGGTGTCATCCGGTGAGGTCACCACGACCGGGGGCTTCGCAGCGTATCTGTTCCACTATTTCGGTCGCTGGATGCAGCCGTGAAACATCGATTGGGTCCCTGTGTTGGCAGCATTGAAGGTTTGGGAAACGTCGATGCGCAGTCATTCAACCACGCCGGGAAGCCAGCCAGACGACCACCGCATCAGCGTGAAGACTTAGCCGCTCTCACATGGGGGCTCCCGGTAACCGGCTTGATCATTGGCCAGGGGGTCGACGAGGCCCCTGGACACTCGTTGACTAATGTGGCTCTTGACGAGCGGTCGAGCTGCCTCGTCCGATCTCACCTTGGGCAGGGGTGCTAATCGGGCGAAACGGCCGGTGCGAGATGATATGCCAGCGGGAGTCGCAGGGCATCTTGTCCCTTTATTGTGAGCGGGCACCCCACCATCGACTCTGCCGGAATGCGAGCGCATAGGGTCACCGGCGGGGCACCGTGAGCACCTTGTGGGCCCCCCGGTGCCGTTGTTAATTTTAGGCTTTTGAGAGCAGATCTCACACCCGCTCCGTGCCGCCCGGATAGCTGGCCCGGCAACTCCTAGTCGGAGCATCCATGTCATGAACTGATTCTGCGTGGTTGGATGCTACCTGCACCCGTCTATGATGAGCCCATGAGCGAAGCCCAGCAGCAAGACGGGCCAGTCCGACATGAGCACAAAGGCTGTGCAGCTTGGTATTGTCTTGACCTGGAGGAGAAAGGCGGCGCAGAGGGGTGGCCGCAGGTTCCAAGCAATTGACGAGGCCGTCTCGATCAATACCATGCTCGGGCAGGCATTCGACCTAGCCGTTCTGGTGCAGACCGACCTCATGCACGGCGTACCAACTCCGCAGGCGGCGACAGAAATACCGGTAATAATAATCTCTGGCTCAGGCTGAGGAGCCGTCTTTGTGCACGTGTGCGTGCCTCGATGGCCGGCTAGTGCGCAGTGCTACCCTACCTCTGGACCTGCAGTGCTATTATTAAAAGAGAAACTGGACGCAAGGGATGGATGCGCGGTGGTGCATGTGTCGCGATGGGCGGTTCACCCACAGAATATTCCAACAAGGCGGACTGGAATCGCAGGTGCCGGCTGCCAGTGCAATGTAGGGCCCTGGTCACAACCGGCAAGGTTGCATGCAGGCGTGCCTGCAGGCGTGCCACCCAAGGGGGGGGGGGGGGTCCCCTTGCCTTTGGAACCATCACTCATCGCCCATCGCCCATCATCCATCCTTCTCTCCTCTCCTCTTCTCCTCCTCTCCTCCTCTCCTCCTCTCCTCCTCCTCTCCTCTCCTCTCTCCTCTCCTCCTCTCCTCCTCTCCTCCATGCCCCCTTCCTCCAACGCCCACCCTCACTCACAACCCCTTCCGGTCGGTCGGTCGCATAGCTAAGACAACGGGCACCACCGCCGGATGCGCTCATCTCCTGGGCAGAACAGGAAAACATGGATCGCTCCATGGGCGGAAGCGGCTATCAAGACGGAAGCCAGCCGCGCCGATGCTTCGATGCTTCGATGGCCCCGCCATGTCGACATTGTGCTCTGAGGAGGGCGTCCGTCCACTTGTCTGTTGGTGAGCCAAGACAGGCACATGTGTGTGTGTGTGTGTGTGTGTGTGAATGAGTGTGTGCATGTATGTACGTATGTATGTATTCATCCCATCACATGGGGCCCCCACCATCCCGAGTTGCCTCATCATCTACTTGCAATTCCAAGAAACACAAGGTGCCGCCAGATCGAGCCGGCCGCAACGCTCTTCGCGACTCTGATTGCACCGCGCGGCTTCAGTCTAACCTCTCGGACGACGACGTGATGGGGTCTCCCCCGCACCCATGGGCCCCCGACTCAGACGGATAGCAAATACTTCGCCTCTCGGCCGCCCCTCTCTGTCCTCTCTCCGCGCCTCCTCCATGTCCGGCTGTCAGGGGCGAAAGGAAACACTTCAGCAACATGTCCCTGAACCTTGCGCCTTGAAGGGTACCCCGCACGGCACGGGCTATAGTCTACTAGGCTACGAGACTATGTGTGTGTGTGTCTGTGTGTGTACACTATACCAGACCGTGTACTCGCCTGCTCCCTGCGCGCCCACCGTAGCCTGCACCGTTGCTTTGTATCGCGACCACCTGGTGTCATCTCACCACACCACACCCTCACCATGGCACGCCGCTGCCACTGGTCAGCCCATTCGGCCCTGAAGCTGCATCTCTCTCGCCCTCGGGGCCCTTCGACCAGAATAGGTAGCTGCCGAAGAAACATGGGCACTGGTGATGGGTTTCGTCTGTTTCAGTGGTAGCCAGTCTTATCTGGCTCAGGCTAGCTGCTCTGTCTTCAATCTGAGTGAAAACATCCCGAACGCCGACAGCATCGACGGAGACAGGCAGCTGTGTCCCTGCGCCGTGGCTGCTCGTCATGTTCGTGTATGTATGCCAGGCTCTGGGTGTCCGGGGGGGGGGTCAACAGGATAGGATGACTGGGTCACTGACAATAGTACTGTGATGCTTGCACGCTGCACAGGCCGGCCCCTGCTCTGCACTGCACGGCGGGAGCAGCAGTCACGTCCGCTCAGAGGTCTTACACGTGGTAGGGATCTTGGGTCTGCGCGTGACTTCCGTCCCGGGCGCTCATTGAGTTCAAGTACATAACCTCCCGCCCTCATTTCTCGTCCTGGGCCATGAGATCGTGTGTAGACAGAGCGTCCGACTTCGTCATCTTAGGCGCGCTCCTTTCGCATCACATCCTCCCTCGGCCTCACACAACCTTCCCCCCAAGCCACAGGCAGCCGTCATCATGAAAGTGGTTGACGCTGTGAAGAATGACGTCCGCACGGATGTGACCTGGAACAAGGTCGGTCGGCTAACGACCAAGGCGGCGAGGGCATTGCCTTCTGCCACCGCGCAGTACATGATCGACAAGGTGCCCATCGTCGGCTGGCTGCCCCGGTACAACGTCCGATGGCTCATCAACGACACCATCGCCGGCTTGACGCTGGGTCTTATGCTCATCCCTCAGGGCCTGTCCTATGCCTCACTTGCGACGATTCCCATCCAGTATGGCTTGATGTCGAGCTGGTTTCCATCAGCCCTCTACGCCTTCATGGGGACCACCAAAGGTGAGCAGACTATTGCTTTTACATGTCTAGGAAATCAAAAACACCTGTCGCTCACGAGATACACACCAGATTTGTCTACCGGCCCGACCTCCCTCATCGGGCTCCTCACATCGGACATCGTCGCGTCCTTCGGCGAGGGCTCACCATACTCGCCTCAGCAGATCGCGTCCGCGGTTGCCCTGTCAATGGGTATATTCGGCATGATCTTGGGTTTCTTGAAGCTTGGCTTCCTGTTGGAGTTCATCTCCATCCCCATCATCACTGGCTTCATCTCAGCTGTGGCCATCACCATCCTGCTCAACCAGATGGGCTCTCTGCTCGGCTCGGACGTTTCATCCGACGGTGCTGCCAGCCAGATCCATGACGTCTTCGCAAACCTCGGTGGAGCCAGTGGCCTCACATGCGCCATCGGCTTCTCATGCATCGCCTTTCTGACCATCCTCGACAAGTCTGGGAAGCGGTGGGGTGACAAGAACAAGGTCATCTGGCTTCTGTCCATTCTGCGCGCTTTCCTGGCCTTGGTCCTCTACACGGGCATCAGCTACGCAGTGAACCACAACCTGGGTGAGGACGACCACCTTTTCAAGGTGGTCAAGGTCAAGTCCAACGGTCTGGAGACGCCTCAGATCCCTTCGATGGACCTTGTCAGCCAGGTTGTTGGCAAGAGTATCACCGTGTTTGTCGGTGCGGCCATCGAGCACACAGCCATTGCGCGGGCCTTCGGTGTGAGGAACGATTACATTCCTGACCAGAGCCAGGAGCTCTGTTACTTTGGAGTTTGCAACGTAGGTGGCTTCGCCTGCTCCCTAAATGCTTTGGGGTGTTCAATTACTAACTCGGGGATCTTCCAGTTCTTTAACAGCTTTTTCCATTCCATGGGTGTTGGCGGTGCCATGTCCAGGACATCTGTCAACTCTTCCTGCAAAGTCAAATCACCGTTGTCCGGTTTTGTCACAACTGCGATCATTCTCGTGTCCATATACAAGCTGGTGGGTCTCCTTTACTGGATCCCGAAGGCGGCGCTCGCAGCAATCATCATCTGCGCGGTGTGGCCCCTAATCTATCCGCCCTCGACCTTCTATCGCTTCTGGAAGACCTCCCTCGCCGACTTCATCACGTCGATGCTGGCTTTCTGGATTACTTTGTTCTATTCGACTGAATTCGGTATCTTCATCCCAGTCGCTTTCAACAGTAAGTTGCATTCTAGTCTCCCTGTCCGGTGACGAGGCGGAGTCTTTGTTTCATCGTCCTTTTTCGACATCGCTTCAACATCCGGCCGATTTTTGACTGACACTACATTCAGTTGTCTACCTCATTCTCCGCCAGACATTTGCATCTATCACGGCATCTGCTGTGCCGCCACGCTCAGAATTGGCTTCTTCTCTCGACGCCGCACGGGGATTGCCGACGTCGCATGTTGCTGATCAGATGATGCTGGATGTTCATGTCTTCCGCTTCAACGAGTCGTTCTTTTTCCCGAACTCGCACCGCCTGACAGCACGCATCCTGGACTCGGTCCAGACTCACCACGGCCCCATCTACAACGGTTCGCGAGGCGCGGAGAGAGAGCGAAACTGGTCCGTCGTGGCTGAGAAGCGCACAAACCGCCTCCGGGTTGCAGCTGGTGTCACTGACCCCTCGGCCCTGCCACCTATCGGCCTGGTCGTGCTTGACTTCGGAAGGGTCAACCACATCGACATCACTGCCGTGTCGCACCTCAAGACTCTGACAGCCGAGATTTACAAATACGGCGGCAAGGGTGTCGAGTTCCGCTTCGTCGATATGAGCCCTTACGTGCGTGAGAGGTTTGAGAGGGCGGGGTGGAGGATCGTGGACGGCAGCGTGCCGCTCTCCTTGTCCGAGGCCGATGAGGCCAAACAGACTAGGCTCTTCAACTCAGTTGCCGAGGCTGTCATGGCGCCCAGGATGAGGGACTCGCACTTCGAGGAGCAATATCTGGAGAAGTCAGACACGGTGAACACGCTGAAGCCGACAGCGTCGTACATGGAAGATGCCTGAAAGAGGGCTGTCTCCCCGGAAGCAGGAGCGCCACTGATGGGACGGAGATGTGGAACGTACGAAGCTGGGCAGGTGCTGGCTCATCATGTGAAACGTACGGTCATGCTCCTGTTGTTTCCAGGAGGTTTCCTCCTCCTTTCATCCATGTCATTCTTTTCGTTGTTGATAGCTCTGAATACAGAAAACACCTACAGTCGTTACCAAAATGAGTGCAAGCGTCTAAACGTCTCACTCAATAGAACTCTCTACCTGATGATAATGTTCAGTGGATTAGTCCTCAATTTGCATAGGGTGAACTCATGTTAGCTTGATGGGTTCATAGTAGTACTGTCAACTCCGCGTCTCTGCTTCGAGGCAGCTAGCCAGGTACCCAGAGAGGTTTCTAGGTCTTGTTCAGCTTTGTCAAGTCTAGGCCGTGCCCGGGGAATTGAAGCTCAACCAGTACGCAGAACAAGCAGGCAGCCAAGCCGCTGTCTTGAATCCATTGTCCAAAGATGATCGATAATAGCGCAAACAAAAGAAGCCGCTTAAAAGGCAGGACACAATGAACAGTATTAGAAGTAGTCCTTTGCTGGGATACGAGTCATGCACGGTATTTAAACAGCTCAGATCATCCAAGGTTTAAAGCATGTCGAGCATTTGAGCAAATCTCAACTGGCAGGAAAGCTGAAGTCCCAGTAGACGACCCTCTTGCCTTCCGAGACAGCCTTGGCACCCACCGAATCTCTAAAGATGTCAAGCAACACAAAGGCCGCCGCTGCGATCCCGGAGACACTTCCGGGGCGGGAGCTAATGGGCTTCGTATGCTGCAAGTGCGGCGAAGCAACATTGGACAAAAAGGTCAGCAAGTGCTTGAACAAGTGTGGGCACGAACGCTGCGATTGCTGCCAAATTTTTGACCGAGCAGGGCGCTTGTGGAAACAGCAGTCTTTGATTCCCATCAGCTGGGTTTGTGTCTGCGGCCGGGCGCACTTGGTTCTAGATTCACTAGTAGTAAGTCGGCTCACGCGGCCCATTTGTCCTTGTGATACACCTGGATTTGCCGCCTTGTACAACACGACCGGAAGACTATGCAAGGGCTTAACAATCAGCTCTCCATTCCCTCTAAATACCACTAATGATGCAAAGCAGCTTTTGTCGTTTTTAGAGAGTACTTCATGGGGAAGCTGTATCCAGTTGGAGCGAGAGGAGCACGAGAAGTCGATGGTCGTGGAGCAACAGGGATTCTGTCAACCAGGAGAGGTAGGACTGTTTAGGCAAGCCCAACGGTTTTCAAGCGTGCGAGTGCCACTGAAATAGTGGGTTATTGTAATATTATATTAATCGGTCGAGCCTCACTCCCCTGGATTTCGAGACGTCGTGTATTACACTAAAAGAGGGGGGGGGTCAAGATTGTAGTCGGCACACTCTCAGGTCAATTAATCTAGTGTTTAGGGAAATACCTCGAGTAATAAAGACTTGGTAATGGTTGTACATGAATAAGCAATAGTGCCTCTAGACCCTATTGGAGCCCACAAACTCAGGCCAGTAGTTTCCTGCTAATCTTCTCGGGCCTCTGCTATTCCCAGCATATGAGCTGTTGAAACCCGTGTACTCCCCGAGACTTGGCGGCAAGTCATTTACACCCCTGCCCCAAGTGCTGCTTTCATTTCGTCCCAGAGTGAGAACTAGCTCCTTGCCCTCTGTGAAGAAGCTGTGATCTACCCAACTCTTGGTGTATGGCACACCGTTTAGCGTAGCGGACTGAATGAAAATGGCCTCATACGTTGGGTCGAAGTTGACGTTGCGAACGGTAGCAGTCTTACCAGTGACCGGGTGCGTGATGTTCACACTGGCGAAGTAGGGCGGTATAATGAGATATACGTCCTGACCTGGGTTTGGAAACAGTCCTATCATGCTAAAGGCCAGGAAGCTTCCCATAGCACCGGAGTCGTCGTTTCCTGGGAGGCCAGCGGGTGTTGGGCTGAAGAAAGACGGGATGTAGAAATGGGAGCGCTTCGCAGAGAGCGCAGGGCGACCGGCGTAGTGGTATTGGAACACGGTGAGGAACGCAGGCTCGTTTCCTATGTAGGTGATATTTTGGTCGTGGAGGTAGTCCAGGCGCCGTACAAAGCCTTCGGGCCCGCCGTACAGCGTGATGAGTGTTGCTTGGTCGTGGGGAACAAAACTGGTCAGGTCAGTAATTGGTGCCGAGATCTGCGAAAGGGATGATACATACAAGCCATATTCCCACAGACTGCTCTCAAATGTCTCCCTGCCGGAATTCTGAAGTGAGCAAGCAATGCCTGAGCTGTCGATGTTGCTGCACGTCAGGGGATCCTGGACTTCCCACGTCTGATTCAGGAATTTAGGCTGGAAGAAGCCGACAAAACCTGTGTCCACCGGCCCAGTCGACGTGTTGATGAAGGACGTCTGATCAGCTCGGTAAATGTTCTGCCAATTCCCGCTGGATTCGACATATTTCTCCTGGTCAGCTGTGTTGTTCAGAGCAGCAGCCAGCTCGGAGATGCAAAAGTCATTGTAACTGTACTCGAGGGTCCTAGAGACACTACGAGTCATTGTCCCGAAGCCCTTGTAGTCAAAGTCCTGCACCGGAATATAACCAAGAGCTTTCCAGCTGTCAAGGCCACCGCGTCCGTTGCAACACCAGTCGTAAGGTTCGACTTCGGCGTCTTTAACCACTGCTTCGTATCCAAGATTCCACTGCAAATATCAGCTTCGTTGAGACGCTCGAAGAAGGCGATTCTCGGCGCGGTGCTCACATCGATATTGTTGGAAAGACCCTTCAAGTACCCATCGACGAGCACAACATCCGCATTTGACCCACCCTGGAACTACTGTCAGAGAATGCAACCACCAAGTTTCAACGCAGAAAAGGCTTACCTGCGTGTAGCCTTTACTGAGACTCATGCGGCAATCTGGTAGCCAGCCAAGATGGGCGTAAGTATCGATTAGAGACCTAATCATGTCCTCCACGGCTTCCGGATCTACCACAGTCAAGAAAGGAATCTGCGATCTGAAAGAATCCCAAAGACTGGTACCACACAACCCCAATTAGCACCTGCGGGTGAGATACTGTTATACGGTCCAATCTTATTTACTTACCAGTAAAAAGAGTCGAAGTAGGGCTCGCTACTCGACCAGAGCGGGTTCTCGCCAGTGTAATTCTGCGGATTGATCATTGTACGGTAGTACCCGCTGAAAAAGTTGGTCGCAAAGGAAGGATCCACTCCCTCTACGTCGACAGAAATGTAGCTCAACTTCTCCCTCCACGCACTTCTTGCAGCGTTCCGGACGCCGTCGAAATCAAAGTCCGGAATCTCGGACTCGGCTTGAGCACACGCCTGGTCGACACTGATGAAGCTTGTTGCGGTGCGGGCGTAAATTGGGCCATCTCCACTGGCGAAACGCACGAAAGCGCCACCGGGCAGAGGATAACCGTTGATAGATCGCGAGATCTTGAACTCCTTGACGTCAGCACTCGCGCGGCTGTTTGAGTAGATGCCGTTATCGAAGATGGCAGCTCCGGAGAAGTCTGTACAGAAGTGTAGCACGTAGTTGCCCACGCCAAAACTGGGAGCAAACCTCGCATTTCCAGTGATGCGTCCCGTCGCCGCGTCAACAGCCACAGTTGCGTTGTCCTGGCGACTGTCCTGCAAATCCGTCAGGTCCTGGAGAATCAGGGGGTGGCTGTCGTTGCCCGCTGAGTCCGGAAAGGAGAATTTGAAAATGGAGGTGTGCTGGGTCGTGGTCATCTCTGCCTGGATCGCCGAGTCGAGGGTAATGCTGAAGTACCCGGGCTCAGCCACTACGCTATCGTTGCTAAAGGCTCCAAACCGCGCGCGCGCCTTTTTTGGAAAGACGCAGTTGTTGACGTCTCCGCCGGGGCAGCTGGCGAAAGGAAACAGTGCAAAATTGCCAAGCGATGGGCTCCCCCCTGTTCCCGAATCGTGGAGTACACTGAATCCTGTGACATTGCTGCCATCAAGGGTGAAGCCACCCTGGTTACTGCCACTGTTGGTGTCACTGACGGCCTTTGCCATGCCGTAAGGCAGCGAGGCGCCTGGAAAGACATTACCACCGTTGCTGGCTCCGACGAGGGGGTCGACAAACTGCAAGTTGTCGACAACGGTGCTTTGCGCGGTGGCCACTCTGGCTGCTCCCAGCAGGGACGCCACCGTACACAGGTGGGCCGTCGCAGAGAACATGGCTGCCCAGGCTGGAGTTTGACGAGCGGTGCGAAGAGGAAGCGTCTAAGAGTGCGGGAATGAATGAAAGTGAAGATGTTCAGACTGATTCCCGCTTGTGCCGACATGTAGACGAACACGTCACAAGAATGTCTGCAGTAACCAAGCGCCTGCAGTGTCGCTCAGAGCAGCAACACGCTTTGCAGATGCTCCGGATACCCCGGTTTACAACGCAGGAGTCAAATAGAATGCTGTGCAAGATAATTGGACCGCGGGCGGCGAGGCCCCTCTAATAACTCGCTACCATGTTCAATCTCAGATGTGCACCTGCTGCAGGCATCGCTCAGGTCAGGTGCAGGCAAATAATCAAACTCTAGCGAGAGGAGGTTGCGAAGCGCATGGGTGCAGCTTGCAGCAGGTGCCGATCCGGATCAGCCTGCATTGTGTCATCCATTCAGTGAATGTGACCAGGACTCCGCATCCCATTTTCTCTCCATCTCTCTCTCTCTCTCTCTCTCGCGGGCACGCCCTTGTCATTGACAGTGGTTACACAGGACAGGAACGACACGGCACATGTAGGGGCTTTGAGCATCTAGACAGGCGAGAGCGATTGTCGCCTTGGTCACCAGTGCAGCGCGAGAAAGGGCCCGAGAGTTGGCGTGGTCACTGAGAAACAACTAGACAACTGGTCGGGGCACGCAAGGAATATGCAGTGGTTATTAGTGGCTTCCATCCCATGCCCAGAGGGGTTGCACTGCACCTCCCTTAATTATCACGTACGAGTAAATAAGCTGGCCGTTTTGTGGTGCACAGGGGGGGGGGTAGCACTGCAGCAGCGGCTTGTGCTCTGCAAGAAGGGACGAACTCGCCAATACAAACGGCTCCCCAGGTGAGCTGGGTGACAAGGTTTGGAGATGGACAGGGGGTAACAACCGAAGGTGCCTCGGTGCCCAACAATCCGAGGGCAGGACGGCGGGGGGGTTTCGGCTTGCAGGCATGATTATTACGAAGTCTAAACAAAGGCGCACACTCCTCTATCGCCCAGAAATCGAGGTTGGGTGGCCTGCGGTCACCCAACCTTGCTGCACGCGTGGCTGCAAGTGTTGCTTGTGCCTTGCATGAAACCATTAAATGATAGTCAGTATCTCTTGCCGTCAAAGGCAGGTGGAATGCTGCCAATCGGAGGCGATGCAACCCACGGCAAATCATTGCTATGCCCTGCCCAGCCTGCCTGCCTGCCTGCCTGGGCTGCCCGGGCCTCTGCAGTGCATCCGTACCTCGTGGATGCCAACCTTGGCAGGTCTGGGGAGATTATTCGGAGCAGTCTATCTACCCTTGCGCCTTGGAGAAGGTCGGCACAGGGACCCGAAATGCCGCCCACATCGAGTTGGGGGTTACCCGGCCGCAGACGTTTGAGTTCCCAGGAGAAGACAGTCTTTGTTGTTGTCTAAACCTTCCCGTAACCCTAGTGTTAACAATAGCCCTGGTTTCAAATGCTGCCAATGATCTACACAAAGATGTACAGCAACAGTCAAATAATAATATATGAAAACCTGAAGATACAATGATTGAGATCATGGGGCAAAAGCGCTGGCTTCACTTGGCCCATCAGTGCTCACATAAGCTGACTTGCCCAACATTTCGCAAGTCAAAGTAATCTATATTTTATTAAGAAGTTTGGATAATTCATTCATTCAAACTCTCGACTCCTCCTCCAAGACAATTTGCTATTGCATTCCGGTATTCTTTTAGATAGTGGTGGTCTCGTTTTTAATCTGTACACATATGCTTCTTAGGTAGAACGTATAACTATATACTTATACCTACTATCTCTAATCCAAAAACTTGATCATCCACCATATTATATATATTCTCACTTGAAAAGACGTCTATCCTCTCCCAATGCTGGCTGAATCATCACAGTGTTGAGCACCTGTATTAAAGCGTGTTCCGCTAGTAAAACTACTCTTTCCCCCTCCTCCGGTGGAAAGGAGGCTTCGAGGATGACGTTGGCTCTGAAAAGTCTAGGTGGTTTTTTTTTGGCCTCCGCCTTGACGCCCCGGGGAGACACTCGTGATAACTACATAGGACACTTGTTTCCCACAGTCCGAATTAGCGTGCCTAGGTAAGTATTTGATAGGGTCGAGAGTGCACTCATAAGGCCACACAGAAAGTAATAATTACTGCACAGGTGTCTAGTCATGATTCCCACTAGAGGGCGCTACAAGGTCACGGCTCCATTCTAAACACCTGGCAGTGCCCGTTCGCGTAAGATGTACCGGCCTTCAGCATAAACCACGCCGCACCAAGCACCGTCATAGTCCCTCGCTATCTACCCTCATGTCCTTGGTACAGACGCCATTGCCATGCACTATATGTATCGGGGCCTCGACCAAACCAGAAACCCCTTAGTGGAGTGCAAAAAAGCTTTGCGCCGCTCATACTTACCTGCTTAGGTATTTATTCCATCGCATCTGCCACCTTTTGCAACTACTCGACCACGAAGCAAGAAACCCTCCTCACAAACGTCCAAGCATGGCCATCTTTACATCCGACGAAGGCGAAGGCGGCACGATTGCTGAACGCATCGCAGTTATCGGCAGTAAGTTTTTTGAATTGTATCCTTCACAGTTCCCGTGTGATTCCTGAGCCTTGTTGCTTTGGTGCAGGGATGGTAGGTAGGTACCGGTAGTGAACGAGACCTCCCACTACCGCCCTTCGATTTCTCCATTGGTCACCGCAAAGCTTCAGATTGTTGACAACGGTCTAGTCATCTGCTTCGCATTCTCTTGGATTCCAATTTTCATCATCTGGAAGCTTAGTTCGACCTACCGAAGACGTTCCAGAAGCCAAGAACAAGAGCTAGAGGCCGGCAATATGCCGTTCCAAACGAACCCGTCAAAACCGAAGAGAAACTCCTGGAAGCCGCCTCCGCAGGTGCGACAGAGCATCGAATTGACCAGAAATCCACAAGAACTACCTCCGACTGCTCAAGGACGAGACGGTCTCCAGAAAGAATACCGTGGCAAGCGAAGGCCAATGCCTACCCAGCCCACCGACCCCAAGATCAGAATGCTTTCTGACAACGACGACGCTGCAATCGAGGTGCAACACAACAGATCTGAGGATCTGCAGCATGAATCATCACGGTCTAGGCTATTCGAGCAGCCAGCCCAGCCGCTTCGAGCCTCCTTGAGGCACCAAAGCCCGCCTGTCGACCACGACTCGGATGAGTCGTTTGGCGCTCCCGGTCCAAGCTTTAGAGTGCCTCGCAACTATCGACGGTCTGGTCAGGATCCGCGGTAATAATGCCTACTTAGGTACAAGATACCCCCAACCCCTTCAGGGACGTGCGGAATCATGAGAAGTCCTAGCTCAATCCTACGGCTCTCTGTGGACGGGGGCCTTTGGATTTTGGTGGACTGTCAGGGTTATGTTTTTCTTCAAGCTCTAGGGTGAGACCTGTGAGAGGCGTGAGGGCTGTGTAAGTGTGTCTGAGGGAGATTGGGTTCCCGAACTGGGTCCCCGGGGCGGACTTAGTTTCGTTGTCCGTCGTATAGCCCAATTTCGAGCACTGCGATGGTCCATAGTCAGTGAGCAAGGAAGACCCGAATGTGAGGCTCCAGATGTCATCGATTTTAAGTGCGGAAACTCTCTCCCTCCCCACCACCTAAACACCTGAAAAGAAGAATGCAATGACAACTGAAGAAAGGCAAGAAAGTTTCGATTCAAGTGGACACAATCAACCCGCGAAGCACCTGGTCATCTTTCTAAGGTATGTTAACTCGCTCAAGCGCATTGAAACTTGAGATACGAGGCATTCGTATGCCCATCTCACGTAGATAGGTGATTTTGTGAGCGAATAATTATGCCTTCACCCTCTCAGAGCTGCGTTCTCTGGTCAGTGCTTTCCATCTGCTGTGCTTATTAAATAAGGCGTTGTCTATATATGCTAGATAACATAAATATTATAATTTACTCACTCAAGAAGACCTCTCTAATCTGTAACGTGTGGTTACCTAAACACAGTATGTGTAAATGTACATTAATCTAGCACTCGTTGACTCTCTCTCAGCCAGATGGATTTCTCAACCCTTGTATGAAATTCGCGTTTACATCAGGCTAAAGAAGACGGTGATCGCACCCCAAGTGATGAGAAGTATGGGATAATCTGAGTAAGACAGCGAGGACTTGGTGGAGTTTGCAGCCGAGCTGTGGTTTGCGCTCGAGCTCACGCTCTCATATGTCCTGTGGGGGAAAGCATCGTAAAGACCCTCGTGGATGGTCACATCGCTGAAATCGACGCTCCCGGTACCCTCAGCGAAGAAGCTGATATTAGTCGAGGCGCTGTACCAAGGTTTAATCCACGTGGATAAGGCGAATCTGTCATTTGCGTGGATCTCGACGATGGAGTTGTCGACCACCACAGTCAGCTTCAAGGTCTCCAAGGTCTCTTCTCCGTCTTCAAGCAGGTCGAACAGCCGAAGCAGGCCTTTCTCTGGGCGTGTATCGATCTTTGTGCCTCCGGTTGTAGCCGCAGCCGCGCTTGAATTGGAACGGTCGACGAGGAGCGTCTCGTTGGAGAGTTTGTACCATATCGTGGTGCTCTCGTGTTCGCTTTCCAAGATCCGCAAACCCGCACGCAAGTCACTCGTGCGTGCCGAAGAGGGAAACGTTAGGTTAGCAGTCAGAACGAAGTAGCGCGATGTAGGACTCTGAGCAAATGCTATCCGACTGGGTGAGGTGATTTTCCGCGCTGGCTCTGTACTCAGGCGCGAGCCATCTCCACGCATGGCAGCCAGAGGCTCTTGCGCAATGACTTGTCGAAGAGTCTTGAGAGATAGTGTCCCGGCGGATTTATCAGCAGAGTCAACGACCCAAGCGCCGGGAACCTCACGAGAAAGCTCGTTGTCCACGACGTTTGTGATATATCCAACAGTGAGCTCCCGAGGCAGACACAGTGCGCCCGTCCAAGTCGCTGCTGGAGCATCCTGCAGCATTCAGAGTCAGCTATCAAAGCAGCACCGAGTAAGCAGTTCCGTATGAATCTGTGAGGGAACAGGTCATAGTGCAGCCATGGCTTGTCTCAAGATCTGCAGCCTAATGGAACCTTTGAAGTACAAGCTACAGATAGAAGAGACTCTTCCTTGAGGGAATTAAGATTGTATCCGAAAGCTGCTTACTTCGTATCCTTTTTTTCCGTAAAGATTTCCGGTGAGCCAGACTGCAGCATTGAGTGTCAGCCATCAAAGCACCGTGGAAGATACTTTACGGATTTGTGGAGGAGAAGACCGCTGCTTACCATAGCTGATCCATCGGTCGTGGTGTAGGCCACTCTTGGTAGAGGCTAAAGACGAGGACGGGAGGGTCTGGCCCGCGGCTGCGTAAGCAGAGATACCCCAGTCCAGGAAACCGGACATTGTGGGCGTGAAGATTGGGAGTTGAGTCTGATTGTGGAGTATGACTTCCCCGGAGGCCCAATGCACTGCGATAAGTATAGTCAGCCCAAGATACGAGGCATCATGCCAAAGAATAAGTTGGCCCAAGCGAGCACCCGCATCTCAGCCTGTTCCGTTGTCCTAGCTCACGGGAGTCTTTCGACTTGTGGCAGCTATGTGGCTGGAGTTTGAGGGCAACCACTGGAAGCTGCTTACTATCGTGATGGCTGATCGTGAAGTCAGTCGATTTGCAGAATCAGAGGTGACGACTGTGGTAGAATGACTAGATATGACAGGTTGACCACCTTGGAAAAGGTGGTGAGAGGTTGGAAGGCACTTACTATTCACCCTTAGGCGCATCGCCTACGACGTGGTTCCATTCGTCGGTCCATTCGCTCCCAAATGTACTGCCGATCATTTTCTATTAGCGACTTCTGTTTCAGCAGTTCCAAGTGTCTGAAGAGTTTTCCGAAGAGATGGCCGACAGGTTGCTCAAAGAATAACGCGGGTATAGTAGTTGTAACCCTGGCTAGATAAGCATGAAATCCACGCAGAGGGTGTGGATGCATCCATTTTCCCTCTGTATTCAAGTGGTATCAGGAGCTTTTTCTCCCAAGAGATCTCCTGGCACGGCTTCCGTGGCATTCAGGAAATCAAAGAAAAGGGTGAGAGTTTCTGGAGGAAAGAAGGTACTCACTGAAACATTTCTCCATCACTATTGTTGATACCATTCTGGTCAATGTTTTGGGTATTGGAAACCTCTTCGTTAAATCCGTAGACAATACCAAAGGTGGCATCAGATGAGGTCACATTCTGGGCCTCCTTCCACCACATCCCAAGATACTCCCAGGATTGGAAATCATCCTCAGCGGTACCATTTTGTCGATATAAAAACTCGGCTGGGCCAGCCTCATCCCCTTTGATGCCCCCAGAAATAGTCACGTACCATGTGCCGTTTCGACTGGCACTGATCAGCTCATCGAGCTGATAACTCTGGAAGAAATACGGGTCCCGGAAAGCGGTTGGTTCGATGTTGTCCGGCTGTACGATGACAGGGTCCCAATCCATCTTGGTGAAGTTCCTGCCTCCATCATATGAAACAGCAACGGATTGAGTCTCGCTTTCAGCTATATATTCAATCGACCAAGTAATTGGGAGGTGTTTTACACCGGAGTACATCAAAGTCGGCTTCCCGTCAATCCCGCTAGGGATGACGGAGCCGTCAAAGACAGCAAGCGGATCGTTGGCTCCCCCTGGTGAGATGAACTGCTTTCCCATGGGGTTCACATCCTCATAAGTGACCTGAGTTTTGTTAGTAATCAACACAATACGGTGCTCCAAAGCCAGAATGGCATGTTGAAGATAAATATATGGCACATGTCTTGCCTCTGTTGCCTCATATACACGGAGACGCGCTCACGAGATTACACACAAGAAGAAAACAGTTCCTCCTTTGGACCACTCACCAAGTCATCTGTCTTGGTGCCCGATGCACCGTTTGGTGCTTTGTTCAGGAGGAAATTGACATGAAAGGAGCCAGTATCTGGATCGGTGTAGTGCATGCATGGATCTTGCAAGGTTCCTTGCAGAGGCACAATGTGTGCCTTGGAGCGCCATGTCCAGTAGAGACTGTCCTCAATCTCAGTCAAGTTGGGCGGAGCTTTCGTATGATCCAGTTTAGCCGAGCAGCTCCTAATTGCAGTCGTGAGGCTCACCACGTGGAGCAGGCATGGTCTGAGCATGGTAGCCGGCTGCTCACTTGGACAGAGGTAGCAAAACAAGATCTGATAGGCCGCTAAAAGAAACGAATGTCTGCGCCTAGGCGCATGAAAGAATGGAAGAGCAGCTCGAGACTATGGAATTATCCCTTGGATTTCAGCCAAGCTCAAAGTCACCATTATAAGAGGAAGATGGGCCGGAATGGGAGGTGAGTGGGGACTTCGGAAGCTCTCCGTGATCAGTCAACCCTTCATTAAAGTTAAGAAGGCAGTGAATGACCAGGGGGTTAGGTACCTAGGTATCCTCCCACTTCATCCTAAGCCCCTATATGGGAGCTGTCAGCTTTCAGCGGCATTAGAACTTGCCCTTCGCCACGCGAACGAAAGGCTCCATCATGCTGCCTGTGCTTCTGCGTGACCGTCATGGTGATCACCTCTCCAAAAGGTTGCTATCTCGTCCACCCGCGAGTCGGGGTCCCGCAATGAATCATGGCACATCGTGGGTTGGCCCACCTTTGCTCTACAATCTGCCTGACAAGTGGTGAGCACAGAGTCAACATATCTCGGCAAAGCCGGATAGCAAATTACCGCGCAAATTTGAACACATCGCGCCTTAAACGCGTGGCTATGAAGACCGGAAGGCAGATCAAGGGCAACCTGAGAAGATTTCCGAACTAGTCTACACAGAATAATGAAATTTACGGGGAAAACCTCATCCTGGCACAGTCCAATCCGTCTACACTTGTCAAGCTATATCTAGCTGGCTCCATACTGTAGTCGGTATCAGTAGCCCCAACATTTGCTGTTCGCCTCGCTAGGGGTATTTACCGAAAGCTCATTCGAGACATGGTTTGCTTTCTCCATAATATCTGAGTGGATGTGGAGTCTCCTTTCACTACAGAACTATCTTAGCGTACAAGCAAATCCACAAGTTCTCTTGATTTGCCTGCTAACGACCACGATATCTGAATCCTGGGCTTATCTATGTGACATATATTCATGCCCTCTTTGCTGCGACTCGCTTCTTTTGATTGCAAAGCCTGCAGACGCAGCGGCACCGTCTCTGCTTTTCCGACGTATCTATTGGGCCAGGGGCTATAATCTAGTCTCGATATGTACTGATACTTCGCATATTGCTACAAGCCAGGCATGATGGTCAGAGGATGCTGCGAGGTCGGCGAAGGCAACTGGATCTTTGAGGCTTTGTGGCAATTTTCCGGCTCGACCTATTCGAGGGCGACCAAGATTTGATGCTCGAATGGGATGCTCGGCGTGGCGCTGAGTTGTAAGGGTACGGTTTGAAAGCAATGAGATGCCGCTATTGCCACATAACACACTATCCAATGTACAAAATCCAACGCGTGTGCAGCAGGCAGGCTGTATTACTAGCTTGACCCTTTCGCGATAGGTGAAAATGAAGGAAGTTCTATGGCATGTGGGGTTCCACAAGACAATACACTCCATGAACTGGGGAACATCCTAGGAATATAAAGATAATTAGGGCCTTCCACAGACCCTTTGCCCGATGTTTTTGCGCTCGAGAATCCAGGCCGGTCCAGCAGCAAGAATACGGAGATCAGAGGCGAACATTGCTCGACAAGCAGAGCAGTCTGCAGGGGGAATGGTGCTTCCCAGAAGGGATCGATGCATGCAACAGCGAAGATGTCATCGGGTTGTGCTCTATTTAGCAGTGCGAAAGGGTGACCTACTTGAAGATTCTATAATTGTTTTCTGGGGCACGGTGAAAGATGCAGTTGCTGGTGCAAAAGTTACGGTCTCAAGCTCTATAGAAGCTCAGATTGAACGGTTAATTATAGCTTGCCCAGATACACCACAAAGATTTGAGGAAGCCCGAGGAGCCAACCGGGTGTGTGGGATTCAGAAACCTTGCCTAAAGTAGGTGGATCTGCCGGCTGGGTCTTTCCGGCGGGGTTACACAGCACAGCAGATGGGCCACAAGTCAATGGTCGATCGACCATAAGCGCCTGTGAGATCAGCTCCCTCCACCAAGCCAACCTCCGCCTGCCGCCCTTTTCAACCGACTGCTCTACAATTCCATATCTCTAGACCCCGGAGACAACAGGTGATCTTTCTATATGCTAGACATAACACTGCATTGACATGTCCAGCATCATGCGGGGCCTGACTGCCAAGCTTACCGTTGCCGCCTGCATGTCCATGGCCATGGCAGGCGGGACCTCGGCAGACCCAACCAAGAGGCCCCAAGTTCAGATACTGCCCCCCCTGCGTGACCAGGCTCAGATCGTCGACGCCTGGACCGAGGAGCGCAGAACGCTGATCCCAGGCATCTTGCGAAAATATGGTGTTGATGCGTGGCTAGTCCGTCCAGCCTCCCGTTCTCAAGGCTGACACTTTCCCGTATCACTCCACGAATGGCATGGCTAACCTGGCTACAGATAAGCCAACGTGAATATGCCGAGGACACGGTCTTCTGGGCTCTTAAAGAGTACGCCCAATTCTCCGCCCGGCGCCGCACAACTCAGGTGATTTTTGCCAACACCACGGGCGACTCGCCGTCTTCATATCAGTGGATCGACAACACGCCTCAGGTCTGGTCTGACCTCAAGGCTGTCCTCGCCGAGCAGCAGCCACGCACTATCGCGCTGAACACACACACCGAGCTGGCCTTCAGCAGTGGTCTGCACGCCGGTGAATTGGACGCGATTGAGGCTGCCCTGGGAGAGGAGTGGGCCGACCGTTTCATCCTCGAGCCTATGATTGCCGTCGAGGTTGTCGCAACCATGGTCGACAGCCGACTTGGCTGGTACCGCAAGTTGATGGAAACAGCCTGGGCAATCATCGAGGAGGCTTTTAGCAGCAAGCATATCAAGCCTGGCGAAACGACGACCTTAGATCTGGAGTGGTGGATGAGGGAGCGTATCCAATCGCTGAACTATACTACTTGGTTCCAACCAAGCGTGTACATTCTGACGGAAAATGACTGCAGTATGTGTTCTGAGTCAAGGACGAGGAGATTTCCCGGCGACAAAGACCACGTCATCCAGTTTGGAGACATTATTCATACTGATTTTGGAGTCTCTGCCTTGGGCCTGAATACTGATACGCAACACTTGGGCTATGTGCTGGAGCCAGGCGAGACGGAGGACGACATCCCTAACAGTGTTCTTGAGGGCTTGAGGAAGGGAAATCGACTACAGGACATAACGAAGGCGCATATGCAGGTTGGTGTCACAGGAAACGAAATCCTCAGGAATATTCGTCATCAAATGGACCAGGAAAATATTCAAGGCAAGATTTACTGTCATGCCACTGGAGAGTTTGGGCATAGCGCAGGGACACTTATCGGTACGGATCCTCTACGGCCTCCTTGAACTAGCTACCACTCCATCCGACCTAAAGCTGATCGAGTAATGACTACAGGAATGACCAATCTACAAGACGAGGTTCCATTTCTTGGAGACCTTCCTCTGTTGAAGAATATATACTACAGCATTGAGCTGTTTGCGCAGCATTACATCCCGGAGAAAAACATGACGGTCAACTTCCCGCTGGAGGAGGACGTCTACTGGAACGAAGAAACTCAGGCTTGGGAATGGGTATTTGGCCGGCAGTCCAAATACCTCGTCGTTCATCCTCCCCGCAAGAGCACGGCGCAAACACCAGAGCTTGAACTCTAGTCTACCTTGAAGGCACGATTCCGAAGCGTATCGATACTGGCAAGCGCATCATGGCTGACTTCCGGTGCCCGCATAAGGGGAAAGCAGCAGCCTCAATGAAATCGAAATCACTGGCACATGAGTGGTGCGGTGGACGCAAATGAGATTTCCAGCACCAGCATCGAGCGTCCTGGTGCGAGAAGTAATCCTTACTAGTAGGAGTGACCGTTGACTTCTTTCTCCGCGAGGCGGTGGGCGACATTTCCAGCAAGCATGCGTTTCACAGGCATTTGCTGCTCTCATCGCTGAAATTCGTCTCGATTATGCCTCGGCCACCTGGGCAGGCTTGTGGACTGTGTCGAGTCCGCTTCCAGGGGCAACCCTGTCCAGACACCCATGGGCAAACACCGCGAGCTTCTCTCCCCGCGGACCGAATTGGGGGAAAGCTTCCCGAAGCTTTGAAACGTCCCCAATGTGCATGTGCTCTGAGGCCACCCAGCCGAGGCTTGTGATATTGACCATCTGTATAAACTTGGACGACGTGCCTCCGGTCGGCTTGTAGCGCACGCCCACAAACTTCGAAAGCCTCCTTTGCCGTCCACACTACCCGCACGGTTCTAGCCTTGACTCGGCTGACAAACTTTGCGAGAATATTTTATAATCCCCATTATCATAGCTAGCCGTCTGTGCCTTGAAGACGACGATCCTGATTGTGTTACTAAAATGGCGGCAATGGCGAGGACGGTCGTCCCAGTAGCCCTCCTTTCAGCCCTTCTTTTCGCCCCTGCAGAACTGATCGAACAATACATGGGCGCTGATTTCGCACGAAATACTATCCCTCGCCTCGTCCAACCCGTGCTGAAAGCTTTGGTTGGGCTCGGTATAGCCAGGACGCTCAATAAAGCGCTCAACTCACTCGCCACCAACAACTGGCGCATCTCTTCCTCGCCGCCAACCGGATCATGGGACTGGCCAAAGGAGATTGCTGTTGTGACAGGTGGTTGCAGCGGGATCGGTCTGGCATTAGTGGAGGGACTTGCGGCCAAAGGCGTTAGAGTCGCGGTTCTGGACGTCAGTGAACCTTCACCAGCTCTCACATCCAACCCCAAGGTTACCTACTTTAAGTGCGACGTCACCTCCCTACAGCAAGTAGTCGACACGGCCGACGCCGTACGCAAGAGTATGGGCGGGAATCCCACGATCCTAATCAACAACGCTGGTATCGCACGCTTCAACTCAATACTCGACATTCCAGAGCAATCCCTACGCCAGGTCCTCGGAGTTAACCTGCTGGCACTATGGTTCACCACAAAACAGTTCTTGCCAGCAATGATCAAAGAGAACAAGGGGCACATTGTAACCGTTGCGAGTCTGGCGAGCTTCATCGCACTGCCGATGAGCATCGAGTACAGCGCCACCAAGGCCGGGGCGCTGGCTTTCCATGAAGGCCTGACGTGTGAGATCAAACACTTGCACAAGGCACGCGGTATCAAAACGACTGTCGTGCACCCGAACTTTGTGCGCACGGCCATGACGCTACCGCACGCGACAAGAATTGAGAGAACACAGAAGATGATGTCTGTCCAAGACATTTCCAAACCCGTATTGGAACGCGTATTTAGCGGGAGGGGTGGTCAGCTCGTGCTACCCGCGAGGTTGGATATTCTCACAGGAATTAGGGGCTGGCCGAGCTGGATGCAAGAGGGATTGAGGGACGTATTGGGGAGGGCATCATTTCGGTAGAATCGCTAGCTGAAGCTAGCCTCCATTCGCTGCGCGTCCACAAGACTCAAAAAATAATATCTACGCTTTGATTATAGTGCCTTCCTTCCTTGCTGACAAGCATGGGTCTTCATGACATGCCTCACCTGTGAAAGTCATGTTCACGAGACGGTGATGCTGCCGGTCAGCCTGAGGTCTCGGCTCGAAGCCCCGACGCTGATACCAAAGTTTCCTTTAGGCACCACCCAATTCTGGCTAGCTACGTCCCAGTAACTCAGGTCCCTTCTCCGGAGGTTGAAGGTTGCAGTGCTACTCGCACCTGGCTGAAGAGATAGCTTCGTGAAGCCGCGGAGCTGTTTCGGTGGCGCAGCTGGAGCACCAGACGGTAATGAAAGATATAACTGGGGGACCTCGGCACCACCCACAGAGCCGCTGTTAGTAATTGTGGCTGTCACAGTAGCAACTTGTTGGAAAAGGTCGCTCCGCCCGCCTGACGCAATGGGTCCCGTCGCAGGGCCAAACGTGGCTGTTGATGTGACGGTCAATTTGGAGTAGGTAAAGTTGGTATAAGCTGTTGTGTAAGCGGTCTTGTGTTAGTAGATTGACGATTCCTCGATTTGTACATATAGAGCACACTTACACAGCCCATAACCAAACTCGTATCTTGGTGCAATGTTGGCTCGGTCAAAGTGGCGATAGTCGATGTACAGTCCCTCGGGGAAACTGTCGTCCCCGGAAGCGACAGCCGTTCCGTAGTCCGTGGCCGACTTCGCGATAGTGTCTAGAGTTTGTTAATCATTTGCTACGAAGTCAGAAGCGACATATGCTTCAAGACTCTGCCAAAGCACAGAGGACCAGAGCTGGTGCAGCATAGTACTTACAAGGGAGTTTTCCGCTGGGGTTAGTGGAGCCATAAAGGATATCCACCAACGCATTGCCACTTTCTTGGCTGCCCAGGCCTGCCCAAACAACAGCCTTCACACCATCAAGTGCCAGAATATTTTCAAGGATGACTGGGCCAACACTCTGGACCACAACTATGGTATTCTTGTTGGCTGCTGCCACTGCCTGAACGAGGGCATTGCCGTTATGCTGTGTACTTTGTTAGCAAAACCGTCTCCTTTCTTGTGTTGTTGGAGACAGAAGCATGGTCAAGGGCCTTTGTGTTATGACGGCTTCGAAGCAAGTTGGAGCCTCTCCTCAATTACACTCCAAAGCAGTTGATTTGCGCAAATACCGGCGTTGTAAATCCAAAATAGACTTATTGGGAGACAAAATGTGATGAGAATGGAGTGGAAGGGACGCAAGTGTGAGACATACCCAAGGATCAAGATTGTTCCTGTCTCCAGCATTCCCCTCGACGGTGATGTAGCCTTCTCCAGAATCGGAGGTAATGAAGACAATAGCAGCATCGGCACCAGATACTGTACTGGCCACATTGCCCGTGCTATCGCTACTGCTCAAAGTTAACGTTGTGCCATCGGCTGAGGTCCGGGTCTTCAATGCATCGTATGGTGCCGAGAAATAGGGATACTCGGATGTGCCCGATCCCCAGCCCATTCCCAAACTATTAGTATTGCACCCTCGATCCGTGCAAGCATTCGCCCCCCGATGGGTTGACGACAGCTGCGGAGCCGACGAGGGCGAGTTTTGTTGGTTTTTTGAGCGGGAGGATCGAGCCCGTGTTTCTCAACAGGACAATCCCATCCCTTGCAACAGCTCGCACATTGGTCTTGTGGTCCCCCTGGACGTTGGCCTGGATGTTGATAGGAGGGTAACCGGTATCTTGACCAACGACATACCACGCGGCTAGAATGCGTTTGACCATGTCATCCACACGGCTTTGAGCTACCTGCCCACTGTTCACCGCTTTTGTAAGTTCTGGCCCCCAAAATATTGTTCCTCCATTGAAGTCTGAGCCGGGCATGGTCATATCCAGGCCTGTGTTAGCCGCTTGGACAGTCGAGTGCTGAGCGTTCCAATCGGTCATGACATATCCCTGAAACCCAAGCTCCTGCTTCAACAACTTGTTCAACGCATTGTCGTTCTCACATGCCCATGTCCCTACTATGTGTTAGTAACCTGCTTTAGAGTTTGGAGCAATGCTGTGTATTCATGAAGATTACGAAATACAACAGACAGAACTGTAAGAGGAAAGGACTGACCGTTGATCTTGTTGTAGCTGCACATCACGCCAGCCACCCCGGCTCTGACGGAGTCGGCGAACGGCCAAAGATAGAGCTCGTGCATGCTCCTGTCATCAACACGGCCAGACATGGTTTCGCGGTTCTTCTCTTGCTCGTTCAAGATATAATGCTAGCATATCCAGAGTCAGCCATTAGCATACCAGAGAAGGATGACGATTCATGATCAAGGACTTTGGGTGGACCTCCCGGGGCTGCCACAGTAAGCCCGCCGCAACAGTCCTCAGAGAGTAATAGACTGCCGAGGCTGTCGAAGGTGTTCGACAACAGAGGAGCAAGAGCCGCCCGCCTCTGAGAAGGTGAAAGAAGCTCCCAAAAGCCACTGACCTTTGCGGTGGCCTGAACACCGGAACCCTGCATGCCCTGGATGGTCTCGGCCATAGCGATGCCAGTCAAATAAGGATCAGGCCCAAACCCCTCCCAGTTCCTGCCACCTTGTGCGATTTTCCCCAAGGGGCCGGCGACAGGGCCAAGTTGGACGTGTATGCCAGCCGCCTTTGCTTCAGCGCCCATGAACTGACCGCGCTGGCGAATCAGGTCGATATCCCATGTCGAAGCAGCTTGTATACCAGGAGTAAAGGCGGTGGAGGCCTTGCCGAAACGAATTCCCAGGGGGCTGTCCTGTAGGCACAGCTGAGGGTAGCTGATGGAGGAGATGGCCTGTGTGTTTCCGACGCAAGGCCCCTTATCCCAGCCAACGCCGGTGACAATATTCACCTTATCTTGGAGTGATAGCTTGGCGAGGGCAGCATTGGCTTTTGTATACGCTGCGGCCCAGTCGAAAGTCTGGGCGAGAGCGGGCGATGTCAATGACAACCCGAAGGTCGCGGCGAGGCACAGGTTCAGGAGCATGGTGGAGATGCTGTCTGCGGGCAGTTAGGGGGAGAAAAGTGCTATGGCTGTTCACTGTTCAACGAGCAGTATTTACGTAACCGCTTGAACCCCGTTGATCAAGCCGAGGATGGACCAGGGGGGGAGCAAACAGTGGAAGGCGGTCGAGTTTATATTGGATGGCTAACTAACACATCAGATCGCAGACGTCAAGTCGCAGACGTCAACTCGCCTCTCTTCCCAACGCACCGCAATCTGTCTGCCTGGGTACATTCAACCGGAATCAAGCCACGAGGATGATCACATCTTGTCCCTGGCGAAAAAAGGTACACCGGAAGGGAGGATCTGGGGCATGTGCCAGGTCAGGTTCGTCCCGTTTGTCGGCGTCATCACTCCTATTGGCTGCAGCCAGGGTACTCGGGAGCTGGGGGAGAAATAAGGCGGTGGTCAAGGCCCCATTAGGCTTAGATACAACCTCATCCGGCTCAAATGGCTACGTGGGCACTGCAAGGCCATGCCTGATGTGCTGGGCCTGAGCTGGGGAAACTTGTACAAAGCTCGGCGCGCCAATGCCCAGAAAACAGCGTCCGGCCCGCACAGCCCTTGGTTAATTCCTTGGCCAATATATCTTGGTTCCGAACCTTGGAAGTATGGCAGATCCTCGGCACGCCCCGCGAGGGGTCTGCCCGTCTACCACGTCCAAGGCGGCCCCGTGGCGTCATGTGCTGACATGCTTTTCTGGAAGATAATCCATCTCAAACTGCAGGTCTTCCTTGCCGGGCTGGGCGAACCATCGTACCTAGATAGTTGGGTCAGGCAGACACAGATTGCATCAAGCGTCGTTAAAAGACATCCGGAACCGGAACAAGAGAGCACCCACTTAGCACGTCCATAGGCTGCAAGTTAAGTTTGAATGTACATTACACAAATGCATACCGAAACACGAGCAAGAAGAATCAGACCGAGCGGGACCAAATGAAGCACGGCGGGACAAGGCCGGTTATCGGGTCCCGTCACGCCTCGACCGTTACCTTGCCCGCGCCCCTCCCGCGTGCATCTCCGATCCGGTCCCGGCCCGGCCAATTCAACGTCCTTCGACTTCGTCCCCCACGGATCTTGAGCCGTTGCCCGCCTCGACTGCATATACAACTCTGGACGCGACCTCTGCCAGTGCACTCTGCCCGTGCCCAAGATGACGCGAAAATCAGCAGCGCCCAGCCAGAGCGCCCAGCCAACCGTGGATGGACACCCGGACAAGTCAGGACATCCAAGGAAGCTACCCCTAGACTTCGGCAAGAGCCTCCGGGACAGCGAGTTTCTTTTTGACCGGGACTATCGCAACCTGAACCACGGCTCCTTTGGCACTATTCCCAGGCACATTAAAAATAGGCTGCGGCACTATCAGATTCTCCATGAGCGCCGGCCTGACCAGTTCATCCGCTATGACTTTCCTGCCCTCCTCGACGAGAACCGCGAGGCCGCTGCGAAGCTTATCAATGCGCCATCCGTGGACGAGGTTGTGTTCGTGACTAATGCTACCGTCGGCCTGAACACCGGTGAGTCTTCCGCGCACCCCCGGCGGCATATTCCACTTCTCATGGACACCTTGAACTGACGCCTCTTTGCCACAAACTCACAAGTACTGCGCAACCTGTCCTGGTCTGAGGATGGCAAGGACGAGATCATCCATTTCAGTACCATCTACGGCGGCATCGGGAAGACAGTCGACTATGTCGTTGACTCGACCTATGGGAGAGTATCCAGCAGATCAATCGAGCTGACATATCCCATTTCAGACGACGCCATCATCGCCAAGTTCAGGCAAGCAGTCCAAGAAAGCCGTCGGCTCAAGAGACCCCGCGCCGCGGTCTTTGACGTCGTTTCCTCGGTGCCGGGCGTGTGTTTCCCATACAAGGAAATGGTCAGCGTATGCCGCGAACTAGGGATTTTATCCGTGGTAGACGGTGCCCAGGGGATCGGGATGCTAGAGCTGGACATGACGGCCCTGGACCCGGATTTCTTCGTATCGAATTGCCACAAGTGGCTTCTTGTGCCGCGCGGGTGTGCCGTGTTCTACGTGCCCCAGCGCAACCAGCATTTAATCCGCTCGACAGTGCCAACTTCTCATGGCTACGTACCGCTTCCCGGCGCGGCACTGAGAGCGAATCCCTTGCCGCCGAGCGCGAAGGGCGTGTTTGTGAACGCCTTTGAGTACGTCGGCACCTTGGACAACTCGCCATACCTGTGTGTAAAGGACGCTCTCGAGTTTCGTGAAAGCGTGTTGGGCGGGGAAGCGAGGGTTCAGCAATACATGCGGTCCCTGGCAACGGAAGGCGGAGCCAAGATCTCGGAGAAGCTGGGGACCTGGGTCCTCGGCCACGAGCACGGTGAAGGACACAGCTTTACAAATTGTGCCATGGTCAATGTCGCAATGCCGCTCGTCGTCAAGCAGGGTCACATTCAGGGCTCCTTCACTCCCATGGACAGGCAAGATGAGAGCCAAACGGGGCGGGGCGGCGCTCAGGATGCTGCAGCACCTGTGATTTCCGCAGGGCCTGAGGGCCAGGATGCTCAAATACAGAGGAGAGCGGAAGACATAGTGATCCCGCACGAGGACGCCCATAGGATCTGGGAATGGATGACAAAGATCCTCGTGGATGACTACCAGACCTTCATCCCGTTATTCTATCATGATGGGAGGTTTTGGGCCCGCTTGAGCGCTCAGGTGTACTTGGACATGGATGACTTTGAATGGGCTGGCGAGACGCTCAAGCTGCTGTGTGAGAGGGTAGCGAGGAGGGAACACGGGCCGTGACAATCTCTAGTCAAGGTTATCTCAACATGTCTCATGGAGCACAAGTCTCTGATGGAGATGTCTCTTGCTATAGCAAGGCGAACGGAGACGAGACTGTGCTTGTAGATTCGGCCGGGATTGGTGCCCAAGCCATAAATGTTGTGTGACTGGCTATACATGGACTGTCACTAGTTCCTATGAGTAGCGAACAGTCATCCTCCTTCGGCCCGCAGGCGAAAGACCTGCAACACGACATGGGATATCTACCACTTTGCCTCCTTGCTGTTGACAAAGGCCTTCAGGATGCCGATGATCTTGTCCAGGGCGCCCAAGTACTGCTGCATGAGCTCGTTGACCTTGGCCTCGTCGTCTCCCAGCTTCTTGTAGAAGTCGTTGCGAGCGGGGCAGGCGCTCATGGCGGCACTGAAGAGGGGCTTGACCACGAAGCTGTGGTGGGGCTTGAGGGTGGTGCCGTAGGCGTTGCGGAATGAAGTGGCGAGCTCTTCGGTCTTGTTGTTGATGTTGGCATTGAGGGCGAGGCACATGAACTCGAGGCCCCTGTTGTCCATAGAGGTAGGTCTGTGTCAGCGAGGGACAGGTGAACAGATGCGTAGGCCCTGGTGCGGTCTGGGGAAAGGAGGGGAGGGGCCGACGGTTGAAAAGAGACGCACCGGGTCAGCCACAAGAGGCCTTCGGTTGCAACGTGCTTCTTGGACTTGAGCTCGTTGACGACGAGCTCCTGCAAGGTGGCGGACTCTGCAGGAGCCTCTGTGTAGCGCTGGTTTATTTTCTGGAGGAGCAGGAGTCAGCACTGGCTCGTGTGTTTTTTTTTTTTTTTTTTTTTTTTTTTGGGGGGGGGGGGGGCATCGGGAAGAGGATGTTGTTCATACGGTGATGTTGCCGTTCATGTCGTTCTTCACGAGAGAGAAGGTGGTAGGGCCGAGGAGGTCTGGCAGCCGGGCTGTTAGCTTCAGGGTACGGATTTCGTTGGCTTGATGGGATGAGGCGGCGTGCCGAAGATGGGAGTCAGAGACTCGGCGGCCTCGATGAACTCCTTGGTAGCAATGGCATTGTTCTTGTCGGCATCGACGGGGACGTCAACGAAGGAGCGCTTGAAGGTGTTGGCGTCGAAGAAGGTGCCACCAGGGGGGATAACGGGAGCAGACATGATGGCGGTGCTGGTGGCGTTGGTGGTGAGCAGGAGGAGCTGGGTCTGCGTTGGTAGGATGGTCTGTGGGAGTCGTCGATATGTTATTGTAGGCGAGGATGCGGTGTAATGTGGTGTGGTGTGGTGTGTTGTGTTGTCAATGTTTGATGCGGGAGTTAGAGACACATGGCAGTTCACCAGCTCCTCAATGCATTGGACAAGGCAATGCACCGCAGTCGAGCGAGTCGAGGCGCGTCCCGACTCGTTGCAGATGGAGCTCCCTCTCCCCAGCTTGACCTGACCGCCCCTCGCCAATTTGGTGCCGGGGTACCTGTCCATTGGAGTACCCAGGTGGTCTGGACACCTGTGTCGTGTGTAGCATATCCCTGGAAGGTGGGGTCGTTAACAGGAGCCGACATGGTGACAGGTATGAGAGCGTTAGTCGCCAGGGACAGACGGTGAGCATCCCATTCCCAAGCGAGTACCTGGGACCTTTCACGGCGGTCCCCAAGGTGGCCCACCCAGATGGTTGCCCCTGAATCCCCGATTGCATTATCTGATCAGATCAGATCAGACGCACCCTGCGCTGCACTGGTCTACTGTGCTCTACCTACTGCCATGTCTGCTCCTGAGGTTTTGTCAGTCTACCACCATCTACCGAGTATAGGAGGTGTTCACCAACCTCGTACAGTGGGCAGCATAAATATCCAGGTAGGTGTGTTATGGGTAGAATGCAGTGCAGTGCCGTAGCCATGATGACGAGTGCCAAGGACAGGCACGAGCTGCTCGTCTTGCTGTCGTACCGGCATAGCGGTACGACCTTCACTCATCAAGCATCCAGCGGCACACAATCCATCCCGTGGGACAACCTCCCTTTGGAATGAAATTTGATGGGCTAGCCTGATTTGCCTACTTTCGAACATTCACCTGGTTGCTAGCAATCCGTAGCTTGTATATTCGCAGCCAACCAGCCCCTTGTTGTAGGGTCGTTGCGAGCTCGACGTCATCGCTTGCCTGCGTGGGTACTGGGATACAAGGCCTGTGTACCGTGCACAGTAGTACACTAGTCTGGGTAGTGGTTGGGATTGCACCAATCCCGCTCGACCTAGGCACATAGCAGCATGTGGTCTGCCCTGGCCCAACCTGAACGTCGATACTACTACCCACTCATGGACTGCAGTCTCGGTCCAACCCAATTGTGCAATTGTGCATTATACGCATCATTCAACATGTTGTATTCAATATCGCCTGTCGTGGGCGGTCAATTGATGGGCCATGGCCTTCGCAAACCAGAGTCTGGCTGGGTGGGGGGCCTGGTTGGTTGGTTGTTGATTGATTGATTGATTGATGCCGTTGATTGGGCCCAAGCTGGACCAGGAAGAAAAGCTGGTCCAAGCTGGTACCAACAAGTAGGCACAGCCCACCCAGCCCACCCAGCCCACCATCCTTCCCCTCCGTTGCGAGCCAAACCCTGTTTCAGGCACGGGTGGTGCATACTGTTACATACAATGCATGTACGGCCTCTGCTACCGTGACAGTTGCCCCTGCCAATGCCCCATGCCCATCATCTATCCAACCCACAACATCCATCACGTCCACACATCCTGATTTCGATTCGAGCCTGCTGTATATGCCCGCCCACCTGTCCATGACTGCCACGGACGAGGTGCGCGCTTTGCTGGAAAAGTCTACATATTGCGCGGACACCCGGTCCACGCTTCTGCTCCCGTTCACCTTCCTCCCCTTAGCCCTCAGATCCCCCACTCGCTCTCTCAGCTGATCTGCCCCGCCCCCGCCCTGGCCATGTCTCATTCTCATCAACCCCACGGCCACGGCAACGGGGTCAAGCACGACGACAATGATGATGATCACAGCCTCAAGGAGAAGATCAAGCATCCCTTCCACGAGCTCAAGGAGAAGCTCGAGGGCACCCACCTCCACAGCCTCAAGGTCGGCCTGATCCACAAGAAGTGCGCCTGCTCCCTCTCCATCTTTCCTCTCCTCCGACGTCTTCGTCGTGCCCACCGAACCGTGCTGACACGCCGTCCTCTGCAGGCATCAGATTGGGAAATTCGCAAACTTGGTGCGCATCACACTCCCCATATCTACCCCAATGTAGAAACTTGAAATTTTGAATACAAGTAGTATTCTTCGTCTCCCCAAGCCCGGAAATAAGTAAGCACTGCCATTGACCACCCGCTCTGGCAATAGTTCAACCCCCAGCACCGTCATGACGAGGAGCATGAGAAGGCCTGTGATGAGAAGCGCACAAAAATATGCGAGTCTCACCGTTTCAAGTCCTTCTTCCCCGAGCGGGACGGCAACCTGATCAAGTGGTATGTGGACGGCCGTGACTATTTCTGGGCCGTATCAGAGGCCCTAGAAAAGGCCAAAGAGGTCATCTATATCGAGGACTGGTGGCTTTCTCCGGAGCTGTTCATGCGCAGGCCCCCCTATTACAACCAGGGAGTTCAGGCTGGACCAGATCCTCAAGCGCCGTGCCGAGGCCGGTGTCCAGATCTATATCGTCGTCTATCGCGAGGTCGAGGCCGCCATCACCTGCAACTCGGCCCACACCAAGCATGCCCTGCAGGCCCTATGTCCCGAGGGCTCTCCCGGCTACGGCAACATCAGGATCATGCGTCACCCGGATCACAATGTCTTCGAGAACGCCGCCGACATGACCTTCTACTGGGCGCACCACGAGAAGTTCCTCGTCATCGACTACGAGATGGCTTTCATCGGTGGTCTGGACCTGTGCTTTGGCCGCTGGGACAACCATCAGCACCAGCTATCCGATCTGCACCCCGAGGGCATCCAGCACGAGGTGTGGCCCGGCCAGGATTTCAACAACAACCGCGTCATGGACTTCAAGAACGTCGACGACTGGAAACAGAACGAGGTCAGCAAGGCCGAATACGGCCGCATGCCGTGGCACGACGTCGCCATGGGCCTCATCGGGCCGTGCGTCTACGACATCGCAGAGCACTTCGTCTTGCGCTGGAACTTCGTGAAACGCGACAAGTACAAGCGCGATGAGCGCTTCGACTGGCTCGAGCTACGGGGACGTCAGGGTGAGGACGAGGACCTTGTTGGCGTGCAGCGGCCCAAGCATCCTGTCGGCGACTATGTCCTACATCCCCCCTCTCCAATGGAGACCAAGAACCTGGACAACCGAGGCTCGATCCATGCTCAGATTGTTCGGTCCAGCGCTGATTGGTCAAGCGGTATCCTGACGGATCACTCCATTCAAAATGCGTATTCGGAGATCATACGCTCTGCGGACCATTACGTATACATAGAGAACCAGTTCTTCATCACTGCCACCGGTGACCAGCAAGCCCCGATCCACAACACCGTCGGCCGGGCCATAGTGGATGCTGTGGTCCGTGCCGGAAAGGAGAATCGCAAGTTCCGCGTCATCATCATGATTCCTGCTATCCCAGGATTTGCAGGTGATCTCCGCGACGACGCTGCTATCGGCACGCGTGCCATCATGGACTATCAGTACAAATCTATCTGCCGCGGTGAACATTCCATATTTGAGCAGGTCCGCAAGGAGGGTGTGGACCCCACGCAGCACATCTTCATCTTCAATCTTCGCAGCTACGACCGGATCAACGTGACTCCTTCGGTTAAGAAACAGGAGGAACAGTCAGGCGTCAAGTATCAAGATGTCCAGCGTGCCGAGGCCGAAGAGATCATGGGGTCTGGTATCCACGGCTCGACGGATGTACATGGAGAAACGGATACCCACATGGGCCAGAAGGGCGTAGGACAGTCCCTGAAGGGCCGGGCCGAGGAGAAGGCCCAGCTCAAGGCCGAGGAGCAGAAACCTGTGGAGCAGGAGCACAGTGAGGATATAAAGAGGCGGTTCGCAGATTCAATGCAGGAAGGCCAGGGCGAATCCAAGTCATCCGCTAGCGTGGCGCATTGCGCCATGTCAAACACAGGCAAGCTCCTCAGCGAGGTTTGGGAAGGCGAGGAGGAAGATGAAGTCAACAACTGGATCCAGGAGGAACTCTACATCCATGCCAAGCTTCTCATAGTGGATGACCGCATCGTGGTGTGCGGGTCGAGCAACCTCAACGACCGCAGCCAGCTTGGATACCACGACAGCGAACTCAGCATCGTCATGGAGGACACAAACCGGATCCCATCTGTCATGGACGGGAAGGAGTTTGAGGCAGGGTACCATGCCGCAACCCTGCGGAGGTACCTGTGGCGGGAGCACCTGGGGCTGCTACCGCCGCAGATCAATGATGCGTCCGACGATCTAAACGCACGGCCGCCAGGCGATGGCACCATGAACGACATCTGGGACCAGGGTGAGGCGGCCGAAAGCTACAAGTTCGTGGAGGACCCCTTGAGTGACAAGCTGTGGGAGATGTGGACGGAGCGGGCGACGGTGAACACGAAGATTTTCCAGCAACTCTTTCATGCTGATCCTGATGACCACGGTAAACCTGGCCCCTTCTGCTTGAATGTTCGCGAATACATAAAGGTGACAAAGGCTAACATGAAAGCAGTCAAAACTTTTGAGGATTATGATCTTTTCTTGCCACCAAAGGGTGTCAAGGCTGGCCACATCTTCGACCGTATGCAGGACCCCATCGAGATCCGCAAGAAGTTGGACAAAGTCAAGGGCCATCTTGTATGGATGCCGCTGGAGTTCTTGAGGGACGCCAACATGGCAGAGACCGGGCTGCAGGTCAACCAGATCACGGAGAGTGTTTATACCTAGATGCAAAAGCGCTGTAGGACCATTGGCTGTTCGAGATGTATGTGGTAATATGGTAATTGTCTTAATGAATTATGCTTAATGCTTTGTACATGTAGAAGTACGTAGGAATATCCAACGTCCCCAAAGAGACGGCCATACCTCTGCCATAAAAGAAATTCCTCTCGACAACACTAAAGTATCATCATCCGTTCTTATGTAGAAAGTAAACCGTCTCTTCCTTCCTTGTGTGCATTAGCCAGTGTTCGGTCAGCTGTGGGACACCCTCCTACGGGATAGCTCTACTGCTCCTGTAGAATGTCCTTCCCTGGGATAATTTCTACATAACAGGCTCCTCTCTTCCAAGATGAGCTACCTCCCGGGGTTTAAGTTTACATGAGGGGTTGCAGGGTATCTTCAATGGGCTATCTCGTCAAGTCACAGAGCACAGCTAATGGCCAGGGTTGGTGACATCGGTCGTGTTTCGCAAGACGTCTTTCACTCCTTGCACATGTGCTTTGCCAGTCCTTCAAATGCCGGCAAAGACGAGGGTTTCTCACCTTCTGGCTCTCTGAGAAGGACGGGTCCCGCGCTTCAAGTCGGTTCTTGAGATGGACATACCTCAGAAAACAAATCAGGTTCAGGGAGGCACACTCTCCAAGTCAAATACGATTGGTTATTTGCTCTACAAGCTACCGGCGCCCAAAGCTATATTGTACCCAGGTACGTCTAAATATATCATAAGCAGGTTTCAAAGTCCTTTTCCGCATGCCCGAAAAACTCCAGCGAGCTACCTAGGTACCTAATTAGAGGTCTTTGATGAACAGCCTGCTTTATGATGACCACTCGGGGAAGCACGTCTTCCGAATTTTGTTACCGTTATGATATAACCTGAACGCAATTACAAGAGTCGACATCAAATCTCTCAAGCCTCATGCCTGCTGACTCTCGCTCCCGGCATGGCTGCGTTTCCTCAAAATAAATAAGACCCATACCAAGGCCATCCCATCCAGCTTAGAATTGGCGAGCCGCAAGCTAGTGCATTCTTGACAGTTTGACATTCCGAGGCTTAGTCCTCGTTTTCACCAGGGTTCAAGCCAAACTGGGTGGAATATACCTCAGTCTGGCATGGGGAATCACTAGTACCACCATCGTTCGAATATTCGTTCATCGCGGTTCTAAAACCAGTGTAGGCTCAGTAGTATAGCCTGCTACTTCTCTCTTATAAGGTTTTAAAAATTCTGTCACCGATCCGCCTACGGCCAGATCATCTCATCATGGTCAGTGCCGCACTCCTCACTTCCCCCTAGCCATGGCATTGTCTGCCCGCCATGAATGTACGAACAGCGGTCACGTCCTTCCCGCTGCGGTACCTTAGCAGGGCAATAAGCAGAAGAGGCGGATTAAATTCATTGACAAGCGATTGTACTTTCGGAAGTCCAAGATATGGCAACAAGGACGCGCAACGTCAATTCGACCACACATGCTGCGAGCATAATTTCAACCCCACGGTAGGTTGTAGATGAGGCTCAGGTATTGCCCACACGTTTTGCCCTGTTCGGCATCCATCTATAGCACCTCAGACCTATCGGTGGTTGCGGAGAAGGCAGGGTCAGGCTTCCGCTGGTGAATGTCTCCACCAGTGAGACAGGCAAGATTGAATTTGGCTCTATGGAACAGTGGCATCTCTCGAACATGCTCAATGTAGAGGAAGACAAACATACTACATAGGGGTGACTTTTTTGCAGATTTGCCAGCGATCCAATCTGGGGAGTTTTGCTCTGGGCATTTCCCAAGTCTCAGAGCTTTGGCCCAAGAGAGACACCTGGTAATTATTGGCAGTGCATATTCCGGACCACCAAAATGGGGACATGTGGCATTGTAAGCAGCATTGCGTGATCCTCAATGACGACCGCCCCGGGGCTTTCGAGTTGAGCGTTGCCGTTTGAATGGGCCTTATTGGTGCCGAGCGTGGTGGCGGCATTGCGTGATATCGTCCCGCGATAGCAACATGGAAGCACCCACTCACATGACATGAGTCGCCATTCGTTTTGCGAGAGCCGGCTGGGCCTGCAGGAGCATCGACAGCCGTGTGGAGGACGGGAATTTGTGACCATGGTAGCATGGGTGAATAGTCAAATCAAGGCGTAGCCCCGTCTTATCTCCAAATGAATTACACCTATCGACCGCCATGTCGTGCGGTACAAGGCCTCCAGCCGCCGAGGGCCTAAGATGTCCGGCGCGGGAAAGGCGTGGGTTTCGATGCACTAGACTAGATGTTCAAACGATGTCGGAGACCTGCGGCGGGCCACTTGGGCGAGGGGGTGACCTCGCGCAATCTGCCTCTTCGATGGTGGTGATGGTCAATACCCCGCATGGGGTCATGGACCCGGCCCCAGAACAACACTCGATAGGTATAAAGACAACTCTTGTTCTCTCCAGGAATCGTCCTTCTTCTCTTTCGGAATCAAAAAAATTTCTGGTTCCCGAGAAAAGTACTGTGCGGAGATACACAAGTCCAGAGACAAAAGTACATAAACTATTGCAGACATGGCTCCATCCGCCACCGAGACCATCACCGTCACCCAGCCGCCGCTAAAGCTGCACTCGACAAAGTCCGGCACGGGTGACTACAAGCAACTTCAAGCGCACAATGTCGACAGGGACGCCGAGGAAGGCAGGAAGGAAGGCATCAAGGCCGCCAAGGTGAGAGACCCCACCAACTACACCCGACTTGTCCTTTGCGTTCGCATGCTTCTCTCTGCTCGTCTTGAACACTTTACGCCATGCCAAGCGTAGGATAAAGGTGACCCGCAGCAATTTCATTAGCCTGACTGACCGTGCTCCTCCAACCCGGAACAGTATGCCAACTACCTTCCCACGTGGGACCCTAGCCAGAAATATCCTCCCCTAACGCCCTTCGAGCACTACGAGCATGGGCAAGACGCGGACACCTCCTTCAAGGACCTCCTCCCGGCGGAGTCGAAGGTCGTCGACCTGACGCCAACCATCGGGAGCGAAGTTCGCGGTGTCCAGCTCTCCCAGCTCTCGAGCGCGGGCAAGGACCAGCTGGCCCGTTTTGTAGCTGAGCGCAAGGTCGTCGCCTTCCGTGGGCAGGACTTTGCCAAGCTGCCCATCAAGGACGCGTTGGAGTGGGGCGGATACTTCGGGCGGCACCATATTCATCCTACGTCCGGGTCGCCCGCTGGATACCCTGAGGTCCATCTCGTCCACAGAGCTGAAGGTGACAAGAGCCACGAGTCGTTCTTTGAGACACGCACAAGCTCTGTCGCCTGGCACTCGGACGTCTCCTACGAGGCCCAGCCGCCCGGCACCACATTCCTGTACATCCTGGACAAGCCGGAGACGGGAGGTGACACGCTGTTCGTGGATGCCGTGGAGGCTTACAACCGGTTGAGCCCGCTGTTCCAGGAGCGGCTGCATGGACTGCAAGCGGTGCACTCTGGTATCGAGCAGGTGAATGCCGCCGTCTCCAGGGGGAGTATTGTGAGGAGGGAGCCGGTGTACCATGCTCACCCTATTGTGAGGACGCACCCGGCGACGGGTCAGAAGGCGCTTTATGTCAACCCACAATGTGAGTATCCCTTTCAAGCCTGTGGGGTTGGGGCAGTGCTGATCCGGAGAGTAGTCACCCGCGAAATCGTTGGCTTGAAGAAGGAAGAGTCGGATGCGCTCCTGAAGTTCCTGTATGACCACTTGGCCTACGGGGCTGACTTCCAGGCCAGGGTCAAGTGGGAGGAGGGCACAGTTGTTGTGTGGGACAACAGAGTAACTCAACACTCGGCCTTGGTGGACTGGAAGAATGGGCAGAGAAGGCATTTGGCCAGGATCACTCCTCAGGCGGAACGTCCCTTTGAGACGCCCTTCAAGGCATGAACTGGTCTGTTAGTAGAGGTGGCTCCTTTATAAAATGTTACTTCACGACCAAGTCTACCCTAAATACTAGGTCAATCCGCATTTGTGACCGCCTCCGCCTGTGCTGGCGACGAGGTCGCCCGTCCATATTCAGACTGACGGGACTGCAAGTGCTGCGTTCGATGTGACCTGGCTCTTGGGCCTGGCCTGACTTGCTTCCCTCCCAGTCGGTTCGTCCGGAGTCGTGGGTCTGTGGCCGCGCTGGGGCTTGGACTTGCTACGGCGTGCCCTCAAGCGTCGTTGAAAGTATGTTTCTGAGCCACTGTCCGAGCCATCATTGACCTCAGCAGACTGCGGAGTCGGGGTTCGTGAAGCGTGATCGGTTGACATGGGCTTTTGTGGGCCCCTGTCCCGCGCCGAGATGTCTTTATTTGTTACTGTCCTCCTTGAGGCTGCTGCAGTCAAGTGGTTCGCTTGCAATGTTCCGTAAGATCTCGCTGAGTGCTGCTCGAGATCATCCACGTTGCTGTCATGATCTGACTGAGAACGGGCCAGTCCCGGAGGCAGGCCACTTCCTACGGCGGCCTGCTCAGGAATACCGCGTGGCCCATAACGAGCATGCGCGGTCTTGGCGGTTGACATCGAGATTTTGTGATGCGTGGCCTTGGCCGATGGCGATGGAGTGCCAGTGCGAATGCCAAGGCTGCTTGGTTGGCTGCTTGTGCTTATAGCAGCGGCACGCGCCTTGCCGTTGGAGGTTGCGGTGCTCGTCAAGGGCTGTGCCCTCTTCCGAGGACTGTCCAACAGGCTGGCCAGATGGGTACGTTTTCTGGGGGGTTGAATTTGGAATCGGTCGGTATCCTCATCGTCGGGTTGTGCGGCAGTGGCAGCGGCAGCGGCTGGGGCAGCGCCTGAGGCTGAGCCTAAGGCCTCGGAATGCAACTTGGCCGTTGCAATGGCTCGTCGCTGGGAGGCGACCAAGGTAGAGGCAGCTTGGCGTCGCACCACCTCAAGAGTCGGGGGGCGTGTGACGGGCCGCGCGAGAGTGTGGATGGTGGGATTTTGCTTCTTGGCCTCGTCCTTCAGACGGCGGTACTGAGCGGCGTGGAGGTGGGCGGTAAAGCGGGCAGCAACCGAGTAGAACTCGTCCTCGACCATGCGCCAGCGGTCATCATTGTCAAAGCCCTCGAGCATGAAACTGTACGGGAGTCAGCTTCAACGGATGACGTGCATTGTTCTAACTCTGGCTGGGAGACGGGACGAGGGGGCATGGGAAACGAGGTATGGGAGAGAGGGCCAGCAGGGAGGTTCCGCGGGTCCAGGCATCCAGGCACCAGAGGCCCATGGCGTGGTATTTTGGGACGCGGGGTGCGGGATGCGGGAGTCTGACCACCAGTCACTGGCAATCAGGTAGTGGCAGTCAGTCGGTCAGTTAGTGGTGGTGCTACTGACCTTTCAGGAAGGGGAGCTTCAGACGGTCGGGCAGGGCTTGAGGGCGACGAGGCGGAGCCGTCTGTGCGTGGGTGTGCAGGGCTGGGAGCGGGCGATCGTGGTGGGACAGGGCCTGACACAAGCATTGGGCGAGCCGAAGGCGCGGCAGGTGTCGCGCGGGAGAGAGAGGTCCCAGGCGGTGGTGAGGCGGTTGTTGTCGGATGTAGACTGGCTGGTGGTTTCGGCGTGGAAGGGTGGCCGACGGGTTTCCAAGGCAGCGTCCTGCCCATCGTCACGGGCGACCTCCAGCCAAAAGTGCAAAAACACAGGACGGTCGATCAGATCAGAAGCCGGGACGAAATGCGGGCCGGACGATGGAGAGGACGGATGACGGGCGCTCGGCGGTGGGCGGTGGGCGATGGGTGATGGACCGTGAACCATGGACCGTGGGGCCGTGGACGGTGGACCGTCGAGTTTGGGGGATGGGAGGATGGAGGGGTGATGGTTGACGGCCAACACGCATAGACAGACGATGGTGGTTGTTGGCTGATTGGATGACGGGTCACTGACCGGGGGAGGGGGACAAAGACTGGCGGCAGGCAGGTCGACTCGATGCGGAAAGTCTCAGATCCGTTTGAAGACGTCGAGGGGAAGAGAAACTCTACACGGTGCTGGCTGTGCGCGCGTAGTAGCTAAGGAAGGAAGCAAGCAGCAGTGGCGACAGTAACCGTAGCAGCAACCGTAACAATAGCAGCAGCAATAGAAGCCGCAGCAGTCGCGAGCAGCAACAGCAGGCGAGGCTGTTGCCGTGCCGGTCCGTAAATAGGCACACCGGTAGTTCAATTGAAATAATCATTCTACTCATTACACAACTGCGCATGTATAAGCTTAACCGCCGGCCAGTCGGTCAGATCGCTCCGATCACTACGATCCGGGAGATCAGTCAGCAGCAGCATCGCAAAGACGACAAGCCAGGAAGGACCCCACCCAGGCTCCTATAGTTAATTGCCTACTACCCGCGACCTCCAACCTCCCAAACACGCCACACCTTCTTGGGTACGTACTGCGATAACCGCAAGGTTGGTATCTGGGCGAAAGGGAAGGTCCTGCCAGGAGTGTAAGGGGTCCTGCTCTGTCCACATCCCGCCTGGGCGGCCTGCAAACAGGTAGACCACCATGCCTGATGAGTAGGTACCCAGGTGTCTACATAGGCCTAGTTGGCCTCATCAACAGCCAGCCCGTTGATTCGCCCACTACTGCCGTAGCCGTTGACTTGTTTTACAATGTCGACACTACTGCACTGTACCTGGCCAGGTACGTACTCTGTCGCTTACCCTGGCCCTGGCCCCAGCCGCGGCAGGGGCGATAAGGTTTTGAGCCTCCATGTTGCACCATCACAGCGAAACACCCCGAGGCACTTCGACCCTGGGAGCTCAACTGGACAAGACTCAAATCTCCACACACTCACTGCACACATCTGCCATGCTCCGCGCGACCGGCACCTGCATGCTGCGTATCGCCTCGTGCGTATCGCTAGGCGCCTTGTGGTGGGTGCGTGTGTGTGTTTTTGTATTGAGGCGATTTGAGCCGAGTTGAGTTGAGTTGAGGTGGCGACTCGGCCGCCGCCAGGTCTCGCTCATCACATCCATTGTCCCATTGAATCTCGTTCCATTCCATGACATCCTCATCTCGCTGCATGGACCTCCAAATTGGGCATCGTGCTATGCACAGATCTGATCGGGAATCGGAATCCCCATGGCCAAGGCCCGCAACGCAATTTGACGTCAACCGGCCCTGCAGCCCGGTACACTAGAAGATGGAACAAAGAGTAGAGTATAGTCCATTCCATTGCCTGAACTGTTTTGCTGCTGCGGTGCAAATGCCTCCCGTAGTAGGCTAGGTACCTAGGTGGTGTGTATGTAACCTTACAGCACGGTAGCAGCCCAGCATACCTCTATGGTCCGCCCCTTGTTCCTGACACGCACGTCTCTGATCCCTGCGGAGGATCCGGGAGCGGAACATTCGCCCATGCTCTGCCTCGCCCTTCTGGTCAGGCCTGGCATGGCCTGGCATGGCCCGTCAGATCTGGGTCAGGCCAGATCTGGTCTTGTCTCGCCCGTCCCGCCCGCAGCGCAGAACAGATAGATGCCCCCACACCCCCTTCCAAGCCGAGCCCTGCCTCGTGCTCCGCGATGCTTCTCGTCCGCTGAGCCATGGGCAAGAGGAGACAAGCCAACCAGCCAACCAGCCAGCCAGCCAGTCAGCCCGTCAGCCAGCCCTCCGCCTGACAACCTCCACAGATCCTCTCCATGGACCTCCTTCGAGACAAATGCCATGCGTCCGAAGCGAGCACCTGCTCCAGCCCCGACGCTGGCGCCGGCGTGGGCGCGGGAGCGAGCGCGGGTCAGCCACACGCCGCTCACTCCTCGCAAGCCACCCGCTCCCGCGCCGACCGTCCATGCGACACCTGCCGCAAGAGGAAGTCGAGATGCGTCAAGGAGCCCGGCCAGGACAAGTGTGTTCTGTGTTCCTTCCACCGTCGCGCCTGCACGTATCTCGACGAGCCTCAGCGTAGGAAGAGGCCAAAGGCTGACAGCCTGGCAAGCATCTCCTCGACCCCAGAGCACCGCAGGCAGAGCTCCGATCCGTAAGCCCTGTCCTCTCCTTCCGTCTTGCTGGATGTCCTGTCCCCTCCCTCTACCCTAACCCGCCCCTCTGCTTCAGGCTTAACAGGGAGGGAAGAGAAGCAAGAGAAGCAAGAGGACAAGAGAAGAGGGAGAAGGCAACAATGGCTCTACAAGTGCTGACAACCATCGTGTGTATCCTAGTTCGTCCAGGAAAAAGCCAAAATCCGCTACCTCTCGAGATGATTCCCATGCCACGAGCCCGTCCAGTGCAAGGTCACTTCTTGACTGCACTTTGGGCCTCCACGGCAGCACGCATTTCAAGTACATCGGCCCAAGCTCTGTGTACGAGGGACAGCTCCTGGACGTCTTGCACGGCCTGGTGGATCATGGCGCTGATGACACAACACCGAAATTCCGCCGCGCCGATACTAGCACCACCTTTCTGTCGCGGCCAGATTCCAAGTCTCTCTTCAGCGCCGACGACGACGAGGACCTCGATTACGTCGAGTCGCTGGTCCGTCCATACGGCCCGGCACTGGTCAACCTCTATTTCAGGACAGTCCACCCCAGCTTCCCCGTGATCCACAAGGCTGTCTGGCTCGAGAAGGACGCGCTCCTACAAGGAATTTCCCCCCGCCTCAGCTCGCCGCCTTCTACCTCATCGCAATGGACTGGTGGGAGTACGATCCTGAACTGTCGTCCAAGGACAAGCCGGACGCCACGGCGCTGCTCAAGGTGGCCATGACGACCCTCGCCGCCGTGATACACCGACCAAAGCTCTCGACGGTCCACGCAGGCTTGCTGCTGCTGCAGAGGTCAGGAGGGGACTCGTGGGTGCTGACAAGCCAGGTGGTCGCGCTTGCTGAGGAGCTCGGCTTACACGTCGACTGTTCCTTGTGGAACATACCAGACTGGGAGAAGGGGCTGAGGAGGAGGCTGGCATGGGCCGTCTTCATGCAGGACAAGTGGAGTGCCTTCACCCACGGCCGACCGTCTCACATCACCCCGGGCTCCTGGCGCATCCCTCAGCTGTCGCTTGACGACTTCCCGGAATCAGCCGCTGACGATGACGGCAAGGACGGGAGCACAGATGTTGAGACGGGGCGGCAGGTCTTTATCCACCTCACACATCTGACCGAAATAATGGCAGGGACCCTCGAGTCTCTGTACGGCCCAAACCAGATGCGCACAGAGAGCGTCTACGCCCAGCACGGTGTACAGGGCCTGATGAATATGGTGAAGCCCATGGTCAGAAGGCTCGAGGCCTGGGCCGAAGAGATCCCCCCGGGCCTGGAAATGGACTCGACCAAACCAAGGAGGCTCTGCTCAAACGGCAACCTCCACCTGTCGTACTTCATCACCGAGATCATGATCTACCGCTTCATCCTGCGTCGAGTGACTCCCGACACCCTGCCTGCGGTCCGAGAAATCGCCCGCGAGGCAGGCAAGGCATGCCTCGAGAAGGCCATGAGCTTTGTCGAGTGTCTCCGTCCCGAGCATCTGCAGGCCTTCTGGTGGTCCGCAGCGCCAAAGTCTCTCGCCCTCATCAGGTCATTCGGCGGGCTACTCTGGGCAACCAGCAGCACCGAGATGGAGGCCGGCTTTTACCGGCAGAAGCTGATAGACTTCCAGTGGAGCTTGAAGGTGCGGTCCAGGGGCGTCGGCTTCCTCACTGCCGCCATCCGAGAGGTGGAGGATTCCCTGGATGGCCCCGACATGGCCCACTCGCCAGTTCCAAGCAGTAGCAAATCACTGTATCATTCGTTGGAAGAGATTAACGCTACAGAGATGCCACCGCACTCGCAGGCGCACTCTTTCCCTCGGCAGAATCTTGCCCGCATGAATGGACCCTTGCCAACGCCCCCACAAATCTCGCCTGTTGAGCAGGCCACACCGCGGGTTGCGCCCTTTGACCCAGCCATGTACGATCAAGCCCAGCTGGGGCATGGCCAGCTGGATCCCTCAACGCTCAGCTTCAGCATCATGGACCTTGATCCTGCTGCGAGGCAAGTGTATATGGATATGACCGGACAGGCTCTCTTCTATACGGATATGCCCATGTCTAATCCGTGACGGTTACAAGACCCAGGGTGTCTGGCGGCGGCAGCAAGGTCGAATGGCTATTTTGCAAGCGATCTCTCTGGGACGATCGTGGCGGCACCTGCTCCACTCCTCTGGGAAAGGCAGTCCCACTGGATCGCGTCTCATGCCTAACACAGGAGAGCGGTGGAACGGTCCGAGGAATATCGCGAGTTCCCACGCCACGCCACATCGCCTTCGCCATGCCTCCTCCCTGGGTCCGTATGTGATGTTGCCAGGTGCATTCATCACAGGTGTGCATATTATCAGCCATACCATACACCGAAGCACACTAAGAGGGAGATAATTTGGATGTTTGGGCGTTGCACGTCTCCTGCATCTTCTTGTACATTTTCATCCCCAGTAGCTGGTCTCTACTGGGATGTTGTTCGGCAGTTGGCGGATGGGCGTTCACGTCCCGGGTTTGAACTAGGTAAACCGCCCGCTGGTCGCGGCGGCAGCATTAGCCTTTTTTTTTTTTTTTTTTTTTTTAACAACCCAGTCCAAAGTGTACATTGAACCGTTGTAAACGACGGGCTTGTCTGCAGCATGATTGCCATGCTGCCGGCCCCATTTGTGTCTCATTGCATCATGACGATGAGCTGTTATTCAATGGGCAATGTGTGATATGACTAACCTATTACAAATGTGTCCATTAGCCTCCTCCATGCTCGCCCATGAGAAGCCACACTTGCTTATGCACCCGCCTCAAATATCATTGTACTGGTTGCCTTGTTCAGAACCCCAGACGAGCACGTCTAACTGAGGGTGCTTCGCGAGCGCATATATTACCTTTACCTTGATAAGTTTGAGAAACAACAAAGCTGTTTTTGGTCTAATATCATTTCATTATCCTCAGCATACTCTAAATAAGTCATTCCGAGTGTCTATTAGGAAGCAGTTGCTTAGCCGAAAAACAATGCTACATGACTCGTACCCAGGTATTTAGTAGGTGTTCCTGTTTTGTATAGCCACCGAAATCAAATACGAGTTCCCCTTGATTCAACGAAACTCAGCACTTCCATCTGTCCATGCAAGGGTGTGTACGAACTCGACTAATATGTAGCAGGCCAAATTTATAGCTACGGATGGAGTTAGTATCGATATAGTGGTGCCAGGCATTATGCGCCCGGGTTTGGATTTCCACTTTTTTACGGCTATTCCCGAATATAGCTATGCACATTCTTGATTCTTATCCAATATATGCACAAGATGCCGGGGTGCTTGAGGCTTCAGATTTTATTATCGAATTAGCTACTCTTCAGACTGCATTCCACATGCCGTACGACAGGTCTGCGTGGAAGCTGGTACAACACGTATGTGACAGCCGCGTCTGCATTCTTGGCTGTGCGTTACGCAAAAAAGTTCTCTGAGAGGTTTAGATCCGCTGCATTGGTGGCGGTTCTCACAAAGCCTCTCAGCCTATTGGAAGATCTGTTGATTCCCGCTTTGGGGCCGCCGGGCGACGTAAGGGAGGGTACGGATTTTCAAGCAGCTGGCTGGAGTTTCGCAGACATCATGTGCCAAGGCACAGTAATGAAGGAGATAATGCAGAAAGGCTCACAATTCACAAAAGGAATCAAAGCTCTAAGCTAGTTCATAATGCTCGCTCGACAGGTGTGCACTTCGGGCCCCCTGGCCGGGGGCTCCGTCGGTCCTCTTGGCCGTGCCTAAACTATTGTCAGGCCTGTGGGAGCTGATGAAAGACGGGGATATCAAGGTTGTAATGATCTGGCCGCCCGGCTAAAGACGTTTTCCAATTTTTCGAGGCTCTTATGACTACTAGGTATGTCTCGAAAGGACAGTTCGAGTCAAGCTGCCCGTGCGCCGAAGTGGTGGCAACCCGAAACACCACCCCCTGAACCCCTTGCAAGGCAATCCATCTCAAACGGCCAAGTCGGCAAATATCCTGGGCCGCCCACCGTGCAGGCGCATTTGCTCCCTCCGACCTCTTGCCACGATGACTATGCTGTACACCAAAGTCTGAACGACGCCTCGCCATCGCAGGAGGCTCCTCGCAGTACTAAGCGCACTCCAAAGAACCACTTCTCCAGTCGAAACAATTCACACTCTACTCAGCTGTGTCCTCGCCCGTCTCCGATTTCCGCCAGCTCTCCTCAACAATGCACGCGCCGGCCGCTGTTGTCGTCATCATGCTCAGCGGCCTGGCCACGGCAGCCGAGGTCAGCGGCCGCCAAAGCGTCAACATCTGCCAGACCGTACAAACCCAAAACGGCTGCATCCAGTCCGCATCTTTCAGCTCGCCCGTCTTCTTTACCTGCGTGGATGGACAGCAGACACTCTTCACCTGTGACGGGGGCTGTCGCCAGGGAAACGCTGCCAACTTGCCGACTTGTGACAACGGGAAGCTTTTCAACGGGACGATAGACTGAAATCCACACTGAAAATCGACTATGGTCGCCGTGCCTTGGGATATTTCAAATCTGTGGTCCAGGGCGTATGGAGCCATGGCGTGTATCATAGACCAGAGTCAAGGTCGTAATGTGCAGCGCAGGTCGCAATGGTGTCTGGGAAAGACTACTACAGACCGTGCATATGTGTATGAGGAAATATTAGGATATAGAAATGTCGATGAACAGAAGCCAACGTAGGCTGTGGCATAGGAAGCGTGAAGCACCATGCCTAAGCTGCCGTTCCCACTCGGACCTGAGCCCGGAGAATATGCACCTGTCTTTGTTGTTATGTCCTTGACTTACTAGCTGTAGTACATGTTTTTTGTTTTTTTTTATGTAACTATGTACGTTCACGTGTAGTTGCTCTAGTAGGCAGTGATGATCCGCAGCGATAGCAGGAGGGGTTCGGCAAGAATTGATTTGCATCTTCGCTTGAGAAAACGTCAACTATTTACAGGAGGGAGGCTTACGCCAGACGACTAGTCTGTAGTTTGCAATTACCCATGCCTCTATCAGATGCCGATTCGAGCAATACTCGACGCCATTCCAGTGGGTTTGCTGCTCTTTCTGCATGCTGGACACAACAGAACCCCTTGACATACAACAGAGAGGAGACGTGAGTTTGTACGCCATGGGTACTGGTCATACATACCAGCAATTTGTGGACAAGGACGTGGTAATCACGTTGATTGGAGCTAGCTGATAGAGATAGCTATAGGTGTGGAAAGACACTGGAGTGGCCCATCTGCGCGATCGGTTACTACCAAAGTTCATTGTTGCATCATCTCCGTTGCTCCTATCACATCTGGGTCCACTCACCCCTCGCGGTGATTATACCAAGTTAGGCACAGTCAGCTTACAGCCTGAAATACCAATCACAACATTGAACCATCAGATCCAGGCCGTTGGACGTATTGTCAGTCTGACTTGCCTTGGCCTCCTTGGTATGCTGGTCTGAGGTCAGCACGGCCATCAGTTGCATTGTCTCTTTGATGACCTGGTCAGCTACGACTGGTTGTTGAAGGTAACTGTGCGGACGCCACACCGTTCACATGCACTGGAGTCTGACTCCCACAAGCACTTCCTTCCCAAGGTTACCATCCTAGATCGAACATGAGAACAGAGGCCGCCAGTTGAAATTCGGAGCGGGCCTTGAAATCCTGATGCCTAGGCCCCTCTGCTTGGACCTTGGCGAAGATGCTTCGTCCTAACGGATACCTTTGTACGACAGAGAAAAGCATTCTCACCTGATGTGCACCAACGGGCAAAAGGGTACCCCCGCTCCCCTTTTTTTTCATTTTGCTTAGTCTGCAGGGTCACGCGCAAAGTTCGCCCACCCTCCTCCTGCTTCCCCGGCACCCGGTCTTGCATGCATGAGGGTGGTAGCAAAAGTATGGTACTTCACACATCGGCTGCCCCTAGAGCTTCTCTCAATGTCCAAACGGATTCATGCCACAGCAGCGCAAATTCATTTTTCATGTACTTCGGGATTCACTGGGATTGAAAGTCCTGCTATCGCCACCTCAGCTCGGCTAGATTTGCGCGACACTGCTGCCCACATAAGTCGTCGTGTCTGCTTGCTCCCTTCCATACTCGGACCTATGCCGGATGTTGTTGAATACGACTGATTCAAGCTCTTTTCATCACACACACGTACTGCATTGAACAGAATTCGGTTGTAAAATATTGCTTCACATCACATCATAATGGGGTCCAGGTCGAACGATGTTGAGGAACTTGATGCTCTTGTTGTTGGAGCTGGGTTCGGAGGTGTATACCAGCTGAAGCGCCTCAGAGATCTGGGCTTCAATACTAAGCTACTCGAAAGCGGTAGTGATTACGGCGGCGTGTGGTACTGGAACAGGTATCCTGGTGCCCGTGTGGACAGCTCTATCCCCCACTACGAGTTCGATGACCCAGCTCTGTGGAGCACATGGACCTGGAAGCAGAGGTTTCCCGACCACTGTGAGCTCCGGGCTTACTTTTCGCACGTGGCCAAAGTGTACGTTCTACGTGTTCCTATGGTCCAACTCAAAATACTAATGCTCGATCCCATGTCAAGATGGGACCTAGAGAAGGACACTCAGTTCAATACTTTTGTGGAATCTGCTAGCTGGGACGATTCCGAGTGCCTCTGGACAATACACACTCGGGAGGGCATGTGCTACAAAGCCAGGTATCTTCTACTGAACACGGGGTTTGCCGCTAAACGATATATCCCGGACTGGAACGGCATCGAAACATTCAAGGGGACCTTCATCCATCCGTCATACTGGCCACAGGATGGCTTGGACCTGAAGGGGAAAAGAGTCGCCGTAGTCGGCACGGGCTCAACCGGGGTCCAACTCGCGACGGAGCTCAGTCCGATCGTCGGCGAACTTGCCATCTTCCAGCGCACTCCCAACACAGCTTTGCCCATGAGGCAAGTCGATTACAAGGATGGCGAGCAGGCAATCGGACGGGAAGCGTACCCGGATCTTTTCAAGGGCCGACCGCTGTCTTTCAGCGGGTTTTCTTTCAGTCCTGTTTGCCGGAACACATTCGACGATTCACCTGAGCGACGGCAGGCGTTCTACGAGACCCTTTGGAAAGAGGGCGACTTCAAGTTCTGGCTGGCTAACTATCAGGATCTTCTGTCTGTCAAGGCTGCAAATGATGAAGCATACGCCTTCTGGCGTGAGAAGACCCGTGCGAGGATTCAAGACTCTCGGGTGAGAGACCTCCTTGCGCCGATGGCTGCACCCTACAGCTTTGGCTGCAAGAGAATCTCGCTCGAGCAAGGCTACTTTGAGATCTTCAACGAGCCTCACGTCCATCTTGTCGATGTGAACTCGACACCAGTTGAGGCTATCACTGAGAAAGGCATTAGGACTTCTGAGAAAGAGTGGGAGTTCGACTACATCATCTGCGCTACTGGCTTCGACAGCATCACCGGTGGACTGAAGCAGATCAACGTCAAGAGCACTTCCGGGGAGCTCTTGGCGGAATACTGGGGAAACGGGACTCGGACTTACCTCGGCATGGCCGTTTCCGGGTTTCCCAACCTGTTCTTCACTTACGGGCCTCAAGGGCCCACGGCGCTGTGCAACGGGCCAACTGTAAGCAACCCCCCAGACACCATTTTCACCATGTCAGTGGCCAGCGCCCTGAACATGGCAGCCACGCCGCTGGATGTATCCTGCAAACTCCCAGGGTGCAGCTCTAGAGATCGACCAAGTACTACAGGCAAACAGCATCCCGCCTATACTCATGCATTACGCGCAACTGTGTTTTGTTTGCTTGATATAGCTGACTCGCTGGGATGTTACAGTGCGCGCAGATGCAGGGGGATTGGGTTGTAGGATTGATCAGCCGGATGAAAGAGGCCGGTGAGAGGAAGGTGTTCGTGGAGAAGACGTATGAAGAGGAATGGCAGCAAACCATTCTGAAGGTCGCCAGCATGACCTTGGTACCTGGCACAAAATCGGTACGCTATACTTCCCCCATCTTCTCAACACCGTCAAATTGAAGGCAGCTGCTTACAGCTTCAACTCAGTGGTACATGGGAGATAATATTCCAGGCAAGAAACGAGAGCCGCTGATTTATCTGGGAGGTGTTCCCAACTACTACGCCACGTTGAATGAAGTAGCAGCAAATGGGTATCCGGGCTTCGCTTTCGAATAGAGCGTGGATAGTAGATGTAGAGACAAAAGCACACGAGTTAATGGAGCAACAAGGGGCAATAGGTCACCGCAGCTAAGTTTCTTATGTAATCCCTTGAATATATAATCAGATGTACCATGCTTCCCGAAGACATGTTCAATATTCCACAAGTATATTCTGGCTTTTTGGTGAAGTCGTTCATGCAAGCAGATCTTTAACAATTTGGACAGTTACGCCACATGAACGCTGGATGTTTAAGCGTTTATTATTATATGAAGGGACTGGATGCATATTGCTTAAGAAGCATATGTGTATAGACTAAAAACGAGGCCCTTTTTGGGGGTGATGGTTTGCATTTGCTAGGAAACTCTTGGAAAAGATCGGAGATCTTGGCGCATAACAAGGTAACCAAGCATAAAGCAATTGCAGACCGACTTCAAACTGTATGCCCTACTTTCCGGGGCTAACTAGTGCTAACATTCCGTCTTCCCACAGCTTTAAATTAAACTCGGCATATCCGGTGCTTAAATTGGGCCTAAAGATCAGTCCTTTCCACCTGTCGTTTAAGTGCTGCCTACCCTTGAAACCTTGTGTTTAAAGCCTTCTTAAAATACTTAACACCTGCCATTAAGGCAAGATGATTAGCTTAATTATGCAAATATAAGGACCCATAATAAATAATGTAAGGCTTTGCTAAGAAAGAGCCTTAAAGATTATTTATTAAGCTTTTAATATAATAGCAAAAGGTGCTTATATTATAATTAATAAAAATGCACTTTTTTAATTAAAGCTTGCTTATAAATATTAAGCTAATGTTAATAATATCCGTTATTTTACTCCTTAATACTTGAGTTTAATTAATTTAAAGTTTATTATATATAATAATTACCTTATATAATATATAATTATTAAGATTTAATATTATTATAATATATTATATTTTAATATAACTTTTAAGTTAAAGAAATAAGGTTTATTATTATTTTCTTATATTAATAATTAATTATATTATATAATTAAAGTTAATATATTTAAAAACATTTTACTTTTATAGCGGTTACTTTAAGGTGCAGTTAAATAATAGGTATAAGGCATTAATTATTTTTATTTTAAAGATCCTTAGCAGGGGTTATTAAAGGGCATTACATGCCTTATTTAATTAACATATAACTCATAAGGCTTATACGCCTTGCTAGCAATATTTATAATACATTACTCTTATAACGGCTGCTATAAGTATTAAGTATTAAAAAGATATAATATTTTTATTATTAATAATTTTAAATATATTAAGAATATTATATAAATAAAAACATTAAAGTTACTTAATTAACTTACTTTTATAGCCTTTTTTATTTCCTTAAAATATTCTTTTTTATTATAATATTTAAATATATAATCTTATATATATTAATTAAGTTTTAATAATTAATTAATTTATAAGGTAACTTTTATTTATTATATTAAGCTAATTAATCTTTTTAATATATAAAATATTTTAATATATCTTTTTCTTTTTAATGCTTAATCTTTTTATTTAATATATATTTAATTTTATATTCTTTTTTAAAAGCTAAGTAAGAGGGTAAATAGAATTACTGCTTGCAAATTCATACCTTCCGGCTAAAAAACCATAATAACCAATCTAGGATTGGTTATTCCAAGCAATATATAAAAGCCGTACCATTATACTAAGCTTTTATCAAGTTTATTATTATTTATATAATAATATATTAAGCTAAGTTTTAATAATAACGTGGTTTACTAGTAAGTGGGCAGTATTAATAAGTAAGCATTTTTTGCAATATTTATTAACTTTTATTAACGCTAGCACCCGCTTAATGCATTTAATTTATTAAAAATTAGCATTAATTAATGCTAATTATATTTAATTCCCTATTTTTAATTAATTTCATTAATTTAAAGGGGTTAGCGTGAGTATAATATAATTAGGAGTTATTAAGGTTTATATAAATTGGCTTCTTTTTAATGCTAATCGCGTTTTAATTTTTCACGTTAATTTTATTCCAATTTACTTATTTAAATATTTAATACGTTAAAAATTAATAATTATAATATATATTTTTTATTTAAAGAAAATAAAATCCTTTTAGCTATTTAAGCTATTTATAACTTTAAAAAAGCTAATTAAAAACCCTTAAAAGTAATAACAACTATATATATCTTTAATATTTCTTAAATAACCCTTTAACATAAAATAAATTAATAATGCTTTTATAAAGAATTATATATTAATATATATAAACTTAATTAAATTAAAGAGTAAATGCTTATTTAATATATTATTAAGTAAAATATTAAAGAATTTCCTTTATAATTCTTTAATATAAAAAATATAGCTAATCTTTTGCTAGCATTATATAATGCTAAACCTATTAATAAGCATTAAGCTTAATATTTTATAAATATATAATTAAGCCTTAAGATTAAGTTTAATTATCCTTATAATTATTAAAGAACTTTTTATAAAGATTTAAAGATTATTAAAAACTAATTTAAGCTTCTTTATAATATAATAACTAAATATTAAATTATTAATAATAACCTTTATAACTTTAATAAAATTAGCTTTATAATAAGTATAATTACCTTATTAATAATTATTATATATATTAATAAGCATAAAAAGGCTAAATTAATTTAACTTAATAATTAAAAATAGGTAATTATTATTAAATATATTAATATAAATAAGTTATAAATTTTATTATTTATAATTATTTAAAGCGCTTATTATTTTATTAATTAAGTAATAAAGTTAAGTTTTTTAAATAATTAAGTTATTAAGCTTATTTTTAATAAATAAATAAATAATAAGATTAATTTAAAATAAATTTAATATTTTAATAAATATATTAAGCTAAAAAAAATATTAATTATTAAATATTAATTATAAATAGCTATAAAAACTATATATTAATTAAGTTTAATTAATATTATAAAGATAATAAAATTATTATTATTAATATATTATTATATTTATTTTATTTATATTAATTATTAAATATTATATTATATTTATCTTTAAAGTATGCATATAATAATAAAATTAACCTTTTTATTTAAGCCTTTATTAATTATATTATTAAATTTAAGTTTTTTTTTTATATTTAAGATAGCTTATAATAAAACTTTTATAATAAAAAATATTAAGTTTATATTTAAAAAAGTTAAAATTTTTTCTTAAAATCTTAATTTTATAATTTTTAAACTTAATATTTACTTATAAACTTTAATATAATTCCTTTTTATTTTTTTTTAAAAAATAAAAGTTTTAAATATTATTAAATACTTAATAAATTATTTAATAATTAATTTTTATTAAAAATAAAATTTTTATTTATTAAAAAAGCTTTTTTATATTAATTATAAAGATTATTAATTAATTAATAAAAAGTATATAAATAATAATATACTTACTTATTATAATAAATAAGTAAATTTATATGCTTTAAAATATTAATATAATATTTATTAAATATTAAAGAGCTAAAAAAACTTAAGTATAACTTAAAAAAGTATTTATAATTAAGAAATCTTAAGTTTTTATTTAAAAAAAATAAAAAAAAAAGTAATTAATTAATAAAATAAATAATAATGCTAAAGAAATAATTTATAATAAATTAATTAAAAAACGTTATAATAATTATAATAAAATTAAGTATAATATAAAAACTTATAAAAAAATAAAAAAAGGTTTAATTAATTAAATTTTAATTATATTATAATAAATTCAATTTAATTAGCATTAATTAATGCAAATATATTTATTTTAGCGATTTATAATAAATTATATTTTTAATAATGTAATTAGCATTATTTAATATAAAGTATAGTTTTCTTATTAAAAGTTAGCTTATTTAAATTAATATTATATTTATGCTAATCCCTTTAAATTAATAAAATTAATTAAAAATAAGGAATTAAATATAATTAGCATTAATTAATGTTAATTTTTAATAAATTAAATATATTAAGCAAGTGCTAGCATTAATAAAAGTTAATAAATATTGCAAAAAGTGCTTATTTATTAATATTGCTTACTTACTAGTAAACTATGTTAATTAAGTTTTATTATTTTATTAAAAGAAAGGCTTATAAGCTTTACTTATATAAAGTTATATCTTATTATTAATCTTAAATTATTTTTAATAATAAGCAGCATTATATAGCTTTTTAAATTTTAATATTATAATATTTATAGCTAATTAAGCATTTTTATAAGTATTTTTATATAAATTTAATACTTAATTACTTTTAAATAATATTAATAAGTTATATAAAATAATAAGATTTTAAATTTAAATAAAACTTTATAAGGATTAATATTAATTAAAAGTTAATAAAAATATTTAAAAGTAATAAAAATAATATAACTTATATTAAATAAAAAAGGCTTCCTTTTATTAAAAAAGTGCATAAATAATATAATTTACTTATATATTAAAAATATAATATATAATTATAAAAGAAAAAATTATTAATATTAAAATAACGTAGTTTATTATTAAATAATGGATATTATTAAGTAGCGGATTTTTCTAACTTTATTTAACTTTTATTAATTATAATATTATATTAAGGTAAATAAATTAATAAAAAGTTAATATTAATTAATAATAATTATATTTAATTCCTTATTTTTAATTAATTTTATTAATTTAAAAGCATTAATATAAATATAATATTAATTTAAATTAATTAACTTTTAATAAAAAATATATATTTAATATTAATTAATACTAATTATATTATTAAAAATATAATTTATTATAAATTAATAAAATAATTATATTTATATTAATTAATATTAATTAAGCTAAATTTATTATAATATAATTAAAATTTAATTAATTAAACCTTTTTTTATCTTTCTTATAAGTTTTTATATTATACTTAATTTTATTATAATTATTATATTATTATTTAATTAATTTATTATAAATTACTTTCTTAATATTATTATTTATTTTATTAATTAACTGCTTTTCTTTTTATTT